TCATCCCTGATCCTGGAAGGGGCTCAGGCCAACGAAGCCATCAACCCCGGAACTTCGCGGAGGATATTACATGCCTCGGTCTGCAACCCCATCTACGTAAGAATAGGTGACATGCTATTAGTGCAGGAGATTAAGTCCACAAAACTTGGAAATGAGAATGTAACGCACGGCATCACTGCTGGGAAGAATCAACAAGGCTAACCAATACGCAAAACATATTTGAATATATGCAAAACCAAGTCAGTAGGAGGTTTTATTCTCAACCCGAACCCAGTCTTAAAATAGAACCAGATAATAAATCGATAATCGATGTTGACCAGAAGCAGTCCAGACTCTGCTGTGCTATTTGACAGGCTATTCTCGCAGATGGCTCAGTCCTGAATGCTTTGAACAGAGAGTTACAGATTCTTTGCACATACTTCGATCTACGAATTCCTGGCATCTAACTCCCTCAACACTCGATGTCTCCACTGAGGAATGATTATAATGTTGGCGGACTGTTCAATTAGGAAGTTGCCTCTCAGTTCCGTAACGTGGACTACGTAAGTGTGTTGACATGCTTGAACTCTCGAAATGCTTCCTGGATTGAGAATCCCTGTGAGGGAGATCGGACTTTTCGTGAGCATACCTACACGTCTGGACATGGTCTTGCCAGTCTTGGCTCACGCAAACAAGGTGCGATATAAAGAGTGCCAGCAAGATGGTTGGATGGCTGGCCTCATCGAGTCTCAGAGCTTTCGATCTTAAGTGTTACATGATGAAGGGGTCTACCATTGTCTCTCTTTTTCCGATGGTTGCCCTAGGGCATATCGCAATAGGATGCGATGACTGTCCCGCCCCACCTACTGTCTCAATCGAAATCCAGCCGGTTGTATTTCGCCACTTCTTCCCCCACGACACGGTATACGATCCTTTCGAGGACGGCCTAAATATGACCATCACGGGTGCTCCAACGTCCATCTGCACCACAGGCTTAGTGACGAAGACAATCGCGCCGCCGTCGTCTATGACCAGCCCTATCACTTGCACCTTCACGTCGACGCATATTCCGAGCATATCCTCGGCCAACACCAGTAAGACAAGCAGCAGTGTCATCGCTTCGTCCAATCCAACAAGGCTTGGAACTACACGAATCCCAACAACGGCCAGCTCATGCACAGGCACCCCGACCGTTAGCTCAACGTCGCTGCCAACTCCAACGGGCTCGGTTTCTACGAGTTGTGCTCTGTCGAGCTCGGTTACTTCTGTTTCTCTCGGTGAGCTTTTCCCCTTCTCTCAAATCGTTCGGGACGTTCGGATATTGGATATAGGCAGCGCCAATCTGGCAGCACCAAATTATCCATGCACGGCGTCGGGATTGCCACTAACCCACCCGTCCCTCTCCATTCTAGCAATATCACAGGTGTGACTCTATTCAATTGATCTGTCCGCAGTAGACTGCTTAGCCAGCAGGTCCTGTCGGTCCTGAGTCCACAACCTACAAGAACGCTTTCTTATTCAAGCTCTCACGCTAATCCAATGAGTCTATAGCCACAGGTAGCTCAACAACACGCTCATCGACTTCCACCAGCGTCCTCAGCGCATCAAGCGCATCGAGCGTCAGTAGATTGAGCACTACATCTCTCTCCGCCGTTCCCTCCTCCACAGCGACATCAATTACTGTCGGTATGGCAACTCAGCAGTGCGGCAATAACCAAGTCCTCTCGTGCTGCAACACAAGCGCGAGTGGCGACAGCGGGTTAATATCCGGAATTTTGAATGGCCTCCTCGGCGGAAGCTGCACGCAGGTATCGTTATCAGGTAAGCCGTTCCCCCTGATGTACTTTACACTACTGACAATCCAAGTGTTAGGGGTACAGGTACCGATTTCGCAGGCATGTGGCAACAATGTCGCAGCTTGTTGTCAAGGAGACCAGAATGTGAGTACCCCCTTCAGCTCAGTATGGCTAGCTAATCGCTGGTAGGGCCTCCTCAATGTCCAGTGCAGTCCTGTAGATATCTAGTGAGCATCAAAGGGGGGTTTCAGAACTACGAGGTTTTCGTTCGAGTTCGGAGTCTATTTCACTTCTCTATAAAGTCTTTAATTAATTCAAGATATCTAATCTGAAATCGAATTACAGCATGTAGAAGTTTCCGCCTTTGTGCCTCACGTCTTCTCTCTCTCCTAGCCTATTAGCCAGGTTTCAAGGCATTATAGCGACTTCTGGTAGCTCAGCTTTGTCTCTGATCGCTCTGCCGCTGCCTGTTTGAGCCTGCATGTAGCTCTTCAAGCTACGTCCTCGTCTTCTTATCAGACCTGTCTGGGTTTACAGCCTGTTCGTATATAGCTCGGATAGTGCTAGTCCATTGACCAATACTCTCAACCCCGTCGGCCTGCTGGGAATTCTCAGACACAGTCCAGCTGTCTCTGAGTGCGCAGAGGAGCTCAGCGAAGCGGTTATGCCCCTCCCTGCGACCCGTCGACGCGTCGGAATCCGAGCCTCTGCACCTCACGAAACACCACACATTACAGTCCCAGTACGATCGCGACGAGGTGAGAGCTCTCGCGTGTACGCACCCTGATGGAAGATGGAGCTGGGTCCGCCATCCTGCTGGGCGACAATACTTTACGGCATCGAAGTGTGAAAGAGACGCGACATAGGCATGAAAGAGCGACAGGACTCTACACAGTATCAAGACACCGAACCTGACCGGATCTGTGCCTGCACAACGCTACCAACCACCATGTCGCGAAGATCAAACTACAGACCTTACAGAAAACAACACATCACGTCACAGTACCAACGACTGGCCGGTAACTGTCGGTCGTCGTCAACATGAAAACATCATCGCATGTTTCGATTTCTTTACACTACCATGGAACGAGTCTATACCACACCTGCAGCAGCACCTCCAACAGCTCAGAACCAAGATCAGGCGGCACGGACACAGCTGGCCAACAATCAGTCACGCCATTGGCAGACGACGCACGAGCGGTGCGTTCGACTGCTGGTGGCGTCCGGGGTTTGTTGCGAGCGAGCACTGACCCGAAAACCATCAAGGAGCAAGCCCCGAGCACGATACATACTTACACCACAGTCACGTCGAGCACTTCATGCAGCGCGAACTCGGTAAGCAGTTATTGCTTGGGATAGCATCACGCTCGACTGCCTAGCAATAACAACACAACTACAAAGAACGAACGTTACGCGAGATGGCGGATCGTGCTAAATCCGAACAACTTGCCTACAGCAGTACCTCCAGCAGCGCAGAAGGGTGCATATTGTTACACGAAAGCACAAGAGGGCCGGAAAGGGCCTGGCAAGATACATAGACACAGAACCATTATTAGGATTGTTCGAAGGGACATGCGTGTTGAATGTGCCGACTACTGTATACCGTGACAGCTCCCCCGTATAGGTAGAATTGTCCTTAGCATGAAATCGATCGATTTAGCGGTCTTTGTTCATAGATTCGCCACAGCGTCGTCGATGGCGGCTTTGTGGTCGAGTGTCTTTTATCAAGTCAGGTCATCTGAGCCAATGATTGTACCGTATGACTATCTCACGACACATTGATCCTGCTCAGTAAAATAGTGAAGATGACAATCACTCGGTCCTGTATCGCGGCTTGTTCGTTGGAGGTAGAAAAAGATGACCTTTCAGGGCGTGGCCGGGCGAATGCTTGGCTTGTTCAGCGGCAAGGCCACAGTTCAGCCTTATTGCCTTGTTGCATTGTCCCCTAACAGGTGCAGGCGTTGGACCGGCATCAACTCAGCAAAATCTCCTCCGGTCACAGTGTGACCATCAAGAGAGCATGCGTCTTCGATATGTGCCGGAGATTTGTGTCTCTGTCCTCTCTCGGCGGTCCATCTGCTTGGGGCAGAGGTGCCTGAGATCAATCCGGTAGCCACGTGTCTCCTGCGGAGCAAGGGTGCAGAGACGGATTTCGCTCGTATCAGGATTTCGGCAATGCGAAAAGCATACACGAAGTCTCCAGGGAAGAAGAGTTCGGGAGTGTCAGTTCTGGTCAGCAGTGTCAAGCCCGGGTGAACGGACCTGCATTTAGCACAGCAACCAGCAATCGCCAATCGGGGGCGGGGCAAAAGGGATGATGTGGCGACGAAGGAGTTACAGGCTCTATTCCGACCTGGGTGCGGGACACTCCATAATGGCTGGCTCTCCTACTCAGGGCTCACGCAACTGCCTACAACGCCGCAGAGGTGGGAGAGTGCTTGTCGGCAGGGACTCTCTCGGGAGGAAAGTTTGCCCAGAACAGCGACGGTGCCCAAGACATCGCTGACTTGGTATCTGTGTGGTTCTTAGTATCCTTGCAATGTGGGAGTCGATGCATACCGCGATAGTGCTTAGAAAAACTTGTGGTTGATGGTGTCGAACGTTGTCGAAAGTGGAAAGATAAATTGTTGCCTGCGCTGGTTTTTGACACGTTTTTGGGATGAAGGGTAAATGGCGAGGCTGAAAAAGTCATATCGATAACGTCTTTAGGTCATATTTGAGATTCTGATGAAAGTTTAGTAAGGAGATACTGATAAGGCAACGAGGCAACCAGGCTATACTGGCAGTCAATCAGCCTTGTTGTCACAAATTTGCCAATGAACCAGAAGTGGAGCAGGTTAGCTAGATGGAGCAGCCCTACCCTCGGAGGGACATGACTATAGCCCAGTAGTAGAGATTTTAATTTCAACTTATCAATAAGTCTGCGATACTACTTAACAATAAGGCACACTTTGACGAAGCGAGTGTCGAGTTGTCGACAGTATGCGCAGCTTCTAAAGTGAAACAAATAGACTGTTCGAGCTTCCTCGCCGTGGTGCAGAGCGCTGCAGTCATGCCTTCATATTGAATTGAAAAGAATCGTTTAATGTGGTCGTCTTGCACTTGCTGCAGCAGTTATGACAGACTCGCAATAACAACGCCAAACTTATTAGCTAGCACGTTGCGCGCCTCAACTTTGACCCGAGGATCAACAGTGAGCAGCAGCGCCTCTCAATCACTCCCCATCCGTTGCTTCGCGTCAAAGATAATCCACATCAGCAAATTCATGAAAATCACGAACTCATCCAAAGAGTGCGCAGGGTCGCCGGTCGAAGGCAGAATCATATCACGCAGCACTATCTTCGCCCCCTTCTCCACGTGCGGCATCAGCGGCCGCAGAATCCTCACGGTGCCCTTGCCACTACTGTCCTGCAATACATCCCTCAGAAAGAAGCGCTTTCGACCGCAGATCCTCATCAATCTGAGGCTGGAAGAATCCTGCATCTGTTACGCCACCCGCCCATTCAACCCCTCCGAAATCGTCTCTCTCGCCGGCTCCTTATTAGCCTCTAGATCCTGCAGCACGATCCGCAACCGCGGATGCGGTTCCGTGATCACAACCGCCGCGTGTGGCGCCCCGCTGCCCAGATCTAAACTAAGGCTCATATAGTGAGATCCAAACTTACCGCTGAATTGAGTAACTAGGGAATGTTAACAGACCACGTTATTATGCTTAGGGGAACAGGTTTTATACGGAACAGCCAAGGCAGGACGAAGGATGCTTAGCCATGCCGGAATGTCTCAACTAGATGTGACAGACCTCGCAAACTAGTATGGTTTCTTACTGTATCTTTCATGATGGACCGATCCAGTGTGGTGAACAGCTTGATGGTCTCTTCGGGCAGGGAGGAAGGGGGATTGTGTTGTGGCCCATTCGGCAAAGCTGCACTTTCTAAAGGTTCACTACGTCAGATCAGGCTGTTATACAGCCTCGTCACATCATATGTAGAAGGCAGTGGGCAGCGCACTTGTTCACTGCAGTTCTTCACGATTCTTTAGCTTTGTCATGCTCTTGTCTTGCGGAGAACTAGTAGAGCACTTGCTTTTTACAAGTGTCCCAAATTAAAGTCTTGCACAGTAATCACAGCACTCTAGAATGGTCTCGCAAGAGTTCAAGCTGAGCGCCGTTCTCCAAGGCCACACAAGCGATGTAGGTTACGTTGGATCGGCCTGTTGACAACCGCTAACTTATCCCAGGTCAGAGCAGTCCTCCTACCCGATCCGTCTCTAGCCATCACTGCTTCACGCGACGGTTCAACACGAACTTGGAAGCAGACCTCATCCTCACCCCCCACCTATGACCCCTCGGAGTCCTCACATGGCGCCCAATACAAAACCTGCCTTGCTTTTGCCCCGTCAACGAAAGAGTATCCCGACGGCCTTATCATATCATCCGGACAAGATGCACTCATAGAAGCCCGACAGCCTAGTACCACCGCCGAGGTCAACGCAGATGGTTTCATGGTCGGCCACAGCAACCAGGTATGCTCACTAGACGTGAGCTCTACCGGCGACTGGATTGTGAGCGGCAGCTGGGACAGCTCCGCACGGATCTGGCAAGTTGGACGATGGGAGCCTGAGGTTGAGCTGCAAGGTCACACCGCAACAGTCTGGGCTGTTCTCGCATTCGACAAGGACACTATCATCACAGGCTGCGCAGACAAGGGCATTCGGATATTCGACCTACGAGGCAAATTGCGACATGGCTGGGAGAACAAGGATGTCGTCAGAGCCCTGGTCAGACTGCCTGAAGGCCATGCATCTGGTGCTGACTTTGCCTCCGCCTCGAACGATTCGGCTATTCGGCTATGGACGCTCAAGGGCGACCTCGTTGCAGAACTGTGGGGTCATGAAGCCTTTATCTACTCTCTTGCCGTTCTGCCAAGCGGAGAAATCGTCAGTTCCGGCGAAGACCGGTCGGTGAGAGTTTGGCAAGGTACGGAGTGTGTCCAGGTTATTACCTTGCCAGCAATCTCGGCGTGGAGTGTTGCGGCGAGCCCGAATGGAGACATCATTGCAGGCTCGAGTGACAAAATAGCTAGGATATTTACACGAGAGCCTGACCGAGAAGCTTCTGCTGAAACAATCGCCGAGTTCAACGGGCAGCTCCAGTCGTCGGCCGTACCCAAACAGTCGATGGATGGGCAGCTCAATATGCAAGACATGCCAGGCCCGGAATTTCTTACTCAGAAGAGCGGTACGAAAGAAGGCCAAAGTGCCATCATCAAGGATACAGATGGCAATCCCACTCTCTACCAATGGTCGATGTCTCAGCAGACATGGATCAAAATCGGCACGGTCGTCGACTCAGCTGGTTCTAGCAGCAAACAACAATATGGTGGAAAGGAATACGACTACGTGTTTGACATCGACATTGAAGATGGCAAACCGCCCCTCAAACTACCATACAACGTCACCCAGAACCCTTACGAAGCCGCCACCAAATTCCTCCAGGACAACGAACTGCCACTGACGTACCTCGACGAGACTGCAAACTTCATCATCAAGAATACCCAAGGTGCTACGCTCGGTCAGTCGTCTGCCACCACCGGTGCCGATCCGTGGGGCACCGAAAGCCGCTACCGACCTGGCGAAGTCCCCCAATCCACGTACCAGTCCAAAGCTACCTCAACACCTCAGCCTTTGCCTCAAAAGCAGTACTTGTCTATTGTACTAGGCAAACCTGCCACCGCATTCGAACAGGTCTCCAAGAAGAACGCGGACTATGGCGAAACTGACATGGCGCTAACGAAATCCGATCTACACACCCTGTCCGTATTTGCCCAGCAACTGGCAAAGTATGACTTCTCACGTTCACCTTCGCTTCCTTATTCGAACGAACTTGTTAGCGTCCTCCCATCCCTGGTCAAAGCTGCTACACAGTGGCAGCCTCCTAACAATCGTCTGGCTCCGCTCGATCTTCTCCGCTTCCTTGCTGCCGCTCTACAGACACTACCACCACAAGATGTTAACACCGTTGACCCGGTAGCAGCGGTCCTAGGAAGCAACATCTTCGATGAAGGTAGCATTGACGCCAATGCGAAGTTGGTAATGATGTCTGTACGCTTTTTCTCCAACCTTCTCTATGGCTCGGGTAAGAAGGTCATCGATGCTCACCTAGATTCGATCATCGAATCACTCAAGCCTGCTAGCAAGCTGGCAAAGTCCGACAACAACGTCGCGATTGCCCTCACAACTCTGTACGTGAACATCTCAGTGTTTTTGACAAGCAGCAACGATCCAGATGTTGCTGTTGCTCGAGGCTTCCAGATTCTTGAAGAGCTGTGCCAGCTTATATCCAGCTTCCCTGCTGTCAATCACTCGGCGGGTGCTGCGCCTGCCGGTCAGTCTACTGAGCCTGCCTATCGTGCACTTGTCGCATTAGGCACTATCATCGTTGGCCTGAAGCACGCAGACATCAAGGAAGCTGCCAAGGCATTGGATGTGGCTACCGTCCTCGAGCAGCTTCAGTCCAAGCAGTATCTCAAGGAGCCGCGTTTCCAGGCGCTGGTCACGCAACTTCGGTCTAGCCTCTAGCAAGCATGCACAGAGCCAGAGAATCTGGACACACTTCACGATAGCGGGGTATTTCAGTACTACTCGTCACGCATAGCGAAGGAACCAGTGAAAATCCGAGGATGATTGGTGGTTGGACGCGCATCTCACTGGTCAACGAAAAATTTTGCAAATGGCGAGCTCGCTAGACGTACATAGCAGTGTACCTCGGGTACTCTATTCAAATGCTCCTGCTGGATCGCAGCGTAACCTCCCTGTTTCTTTGCAGTACCCCTTCGTGTCTGATCATGCCGGCTGTGTGTTCGCAATTATCGCGTGAGCCTGAGTATCTCGGCTTCGGCACCGTGTGCCATCGGCTCCTAGATGTCTCCGTAGCCTTAATGATATACACCCTTCTGTTGGATCGATCCCTCTTGCTCGCAAGGTAGCGAAGCTGGAGGCCTTGACACAGACAGCTCTCTAGTCGGTGCCACTGATGACCCGTCCCAAACGCCGCGTGCTATGCTCCACGTTTGAATATTTATACAACGACCCTTTGATGCATCATACCCCCGAGCTACCGGTCGGCGTCCTCACCTTCCCCGGCCTCGGTTCCATCAATCCAATCTGGCACCAAATCAGTAACCAATCCCGTCAATCCTGATCCATCACGCTGCACATCAACTTACCATACACAGCAACCTCTCCACCGGCTCGCTCGGCTGTGCCCCAACGCCCAACCAGTACTTCGTCCGACTCGTGTCCAACTTCACGTCCTTGTATTTCTTCGGTACATACGGCACATCCTCGCCCTTGCTGTTCGTCATTGTCTCGGGAGTGTGGTTGGACGCCAAAGGTACTTGCGGGAGCGGATTGTAGGTGCCCAGCACCTCCATGGGCTTGCTGTTGCGGGCGGTGCGGGCCTGCGAGACCACGATGTTGTAGATGGGTTGGCGCGTGCGGCCGAAGCGCGCGAGGCGGATGCGCACGACCATCGCGGGCGGCGGCTAGAGGAGGGCGGGATGTGGAGGTGATTGGGGAGGGTCGAAGAGCGTTGTGCGAAGCTGCTCGTGATGCGATACTAGCTGTCGTGTGTGGAAGGTAAGGAAGGGCACGAGGAGAGTTCGACAAAATCGCAGCGGAGAAGAGAGTGCTCCGATTGGCTGGGAATTTGGAGCCAGGTTATTGTGGGGTGATGGTCCGAGACCGTCATCGAGCCGGCACTGAATGCTTCGAGTTTAAGTGTAGAGGATAGAGATATGTTAAATTATCATTACCACCATTCAACTATCTACCTGTGAGGCTATTTACATCATCAGTGCTACGGGTGTTGTTGCCATTAATCATACATCTCTCGCAGTCCCGACATATCGGAACGCAAATCTTCCACCACCGCGAGTGACGTAGCCTCGTCAACATATGCTCAGGTCCCTCGTCCCAAGACGAACCATTCGCACCGCCCTCACCACCCAACGAATTGCCAAAATGACGCTCAAAACTCTCACTGCTGAGTCGGCAGCCAACCTCGACAAAGAGCTCATGTCTCCCGAAATGGGCTTCAGCATCGACCAACTCATGGAACTCGCCGGCCTCTCCGTCGCCCAAGCCATTCACAAAGTCCACCCACCCAGCAAAGGCGCCAACGTGCTCCTCGCCTGCGGGCCCGGCAACAACGGAGGCGACGGCCTCGTCGCCGCCCGCCACCTCTACCACTTCGGCTACAAGCCCTCCGTCTTCTACCCGAAGCCCACCAACCAACCCATCTTCCAAGGTCTACAGAAGCAGCTGAAAGCGCTGCGCATCCCTTTCGTCGACGACTTCACGGCCGCGCTGAAGGAGACGGATCTCGTTGTCGACGCCCTGTTTGGCTTCTCGTTCAAGCCGCCCGTGCGCGAGCCGTTTGACAAGGTGCTGGAGGCGGTGATTGCGGCGAAGAAGGAGGTGTTGAGCGTGGATATTCCGAGTTCGTGGCATGTGGAGGAGGGGCCGCCGAAGGAGGGGGAGTTGGGGGCCAAGTTCATGCCGGAGTATCTGATTAGCTTGACCGCGCCGAAGCCGTGCGTGCAGTGGTTCAAGGGGAAGAGGCATTTTGTGGGCGGCCGGTTCTTGGGCCAGGAGTTCGCAGAGAAGTTTGGCTTGGATGTGCCGGCGTATGAGGGTGTGGAGCAGGTTGCGGAGTTGGAGGTTGGGGCGAAGGTTGAGAAGCTATAGATGAATGGAAGGAGCAGTGTATCAAAAGGATCAAGGCTTCGAGAATGCTGGACAGTGGGCAGACGGGCCACATGACGATATACGGGCGACGAACTGTAAACTTTTGAAATTATTTATTGGCACACAAGCTTCTCGTGCCTTACTATCAGTGACAACGCGAATAGTCGTGCACCAGGCTCAAATGCGATGATCCAGCGTCGCCTGCTCATATGAAATTCTCCAACGCCGGGGTATGTCTTCTGTCAATCATCACCATCTCTTCGTCATCATAGCTTGAGCGTAGAGCGGGCCTGGCTTGAGAGGCTGCTGGCCTGTGACTCGCGCGAGGTTCCAGACTCGACTTCTGCTCTAGCTGTAGCATAGGCATTACTGGTCTCGTATCGGTTCATCGTTTTGATGGGTCTGATCAGGAGGTCTAGCGAGAGCGTGCTCAGGGTAGCGCTTCCTTGATCTTTGCTTTTTGTGCCGCGGTCAGCGATTTAGGGAAGACAACGTTAATCTCCACGACGAAGTCGCCCTTCTCGCCCGGCTTCTTGCTTATTGGCATGCCGAGACCAGGAAACCTTTCTTGATAGCCGGGGGCAGTAGGACCAGCTCCTCTGACGGGCAATTGCCTGCCGTCAATCGTGGTAACAGCCTTCGACCAGCCAGTCAGGGCGTCCTTCAGGTCTACGTCAAGTTTCATGACGAGGTCGTTGTCTCGCCGCTGGAGGGTCGGATGCGGCTTTTCTTTAATGATGAAATGGAGGTCCTGGGTACCGCCTTCCTCGGTTTGGTCCCCGACTCCAGGGAATTTGATCTTTGATCCGGCTTTGAGACCAGGTTTAATGGTCATTTCCAATATCTTGTCTTCAGTGCGGCGTTGGCCAGTTGCGGGATCGAAGATCTTACGCTTGACCTTCATCTTCTTTTGGCAGCCTTTGTATAATTCCTCTAGCGAAATCGGGAGGTCTTTCTCCAAGACGGTGACTTCAGGCGTTTGCGGTCGTGGAGGCCGGAAGTTGCCTGTTCCTCTCCGGTTGCCACCTGATTGTCGAAAGACATTGTTGATGAAATCTTCTTGGTCGAGACCACCGCCGCCGCCGCCACTGGTAAAGGAGCTGAAGATGTCTTCAGGGTCTGAGAATGAGAAGCCCCCGCGTCCACCACCTGTGCTGAAGTGGAAGCTGCGGGCGCCACCACCTGGCATGCCACCGAAGCCTTGAAATCCCCCAGGCATACCGCCTGGGAAGCCTCCTCCAGGCATGCCACCCTCTGCACCTTCTGGTGGTGGTGCACCTCCCCGTAGCAGGAACTCCAGGCCATACTGGTCGTATACCTTTCGTTTCTCGGGATCTGAGAGGACTTCGTAGGCTTGTGACACTTCCTTGAATTTCTCGGATGCGCTAGGGTTGTCTTTGTTCTTGTCAGGGTGCCACTTCAGGGCGGCCTTCCTGTAAGCCTTCTTGATTTCATCTTGAGTAGCCGTCGGCGACACGCCTAAGGCATCGTAGAGTTTCGTTTCGGCGACCATGTTGCACCTGCTGGTGATTGGTCGAGCTTATTCAAATACGATATTCTGAGTTGGAAGGTGAATGACCAACAGTTCAGAAGAAGTGAGCAAAGTAAATGGAATCAGCGAGCCCTGTTCCGGGCACGAGAGTAAACGAGGGAATTCGTGGGCGTAGGTGGAATGCTCGAGCAGGTGCCACCAAGATTCAGGACGGATACAAGTGAAATGTACAGAAGACTGCACGAATGGTCAGGATCTCTGTGCGAGGAGCAAACAAAGCACACACAAATACTGTCTTCCATAACCTGGAATGGAGAGACATGCCACCCGTGACGCAGCTCGTTGTTTAGCCGAAGCGGCCCCAACGCTGATTGGAAGCTTCGAGAATCTTCTATGGGGGTCGTCTAGTTCTGGTTAGCGTGATGGAGGTAATCCAGACGCGCTCGCTTGTCTCGCGTCTTTTTGTCTTGTGTTCAGTCCTCCAATGCGATCTTCGCAACGTACGAGGCATTTCACAGGAAGCCAGTGCAGTATGTCATAGGAAATGGAGCGCCTGCCGTCACTGGAACAGGCACCAGTATGGGTAAGACCAGGAAAACCAGCCTGTCCTCGTACCAGGGAGCAATAAGTTTAGATTGGTGACGAGGTGCGTATTAGTATCTTCAGTGAAAATGGCCAGCTTGACGTCGTCGCCATGCAAGATAGGAGTATGGCTAGGTACATACCTCAGGTGGTTGCTGGCATATCTTGCGTGTTATGACTTCCATGTGCGAGCTTCGCGCACCTTCCCAATTCTCAGCTGAACTGTCCCAGAATCCGGCGTGTTCCTCTTCCCTTCGCCTTACTTAGCCCTTGCAGAATACTAACGCTGTGTCTGGCCGATAATGCATAATGCATTTATCTCCGGTCTTTGCCATCCAGTGATCTTGTACAAGTACCCCTGTGCTTTCCGGTAATTGCTATCGGAGCCTCGCTATCCGATCGATTCCATCAACGGAGGATCTACCAAGCCCGGTCTGATGGCGTCTTCATCGGCTCAACCTCATTTCGAGCACGGTCCAGACTCTACCAGAGTCTCCAACATGACAGGAAGCCATGAGATAGGTGCTCTCGAGAAAACCCTACTTGATATAGATGTCCAACCACAGCCTGAGTCTCCCACCTCCAAGAGTCTCCGCGAAGAGCAGGAGCTCAGGGCCTCCCGAAACGACGACCTCTATAACTCGATTGAATCTGCCAAAATTCTTGCCAGACCCCAAAGCAGTGGCATCGATGTACAGACCAACCCTTTCATGCGGCAGCCGCGTCAGACGCAGCACGCTTCTCCTGCCATTCGATCTCCGCACCTCCCATCGTTCGCTCCCGTACATCTTGCTCGCAATATTGATCGTCCTCACACCGCCGGAAAAGCACAGGCTGGGGATGCCCAATCCCAAAGGTGCACTGTTCGTCGGGCCGATGAGAAGGGCATCGGGCAAACTGCGGTAACAACAATCGTGGCATCCTCCAAGCAAGCACGGCCGACGCTTTCAGCTGCCAACAATGCCTCGTAAGAGCAAACTGCAAGTTCCATCCTTTGCTGCTAATGACTTTCTCCAGGCCCGAAAAGACAGAGCGAAGCAACCCCGACCACTCTCCTGCGCCCAAACTTCCATGGGCCGAGCCTGTTGATGCGGACCTTGAAGTCATATCTATTACTAGCCGTGATTCTTTCATCGACACTGGAGCCCAATCCAACAAAGATGGGGTCGTCAACGATACTGCAAGCCCCACAGATGACCCAGTGAGTGCTGGGGAAGATACTACCGAGTCAATGGCAAAGAAACCCTCTCCCGGTGCAAACAGTAAACTTTCCGTCAATGCTTCAGAATTCCATCATCAAAGCTACGATACCGATGGAAGATGCAGCAGACACAAGATCCAACGTGGCACAACTCACCGTTTGTCATCAAGTCAGCCCTCCAGTGACCGTGCTTCACGGTCTAGCTCAGCATGCCCGGCCTCTTACCGTCAGAAACCCTCTCGTGTTTCCAAAGCTAGTCATGCTGCATCGTCAACGCCGCAGGCATATCGTCAGCCACTGGCGCCAGGTGAATCGCAAGTCTTGTCAGACGAAGACATGTACATGATACAACTGTATCGCTACAAGCAGATGAAAGACAATCTCAGCAAAAGCGACGCAAAGATCAGGACATTGGTGGCTCGCAACAATCGTCTGCAGAAGCAAAGCGAAGCGTTGGACACTCAACTCAAGCGATTCTATGAAGAGAAGACCGAACTAAGCGGTAAAAATGAACTGCTGCAGAACCAGATCATGGACTTCAGGACGAGGTACCACAAGGTCAAGGACATGGCTAAAAGCTTCAGCACTGATCTCGTGCATCTTCGCCAAGGTGCCGATGCCCAAGAAAGCCACTTGCAAGCGCTTCGCCATGATGGCAGAATCAATCAGGAGTCAATTCAGACTATCCGATCTGCTGTATCTACCACAGAGCTGAAATTGAAAGACAATGGCAAGTCGATTGCTGCAGCTCGACGCGAGACCGATAACGCTCTCTTGACCATTCGTTTCATGCAGGAGGGTATTGCAACCAAGGATGCTCAACTCATTGAGGAGCAACGACGTTCGAAACGCCTGGAAGCTCACGTCACAGAAGTGTCAGGCACGCAGCAACGGCTAAACAACACCATTACCAATGACTGTAAGACTCTTGTGCAGTGGATGCATCAGGTACATTCCAGCCTCGATGGCATGCGCACCTGCGTCGCTGATTCGAGTCTGGCGCCTGACATTGCAGAAAGCTTTAAGATTTTGCGCCAATTGTGGGAGCGACCTTCTCAGCAGACGGAAATCTCACCAGAAATTGTGAATGAGATACACGATGCTATAATGGCCCTCCTCAATCTCTCCAAGAAGAATCAAGAAGAGTCCTCTCGGTCACTTGATAACATCCTCGATCAGATCAAAGACCCTGCAGCAAGTCTCACACAACCCATGACGGAAATCCTGGCTGCTGTCCGTGGGCTCGGCATTGACCTGGACAAAGCTCAAGAGACTGAAAGAAGAAATTCCGAGCTAGCAGGAAAATATCAAGCTTTGGACAGGGAGCTCGCACAGCAGAAAGACGAGTCTGCTGAGAGGAACAAGTGCATCCTAGCTGCCGTGTCTGTTTGCCAGGAGTTGGTTCTCAAGGCCAAGCAGAAACCAGCTGCGGATGATCAAGAGGAAAGTCAACTCAGGCTTAAGTATCAGAGTGCGGCATCCAACTTAGCGTCTGCTAAATCTAGCCTTGCGAAGGCAAATGACGAGAAAGACGAGCTGAGCCAGAATGTCCACGATCTGCAGATTGACCTGCAGAGGTCCAGAGCAGACCTCGAGGAATTTCAGAAGCAGGCTGTGAAGCAGCTTGAGGAGCTCAAGACCTCTCACCAAGCAATGATTGACAATGAAACGAGCAAGCTCCAGGCGGAAATCGAAGAACTCCAAACTTCGGTCAGGCAGCAGGAAGCTCAGAGAGATGCTGCCACCACGAAAGCTGACCGTCAGAAGCTTGCTCTCTCACAACAAAAAGACCAGTTGGAACAGTCGAGAATGGAATCCAGCAGACTCCTTGAGGCCAACGCAAAGCTGGAACGCGGACTCACCAATCGCTTGAACGAGGTCGAGAAACTCACAGGGGTGGCGGCCCAACTTGCGGCCACCAAGGACAACTTGGCAGCGGCGTCCAAAGAGCTCGGGCGTCTGAGGTCCCTTGAAGCGACGCAGGCCGATCTTTGCACCGAGAACAACAACCTGAAACGAACCATTGAGGATCAAAGCACGAAGCTTGCGAATCAAGATAGAGATTTGTTGAGTCTCAAAGCTGAAGTCAATCAGTCACCTGGCCTGCAAAGTGCCGTTAATGAGCTAGAACAAGCGAGGGCAGGTCTGGCCAGGCAGCTTGAACACGCAAAGGATCAAGCCAGTGCCACGTCACGGTTGCGTGAACAGCTCAAGTCAAACGAGACGCACATTGCAGCATTGACATCCGAGATTGGAAACATACGTCCCCTCGAAGGACAATTACGGTCGTCACGCGAGGAGAATGAACGTCTTGTTCAAGAGCTTGATCAGGTCAGAAACAAGTTAGCTCAGGCGCAGGATCAGCTCAACGCCGCCAGCGGGTGGGAAGCGCAGATCAAGGCCAAGGACGACTTGGTTGCTCAGCTACGGCAGCAACTGGCGCAAGCCTCAGAAGTCCGGACCAATCTGATGAGCTTGAACGAGGAGTCCCAGCGCAAAGATTCACAGATCGTTGAACTTACTAATGAAATCCAGCGATATAAGATAGAGTCTCAAGGGACTCAGCGACTACAGACCCGACTCCCTGCGGAACTTGTGCGTCCACTGGAAGGATCCCCCGGTGAACTCGACGAATCCGACCTTCCAGCAGACTTGGCCGAGCAACTGATCACCAGCCAGGACCTTCCTGAAGGCTTGGCTCGAAGAGCGAAGACACCTCCACAGGAGCTGCGCTCCCGTAGAGTGGCAGATCGGTCTGCCAAACCTCGCACTCGACAGTCTCATTCTGCCGCAGACAGTCCCGAGATTTTGGAAACCCAGGCTCCGAGCCAAGGCCCGAATGTCATTCCGAATTCTCAGGAATTTGACAACCAGCTGCTGGGTCAGGCCATTGTACCACTTGACGATGATGGCCCCGACTCGCCTCTGACTGATTTGGAGAATATACCTGAGCCCGACTCCGTTTCTGACTCCTGGCTCTATAACGGGACCCATACTCAGACTGTGGACAACAGCCTCAACTCGCGCGATGATGGGCTACCTCCACCGCAGACTCCACTGCGTGCAGACAGGATGCTGATTCGACCCCCATCAAGTGCTATGAGTGAAGACCTCTTCAGGAAACACGAGAATAGTCTTGAAGGTAGTGAATATGAGCCGAGACAGAGGTATTCCGGGCAGACAGTCGCGCCAATTGAGGTGCTCCGGGGTCCGCCTGATTTTGCACAACAGAGTCGGAAACTTGGCAGCCCGCGACGGCTTCGGAACGGCACACAGCTTGGACCAGAGGCGTTCAGTCAACCTGAAGCCATCCAGACCACCCCACCCGTCAATCGAGATCGACCACCGCCAAATTCTGGAGCCAAACGACATGCTGAGGACGACTTGCCAAGTTCACCAGGGCTTAGCACCAAACGCCGCAAGCGTAATCTGGAGAACATCAGAGTCAAAGAGGCAAAGGAACCAACATCATCGCAACCAAAGTCGTCCGTCACGCTGGCCGCGCGCCAGGGTCGGTCTGTGGTCGGCTCCGGTGCTCCAGCTCCTGCCACAACTAGTCGCAGGTCTACGAAAGCTCAACGGAAAGACTCGAGCGAAGAGAGGTTCAAGCGTCGGTTCAATCCCCAAGGATGAATGTCTAGAAAGCAAGGTGTGTTGTCAGAAACGAGCTATTCTATCAAGCGAGCACTGATTAATACATGAGACCATTAGAACATATGTATGAAAGGGACTTCAGCACACTCGTTTGCGACAGAGTGGAACAACTGGTGAAAAGCGGGTAGGCGACAGCTCAAATGTGCGGCAGATATCCACACATAGAGAGTGCATAGTTGACACCTAGTTGTATGTATTGATAGTATGAAAAGCTCGAAAGTTGTCGCCTTCTATTGATATCTGGTTTTAATTTGGATCGTGACCCGTAATATACATATGATACATGCCAGAGGGAGGAAAGCCGCTTCCGCAGTCGCCAAGGCAGAAATTCTCTGTAGTGTTTCACGCATCCAGCCGATGCGCTCGCCATCTGCTGGCGCGAAGTTCTTTCGCTTGTGTTGTCTACTGCCAAAAGAAAAGAGTGCTAGCTGGGATGCGCACAGAAGGCGCGGTCTGTCTGGCGTGGCCGTCGGCTGCTCAATAGGATCCACAGAGAGCAGTATGCATGTCCGGACTTGTCACAGCTGCCATTCGTGCTCGTAGGTGCGTGCTGTGCGAGTCAAGGCGGCGCAGCGCGAGATAATATCGTAGCGCACCTGAGGTCCGTGCTGTTGCGGACCACGGCCCGAGTCGACGATGACAGCTCCAGCAGCAGCAGCAGCAGCAGCAGCAGCTATAATCTCATGCGTGATGAGGACCTCAAGCGCCCTGTCGCCACGCAGCTGCGCTCTCTCCTTTTCTTCCTCAACTCCTTCTCTTTTGGCACAAGCCGCCCTGCCAACCACTGGCATCAATTCGAAAGGTGTACATGAATCTTCATTTCCCTTTGCCTCGCTTCGCCTCCAGAAAGAGAACCTGCTTCTTCACCACGGGGTCGTATTTCATCATGCTCAGTGGCCGGGAGGTTCGGGGGCGGATTAGAGTGCGGTAGTAGCCTGTCATGGCCATGCTGATGAGGCGGACTGCAATGGTGCGAGACTTGGCCTTCTTTGCCATGCTGAGTGTCGATGGCGAGGAAGTTAGGTGGGAGGGTGATGCGATGGACAAGGTTCGTGGGTGTTGATGCGAAGAGCTTCAGATTGACATGAGGTCCGAGGAAAATCGCGCCAAGGAACGAAGGGTGGAGTTGGAGGTTGATGGTAGGGTGGCGGAGAGGGATGAGATGTGCAAGGTTGCGCGGAAAGGGGTATGAGCTAATGCGAACTTCATGTTAGGGAGTGACGAGTACTGCTTCGGCAAGGAGTCGCAATATCCAGGGTGCTGCTACAGAAAGCGGTTCGGGCTGTAGTCTGTGAGTTGTTTGTGATGTTTGCTTTGTGGCTTGGGTCTTGCTTGAATGATGAGGGTTGGATGCTCATAAAAACACCACAGAATTTGTGGCACTGCTGAGACAAATTAGAAGCTGTGGAACAACGCTGCATGGAACGTGATCTGTTGAGTCTGTAGATGACTTGAACAAGCATTTTGATCTTGAGATGACACAAGTGTACACTATCGTCACTACACAGTCAATTCGATCTCATCATTGCCTGTCATCTCAACTAGTATATCAGGTAATACCAACAGTCAACGTACAACCACCAGGCCCCCTTCCTGCCGCCTTCATCCACTAAAAGATCTGAATGGCTTGCTTTGGCAGCCTGCTTGATGGATATTTGTGAACTGTGTTAGCTGGGAAGACATCAGTCAAGGCTCCCTCAGCCAGGAGTCAGCTTCTGAGGTGAAGTGAAGGCGGACAATAAGACGCTAGTAGCACACGTGAAGTGACAGGATGCCTGTGGCTGGCACGCTAAGCCTGTTCGGGGAAGAACGCTTCTGCCTGCTGCGATGATGACTTAGTCTGCTCGCACACGCTCTTCTCTTCTTCTTGAAAACTTACTAACCACCCGTCCGCACACCATCCACACGCAGCATAATAGCATCCAGCAGTAACAGTGAGGAGGCGATCGAGCTGTTGGTACCATAGTCCCGTTTTGATTTGGCCGATCGAGAGCCTGCAAACCTGGCTGAGAATGTACACGCCTATACAGGCGGACAGGTTGGCCGCATCCAATGTTCCGACCAGAACATCACCAACACAACCGTCTCTCTGCTTGACTATACAAAGTCATATGCCAAATATATCGTCACCAACGAGCCCCAGCTCGAATGGGATGCACTGCCAGCTCAGATTAAAGTCACCATCATCCGCTCTCTCTTCGTGAAGGGATACTACGACCCCATTTTGGCCGTGCACCCTCTGTCAGCCTGGTTTCTTCGAGCAAGCTCGTCAGTCTACCGCGAACCACTCCATGTCTTGCTGGGAGACAATATCTTCAAGGTCGACATAGGAATTGAAAGCCTGTTAGGGTATGGCGTGGTGCGGTCGACGCTAGCCCATCGTCGCATCAAATACCGCTTCGACACTATCGGAAAGCCAACAATATGCGCAGGTATGGTCAAGGACGTCGTGCTCGATGTGCCTAGCTCAGTGCCTAAGATTCTCAAGCAAACGGTGCTTTCATTTTGTATAAGTACCTGCCGAAGGAGAACCCTGGTCGCGTCTAAGTTGCAGTGAATATCGACTTGGTTAGCTCGTTGACCGCCCCGCGCAGGCAGCCCTTCTTGAACAATTCACTTCTCGCCCGCAAGCCATACTGTCGGAAGTTGGCGACCACGCCTCCGTCAAAACATCTGGCACACACTATCGTTGCATCCTTTTCACGCATTCGAAGAGACAGCAACGATGCCCCTATTCTTGCCTATTACTACGGTACACTTGTGAGCTCAAAGTCTTACTATCATTCGAAGCAGACGGAACACGATCCATCACAATGTCCCCTTTCCAGCCAAACCTCGCACTTGTGCGTCGAGATGCTGCGATTGCACAAGCAGCGTGCGTGCAAATTTCCAATCTCGTCTCTCGACTACCCAAAGACCAAGCGAAAGCCATCGCCGCAGCGCTTGAGGCTGCCAGACGCAACATCAAGAACGACCTCGAATCCCATGCCACGCCACTTCTTGACTGGGACATCTTGCCAGGCGAGATCAAAAATACCATCTACAAGCTCCTCGTTGTCGGAGATGAAGTCATTGAGGCCAGAGTGTTTCACTCACAGACGCCAGAGAAGCGGTCGTTCAAGAAGTACAACCTCGAAGGTCAGGTTCTCCGCCTCAACAAGTCCATCTACATCGAGTGCTTGCCCCTCATGCTTGCTGAGAACGTCTTTGAGATCAGCCCTGCACTGCTCAAATATGCTGGCTACGGCCTTGACAAGTCTGTCGATGAGCTTGCGGATGGTGTTGGTACTGCACCACCAGAACGTGCGGCGATGATCCGGCGTGGTCTTATTGCACTCCCGCAATCTCTCACGGCATCTCATATCCTGACCCTCCGCCGCTTGCGTGGTCTCCAAGATCTTTTCATCGTCGACACTCCGAACAAAGTGCCCGAGCCTAAGAGCGAGGCCCACAAGGATTGGGCGACTAAATGCGCGATGGTTCTAGCCCGCACTCGCAACCCGGCACTCGAAGATTACATGCGCGACAAACCTTCCGTCAACTACTTCTTCGTTGGCTTCCAAGAATTTCTTGGCTCGAATGATGACCCAGTAAGTGTAGCCGTAGCATGCCTTGTGTATCGCCTACTGATACGCGATAGATGGACATGCACACGGTAAAGGCCTACAAGTGGAAGATGGAGCTCGTCGGTGATGGCAATGGCCTCTCGTGGTTTTGCTTGACGTTCGTGAAGAGACGCGAGTTCCGCCGTATCGGTCGCATCCGTAGGAAGGATGTTGTCCTGGAGATCTGATCTGATCAGGAGTCAAGTTCCTGATATTGGAAAGTACTGATGGAAGTACTAGATGTCAAGAGAGGAGAAGAGAACACACCAAGACCTAGCTCAGAGCTCTCAACAACACAACGATGCGAAAGGCGTTCACAAGACGCGACAACCCATAAGAAATGAGAAAAGATGCGACGGCCTGCGGACCGGCATCCCTGACTACCCTGCTTGCTCGACTTTCGCTCAATGTGCAGGCTCGAAAGTCTGTAGAGCACTGTTTCTTCAGCAAACCTCCTGATATGGATGGAAGTCAAAAGCTTTCCTAGCTAATCCAAGGCAGAGATTTGTCTCGATTCCCAACATCGAACGCATGTCCTCCAAGGGTAACCTACAGCCGGTGCTGTGCTTGAACCAAAACCAGGTATGATTGCGGTTGACCGGTGTCGGGGAAAGCCCGTCTTGACCCCCTCCAGCAGCTTCACTGACGCATAGATCCCAATGTCGCATGCAAGTTCTCAACACTTGAATCGCATTTCGAAACGGTGTGCGGTTTCTGCGCCTCCCGTGGCAGTCCACAACCCTGCGCAGCAGCATCGACAGTCCCACCTACCTATGCAACTGCGCTGGAATTGCAGCCAAGCCTCGAGTCCGCCTCGTCCACCCGCCCATTCACCCATGGCCACTCACTGACTCAAGTATCCTCGTGCCGCAGTGCCCTTCTGATGGAAAGTAAATGACATAAGGAGATCAAGCAGCGACCAAGCCACTTTGGAGCTGAGGGTGGATATATTGCGATACGCGTATAAGCGGTACGATGATAGGTGCAGAACACCCTGGCCTCCTACTGAAACGGCAGATCGCACGTCCTGGCCAAAACTCTAGGTACTGCTATACGCGGAAAGCAGTTTTGCGGGCACAGCAGCGACTTTCTGGCAACGACAGGCAACAGCATATCGCCATACATCCGAGACGGTATAAAGCGTGGACCTGTCTGTCTGTGTCCATGTCACGAGCAAGGGACACAATCTTCTTCTATGCACGCAACACACAACACCTGTCACAGTCCGGTAGTTACAGTACCACCACCGAGCGAGACAAATTCCCACCATGAGCGACAATGACACCATCGACTACGAGCTCTGGCACTACACGCCCTCCCTCGCCGGCGGCATCATCGCCAGCATCGCCTTCGCCCTCCTGACCATCGCGCACACCTGGCGCCTCGCCCGCACGCGCCTCTGGTTCTGCATCCCCTTCGTCATCGGCGGCCTCTGTACGTCTCAATCCTCTCTTCATATTATACCTCCCAGCCCCCTACACACCCATGAGCCCCAAGGCTGACATGTTGATATACCGCAGTCGAAACGATAGGCTACGCCGCCCGCGCCACCGCCCACGCCTCCACCGCCTCCTTAGCCCCCTACATAATCCAATCGGTCCTCATCCTCCTCGCGCCCATCCTCTTCGCCGCCTCCATCTACATGATCCTCGCACGCCTGATCCGCGCCTGCAGTGGTGGCGGTCACGGTGACGGTGGCGGGGGCGGCGAAGCATACTCCCTCGTGCGCGTCACCTGGCTCACCAAGATCTTCGTGGGCGGCGACGTCTTCTGCTTCCTCGTGCAAGGGGCGGGGGCCTCGATGCTGGCCCGGGCGGAGAATCAAGCTGCTTACGACCGGGGCGAGAAGATTGTGTTGGGGGGGTTGGTGTTGCAGATTGTGGTTTTTGGGGTTTTTGTCGTCGTGGCGGGCGTGTGGCATTGGCGGATGAAGAAGGGGAAAAACGGAGTGGTGGTGGTAGCAGCAGGGGACGATGGGGGGAAATGGGCGTGGCAGCGCTTCATGTGGGTGTTGTATGGCGTGAGTGGCCTTGTTGCCGTGAGGAATGTGGCGAGGTGTGTCGAGTACGGGACTGGACGGGTAAGTCTTGCCTTTTCGATCTGTCAGAGGGGTTTGGGGATCGAGGGAACTGACTGGTGTAACAGAACTCGTTTCTCATCTCGCATGAGTGGTGTTTGTATGTGTATGACTTTATGCTGATGTTTGCGGCTCTGGCTGCGTCTCTGTATTGGTATGCGTTGCCGATGGGTCAGCAACGGAACCAGCTTCCGGGGGGGAGAGATGCAGAGATGACACCGTACTAAACAAACCTATGAAAGCTGGAGCTGCGACTCCGAGGGGGAGGTCCCGCTAAGCGGCGGAGGCGGCGATCGGATTGGGGGGCAAGATATATAGACGGGCATGGTAAAGGCAAGCGAATTATGCTGCCACGGTATCGCATAAGCTGATGGCTCGAGATGATGCAGCGAATATGTTGCGAGGAACAAGCCTGCAGAACGGGAGGTAGACAGAGAGGTAGACGGAGAGATATTGAGCTTCACCCGGGTCGTTTGCGATGCAAGGAGTAAGCACTGACATAGAAAGGTGTATTATCAACAACCAACCAGATTGTGTAGGCAGAGGAGATCGGCATTATATTTGTCTGAGTGTTCCAGCTACTCAGCCTGTTCTTCCCGTAGGATGCACCACAAAACTGCGCAGATTCATCCGTTCACTATCTTTCACGCCAAGCTTTCACTGCCTCTTGGCGTACATATGCCGCATATATTGACTACTGAGTACTTACTGGGTAGCCAGAGGGCTATGTTAGGGTAAATTACGTTCCGCAGTAGCTCAGACTCAGGACCAAGGGTAAGACTCCTCACAGCGACTCTAAACCTACTTCACAGCAATAGCCTCCAGCACCTTCCTCGCGGCCCCCTCCGGATCACTCGCATTCGGACAATGCCCTGCATCCAAGCTCAACACATCAACCCGCTTATCCGGCCGCACGCTCTTCAAAAACTCGATCTTTCCCTTCTGCCAGTCCGGCGGCAGTACGGCGTCCTGCTCACACAGGATCCACGAGGCCTGAATGTGGCGGAACGCATCGTGGACCACCTTGTCGGTGAAGCTGCGGGTCGACTGCGGGCTGAATTTGCGGATCGTCTCGACGCCTTTGTCGGGCGGGAGGTCGGAGAGGACGCGCGAGGCGCCAGCGTCGGTGTTGTAGATGAACTGGTCGCTCTGGGCGAGACAAGTCAGTACACCTGTGAAAACTGGAACGGAGGGGGTCGGATCGTACCCCTTCGAGCGGCAGCAGCCAGTCAAAGTTCAGCTGGGCGCAGGCATCACTGCTGCTCTCACCGGGTCCGGCGACGACGCAGGTCAGGTACACAATGCGGACGACACCGCCCGGGAGGCCGGCCTTTGCTCGCTCGTCTTTGGCGAGTGTGTGGCAGGCTTCGCCGGCGACGAGTCCACCGTAGCTATGAGGTACAAGGATGACGTCTTTGCCAGCATCGGCTAGTTCTCTGATCTTGGAGCCGATGAAGGCTGCATCGTCGGCGAGACTCGCTGGTTCCTCGGGCGGGAGGCGGTTGCCCGATGGGAGACCATAGACAACGGTGTCGATGCCGGAGATGGCTTGGAGGTTGGAGACGAGCGCAAAGTAGAGGGGTGCGGGCGAGCATGAGCCCGGGATGATGAGGATGGTGATGTTGGAGGGAAGGCTGAGGGAATCCATTGTACCTGTTGAGCGGTAATCGGACTTCGTGGTCTACGGAGTGGGAGCATCGATGTACATAGAGTATAGCAGGGTCTTTATCGGACTATCCCTAGAATTATGCTGTCTGGTATTAGTGAGCAGATCTCAACAGGCGGTGCCTGTTCATGAAGATCGACACTATGCACTTCAGTGCTTGACATCAGATGATGCCTGAGTGATATGTGAAAACTAAGCAGTCAGCGAGAGTGGCTTCAACGTTTCGGGCAGCGACTGACATTGCCCGAGGCTTGGCATTGTCAGAAACGTTCGAAGTCTTCAGAACAACAGTGTCAGGCCCGCACAGTCATGTATTCACATGTTCCAGGTCAGTCGTGCACCAACGTTGCTCGGTACCGGTGTCGAGGTCATTTGTCAGCCCGAGATATGCCGGTGCCGAGGGGAGATGCAGCGAAGAGTGCTAGCCACGCACGTACAATGAAGCGAAAAAGCATGACTTCAATCGCTCAATAGAACAAGAATCCCCATTTCTTGGAGAAGTCCCGACCAATGATCCAAGCCGAAGGATCCCAACAGGCTCCTCCAGGTTTAATGTCGAAGCTGTGCATGTTGAACAGATCGCAGAGGAACTCCTCTTCGTTGAAGATCCTATTCAGGCTGATCATATTGTCGCGCATCTTTGGAAAAGGGAATCTATCGATCCAAGTCTGGTGCAGCGTCGTCAGCTGTAGCGCCGACGGATGCAGTGATGCCGGTATGTCGGGGGCACACGGCGCCGACTTGGCTGGCACAACGCAGCCGCATGTGAGTCCAAGCATGGCACCGGTATTGTATAGTGCGGCAAAGACAGTCAATGGGACTTCGGTGATAACACGGTCGTCCCGAGCTGGAGTTGGGAGAAGAATGAACGCGGTGTTATTGGTAGGGAATTTCTCCGGGCTAGGACATGTTGACTGCGGGTTGACCGCAGTGCTGCTCTCCGAGAAGCCCATGGGGTCGCTGGAGTCTGTCTGCTCAGATGAGCCTGAAGGACTGCTTGGCTCCGTCTGTTGAAGCCTCCGATGAGCTAGCCGTCTCCCTGCAGAGAGAATGGTCAGTCATTGTCAGACGCCATGACTGGCCGACCTACGTCTGGCTCTCTGTGCTAACCGATCCTGTATTTGCTTGCGCTTCTTTGGATCTGTAACGCCATGCCACGTGCTATCCTCGATAAAGGCCGCGACCATCCTGGCTGGTGGACGAGCAACAGCAACAGGAGAACGGAACAAGTGCAGGACATGGAATGGCGGGGTATTTAATCAATGTCAGAATGAGGGTTGTTCCTTCCCCACAATGTCAGAAAGTAGTCGACCCGCACCTTCCGAGGTCTGTTTTGGACATGGTAGCCAATCAGAGCGCACCGTTTCACTTCTTTGCCCATTCGCCTTGTTTGCACGCTTTTCTCCCGGAAAATGTCGACTTCACCTGTGCTTCGCAGCCTCGCGGGCTTCGAGACGCAGTAGACTTCGCTCTGGCCTTCTTCCAGCATGGGTGCCCCGCGAAGCATCTCCCAACCCCATGGGGCTACAGAGGAGGGCCAGACCCCATGCTCGGCTCCGAGCCAACGACCACTACTTATAGGCCTCATATGATCTTGGAAAGAGAGCCAACAACGACATCTTTTGCCACGTCCTGTTGGCCACAGCTACAATGCCAAAGCTAACGCGCGAACTCGTCTCGATATGCTGGGTGCTGGGCGTGGGTGGCTACACCTACGGCTACTGCTTTGCCTGCTTCGTTACCATCCTTGGCCAGCCTGGATTCTACATCTCCATGGGACTTGATCGTACGTAGGAACCACCGAACCATGGACAACAATGCTGATCAATATTCCAGCTACCAGTACCTATACAGCCAAGTACGGCATCTCCCACCACTGAAGCCGACGTACTGATGCTCGAGCAGTGTCATCGGAGCAGCCAATGCTCTTTTCACTTTCGGCGCCGCGTGTGGAGCTATCGCCCAGGGATTCGTGGCCGACTGGCTTGGAAGAAAGAAAGGCATGGCCATAGCTGCCGTGCTCGCTACCGTCGGGGGTGCCCTTGCTGCTGGAAGCGTCAACATCGCTATGATCATCACCGTGAGAATCATTCAAGGCGTGGGTGCCGGCATGGTTATCTGTCTGGTACCTCTATATCTCGCCGAGACAGCGCCCCCCAAGCGCCGTGGCTTTCTGTCTGGCCTCACGGTGCTGGCTTTTGGATTTGGCTACGAAGCGTATGTGACTGGCCATTCGTCTTCATGTTTGGTTTGTTGACGCTACCTAGGTGTGCCTTCATTTCCGTTGGGTCGTATTTCGCCACAGACCACGTGCTGCAGTGGAGACTGCCCCTGGCATTGGCTTGCACGTCGCCTTTATTGCTGATTTGCCTTCTGCCGCTCATTCCAGGTAAGAGATGCACAACATTCATACCAATATCTTTTCGTAGATCGCTTACATGAGGCAGAATCGCCTCGCTATCTTATCTGGAAAGGTCATGCCGAGGTCGCCAATGACGTTCTCCGCAGGCTGCACAGAGATCCAGACGACCCCAGTGACTCTATGGCGATTGCCGAGTTCGTACAGATCTCGCAACAGGTTGAGCATGACAAAGAGATGCGAGCCGCTTACTATGATATCTTCAAGAAGCCATCCTGGAGGAAGCGCGCGTTGCTGGTCATGTTTTTGCTGTGAGTCGTGCTGCGGAACGTTTCCTGACATCTGCTGAGGTTCCCAGGTTCGCTTCACAGTCCACCGGAGTGCGTCGTCTCATCATTGGCCGAGCATCCTGACTAACGTGAATGAAGATTCTCGCAATTGCGAACTTTCTGGTCCTCATACTGGGAGGACTGGGCTTCACTGGCGTGCTGCCCATCCTCATGTTTGGTGTGCATCCCTGGCCCAGCCAGGAATCCGCTAACATCGTCAGGAATCTGGTCTCTAGTCGGCTCGGTTGGAGTTCTCATTAGCATAGTCATCGTCGATCGCGTGGGTCGCCGTGTCCTCCTCCGTAAGTCTTCTCAGCCCCAGCTCCGCAGCACCTCCCTGACTGCAACCTAGTCTCCGGCTACGGCGCACTCGCCTGCATCCTCCTCGCCGAGGCCGTTCTGGAGTGGAAGTACTTAGGCACCGACGACCAGGCCGGATTATCCGCGTGCCTCCTCTTCCTCTTCTTCTACATCCTAGCCTATCAGGCCGTCGACGCCCCAAGCTTCATCTGGGCTACAGAGGTCTGGCCCACGACTCTCCGCGCCAAGGGCGTCAGTCTCATGTTCTTTGCGTACTTTGTGGGCGCTATTACATACACTACACCTGGCGCGCTGATGATCAAGAACATCGGGTGGCATATCTATCTGCTCTACATGTCGCTCTGCATCGTGTCCGGCACGATCGTGTATTTTTTCATCCCCGAGACAAAAGGCCTGCCAATGGAAGAACTGGCCGCGCTGTTTGGCGACCAAGTCATGGTCAGATTGACGGCTGACGCCCATGAGGTCCTTAAGAACGATGTCGTGGAGGTCGAACATGTCGAAATGCAGGCGCCAGCAAGCAGGGGTTCTGGCAAGGCAGATATTGGGGCTTCCAGGCGTGCGGAGGGCGTTGCGTAGGCCAGTCGGTCGCCGCAGGCACTGACATGCTTGCATGGGGGTCATTGCGGCTGACAATTGACACCTCTCGAGTCGAGAAGTTATGCTTGTCCCCATGTAAAATGTCTGGAAGAGGCAATTGAGATCGCTTGGCTGCCGCTCAAGATGGCAAGCCTAATCCTTGCCCGGGATGGGGGGTCCAATCGAAGGCCCAAGCAAGAAACCCCCATGCTCCCACCAGTCCACTCGTACATCAACACTTAGAAACCAGATGGCATAAACCTCTTTCAAGGTATGTTTATATGACTGGAAGATGAGTTGGTCAACATCGGTACACAATTGCGCCGTGACCCCTGGCGGGCCGCTAAGCTCGATCCCCACCGGGCTCGCTCCCCAGAGACGAGTAAACGAGTAAACGAGAATTAGAGACCAGAAACGGGTGTATGCACCGCAAAAGTAGTGCCACGCGGTCACCTTGGTCTATCAGGCCAACTACAATTGTCCGGACGATTATTTCGGCCGAATCCTGCAGAGCAGGCAGCATCCAATGACGGTAACGCTTTTATTTGAGAAGGCACAAAAATGATGACTTATAATTCGACTTCAACATCCATCTTTCCAACCATTTCCTTTCACTAATTGCCAACACGACAGAACACAAGCATGGCCGTCTTCACCGCTCTAGGCGCTCTGGGCAGCGACTCCCTTTCCCTCTCTCACACCCTCCTCCTCCTCACCTACGCCTCCCTCGCCTACCTCGCCCTCTCCTGGTTCATCACCTCCATCTACAACCTCTATTTCCACCCGCTCCGCCACTTCCCCGGTCCCAAACTCTGGCTCCTATTTCCCATCACGCGCCAGATCGACTCGGTCCTGGGCCGCCGGGAGCACAAAACCCTCGCCTACCATGAGACCTACGGCCCCGTGGTGCGCGCCTCGCCCGACATGCTGACCTTCACGTCCGCGGACGCCTGGCGCGACATATACGGCCCTCGCGGCGCGGCAGAGCTGCCGAAGTTCTTTGGCAGGGCGGGGCCGAGCACCAGTATCATTGACGCGCGAGATCCGCAGACGCATGGCCGCTTTCGCAGGGCGATGCTGCCGGCTTTCAGTGATAAGGCGCTGGCGGAGCAGGACATGTTGATCGGGACATATGTGGACTTGTTGACGGACCGGTTGCGCGAGGTGGCGGCGCAGGGCGAGGCGACGGATATGGTGAGATGGTTCAACTTTACCACTTTTGACCTCATTGGAGACCTGGCGTTCGGAGAGACGCTGGGTGGGTTAGAGAACGAAGCTTCCAACGCGTGGCTTGACCGTATCCAGACGTCGATCAAGCTGCTTCCCATCATCATGCTGATGACCCAGTACGTGCCAGGCCTAGGGCTTGTCCTGGGCCGCCTGTTCCGGCGCGCGCAACAGAGCCATGTGCAGATGGTGAAAGCGATGGTGGCTCGGCGCATCGAGAAGGCCGAGTACGGACACCGCGGCGACTTCATGGATCAGATCATGAGGAACCAAGGCAAGGAATCTGGACTGACGCACGCGGAGCTGGCGGGGAATGCGGATATCATGATGATCGCCGGCAGCGAGACGACCTCGACGCTGTTGAGCGGCGTCACCTATATGCTGTTGACACACCCTGAGAAGATGGAACGCTGCAAGGCCGAGGTCCGCGGTGCGTTTGAGCGCAAGGAGGACTTCAGCTTCGCGGCCGTGTCATCGAAACTGCCTTATACGCTGGCATGCCTGAACGAGACCATGAGGATCTACCCCTCCGTCCCAATCGTCATGTTTCGGCAGACACAACCGGGCCACACGACGCCAATCGCAGGAGAGATGGTCCCTCCGGGCGTAAGTCACACTCCTCCAACCACAAAACAAAAGAATCCCTCCAGGCTAACCACCCCGCCCACAGACCAAAGTCGGCGTCCCCCAACTCGCCGCCTTCCACTCGACCCTCAACTGGCACCGCCCCACCGACTTCCTCCCCGAACGCTGGCTCCCCGCCGCCACCACCGACCCAACCTCCGACTTCTTCCACGACCAGCGCGACGTCCACAAGCCCTTCAGCTACGGCCCGCGCGACTGCATCGGCCGGAACCTGGCGTACCACGAGATGCGGCTCATCTTCGCGAGACTGCTGTGGGAGTTTGATCTGGCGCTGCGGGAAGAGTCCAGGGCGTGGAGCGAGCAGAAGATCAGGGTGTTTTGGGATAAGAAGCCGTTGATGGTGGATGTGAGGAGGAGAGCGTTTTGAAGCGTCTAGGCCCGGTTTAAAATAACCCTTGTCGAATTGTATGCCCTTTCTCAGCCAGCCCACTGTCATTTGCGCTCTGTATCGTTTCCAAAAGACAAGTAAAGTTACCTCCGTTCGAGAAGTCGTCGCATCTCCCGCCGCGGTTTCATTCAGACAAGGACATTTTCGTCACACGGTTTTCGGTCATCTCTCACCACTGCTAGCCCAAAGTATCCCACATCATTCATTCCCATATCACGCCGTTGCTGCCGCCGTCGCTGCCGCCGCCGCCGCCTCATGAATTCTCACATTAACATGCACGGGCGCATCGGTCAGCGCGCACCAATACCTCTCCCGCCCCGTCTCCAAATTATGCGGCACCAGATCCGCCAACTGATCGAACCTTTGCAGCAGCCTGACCGTCGTGTACCCGGCGGTCGTCAGCGCGGCCTGCTGGCCCAAACAGATGCGCGGCCCGCCGTTGAAGGGCAAAAACTCCCAGCCGGCTTTGCGGCCCACCCACCTCTCCGGGTTGAAGTCGTGGGCGTCGGCACCCCACAGGTCGGTGCGTCGCTGCATGGCGTGCACGCTGTAGCCGACCTCGGTGCCTTTGGGGATGAAGATCGGGGAGGAGAAGTCCGGACCGCCGCCCAGGGGGAGGGTGGTGTCTTTGACGGCGCGGCGGCTGTTGATCGGGACGGCGGGGTGGAGGCGGAGGGATTCGTTGAGGACGTGTTGTAGGTAGGTGCAAGCTTTGAGGGTGGTGAAGTCGAGGGTGTGCGGGTTGGTGTAGGTGCCGAAGTCGGAGAGGATGGATTTGCGGAGCTTGCTGAGGACGGTCGGGTGGCGCGCGAGTTGGTAGAAGGTGAAGCTGAGGAGGTTGGCGGTGGTGTCGCGGCCGGCGAGGAGGACGTTGAGGAGTTGGTCGCGCAGTTCGGTGGGGTCTTGCGTCGACTTGGCGAGTTCGTGCAGGAACACGTAGGGCTGCTTCTGTTCGCCTCTCTCGGGATCCTTCTCGCTGGCGGGTTGCAGAGCCAGTCGGACGAAATGGTCGGCGAAACGGTGGACTTCGGCGCATTGGTCGCGGAGAGCCTTGGTGTCGTGCAGCCAGTACATGGAGTTCAGCCGGAACCGTTTGGTCACCTCTTCAGTTGCTCCATCGAAGGCAGGGCCAAAGTTCTGCCACTGCAGGTCTTCGGCGGAAAGCGCCGAGGCGTCTTGATGTGATGTCAAGGCCGACAGTTGTGAATTGACGGACTGTCCGAACAGCGTCTCCGTGCTGCTGTCGAGGGTGAGGCGGAAGAACAAGGGTACAAGATTGACATTGCCAGTCCAGCCCGAGGCCTCGAGGTTGGCATTGATGGCACGCATCAAGTTCTGTACGTGGACTTCCAGTACTTCGACGTTGGCCAGCTGGTCTCGCGCAAATGAAGGACGGATCAGCGCTCGGGATCGCTCCCATCGTTCTCCATCATCACTGAAAATACCATGGGCAAACATTGGAGCCAAACTCCCTTTGCGCTGTGGGCCGAGAGAGAAATCTTTGAACTGGGTCGCGAGAATAGCCTTGATGTTCGCCGGCTCGACCGTCATAAAATTCATCCTTCCGAGAAGGTGTTGCTCCCAGGTGTGGGCTGGCGCCATTTTGTCGGTCAATCGTTCGAAATGAATGGGGACTTCATCCACAGCATCGGCTGTCATCAACTCTCTGATAAGGTCAATTCCGAAGGGTAGACGATGCGCTCTTCGTGGCGCGGGTTTGCATCCGGCTTCTCGAGCTAGGCGCTGATGACGAAGATGTGTCAACAGGCGCTTCGTGAGCAAGCCTAGAACGAGTAGGCCGACAAGGGCCAAATATGAATACATGTTGACTGGATAATGGAACCAAACACTTTCCAACGACGAGAGATACTGTAGGGGAGGTCGACACCCGCAGCCAGACTGGCCTGCGAGGCAGCTATATAGGAGCAATTGGTGACGGTTCAATTATTCCACCATTTCGGTGGAGGGGTCCGGGGAACTCAGCTCTAGTGGATCGTATGTCGACCTACAACGCACTAATACCTCCGACATGGTTGGCTGCAGGGATATGCAGGCCAATGTCCATGGGCTCGTTACGTTTCAGTTGGCCTCGCTGCTGCACATGTGGTCCTCGGGGCCGTAGTCACCGTTTACCGCTGCCGTATCGAACCCAGGCACAATACGAAATACGATGGAGCGTATTGAACTCCAGTCGGGCGGCCGGCGGCTTGACATTCGTCCGCAATTGTCGCTGTCGCGGGGTAGCAGCCGGAACAGTTCGATCCGACCACGTGAGCGCCTTCTGGATACATCCCTCCCAGCAGGTCCATGGCCGAGCTTTCATCGGCGATCGATGGTGGGATGTTTGCACTTCCGCTCTATCACTGCTCCTTCGTTTGGTAACAACCTCTCAAGCCATTTCCAGTCTTGAGCCAGCAAGAGTAAGGAAGGCAGAAAGCTCTTGACGATTTCCCTGATGCTGTCCGTGTCTTGAAGGCCTCGTTGTGCAGCTAGTCTGCAGATGACCCGGTGGAAAAACGAATCCGCGACTTTAGCGGGGGACTCGGCTGTTCTGTTAACCCATACAGCACCCATCCAGCTAAAGAAGATGAAAGCATTCTCATGACGCGATGTGAAAGCCACGGGCAGACTTCTCGAGAGCTCGAAAAGGTGACTGAAGTACCTGTGTAACATCTCGAAGATGATCGTGCCTCGCGGCCAGAATGACTGACCAGCGATTCTTAAATCGGCAAGATTCGTCACTTGCCATAGCAAGAGTCCGAGCGTGAGGCAGGCACGGACGAGCCACTGTGCTTGCGTTTCCAGGTCCAACTTGAGAGCAAATGTCGGTGCGTCGATTACCTGCTGAAGTTCGAGAAGATAATTGGTGGCCCACAGCTGCATGGCGGCATTGGCGACTGTTACGTAGCTCCAGATCTCGTCCGGCTCAACGTATATCTCGGGATCTTTTGTTGCCGACCAGAGAAAGAAGCACTGGTGAGTGCCAAGGTAGGCTTGCTGTAGAGGGGTGTCGGCAAGTGACGGGTCCAGACATGTAGACATCTTTTCACGAAACGTCTGGAATTGCTGTAGAACAATAGGCCGAAACGCACTCTGACACGACCCAAGCCACCCCTCGAGGTCAAATATCGACGGCGTAAATGTCAGTTGCGCACGTACCAGGTCGTAGACCAACGCTTGGCAGAGGACATCCGAGTTGAGGGAAGCAAATCCATATCGATCAGTCTGTCGTTTCATGAGCCTCTGCAGCATTTCTCCATGGAAAGTGGCTTCCGCAAAGCTGTTGTCGTTGACGGCAGCAATGAACAACGCTTGTGCCATTGCAACCACACTGTCCTCAGAAGTAACAGGCGGACCTGACTGGGCTGCAGTGATTGTGTATTGGTCGGGGTCGAGGGTCTTTAGCTTTGGATCAAGCATTTCGATAGTCGCCAAAGGCGTGCTCGTGGCCTTGTGTACTTCGGCCAGACTAGTTCTGAGCTTCGACATGGTCTTGAGCTTCATCTCAATACTTTGTTTTTCGAGGTCGGGACTCTTCGTGAGCGTGGCAAGCGCAGATGCGTATGGTAGCAGGATCGTGATGGCCATTGCATCATCGTCTAAAGATTCAGTTGGGTGGAGCATCCATTCGGTACAGAACGCACTCCTGATGCTCTCAGGAAATGGATCAGGCAGCTGGATATGGGATGCTGGGACCCAAACACGGCTCACGAAGTCAAGAAGCTGGTTCAGCTGCGGTGAGATTTGGATGGCCCGGCAGTTGAAGGGATCCGAGCCGCCGTGCCATGCTGGGGGGATAGACAACGGACGACGCGACTGAGGTCTCCGTGGCTCATTTTTGGTTGGTGTTGAAGCTGGAGGCCGTTTTTGCCGGTCGAGCTGTCGCTGATGAGCTATACGGGCTGCATGAGCCCTAACCCGCGCTTTGATCAGTTCCTTCTCCCGCGTGTTCGCCGTGCGTTGCTCATTCCAGGAGATGAACATGTTAGCATCGCTGATTAATATGCCTTGACTGACGCCTGGACGATCCTCCCGCTGAGAGAGTCGCCGAGCAGCACCGCGTCATCAGAAAGGATACATCAGATGATGACTGAGTCGGCTCGTCTATACAGAAGTCGTCTTTGCCCATCGAGTTGGTGTGAGGGGAGTTGAAGGTTGGCTTCGGAGCGGATCAAAACCGCGCCGGTCTTGGCGTAATACATTAAGAATCACTCGCTGTTCTGGGCACATTGGATATCAAGTGCTGAGCGATTCCATAGTCAATGGACCCCCGAGAGAGCATGTGCTACCCAGGCCGCGCCCATTGCCCCTCGAAAAATGACGGGTAAGATTAAAATTGCGTGAAGAGAACCCGGAATGATGTCCGGATGAGGTCAATCGTTAGCTAGGCATCGTCCACAGCTGACCGGCTGGCGGCCGCGACGAACAGATTCAACGACGAGTTGCCGGGGCTGTTCATCGCTCGCACTAGCCGTTTCCTCAACGCCTGGTCGAAGCGCGCCTTCTCTTCGAGTACCCAGCCATCCGTGGCACTCTTTTGCTCCTGTTGTGTCCAGCTTGAGACCTCATCTACGTTCCAATCCCCAAGTACACCCTCCCACGACCAATCAGTCAGCTCCAAGTTCTGGCCCTGAGGTCCCATCCGTGCACGCAACTCTGCCAAGCTGTCGTTCCGGATGGGCAAGGCCGTCCGGCCCACAATCCGCGGCTGTATCGAGTCCGCAGACTCGGTAATCTTTTGGCGCCAGGTGAGACCCCAGCTCGTACATACTAAGCTCCCTCCGTCTTTGAGTGTTCTTCTGAGCGCATCTAACATCTCAGTTGTCTTCGCCTCGTCAGTAACCACATGTAAAAAGACGTGGCTGAACCCCTGCCCAACTTGAGGCCCTGTCTCGCCTTCACTCAACAATCGTGTCTCAACTGTTTCCCAACCCGTCTGCGACAATTGACGGTCACTGATTGTTTCCCACAGTGCATCGACCTCGGCTTGATCCCAAGACGTCACGACGATCTTGCGCGGCCATTGATCGCGGGACTGCTTAGCGCAGAGGGCGTGGAGGAACGGGACAGTCAGGCTACTGAACGGGAGGTAGACGGATGAAGACGATGTGAGTGGCGATAGCCATTTCGAAAGAATGATGTATTCTGCCAGCATGTGCAACGGTGAGTGCTCGTAAGAGGATTTCGATTCAAGCACCTGCTGCTTGATCCAACGTTCCTCGTTATTGGACGCAGTTTGCCTACTGTCTGCAGGGCAGAAGATGGCATTTGTAGTCATTGACAGCAATAGCTCGGCTCCCGATACTGATGAGAGAAGGCACTGCAGCGTACCGCATCATGAAGCGACTGGAAAAGTTCCGATTCTTCCAAAGTCATGCTTAGATGATTCGCTTGGCTTCTGTGCACTCTCAGCGCTACGAAGTCTAAACCCTGCACCGGTAAAGAAACCCTGCCTAGACATTTATGAGACCCATATATCTGACACCAGGGCGTCCTGATTGTTCCTCTCGAGACCAGTACCATGTAGGTAATTCAGCTGAATGCCATGCTGACATCAGCACGATAAAGCTAGCGCTGCAGAAGGCTACAGCTCCCGACGCGGTGAGCCTCAATCACGTGGTCCTCTAGCAATTTTGTAAACGTTGTGCAGTGAGTGGTAGGTCCTGCTGCCTGTCTGACTCTAGGTGTATCTGCATCACTCAGCGGGCCCTGCCTCAAGAAAGTGCTCATGATCACTTGCTAGTGCAGGTGTTGACGCGAGTTGACTTATGATTGTACAAGCAAACACTGTGACATGGATTTAAGTGTGATATGCATTTGTTCAAACAGCATCATAGTATGCAACTTGGTTTCCATTGTGTTTGATCATGCAGCACGTATACACATATTATGCCCCAAACATGTTTCCAAAAGAGAATTGTCCCTTTTCAGCACGGGACGAGAAGTTTTGGTCTGATGTGTTGGACCAGTAGCGAAGTCGGCGAACATACAGCACGAGGCCTGCTCAGACTACAGCGATCCCATATACTGGACAAGCGCGTACTACCACACTTTCCCCCAGACACGCCGTTCGGTGGGACGACAATGCAATGTCCGACCCGGCACCACGGACAGACCGCCACACTATCGACATCCCGCACATATCGACAACACGAACACGTCGCCGCAAGGCCAAAGTCATTACTCAATCACCACAGATCCGACCTCCGCGGCCTTTTTACACAGACCTACAATACGACCATATGGTTTACGCAACGAAATACGACCTTGACAGTCGTCACTGTCTCGATTCATGCCTTTTCGTATCCAAGATCAACCCTGATCCGGGACACGATGCTTTGTTCTCTAGATCATTGTCTGGTGACAGAGTCTGTCCAATCACCATGAGAGCTGGTGACAAGAATCATTCATTGTGACGGCAAGTGAATCGCAGCAGGGAATTGATAGCCGCTGATACGCTGGATACATTCAGTGACAAGCCTCATCTTGCGGAACAGCCTGATCACCTGCCGTGGTGACAGTCGCGGCATGAAATTGACGGCTACTGATACGCTGGATACATTCAGTGACATGTCTGATCTTGAAGTGCAACCTATTCACCTGCCCTGGTGACATGCAGCCGTCAACTATAAGATATAACTTATAGATACTCTTCTTCTTGAGTCTCACCAATCGGTTTGATCCTAGCAACGACACCCAGCATAGCATAATCAAACGCCTCATCGATTCCAGTCGAAACCAAGAGTCAACATGCTGTCCCAAGCGTCATCCTCCGTCGGACTCTCACAACCACTCTCGAGCTCGCCGCAACCTCTAAGTCCTCTATCCAATCAACCGAGATCGCCAACCCTACTGTCGATCCCTGCGGAGATTCGAACCCGAATCTACCAATACGTCTTCGACGGTCAGCGATATGAGGTCAACCGTGTTCAACCAACCGACACGTCTCTACGCGGTCCAGTCACGGCCATCCTTCAAGCCTGCTCCCTGACCTACAGAGAGGCACTATCTCTGCTAGCGCCACGAGTCACAGTGGTAGCCCGTACCTGGACTGGTATCGCGTCACTGACCCACTTCAAGTCGGCCCTCATTCCCAAGGACCATGTTCGCCGCCTTGAAGTCGACTGTGGAGGTTCTGCATCGGCAGAGATCGCCGCACTCACTCGGCAGTTGCCAAGCCTCGAGTCTCTCAAGATCCTGCGTGGAACCTCCTTGGTTCGAACGCATCTCCAATACCTCTGGCTTGCGGGCGGCATCCACCCTTTGGCGCCTGAAACTAGTCGCAACAGGCTGGCGTTAGCAATTCTGGGGTCTGTCCGACCTTATGAATCATACGTCGTTGATATCCTACGTGCGCTCGACCATATCGATAGGGAGGTCGACTTCACAATCGAGTGCAGGGTGCGCGTCCGCTCCTGGTGGGGCAACTACCCCGAAGTGGAGGCCGGAGTGGTGAGGCTGTGGCCCAGTGAAGGGCATTTGGAGTGGCATGTGTTGCATAGGATGATGTACATGGACTACGAGGAAGAAACCGACGATCCCGATCAGGAGTCCACGTACACAACGCCTCAGTGGTGCTGAGCATGAGTCGGGTGCTCTTCGGGTCGGGGTTTCGAGGTGGTAGGAGGTGGTACATGGGGACAAAGGCTTGCGCGGGTCAATGGAACGGAATATTATCCTTTATGAGTTGCACATGCGTCTCTTATAATCAGAAAAGAAATACAGAGGTCCCTTATTGAGTATCAATGACCTTTGTTGAGGTCAAGTATCCGCCAAGACTTTCACTGCCTGACATTACTAAAGAATTCCTCACCCCGAACCATGCCACGTATAGCGCAATGTTTCCGCTTACACGAGAGCTATTTCCCACGGGTCAGAGCCGATACACCAATCATCATCCACAAGCTTCTGGCCGTGATTGGTCATTGTAACCGAAAAACCCCCTGCTGTCATCCGCGAACGAGCTCTTGGCAGTTGGCCGAAGACTGCCACCGGACTAGTAAACGAGCAAACGTTGGATTGTGTGAGACGGGCTACGCAAAGGTACATGTCATTGAGGCCATAGGACTGGTGGACTCGTTCAAGCTGGTTTGGGCCTTACTGCTAGAGCGAATGGGCAGTGTTACTGGCTATACCAACATGGATGGTCCCCTGAAGGAAGCCATCGGCTGAGATTGAAATATGCCTTTATCTTCCTGTTGTTTTCGTCGTTGTATTGTTGTGCAACGACACGATGTGTGTTGAAATGTGTAGTCAGAGCCTCGCTGCTGTCTTATCCCCAGGACTCCTCGATCTCCCTCTCGAAATACGCCACCAGATCTACATGCACCTCTTCGAATCTGCGGTACTCCTAGTCCAAGATCGTCAACATGACTTCTCCCAGACACCATCGTTCGAGGTTTTTTCAAGCTGTCTCGCAGACAAGTCCTCTTGGCCCACCGCGATTCTCACTACATGCGGCTTGCTGCGGGAAGAGGCAAGGCAGTATCTGTATAGGGAGGCTGAGATTGTCTTTCTGAGTAGGAGACTGATGCTGAAGTCCCTCGACAATGGTCATCTGTTTGGTCTACAGCCGTCTCAGTGTCGACAGCTGGCTCTGTGCTGTGACTTTGCTATCGATCGACAGCCTAGTGCACGGTCGGTTGTATCAGAGTTGTTGGGCGGGTTTCCAGCGTGCAAGAGGCTGGTGCTGTGGCCGTATGACAGAAAGTCGTTTGTCAGATTCGATTGTCAGGAATGGAACGCTGGATTGATGTCAGAGACAGAGACGAGAGAAAGAGTGTTCGAGATACTAGCGAAGAGCTGGTTGGGCATGCCATGGATGAAGACACTCTTACAGTATGACCATCTCAGAAGTCCGAGTGCTATGGGAGGAGTGAATGTCTTGTGTCGGACTGCCATCATTGCAACAAGCAGTGACATCGAAAAGATGGATATAGGCGTAAGTCTGTCCAGAAACAGGCTGTGGCCGTGATCTGAGAGTGGTTGAGTGTGCTCTAACTGGTGCTGGCTGACACGACTCTAGTATCTGGAGTTCAGTCTGCAACGCCAGGTCTTAACTTGGGTCCATAACGGCCGCCTGACTTCAAAGGAAAACAGGGATCTAGATCTACAGACTTCGAACGACTCGTACGACTTCGAGGTCCAAGCAGCAAGAGATTGACTACCCTCCATATCACGTTGTGTCCGGCTTCAAGATCGTTAATGTACAGTCTACGTACGCTTTTCTCGATGCGCATACGATGCCAAGAACGGGAACGACTACTCGAGCCGGGACTGATGCCATGTCTCTGCATGAGAACGACGCAGCAAACGAATGAGCTATTCCAGCTTCCCAAAATGGCAAGTTGTCGTGTGCCTCTGTGCAGGCTCAGGATGTCGTGACGTGTAAGGGCGCTAAAGGTCCGCATACCCCTACGAAACTTGAATTGTTTCATGAATGGTCTGGACTATTGGCTGCGCCTCGTTCTCTTCACTGCTGCTCTGAATCACTTTCAGATTTCGACAAAACAGTGCGAAGGTATGACTGCAGCGATGAGATATTCAGGAATCGTGGATCTCTCTGTCTCTGCTCGACTTTGATGACAGTCTTCGACAGACTTTGCCGTGAGTGCGTGCGATTCGCGTCGTTTTGCTCCATGATTCGCGAGCGCCGATCTTGGAGCCTCGGATGTCGCCTCGCAGGTTCAAGAAAAAGCTACGCCTTCGTCAAGCATGCCGCGCGGCCTTGTCAACGCGTGTAGCATTTGCTTGAAGGCAAGTAGAAGCGGGCACCCGACCTTGGCAGGGGGCGGAAAGCCTTGGCGAGAAGAGCCAAGCATCTTCCCGGGGGCTTGGAGGCCATAGAATGCCGCTCGCTTGATATCTGGTGCGGCTCCTTTCTATCTTGGTATTGCTAGACACAACATGGACGCTGATGGGAAGGGCACTTCCGCGGCATTTCCAAGAGACTATCGTCAGTACTGAGCCGGCTATCCAAGGGAAATATGGCATTGGCAGGCCTGTTGGCGCGTTTGGCGCCCTGCGCTTCTACATGCACCGGGCGGCATATGGATGTTTTGGTGGTCCTGTGTGTCGGCTTGAGATTGAGGTGACGACTACCTGCCTCACGCGGCTTGGTCTCAGGAGTGGTAGGTGGTGATCCCCTAGTCTACAAGATGTACTCTACAGACAGCCCTCGCCAGCGTTCCTACTCTACTTCCTTTGTCTTTCTTTATTTTGCATTCTTGTTTTGACACTTCACACCACTGTTTGGCTGCTGGAACAGCTACCCGTTTACTTCGAACCTCTCCCTTACCGACCCAATTACCCGTGGGAAAGCTGAGCTGTACTCCCACACCACCATGCATTCATTCGCTATCCTCCTCGCTTGCCTAGTGACCGGCTCACTTGCAGCTCCTGCTGGCGTCCGCCTCGTCCGACGTGTGGAACTTGCGACCGACACAGTCCTCGATCTTACCACTCCACCGGTCGCCATTCGTGATGCAACCAGGTCTAAGCGCGGCCTGCTCGCGGCTGCCCTACCTGCAGCTATCGCTCAGGCCAAGGCCTCTCCCGTTGCCGCAGCAAATGCTTCTGCTGGAGCAAGCGCCTGTGCTGCCGCTCCCGCTGCGGCTGGCCAGGCTGCTGCGGGAGGGGAGGCCGCAGCTGCGGAGGAGGAGGAAGTCCTTCTGGATGCAGCCTTTGGTGAACAGGTTGCTCTTGAGGGCGGTGACATCAAGCAAGACGTGCTATACCCTCCTTCTGTAAGTATACTTCCAACAGGAGAAAGTGTGATACAGTACTGACATCTGCTAAAGCCGGCTGGGGCATTCGAAGTCGAGTTCCAGAATAGTGCTGGCAGCACTCTCACCGTGGTAGAGAACAAGACGCCAGCTGCTCCTCCAGCTGGGTTTGTTGCGGTTGAGCCCTCGTCCTTCAATGTGCAGCTGGCGGGTGGTGCTGCCGGTGGCATCACCCTTCAAAAGATTGATTATTTCTTTGACGTGACCAGTAAGTTCCTTTCTTCCTGTGGCGAGTACGAATGGGACTGATGTGGCCCAGACCCTGCTATTGCAGCTCTAGACCTTGCCACGACCCAGGTCGGCAAGCTCTCTGCCGACGGATGCTCTTTCGCCATCGAGCAGGGTGAACTCGAATTTGAAGCCGACGAGAACGAGCTCACTCTCACTGTCGACGACCTTAACGGCGAATGGGGTATCTTTATTCCTGCTGCAGGCCAAGCTGGTGCGGCCGCAGCGGGCGGAGCAGAGGCCAACATCGCTGCAGAGGCTTCAGCAGCTGGAGTCGAAGAAGAGCTGGAGGTCGAGGGAACTTTTGACACTCCTATCGCTGTGGACGGAGGCAACGCTAAGACCGACATCGTTTTTCCAGGCAACGTAAGTGGCACACATTCAGTTGCCAAGGCCTCCACACTGACGCATAATAGGTTGCAGGCGAGTTCGAAGCCGAATACAATGGCACTGCCGCAAACGCCATCACTGTGACACAAAATAGCTCCCCTGTCCCTCCACCAGCAGGCTTTCTGTTCGTGGACCCGACGACATTTGTAGTCTCAACTCAAGATGCAACCGATCCGGCCACCGACACCGTCAAAATTGATTACTTCTACAGCGAGGCCGTCAAGGCCAGAATCGACGTTGCACAAGGTGTCATCGGCAAGCTGGATGCTGCAAGCGGTACTTTCGTGACTGAAGGCCTCGGCGAGTTTGAGGTTGAGCTTGAGGAGAATGAGTGGACCCTGACTGTGGAGGATCTGAACGGAGAATGGGCGATGCTAGTGCCGCAAACCGCAGTCCTTGCGTGATTCAGTTGGCATCTAGCTGCGGTGGTATCTTGAAAGCCTGGATACCGATAGCCTTAAGCCATTCTTGAGTCGGGTTTCGATCGAGGCGTAGCGTGCAGTTTAACGCGTCTATGGATTGCTCGGAAAAGCCGGAAGGCAAGTATCGAGTCGCTTTAAGACCTTGTGACCGAATATACCAATGTTCGTGTATTATACGGCGTTCCCTAAATCTACTTTTCCCAGCCTGGACCTAGCATTCCATCTTCCGGATCAATGTAAGGACTGTGAACCGCCCGCATAAGAACCTATTCGGGCGGTGGAGGTAATTAGGGGCGTCTCGGGTTGTGCAGGATCCTGCATCTCTGGACCTTTATGAAAGCAGGTTTCAAGATTCACGTCTCTGGGCCCTAATCTTGTTCGAATCATTTTCGACGTTGGGACACTGCTGGCTCTCATACTGGCCACCACTCTGGGTCTCGCTCATTCGTGACTTCTTATCGTCATACTCATGCTTGTTCTCAAGATCACGGTCTGTGCTGCCGAGATAAGGGTGGTAGATAATGCCCCAGACACCAAGCAGGTAGTTCTCTTTCCTCGCAGACACTGCGTTTGTGTTTCGACTTTGAAATTTATGCACGTTTTCTTTTGGCCAGTTGTGACGTAGAAGATGAATGGTCGAGCGTTCGAAGCATGGCATTCAGCGTACAGCCTGATTATGTATGGATAGAGGGTTCTGGTCATATCATACAAGTATATGCCTCAACGGTCTTAACCAAGAGATGCCGTGGTGTCGTCTCCTCGAATAGCTCAGCATGGTTGAGTGTTGGCAGATACACAACTTCTAGCTGCTCAGCTCCAGTCCACTCTTTGCTCTTCCAACCCTCTTGAGATCTTCGCTGAGGGGTCTGACGGTACCACTTGACCTTCTGATCGCTCCTGCTCAAGTACGTTCCCAAGGTGTTGACATCTGTGATGATGTCCTGCCCTGAGAGAAATACCGTGACTCTCGTGTCTTTTGTCCGGCCAGCCTGATTGAAGTGTAGGTCCAGATCCTCACGCCAGAGGCTACTCTCCAGCCAGCGGAAGTTCCTCGTCAACGTCCTTGCAACATCCGAGTCCATGCTCGCAAAGTACCACAATTGCCATTCACTGGCCGTGGTCGGTTGTCGTCGCAGAAAATTCCACGCCACATCTGGTGGATGGAAGCTGAACGCAACGGGATCAACGAGAATCATGGGACCGATCCTGGCCTTCGCTTCGGCATGTCTAAACATATGAGCTGCCAGGGCAGATCCATATGAATGTGTAACAAGCACGCAATTCTCCCAGTTGTGGTACTGCAATATGCTGAGCACTTCCTCTGCAATCTGTTCTGATGGTGGCAACGGCGCGGTAATGCGGTTGCATACTGGAAGTACCTCCAACGCAATCATTCCCACACCCTGCTGCCGTGGACTCAGCATCAGATCCTTGAGGAAGGGGAGGTAGAAATGCAAGCCGACTCCAATGCCATGTACAAATAGCATGGGTAAGTGACCGTTCTCTCGCGCTTTCTTAGTATGCTCACGATACCAGTAGCTGAACGCCCCTGAGGGACTCTTCTTGCCGAGCACAGAGAGCGGCCTCAACGGAAAGCTCCTCACGGATTCCGCACTTCTCGCGTACAAGCTAAAGCCACGCCACCACATTCCCACAAATGCAATCGTGTCCACGATGCCAATAATGCCATACCACATCAACGGCCGCCGCACTAGCCGCACAGGCTCCTCCCTTACCACCAGGCCTTCATTCCCTGTCGCCCCCTCGGGAAATTCGTGCCCCAGCACCTCCTCTGTGTACTGCACATACTCCTCCAACTCCCCCTCATCAACCATCAACCCCTCAGTCTCCTTACCTCCATGAAGCGAATATCGGCCCCAAAGCCGCCACCTCAACCACCGCTTCACATCCTCGCGTCCCAAACTCTCCACCGGCGCCCCGTAGAAATACATCTGCACATAGCGCCGCGGCTCCGGTGTCGCATCCCACGACCGCACCAGCATCTCACGCCGCTGCGCGCGCGTCTTCAGCGGCGCATAAGGAGCTGCAGGGCGGTTGATCCACCATTTCCGTGGCAGGTGCACGAGGAGGAAGAACAACGCCTCGGCGAGCATGTACGCGTCGAGCATGAAGAGGAATGGGGCGCCATAGCCGCTGGGCGTCACGAGCAGGCGCACGACGATATAGATGACGCTGATGGGGGCGATGGCGCAGAGGGCGAAGATGCTTAGGCGGATCAGGAAGCGGTTGGTGCGCGAGTCTTTGAGCATGGTCGGCTGTCAATCAGAAGAGTAGGTTGAATAGCACGGAGGCCTCATCCAAGAGGGCGCCGAGGTTCTATTCGCGAAGATTGCCGGCAGCCTGGAGTGAATGACGTTGGGATAGCCTTAGAAGGCGTCCGCTGGGCTTGGCGTGCGAGGTCCTTGAAGTTGCAGGATCCGTTTGAGTTGGAGAAGTTCAAATGCCGTGTTTCGGGTTCACGCTGCTGGAGGAGCCCTATTAGAGATCTTCATTTGACGATTCCTCCTTCGCTACTGATTTGATGCTTGTTGGTTCGCCTGGTACCGGGCCAATCTCTGTGGTTGAAGAATGCACAAAAGGATTGAGGATCTTCAATGCTTCCCATTTCCATTCCGAAAGTAGTGTAATCTTTTGTATGCAAATGCACGATGGCTATGGTATACATGATATTCTGTAACACGCTGAGCGATGTGCAGCCATCTTGTCCTCCCCGCGCCATGACCTTGACCGGCACTTGGCACATTTTGTACTGTCCACGATGGATCTGGACACGCGCCTCCTGGTGCGATCGCACAGTCAACTCTTGTCCTCCAAGACCACGGTTCAACGTCAACCGGTCCAGTTTAATCCACCGATACCTTACCTCCCAGACCCTCAAGCGTGGTCTTGATCTTCTCGGCGTCCTCCTTAGTGATACCTTCCTTGAGCATCTTGGGCGCACTCTCAACAAACTTCTTCGAATCCACCAACGAAAGTCCCAGCATGCCCTTAATTTCCTTGATAATCTTAGGTTTTGAGGCTGCCTCAAATGACTCGAGCTTGATGGTGAAGAGCGTCTTCTCAGCGGCAGCCGGCGCAGCGGGCTCGTCTTCTTCTGCCGCAGCAGCGGGGGCGGCTACGCCACCGGCGGCGGTTGGGGGAGCGAACGAGATGTCGGGGATATTGAGACGGCACTGTAGGTTTAGTCAGTGCCAGGTTCAAAAGCAAGGGCACTTCGAAAGGAGCAGAGGGGGCCAGGAGATGCAGCCAGGGGAGATAGCAGTATAGTGCGCCGCCCGAAAATCTGTGACGTGCACCAGCAGTTCTGGGAAGGTCTGCTAGACATGTTCCACTCCCAAAGCCCCCAGTAGTCCCTGTTTGTGCATACCTTCAGGCTTTGAACCAGGTCTGCGGTCTCGAGCAACGTCAACGTGCTAATCTGGTCCACTATGCCAGAAATCTTGGGATTGACTGCTGCAGCTGCAGCGTCTGTACTCTGCCATCTTCGCTGCTGCCGCCTGGATGACTGTGTTGATGAAACGGAGTTGACGCGGAGGCACTGCGAGGATAGGGATCGGTTTTGAGATTTGCTCGAAAACTGCGCGCAGCTTCTGCGGAAAGCAATGGTCGGAGCAGAGGACGCCATTGTGTCGTATATGGCGACAGACGATAGCGATCGCGAAGTTACGTGGTATTAGACAGGCGCTCGTGACGCTGGACAAAAAAAGTCTCGCGAGATTCTCGAGCTTCAATGTCGATGCAGCCCGTCATCCCAAACAGGAAAGACGTCGGCTGCGCGAGGCTAACAGCTGGGGGTTCAGCCTCGTTATGGCTTGGCAATCACATCATGAATGCCAAGACCACTGAATTGACCTCCTTTGCTCGCGTGAGCACTGTACCAGCAAGAACCCTCTTCCTTGCCCTCTCCAACTCCGAGTATGCTTCCCTGGACGCTTAAAGCCCGGCCACCATCAGGTCGAAACTACGAAGATACCCTAAACGAACACTAACATCCGCTCAAAATTGACCGCTTGGCTGCCCACCATGTCAGATGCTAAAGATCCTGTTCACCGCATTCATGCTCCTGGCAGTGTCCAAGCTCTCGCGTTGGATAACGACATTCTGTTTGCTGGGCTACAAGGGGGGATCGTTGCCGCCTATTCCCTTGATACCTTTGAGCTGGTGTCCTCCGTTCAGGCCCACGAAGAAAGCGTCCTCGGTCTTCATCTGTGTTCGCGGCACGACCTTCTATTCAGTACCGGCGCCGACTCTATAGTCAATGTCTGGTCTACACAGTCATTGCAGCCGCTCTACTCCCTCCATTCCCACTTCGAGGTTGGGGACATCTTCTGTATCAGCTACTCTTATCGTACACGGGTTGCATTCTTTGGCGCGCAGAATGGGAGCATTGGGTGGTATCAGCTCCATGACCAACGTAACGGCGACCATCACAATGCCCATTTCAGCCCTGGTACCCGGAAACACCGCTTCTTTGACTCACTTGGCCCAGGAGGGTCACAAGATCCACTCCAGCTAAGAGGTCCTAACGGAGCTCTCAACGCTGGTGGCCACAGAGCTACAATATCGAGTGATCACTATCATGCTTACGGACACAAAAGCTATGTGTACAGCATGCTCCTTGTCAAGGGCCTGTTCCAGCACGACGATGAGGAAGAAGTTCTCATCACTGGTGGGGGTGGCGGCACCATCAAGCTATGGAAGATTGAAGACTTAAACAATGGAGGACTCCTCGAGCTCTTCAAGTTCAAGAATAAAGACTCTAGTGTACTGAGTCTCAGCTATTCAGGGACATTTTTATACGCCGGAATGTCGAACGGTTTCGCTCACATCTACAACCTCTCCAGCTGTCAACTGGTTCAGAAGCTGAATGTAGGCTACGGACACGTCAGTCAAATCCAGATCAGCTGTGGATCTATCGTCTGTGGAACGAGTGCGGGATGGCTCAAGCAGTACAACAGCCAGTTTGCTGAGACTGCATGTTGGAAAGCTCACGACGGTAAAATTCTCGCTTCTGACCACGAGCATATGCCGACTCGCAAGATATTCGCAACTGGAGGAAACGACAACACTATTGCGCTCTGGGATACCAAGGACCCAGCCTCGAAGTCTGTCGCTCAAGCTGCGCAGAGTGACGACGATCTGCTGAGAACCCTGCGTAAGTTCGTCACATATCGTACGGTGTCTAGCAGCCAACGGTATGCCAGAGAATGCCATGAGGCAGTCAACTTTCTCCGGAAGCTTTGCAGCGCGTTTGGAGCCACAACGACCCTCCTGTCGCCAGGCGAAGGCGTGAGCCCAATTCTCCTTGCTAAGTTTACGGCTTCTGTGGACAGCAACGACAGCAAGAATGTTTTGTTCTATGGCCACTATGACGTTGTCGATGCAGAGGTACCGGCACCAGGCTCAACGAGCACCTGGAATGGAGATCCATTCAACATTGAGCCTTTGAATGGCTTCTTCTACGGCCGTGGTGTCTCTGACAATAAGGGACCTATTCTTGCGGCTGTCTATGCTGCGGCAGACCTGGCTCAGCGGGGGCTCCTGTCATGTAACGTGTCTTTTCTCCTTGAAGGAGATGAAGAGGCTGGGTCCCGTGGATTCCGCCCGACTGTACAGCAGCATCACGAAGCGATTGGGCCCGTCGACCACATATTACTCTCGAATAGCTATTGGCTCGACGATCACATTCCTTGTCTAACCTTCGGGATGCGTGGTGTTGTCCATGCGACAATACAAATCGCCTCCGATCGACCAGATCTACATTCCGGCATGGATGGAAAGTCTGTGCAGCACGAACCGTTGAAAGACTTGACGGTGCTGCTTGGAAGTCTTCTTGGTGGTGACGGAACTGAGATCACCATTCCAGGCTTTGACAACGCAATAGACAAGCTTACTGATACAGAAGCAAACGTCTACAAAAGAGTTGCCTCTTCGTTGTTGGAAGGACATCCTGAGATCAAAAGCCAGCAAGAATTTGCACAGTCTCTGATGCAACGGTGGAGATATCCCAACTTGACAATCCATCAGATATCGGTTCCTGAGGCCAAGACTGCCGTGACGATCTCCAGAGTGGCTCTGGCGACGCTGTCGATCCGCATTGTCCCTTCTCAAACTGCTGAGGATGTCGCACAGGGCCTAACCCGCCATCTGGAAGACCGTTTCGCAAAGCTCGGTGGGACTAATAAGCTGTCAATCGGTATCACCTCCAAGGCCGACCCATGGCTCGGCAACCCTCATTCACCTTTATTCCAGGCTTTGCGCTCCGCGATTGTCGACGTCTGGTCTCCTGCTACTGAAGCGGGCGGGCGATCGTTCCCAAACTCTGGCACGGCCACGCCTACAGCGAGTGATACCTCAACAGCCCGACCACCTCATCGCCGAGCTTCCGTCCTCGCCAGTCATGGTACGTTCACCACGTCCAACACACCGCATGAACCACTCTTCATTCGGGAAGGTGGGTCCATTCCCGCGATCAGCTTTCTGGAACGCGAATTCGGTGCCGATGCAGCCATGTTCCCAATGGGCCAAGCTAGTGACAATGCGCATCTGGACAACGAACGCATACGAGTCGAGAACCTCTACAAAGGGCGAGAGGTTCTCAAGAAGGTCTTTGCCATGCTCTGAGAAACATCTATACGATCATTGCCAAGACTTTCACCCTCATGTGGATGGCCCACTCAGGAGCATTAATGATACAGTGAAGATCGAGAATAAAGCAGTGGTAAACAGTCTTTGAAGGTGTGTCATAAAACCATGCAAGACAACGAAGGCTCTAGAAACTGGGTGACATTATCGGAGCAGTCTCCTGTTTCCATCAGCCTCGCCAGTGACCTTTAGGCAGGCACCCCGCCAAGACCGAGACTTATTACTGCAGATCGATCCTACAATCTGGAGTTGTCGTGACCACGTTTTCATCCCTTCTGACTTCCGTTTTCGAAAGAAAGCCTTCGTCGTCAACACATCGTCAGTAAGATCTCCATCCCGTTACAAGAAGCATGAGACACTGACCACCATCTAGAAATAGGTTTTCCCTTACGCAACATCTTTCCCTGTCATCCACCGCACTTCTTCGTCAGCATGGACTTGTTCTCCGCAATGATGGGCGAAGATCTTCTCATTTCCGGCGACTTCAGCGACTTCACCCTCCACTGCGGAGGCACATCGTTCAAGGTTCACCGGTCATCCCTTGCGCCCGTCTCGCCCTTCTTCAAGGGCCTTGTTGGAACCATGTTCAAGGAGGGTGCAGAGAAAGAGGCTATCGTAAAGGAGACAACTCCAATTGCTCTCGCTATGATGCTTCGTTTCATTTACACCGGGCGCTATGAGGATGCTCGGGATTTTCGAAACATCGGCAACATCTTTCCAGGCCTCGGACCCTATAGAAGTCCAGGAGATTGGAAATTGGACAAACCAAAATCTGAGTCACCAGAGGATAGCCCTGATCACAAACAGTTGAATGCTCAAAATCTCAAACGTAAGCATGAGTCGAAACTTCAAGAGCAAAGAAATTCAGTCCGACTCTACGAGCTGGCTTGCCGCTTCATGATGCCACGACTGGCTGAAAAAGTCGCCGCTAGTCTTGTCAAAGACTTCACGTCCGCTACCACCCGACCTGTGGAAAACCACCCATTTGACTTGAACTCTGCCGACGCTGCCACGCTACTGACTGACATCTACGACATCGAAGGCCTCCACAGAACCCCCGGTATCCAACGACTCCACACAATGGTCATGGCGAAGTGCATTCATTACAGATGGGCTGTGTGGGGAGAAAGCGACAACGAGACCGGGATCATGAAGACCATCCTAGGACACGACGAAATGCATCGCGACTGGGAGATGGGCGTCGAAGTTTGCCAAGCTGCTCCGTCAGATCAAATCCGAAATTTGAGTAAGAGTGGCTTGGGTTTCTTGACGTTGCCGTTGGAATGACCTTGATTTAAGCACACCCAGTGGGGATGATCGCATAAGAGACCGAAGTTTTGGGTAGTGTGTCGATCAAGCGAATTTCTGGACACATTGGATGATCGCATTGGAGCACCCAATGAACCAGGACAGTACATGAGAGCACGGCGGCACAATCGTGGCGATGGAACCTTGATGTGGCACACTGCTACGCATCATGTAAAGCATCAGGTTAGCCGTGACTTGGACGCAACATGCGGCAGAGGTAGACACGACAAGTCAGATACCTCCCCACGAGGCAAAGATCTCCACGGCTTCACCGTCTTGGACAACGACAATAACATGCATAGCATGAACACCAGTGGCACAGCCGCGATCGTCGATCATCTAGTTTTCGGTTCGTAGGCGCAGTTGCGGGCCTCGTTGTTGCGAGCTCAATGATGAGCAAGAGAGGCAAAAAAAGGTCTCTAGCCATCGCTTTGATGGCTAATGACATTGACACATCATTCATTACCTGGCAGGATAGATTAACCTGCTCAGACCCCCATCGTAAAATCATGCTCGATCCCGGGCGTCACGCTGGCCATGAACTTCAAGAACACTACCAAGTACTGATCCACCCTGATTGCCACGCGCGCCTCGTCCTCCTCCTCCTCGCCCTGCTCCAGCACCTCCCACTCATCGCCACCACCGCCCGCGGCCTTCACGCCCGCCTCGTGGCCTTTGCGCGACCCGTCTTTCAGGCCTAGACGTGACGTATCGTCTATGAGGCCCTCCATTCCCATAGTCGCGCCACTTGCTCCCTGTAGATCTCCTTGCTTCGCCTTCTGCAGCCGGAGCTTGAGTGCCGCGTCGGCGCGGTCGAGGAGGATCTTCATCACGGAGGCGTGTTTACAGGGGTGGATGGACGCCATCTTGACCGAGTTGTCGAAGAAGGGGAAGTCCTCTAATGTGACGGTCTTGTCTTTGTAGTCGCCAACGATGTCCTCCATCATGGCCTGTGGTGGCAAGGGTTCGGAGGGCGAAAGATACCCTGATAGCCAGAAGCGTGGCGTGCGGTAGTATGGAGTATACGTGATGTAGAGCGTATATGTACGTAGTGGTCTGTGAAGTGTCAGTATATCTGCTAGTAGGGTGGAAGCTGGTATGGACATACGCTGCGCCGCCTTGAGTCTTGTCGCGGATGATTGCCTCGTTATCGTCATCGTCGTCTTCCATGTCTGGAATATCGTCGTCTTCCTCTTCGGCTTTCTTGCCAATGGTCCCGCTCTCGGTCATTGTCCGCACCTGACCGCGAAGTTGTTCTTGCTCCTTCTCGCTTGCACCACCGGTCCGAAGCCAGCCTTCGTCATCGCCCTCCTCATCTGGACCGCCCAAGAAACCGTCACGTACGAGGTCGTCGGCGGCGCCGCCTCCGGACGCGAAGTTGTCGTCGAGGCGTCTATGGCACGGTACGCCTCTCGTGATCAGGAACTGCTTGCCTTCGGGAAGGTAGTTGACGCGGCGGGCGGGGGAGGCAGCATCGGACCATGACCATGACGGGAATTTATATACTATGTAGTCTCCAGCGAGAAGAAACTCTTCTGGTGTGATTTGGCCGGTGTTGCGGAATGTGGAAGTGTGTGATACAGGGGCGTAGCGGTCGCGCACCTTGTCGAGGGCCGAGTGTAGGAGGTTCATGGCGGGGGTGGGGCAGGCGCCGGACGGTACTGTGGTGGGTTTCTGAGGGTGAATGGAGATAGAGAGGATAGATGCCTTTGATATAGATAGCAAGGGAAGACTGTCGGATGGGTATGGTAACAAGAAGTGACTTGAAGAGTACGTGATCACTGGACTCGAGCGTAGGCTTCGAAGGCCGCCTGACGTTGATAGATATGACTCGTACATGATTGCCAATCGTGGACCTCATGACTCGAATAACGGAGATCTGTTCCGGTCGCCCCACCTCCGCTTCATCTTCCGAACAGCTCCTATCAGCGTCAGGCAGATCTGAGATACTATGGACTTTTGCAAGCTATTGTGGCTTCAGCGCTCGAGGCTCATTTCCGTACTTCCATTTCGGAATCTGCGCCCAAATGATGTGGCTAGCTCGAAGCAGCTCCGGCTTTGTGGCGTTCCAAAAGCTGGAGCTGCACGTCATGACATGACGTGGGAGTCTATTCCGGAATTTGACTCCTAGCTCCAGGTACCGACGGATTGACATTGGTGCTTGTGACACAGCTCGGAACTACAAAACAGTCTTTCGTGCTTCTTCATTGCCACGACCTGCTAACTTTAACCACTCTCTTCAAAATGTCCGCCATCAGAACCGTTCCTCGTGTAGCTCGCCCAGCCCTACGATGTCAAGCTCGGCGAGGGTTCGCGCAGTCGGCGCGTCGTGCGCAAAACGCGAAGCCTGAGACGCCAGCTGGAGCCGGTGGCGCGTCAGGCGCAGTGACAGGAGGTCTAGTAGGCGGCGCTGTTGCTGTCGTGATCGGGGTAAGCTCTCCAGCTGTTGGCGCAAGTTCTGGTTAATTGATTGACGCGTACTGACGGCGGTGACCATAGTATACATGGTACTCGCTCTCTGGCGCTAAGTCAGCCGTCGGCACAGTCTCGCAGACCAAGAAATATCTTGACGACACTCTGAAGAAGACGACTGAGAAAGCGCCTAATCCTAACGAGGCTATTCAGTGGCTCCGGCAAACAGCGAGCGGTTATGCTGGTCTCATTCCCGGTGCCCAGCAATATGTAGACTCAACATTTGATGAACTCGACCAGATCTCCAAGGAGCACAAAGATGAGGTCAACAAGATCGTTCAAGGTTCTTACGATGAGCTCAAGCAGATCACCAAGGAAAAGGGTGCCAGTATGGAAGGCCTAATGAAGGCGTGGCAGGTACTTCAATCCGCGGCCAAGCAAATCGGCTCGCTTGCTGGCGACGTTGGCAAGGACGTTTTGAACCGACATCCAGAAGTCCAGGACAAATTCGGTGGTAAATTCAACGAGCTCAAGCGCATGGGCGATCAGTACGGCCCCGAAGCCAAGAAGAAGGTAGATGAAACATGGAACCAGGTTCAAGATGCTCTGAAGGGCGGCATTGGCGTCGGCTCGCTCGACCAAGTTCGCAAGATTATCGAGGAAAAGATTCAAGATGTGCGTCAAATTGGCGACCAAGCTTGGGATAAAGGAATGGAGCAGGCAAAGCCGTATCTCGACAAGAGCCCGCAAGTCAAGGAGTTTGTCGAGAAGAACAAGGACAAGCTAAAGAACTCGAACCTCAACGAGCTGTGGGATCAGGTTCAGCAAGCTGCTCAAAAGGGCGACACGGCCGACCTGGAGAAATTTGCCAAGGAGAAGGCTGACCAGGCCAGCCAGCACTTTGGCGGAGGCAGTCTCGAGCAGTACTTCAAGATGCTACCGAACAGTGGCGAGATTGGGTCCAAATTCCAGCAGCTGAAGGAAGTCGCCGACAAGCATGGTGACAAAGCGCAGAAGCTGTTGCAGGAGACCTTCGATGAAGTGAAGAAGGTCCTGGAGAAGAAGGTTGATGAGGGCCAGAAGATTGCCGAACAAGCCTCCAAAGATGCGAAGTGAGGCACTCCCGTAGGTCATACTCGGAGAAGTCTAGCTCAGGCGAAGGAGATGCCAGCGCCGATTCATCTGTGGTCTCCTTGAAATCCACTAGCTTAGTCATTAGCCCATCAGTGTATGCTACATCCTTGTTGTCGCTTTAAGCCAACGTCCATGAACCCGAGTACGGTAATGGCCAAGCCGCGGTGTAGAAATAGGGCGTGCGGAGAACGCGCGTACCAATCAGAATACCCGTCCCAAGACTCTACTGCCTGGACCCCCAATCTCTTCTGTCCCCAAGCTATATCTCCTGCCTTGACTTGCAAACATTCTTGAAGTACGTATCTCACCACAAGCACCCGCAGCAAGTATGTCGCCATCACCAGCTCCCGAGACCCACGAGGGTGTCTGCGCCTGCGGCCTCATACGCTACCGCCTCACCGGCCCACCCCTCTTCGTGCACTGCTGCCACTGCCGCGCCTGCCAGCGCGAGAGCGGCGCCGCCTTCGCCGTCAACGCCATGTACGAGTCTGACCGCGTGCATCTCCTCCCCAGGCCCAGCACCGACAACTCCACTTCCACCACCGCCACAGCCGAGCTCGACACGCACGACCTCCCCACCCAAAGCGGCAGGCCCCAACGCCTTTCCCGCTGCCCGTCCTGCAAAATCGTGCTGTGGTCGCTGTACGGCGACAACAGCGACTATGTGCGCTTCATACGGGTGGGTACGTTGGCGGAGCCGGGGGTGATGCCGCCGGACGCGCATATTTTTGTGGGGAGGAAGGCGCCATGGGTGGTGTTGCCGGAGGGGGCGAGGGTGTTTGATGAGTTTTATGATCGGGAGGAGGCGTGGCCGGAGGAGACGAAGCAGAGGATGGCCCAGGTGGCGGAGAAGAAGAGGAGGGATCGAGAGCCGGTTAAGGGGATGGAGGGCGCGAAGATTTAGAGTAGAGTTGCGAAAGGTCGTGTTTTGGGGGGTTGGAGGCCTCCTGGGACTGTTTTCGACTGGTTGCTGCAGTCTCAAAGTAGGTATCCTAAAGTTGCGTTTTGAAGCTCGGAGTCCTCCCAGAGATTCTATCGTGTCGGCCAAAGTAGGAGCTCGAAAGTCGTACTTTTATTGATCGGAGGCCTCCCGGACCCTTTCTTGTGACAGCCAGACTATGAGATTCAGGGCGCAGCATACGATGCGGAGGCCTTCCAAGCTCCTTGTACTACGGCCGAACTACGATTTTGAAATTGTATGAAAAGGTTCCCAGGCCTCCTGGTAATACTTTCAGTTGCCGATTGATTGACTATTGAAGTCTCATCATGAGGACTCGGGGCCTCCTGGGACTTTCAACTACGGACTCCTCTATTCAATCACCTGGCAATTCATCTCTTCAACTTCTTCACCATGTTATTCAATGACCCCCCCTCCTGGCGCACTGCATATCCACCATACTCCCGAACCAACATATCCTGCTCCATATTTAACGTGACCACACCCGTACCTTGAAGCTCCTGCTCCGTGAGCACGTTGTAGAGCTCTGGACTCGCCCTGAGGATCACCCGCGGCGACGGCATCCTTATCTTTCCAAACTAGGAGCGGAGGCGGTAGAGAGCAGTGGCGGCTTCCTTGAAGGGATCCATTTGCTCGATCATGTCAGCGAGCAAGTAGCGGCGCTGGGCATCGTCGAATGTGTCAATGTGAGTCGTCAGCAATGCTTGAGACGGGTTCTGTCTGAGGAGGGTGGTGCCGACCTCGCGAATAGTGAGCAAGAGCTGCTGGAAGCTTGGGAAGATCTTGACGAGTCGAGAGGCGGGTGGGGCGGTCTCGGTGTGTTTGTCTAGGACACAGGATAGGCGCGTGATCCTAGTCAAGTAGATGGGCCGGTTCGGACTAAGTATGTGACGTGATCAAGTACTGTCTGAGGGAAGCCATGGTTGGCGCCGTTGATGAGGAACTTGATCGTGAGATTCTGGTGGAAGATTTTGATACCTTTAGCGCAGATCTGACAATAGTTGTCGAGAAACGCCTTGGCTTTTGAGAAGCGCACAAAGGGGTCGAGGATTTGTGGGAAGATGACGAAGGTTGTGCCATCATACTTCTGCTGTTTGCGTACCACTCGTTCTTCGAACAGCAGAACCTTCCGCGAAGACTTGTTCGTAGATCTTGATGCGGACCTCCCACGGTAAACCATTGAAGTTGAAGATCTTGCGTGGATTGTACCAATCTGTCAAGGAGGTATGACTGGTCGGTGGCTGCTGCAAATCGTGTGGCCGAGTTTTTGCGAGTCTTTTGGAGATGCGCTGCTGAAGATCGATCTTCTGAAATTTGCTCACTCATGGGCAGAAGTAGGCGGAGCCATAATTATAGTGTACGATGACCAGCCCCAAAATCACTCGAGCTTGCTCTGTTCTTGGCAGGAATCTGACAAGACGGGATGCAGAGACAGCATGAGGTGCACAATGTGCAACTTAATCCGCAACATTTTGTGACTTCTGCACGGAACATTGTATCGCCTTACCTAGAGTTCTGTATACATGAAGAGGGTTAGCGCAACCTGGGAAGTGAATGTGGAAAGTGTGCAGTTGTCCTTTGTTTATAGTTGTTGGTCTTGCACAAGGCAAAATTTCTGAAAGAGGAAGTTAGCAAGTTAGGCGACCGCCAAGCAGCCAATCACACTTCCACCCCACAGCTACCTCAACCTCTTGTTAGAAGCTACTTGTTTCTTCCTTAATCTGTTTTATGCAAGCTGTCAGCTCCGTCTTCGATCCCCACAATCGCTCTCCTGCTCCAACGACTCGCCTCGCCAGACCTGACCTCAGAACGCTTCGACCTTGGTCCATCTTGCCATCATCCAAAATGCCAAACCTTATGGATCTCTCAGCCGAGGTCCGCGTCTCAGTGTACGAGAATCACTTCAATGGAGGCATGCTACAAGTTCCGAACCCATTCTCTGAATATTCGACTTGGAACCTGGCCACGAAGAAGACGATCGCGAATCACATTCGTCTCACTCCAGCTCCACCGCGTCCACACTGCGGCCTTCTTTGATACTGTCCATCTTGTGGACATGCCGCACCATCTTCGAAGAGGGGTCTTCATCTTCTGCGCGGATTGCGGATGGGTACCATTGCCATCAAGTCATATGGCGATCGATAGCATAACTCACTTCTGTCTCTATTATCACATCCCGGGGTGCATGGAACCGACATTGTCGATGATCTTGATAGATGCGACTACTATCTTAAGAGCTTGAGACACGTCACGATTTACTGTGATGCGGGTCATGCGGATAGCTTCTTCCACATGCTCAAGCTTCCAGGATTCAAGGATCGTTTAGACAACCGATCCAACCCGCGTCTGGCTAGCACAGATTTCAGTACAGGCGGAGTCTTCGATATTGTACGTGTTAAGGCAGATCTAAACGGGGACTGAAGCTAACGGATCCTACAGGACCCTCTCTGCAATGAAGACTCCCAGACTTGGAAGATTTCCACTAGACCTCGCACTTGCTTTCTCTTGACGCCCGCCATGAATGCAGCCGTGTATGAATCAACGACATCTGAACGTTAATAGCTACCACACGGCTGAGATGTATCGACTATCCAGGACGATATCGACAAGATTCGAAACAGGCTGGCAGCATATGGGTTTTGCTGCAGTGGAATTTCAGGTCAAGGCTTGCTGCAGGTTGAACATAGAAAATCTCTATAGCTAGATTGCAAATGTCGCAATGCATACATGGACTCCTGCATCCATCTATATCCTCACTTCCTCCACTTGTGGCTCTTGAGTTATCGCGTAATCATACAGCCGCTGCACCGCCGCACACGCCGTCTCCATCTGCGTCTGCGCAGTGGCAGCCCCTACATGCGGCAAGCTAATGACATTATCATGTTTCCACAACCGCTCGTACCTCCCCTTCGTAGGCGGTTCCTGCTCATGACAATCCAGCCCCGCGCCCCAAATCAACCCATCATCCAGCGCCCTCACCAAAGCCTCCTCATCCACAATCCCCCCTCTTGCAGTATTAATCAACAGCGCATTCCTCTTCATCCCCCTCATATCCTCATACCCAACCAACCCCCTCGTCTCTGGCGTCAACGGCACATGGACCGTCACCACATCACTCACCTCCAACAGCTCCCTCAAGCTCCTCACCCTCTTATGCGGCACCTCCGCCCACGCCCCCTCCGCCATGTACGGATCATACGCCACAATTTCCGCCTCATACCCCCCGCAAAAAATCCCCGCCACCGTCTTCCCAATATTCCCCATCCCGATCACGCCCACCGTGCAGCGATGCAGAATCAACCCACCACACTCCTCCTTGCGCACCACCTCCCCGCGATCCACCTTGACGCTAATACTGCGTATCTGCCGCGCCAGCCCGGCCGCCAACGCCACCACCAATTCCGCGACCGCGCGCGCATTCACGCCGGGCGTGTTGAGGACCTTGATGCCCCGCGTGGCGCAGGCGGAGGCGTCGATCTTGTCGGTCCCCACGCCTTGCTTGCCGATGGCTTTGAGATGGGGGGAGGCGGCGATGTCAGAAGCCGTGACGTGAGAGCCGCGCACGAGGAGGTAGCGGGCCTGGTCACGCCAGGTGGCGTGGGAGGGCGAGGTGGGCGTGATTAGGTTGAAGAGGCTGTGGGCGAGGGCGAGGGCGGTGGGGTGGATGGTGTCGAGGAGATAGGCTGTGGGCTTTTGCGAGGAGGAGGAGGGGCCGGAGGGTGGGGTGACTGCTGAAGGGGCCATGGTTTTGGTTGGGGGTGCTGTCGCTGTTGGCCTGGGTGTGGGAGGAGGAAGGTCGTGGTTAGGAGGATGTCTAGCATGCGATACGTTTGTAAGCCACGGTGTTCGTGTTTGAAGATGTTATTTTGTCACTGAGCGGGCGGGTGGGCTTTCAGGCCGTCCGGGTATATATTAGCCTGATCTCACGCGTCGTCTGGTCACCCGCCCGGAAAGGCGCCGTTCCTTGGGCAATTCTCCATGACTGCCGCGACTATCTCCGTGATGGTGATCTTCAGATGCCGCGGTATGAGTCTTTGCACTGGTGCCATTTGACTTGTGGCGGGGGTACGCTGCTACCTTCGGTGGTGGGGCCCGAAGGCTCCGAGCTGTTGGTCTCGGGCCAGCTCCGAAGATGCTGCGAATGCACCATCTGCCGCTGCGACAACAGTGATGATCGCCCGTCGCTTTCCCTAGAGCTGTAACACCTCTAGCATGGCTCCTCCGCACCGGTCAATTGTGCCGATGCGGGTCTATCGGACGGCGGCTTCGTGGAGGTCGCCCTGCTTGCGCGCCAAGAGGCAGTGAAATGCCTTTGTCTCTCCGCAGGGCTTGGCATCAAGTTGTGTTTGGTGTTGGGCTGCGTCCATCGTTCAGATCGGAGGACGCAGACCTGAGGAGATCGTTCTATCACCAAGTATATGCGTGTCGCTGCGGCTCCGACAGCTGACGTTCAACTTGACACCAGCTGGACTCTGTGGGTTGCTGTTCATACTGAACCATGTCACGGATAGAGCACTGCACCGATGATTGAATGGGTTTAAAGAGGCTGCTCAGCGATATGTGATAGTCATTGACACTATTGATAACAGGTCAAGGATAAGTCGATCGATCATGTCTCAAAAGCATGGAATTCATTGCTCTGCTTATGCTGATCTTGTTGGTATAGACCAGTCACTTCGTAGTCTCGTACGCTTGCATTCCGTTCTTCGCATCGCACTCATGACATTGATCTTCCTAGAGCCCTCGTGTACCACGAGCACGGTACTCACACTAAGTGGCATATCTCCAAGAGTTGACTTCACCAGTCTGAGTCTGTCGAGCCTCGAGCGCCTTGTTCTTGCGCATGCACCACCATCGAGTCACCAGGCAGCTTATGATGACGAGGACGGTGCCTGCGATGATCGCCCCACCTCCAGTTTGGTATCGAGGTTCCTGGGAACGGAGGAAGAAATATGGTGTAAACCAGTGCGAGACAGACGATACACAATTTGCGAAGGCAATCAGGGCAGCTCGCTTGGTTCGCGGGCGTGGCACCACAGTGGTTTCCCAGGAGAGTTGGATCTGATGTTTGTCAGCATGGTTTCTTTGGGTTAGGGGCGGGAGCGCGTACATTAAGGCCAACAAACGGCCCAGAGCAGAGCAGGATCAAGCTGAAGTATCGGGCTCCCGTGTTGAGGGTGCTAATCATTACGGCCGCGCCAACTAGACAGACGGAAATGGAGCCGACGATATGCCAACAGTGCTCGAGCATGCGGCCAGACGACCACGAAACCGCAAGCGTGACAAAGTAGGCGATCAGGTAGGGTGGAGCTTGGATAAGATACGTCTCAGTTTCGCCAAAGCCGAGAGTAGCCACGATCTATAGATCTGTTAGTGCACAGGTCATTGTGTTCTTTCTTGGGTCCACTTACCGAAGGGAAGAAATCCTTGAAAGACTGTGCCACGATCAAGGCAAAGTGCATTGCTGCAAAGCACCACGTAAAGGGGTCCTTCATAGCCATGACGAAGCCACCCCAGTAATCACCTTCATCATCCTCCGATTTGCCGCCAGCAGACACCATCTGTCTGTACTGTGACATCTGAGCCTCTTCGGGGGTGAAGAAGTATGTTCCAGTTGTCGAGGGCCAGTTGGGCAGGAGCCAAAACGCTGCGATCGCTACAACGATACTGACCATGCCTTCAAGCAGCAGAAACCATTGCCAGGAATGGAGACCAGCGACTTCATTCATGTTCTGCAGAATGCCAGCGGCCAGTAGACCGGAGATGACGTTTGAAATAATGTTGCCAGCATGCCAGATGCCCATACGCAGTGGGGATTCTGACTTTGTGTACCAAGATGAAGTGAGAAGCGCCACCGCAGGAACGAAAGGTCCTTCGGTCACACCGACCAAGAAGCGACAGAGCATAAAGCCCCAAGGAGCGGTGACGGCAGGCATGCAGATGGTTACGACGGACCAAGCCAGCATGACGGCAGGGAGGAGGACTCTAGGTTTTCCTTTGGCGATGATGACGTTGGCAGGAATTTGCGAGATGATATAGCCGACGTAGAACAGCGAGATACCCGCAGACCATTCAACGTCACTCATGTGCAAATCCTCTTGCATTCCGGCAAGGCGCGCGTTGGAGACATTGATGCGGTCCAGATAGCTGCGAAGCATTAGTCAAGACTGGCCTGGGCAAGTGCTGGAACTCACTTCATCAGCAGCATGGCGGTGATGCATGGCAAGAATTTCCAGTCGAGCTTTCGCAGGACTTTCTTGTTCAACTTTTCTATTTCGTCTTTTGACTTGCCAGCCAGAAGATCGAAATGTTGGAGGTAGGACTCGGCCTCTGTGACCTGCGCCTGCTCGATGATTTGAACCTCTGCTTCCTTGTCAGGCAGTGAATGTTGCGAGTTGGCTCGGCTGTCTCTCCCCATCGTGCAAGGTCTTGATGATCAAGATGCGTAGAAATTGTTGAAGACAGAAGTGCCCGAAGCGAGTGCGATGCCGAAAACGCTGTTAGAGGTGAATGGAGCAGCACTTATATAACACAGGAAGCCCTTCCTACCCGCTCGCTTCCCCAGTTGGACTTCCCCGACAAGTGCCCCGGACAAAGACGAAATGCCCTGCGGAAACTCTGGCGAACAAGCGAAGTTGGATGCCCAGACTGCGGACGGTCGACCACCGAGCTTGGCGTGGGCGAGGCGGGCTCTTCTGGCACCGGGGGCAAAGCTCCCGCCCGATGCCAAGCCAGCATCGGTGGTGGGGCCGGATTCCACGAGGTCAATTCATCGGTGGGCTTCGGCACCTGTGGGGTAATGAGGGACTTGATCCAGGTGTCTGAGTGTCTGAACATGACCCATGTAGCAAGATAGGCTCGGTCTCTGCGATCATATAAGTGTGGGATACTAGCAGATTTAGCCAAGGATCATCCCATCGCGAACACGATATCCAGCACTCCTCCGCACTGTTGTCTCTAGTCTTTATACCCTTACTCTGAAGCACCACAGAAACAACCTCTCGCAATGAGTACGACATCATACACAGTTTCCAATCCTTGGCGGGATCGTATACTGCGGGGGGAGATATGCTCAGTCATGGGCGTCAAGTATGCTGTCTCCAACGAGATCGCAATGATGACCAAGATGGCGGGCATGGATGGCATGTTCATCGATATGGAGCATTCCGTTTTGACCATGCGCGAAGTGTCGCAGTTGATCACGGCCTGCAACTATGTCGGTGTAAGTCCGATCGTCCGGATACCTTCCAAGGCACACTGGCACCTCAGTCGTGTGCTAGATGCTGGCGCGGCCGCTGTCGTCATCCCTCATTGTGAGACAGTTGAACAGGTGCAGGAAATCGTCAAGGACGCCAAATATGCCCCTTTGGGTCGACGAGGTTGTGCCGGCAACCAGCCAATTCTCAACTTCCAAGCAGTCCCGACTTTGCTGCAAAACGACCTCTTGAACCGAGAAACCATGGTCATACCGATGATCGAGACGCCTGGCGCGGTGGAATTGGCCGATGATTTCTTCGCTATCGAAGGTGTGGATGGTGTTTTGGTGGGCTCTAACGACCTGTGCACCGATCTTGGGATTCCAGGGCAGTACGACAACGCGGCCTACCTGGACTCGGTTACGAAAGTGATCAAGGCAGGCGTCAAGGCTGGCAAGCCAATTGGGATTGGTGGCATCGGCGGCCGCTTGGATCTCTTGGAGAAGTTCTTCGAGACGGGCGCGACGTGGTCGCTTAGTGGGGCTGACGGGGCTATGTTACAAGCTGGTATGAAGAAGCTCGGTCAGACTTATGCTGAGATCAACCAGCGCGTTCAGGGAGCTCGGACGGCAGAAGCATTGGCACCTGTATCAGAGCCGGTCCCAGTCGCACAGAAGACGCCGGTAGCCATTGATGTTAAAAGCGGAACGAAGGCGCCACAATCAACTGTTCAGGTTGCTGAGGTCACTGTGTCATAGCATGATGTTCCATAGCGACATTGCCGGCGTACTACAGCATGGAAAGAGTGCTTTGCTGGGTAGAATCGGTGCGGGATGGAGAGCAGTACGCGTCACCGCGTGGCCAATCAAATCCCTTCCGCCGACTCCACTGTCTGATAGTGCCAAGAAGTAGATGGTGCTGTCCTGCGTGCCTTCCCTCCATACCATCTTCCTTTCACATTGCTTTTCTCTATATTCATGACGTCCACTAAATGAGCAACGAGACTGCCCTCGCCCAAGCTTGCCAGAGATGCTGGCGAAGAAAGCAGAAATGCGGTCGCCAACGACCAGAATGCACCGAGTGTCGTCGAGCTGGAGCACGCTGCGTGCCACGCTTGTGGGGCCGCGTAGTCGAGGACGGTAATGGAGGTACATGCTTGGACGTAGCGTCCGTAAGGTACGACAGTCTCGGAGCTGCATCGAGAGTTGCTGATCTCATCCCAGTCCCATCGAGCAACTCAAGAATCGAATCAGCGCCCTAGAGAGCAGAGGCGATGCACATTCCGGCACTGGTACTTTTGCTCTTGGAGGCCTCGATCAAGACTCCACGGAAGCCACAGCGGACTACGGAACAATGTCTGCCACAAATAGTACGCACCAACAGCAACAGCATGTCGACACAGCAGCAGCCCACGATGTCGAGTTTCTGTCGGTGGCGGCCATGAGCGGTCCAGACGGGCAGAATGAACCAATGCAGGACAACCCCTCTTTTGCAACTCTGGTCACGGCAGCTGTGAAGTTGTCAGCAGTTGTTCAGCACGAACAGGCATCCAACAATGTGGCAGTGACTGGTGTGCCGTTGCGTTTACTCGATGTTCAACGCGAACTTGTTGCTCTTTGCCAGCATGATCTTCGTCATTTCGTGGACGTTTACTGCGATGGAGTCGGTCACATCTATCCGTGTATCTCGCGAGACTCCTGCATCGATGCTCTGAACCTTTCCCTTCAAGCTGAGCGGGATGGCATGGCACCTCAAAACGATCACTTACCTTCCGAGGATCTCATCCTCGTCTGCCTAGTCGCAAGTCTCAGTATCATGAACACATCCTATTCCCAAATTGCGAAACCTATGGTGGACCGTCTGGTCGCAGCGTCACTCGCGCTTCTGCCTGGCGTTGCCACAGAGGCAGCCGATATCGAGGCTGTTCGCTGCTTGACCTTGGCCTCCATAGTGTCTATCTACCGGTTTGAAGAAGCATCGAGCTGGCATTTCTTGGGTTTGGCTATTACTAAAGCTATCTCTGCTGGGATCCACCGCCAACGACAGACAGACGGTGCTCCTGGTGACTCAACGCAGCTGTTCTGGGCTCTATACAAACTCGACCGCAGGTTTGCATTCGTTTTGGATCGACCTTTCAGCATTGAAGACGGTGATATGACTGTTCAGCTGCCTCAGGCTGGCGCCAGTCCTCCCGGAAGTCAGAGCCTCTCGGATCCTCAGTCCGTCTTCGTGTGGACGATCCACTACGCCCAGATGTTGTCCGGCTGGCGTCGGCACGCCGGGATTGACGTTGATGAATGCTATTCTGGATTTGAGTACTGGCGAGAGACTTGTGCCGAGCTAGTCAGTGCCTTACGGAAATCCGGTGCGACCAAAGCTACTACTGTGTCATCGCAACTTATCTCCGTACTCGCACTCAATGAGAGGCAGCTATCGTGTCGCGCATTGACGCACCTGCTTGTTTTATCACTTGGGCAAACAGACACTGAAGCGCTGAGGTGCAATGTTTGCGAGTTGATCCGTGTCGAGGTTCCTCACCTCCTTAACGTGTACAAGACCAGCCTGGACGCGCACGATGTTGCTCCTAGCATTCTGGATGCGTATGATATCATGGGCGCCATAGTGGCCTTTATCTGTGCACTTCAACACCCCCGGCATACCGCTGAGAATGGCGCTACGGTGCTGAGCCGCACAATCAGTATTGCCGACATGAGGATTATAACTATGGCGACTGATGTCTTGCAGAGAATGGCCAAGAGATACAACCCGGTGCTCGATTTCCAAGAGCTCCTATGGAACTTTCTCTCTGCCCTCGAGCAGAGAACAGGAGATTCTCCGCACTCGAATCCAGCACCAGGCAATCATCCTATGCAGTTGCTGCAACAAGCATTATCCACGTGTCGTCTGCCCGTCCCATATCATTTGACGGTGTTGATGGAGGCTGCTGTTAAGTAAAGCCACGAGCCACTGCCAGCACTAGACTACCAGTGTACGGCATGGGACTGCCGTGAACGAGGAACGAGGGTCGATTCACTACCCCAACTAAGCAGGGACTCAAAGTTTGTCGTTTGACCCGACGAAGCGAGAGTGCGGAGAGGCTTCGGACATGGCCCGAGATTTTCGCCCCACTACCGGCGACCTTGAGTTGCTGCTATTCAAGTCTGCCGCGCTTTGTGTGCGCTGTGTCGGACCTTGCAGTATCTTCTTTGTAGAGGGCTTTCGGACACTTCGCTTCGGACTTTTTTCTTATGTCCTCATCCAACTGCACGGCTTCAGTCGGACCGCTGAAGCTTCCCGCTTGCGAGCGATGCAGGACCCGCAAGGTTCGCTGTGACAACAAGCCTCCGAAATGCTCAGGATGTACGAAAAGCAGCGCTGCTTGTGTCATCGTCGACCCTGTGACCAATGAGCGCTACACCAGAGACGGCTTGCATGGACTCGAGCAGAAGCTTCGAAAGCTGGAAGATCTCGCCAAGGAGCAATCAGCAGCTTCTCCAGCAAAGACTCCTTCTGATTCAGCTCATCAGCGAAGTGCCAAAAGTCACTTCGTTGGCGATGGTAGTGGCCTGAATTTCTTCAAACGCCTGTCAACGACCGCTAAAGCATCTGTGCCACATCCAGATGAATCCCCGACCGCTGTGCTGCGTTCGCCTTATGGCAGCTCCACCATTCCAGCGCACTCGCTGCCGCCATGGGAAGTCGCACAAACACTTTTGACTCGTTTCTCGTCTCATGTGCTTCTTCACCACCCTCTCATGCCCCATTACCAGGTGGACAACATCCTACAACGAGTATATACACCGGTCCGTGGTGCCGCAACCGATGAAGATGTTTACCGTATCTTCATGGTATTTGCCATTAGCTCAGTCACCACATACAGACGAGGGCTCACTCACGAGCATCCATATGGCTACTTCCGTGCTGCATTGCAATACGGTACAAAGGTGAACTTGATTGGAAGTCTCTCCGGCGTTCAGAACCTGCTCCTGATCGCACGCTTTGCTATGTACTACCACATTGATTGCTCGATTTGGGACATGGCCCGACTCTGCATGCGACAGTGCATTGCCCTTGGTCTACACCGACCACCGGCGCGACCGATACGGCCAATGGATGAACAAATACAAAGGAATGTCTTCTGGGATTGCTATGTCCACGACAGATATAGTTCGGGCATACTTGGTCGTCCTTATGCAATAGCTGAGGAAGACATTACCGTTCAGCTACCGGTCGAAATCAGCGAACCCGACCTCTTATCTGCACAAGTGTCTTCCCTCGATGATCCGAGCTTACAGTACTTCCCTGGCCCAAATGAGGTATCTGTCTTCCGCTTTGTCGTTAAGCTACGAAGGATCACAACGAGGATCTCAAACTGCTTTTTCAGCTCTCCTACGCAGTCTCCACAGAGTCGCAGGACCATAGCTGATGCCGGCCGCGTGAAAATGGATTTCAACCGTTTTATGGACGAGCTCACACAAGCCAGGAATCAAGCTCCGGTCTTCCCTGAGCCCAAAAGCCTGTACGAGCGGTCTGACTGGTACGATTTCCTGGTTGCGAAAGACCGGCTGACACTCATACGCGGTGCGCTGGCGCAAATGCCAGTTGATGGCCTCCACCCACCTCGTGGTCTACTAGAGATGTGCCTGAGCTGTGCCGCCACCGTTGTCGACTTATACACGACGCTGTTTTCCCGTGGTCAAATTACCTGGACACGATCCTACTTTCAGATCCTCTTCACTTCTGGTTTGTCTATCATGTACACAATGTCTATCTTGAACCACGATAAAAGTAGTCACGATCCAGAGCAGGTCGCCACGTTTGCTCGGGCTTCGAGCGCTCTCTCTGCGGCTAGCGACGTGATGAAGATGTTTGTGAGCGAGATGCCGGATGCAGGTCGGTTTGCTGTCGTTTTCGAGGCATTGATGAAGCAGTACACTGACACCGGAACACGAGCACGTCCAAGTCGAGCACCAACACCGCCAGTACAAGACAATGTTGGCCAGCAGCGTCAGCAACACGCCGCTAGCAATGGCAACCTGACAACAGCGATAGTCCCTTCCCAAACCTCTTCAAAAGACCAAATTCAAGGGCACCTTGACATCTCAGGCGCCAACGGCCAGCCGCTCCAGTCTCCACAACTACTGCCAGGTCAACCAGACTACGGATTCGCACTTGAGCTCGGCCTGGACGACTTCCAGAATTGGTCCCTCTTTCCGTCCAATCCGGACCATATCCTTGGACAGATGGAGGCTGGTCTAGGCGAGTATGCCTGGGGCATGCCTCCAAATGACAGCCTGTTTGACCAGTGGGAGGTCTTCCGAGGGCCCAGTTGATCGGCTTGGTTATCAGACATGACCATCCTGGAACACAAGCAACTACTACCATTCCGACGAGGACGAGCCTCAGGACCTACAATGCTGGAGTACCTCAAAGACTGCATTCTCCGAGGATGCACACTCCGTCTGCACCTGCTTTGTCAGGGCTTCCAAGGGGCCGACCAGTATATCTCTACGCGTCGAAGGGCCCAAGCAACGCGGTGGGAGTGCCGTGACCAACCATTTATTCACGATAACCTTCTGTGCGCGGTTCCCCGGCCGTCCATCTACTTGCTAGCCCTGTAGATGATGATTGATGCCAAGACAAGCGTCGCTGGGAACAGAAGCAGCCAACAGAATATTACCCCCACTGAGGGCGGCTGACTCGCCCGTTGATTCCGAGGGACTATCGCTGGATCCTGCGCCGCCTCTTCAATTTCTTGCCCTTGTCCATAGCCCTGCGCATTTGGTTCGGCATCATTCGGCGTCCCGCGTGGGAGATACGCTAGCTTAGGTGCCGGAATATGTTCGCGCTGGTTTGAGGTCGCTTCGCGGGTGGCTTCGTAGTGGCTCACGGCGAGCTGCTGGTTGGCGATGACCTCGCCATGGTAAGGAGGGAGGCTGTCTTGTGAGATGCTCGCTGGGGCGCTGGGCGCAGCGTTGGAACTTTCGGTCAATATGGGCTGAAGGTGTTCGTTGTTATTGGTGATTACACTATATTCTGGGGGCTGCTGGTTCAAGTGCGACGGCGCAACTTTGGTGGCGGGCTCGTTCAGGTCGTCTTCCACCGATGGGGGTTGGTAGTTCGTTGTCAAACATAAGGAGCGAGTGGCATTGTCTCTGGGGGTCGCTGCCTGTTGACAAGCCAGCAACCACGAGTCTGTGGCCGGCGGGATTTCCAGATGACTGTGCTCGGTCTCGTTGTTTCTGTCATCTTCAGGATGCGGCCTCTGGCGAGGAGAATGCGGTGGACTCCATATCTCTAGTTCTGAGAGCATTGTCACCGTGCTTCACGATTTGTACTAATGTCCAAGCAAAGTATTCGATTGTCGTGTTAGAAGATTGAGGGAGGCTGTCGAAACATACGGAGTGATACTTGCGAAGAAACAGGATAACCTTGTGCACGGCCCAGAGTTTGTTATAGATATCGCCGGATACAAAAACTCGGCTTGTCACGGTGTGTTGTGTTTTGTGTTTATTGTTGTGTATTGTGTCTGGTTATGTGGGTGGGTGCCGAGTGCCTTGAAGCATATTCCAACACTTTGCTGTGTGCCGGTGGTTCGCATCTGAATGCCTCAGGCATTGATTTTCGAGCCATTCCACCAGTTTCACCTATCATCAATCACTGCTGTAGAATCTAGAAGGCGTGTTTTGAGCCAGTTAGGCCGAAGATAAGCTATGTAGGAATAAGTCGTCCATTATGCTGTAGGATGTAGTAAACCTTCAGGGTCGACTCGACCATCCAGAACCCTCTTTCCCTCCTCACAACCAATCTCCCCACAGAGTCCTCGGCCATTACCGAACATGCAGTCTCAACCGTTCCCCTCCTCCCCTCCTCCCCCCTCCTGCCCTCATCAGCATCCAACCATCAACGACAGATCCTCCACAAAAACCACCCTACCCCGCCCAGAGGCAACGCCCCACTCACCAACAGCACGCCACACACGCCTCTCTTCTTTGCCTCACTGAAACACTGCCTGTCCTCCCAGTCCATTGCCACTATTATCGTGGCAGAAAGATTCACGGCGGCGGCCGCAAGGGGAAGCAGGAAATAGTCGGCTGTGGCGACGGTGCTCGCGAGGGAGGTAAAGGAGGTGTTGCAGAGGTCGTGGGACCGTGTGTAGGTTATGCTGAGCCAGAGGAGGAGGAGAGACATGGTGCTGAGGAGGGCGAGCAGGGTGGTGTAGAGGGGGGGGGTGGGTGGAGAGGTGGTTCTGGAGGTGGTCATGTCGGCGAATCTGGTGGATGGTGGGGCTGGGAAGGGGTGGAAGGGCGGGCGAGGGCAGTGGTGTCAGAGAGGAGGGGGAAGTGTCCATTGGCGGTGAGAGGGGGGAGGAATGGGTGTGTTGGAGGTGGTTATATGGTTGGATTGCGGTGGAAGTGGCAGTGGTGGTATGAATGGCTGCCGATAAGTAATAGTAAGATATTTGCTCGGTACCTCAGGCTCGGGGTCGTCGATGCTGCTGGTGTCGGCTATGCGATATGCTCATGAGGGCGTTCTTGCTCGTGAAGAGGATGTTATACTCGGCACGGGTGGTATTGAACCTTGGAGTCTGGTTTATTAGTACTCGCAGTACGCCGGTAATATGTAAAGTATGTGTACTATTATAGACCGAATGACCCAGACTTTCGGTGTGTTATGGCCCACTTGCCGATCTTGAGAAAGCAGTGGTGGACTGGTTCCGCCTACTTGGTACCTGAGAATGCATTTGACTACCCTCAAATCGTCAACGCCACTGTCGAGAACTGGCAACGTCTCCCATATCGTAAGTCGCCGTGCCGAAGTTGTGAGTAGATGCCCTGGCAGACAGCCAATGGCTTTTGTGCCGGCTCTGCTATTTGATGGGAGGAGACCCCCAAAGGCCTTCGAAACCGGCGGAGGCGAGGTAGTATTTCCTGGATCTCGACAATCCACTGTTTCGCAAGCGCAGCCTCGCCAGCCTGGAATAAGGCTACCACTCCTTTACTGTCAGTCACTTACCCAACTCCCCTTTCCGCCTGGCAACCAGTCACTGGATATATATCAGTTCACCAACTTTTTACTCCAGCAACAGGTACCAATATCAGACATTAGGAATTCCTCGGGTCTGAGGAGCTGGCCTATACGACGTTGTTGCGACGCTGCTAGCGGTTTGGCATACCAACAGACTCTGGCCAAGCAGGTGGTCAAGTACGACAGCTACCTCACCTACTAGGTAGCTTACCTCATCAGAGAAAACATGTACCGCCTACTAGTACATGCGGTAAAACCCTCAAGGTAGGGTTTAACGCCCCAGAACCGGAATTACGACACCGCTTCTGGGAAACGTTTTTGGCGGTTCGAATCAGGGATGATGGTCTTTGGTTTTTGAACATCTGTGCTCTGTGTGCGAATGTTGATTTTGCTACCTATTCAGTCTTAAGTGAGAGTGAAGAGATGACAAGGCCGAAGTGGCTGAGGTAAGATGTCGGAGGTCCAAACAATTTGAAGCGATGCAAACATGCCAAGAAATCAATTAACGCGTCGAGCGAGACGCGTTTTAGGCGCAGGCAACTTTCGGCGGGGCAACTCTTCGCCGCCTTAGTAAACATCAATCCTGTTCCCTTCTCATTGCAGCACTCGTGATCACTCTCGCAAGTCCTGTCTCTACGGATCATTCGAGATGGCGACTCCAGCGCAAGCACTTGCTCGAATCGATGCGGGCTCCATCTCCGCCATCTTTGATGGAGGCGCCGCTGTCGTCCAGCAGCCCATCGTCCAATGCGTTCAGATCAAACCGATTGCAAGCAATACGGGCGGTGCGGAGCGGTATCGTGTTATCTTCAGCGATAGCAAAAACTACATTCAGACCATGCTTGCTACCGCTGCCAACCATCACATCACCAGTGGCAGCATGAAGACCAACTGCTTTGTCAAACTGCTCGGCTATCAGGCCAACAACGTGAAAGGCAAGAAGTGAGTACTTTCCAGGTTCGTACCATTCTGCTGCTGACCATGTTAGAATTCTCATCGTTACGGAACTCGAGGTCATCGAAGAACTCGGCGTCATGGAGAAACTGGGCGCGCCCCAGCCGCTCGAAACGAAGCCAGAAGAGGAGACGAAACCCAACCTCAACAACATCCCAAGCAATAACTTCTATGGCCAACAACAGCAGCAGTCCCGGTCGTTGCCTACGCACAACAAAGGCCCTTCGTCGTCGAATAACGCCAACATCTACCCAATAGAGGCACTCTCCCCATATTCCCACAAATGGACCATCAAGGCACGATGCACCAACAAATCAGACATCAAGACATGGCACAATATGAAGGGTGAGGGCAAACTGTTCAGTGTGAACCTGTTGGACGAAAGTGGCGAGATCCGAGCGACTGGCTTCAATGACCAATGCGATCAGCTGTACGAGTTGTTCCAGGAGGGCCAAGTCTACTACATCTCTTCACCTTGCCGAGTCCAGATTGCGAAGAAGCAGTTCTCCAATCTGAGCAACGACTACGAGCTGACGTTTGAGCGTGATACGGTGGTGGAGAAGGCTGAAGAGGAGGCTGGTGTGCCACAAGTCACATTCAACTTCACACCAATCTCCGACCTTCAATCAGTCGAGAAAGATACCACTATCGATATCATTGGCGTCATCAAAGAGGTAGGCGAGACCAACCAGATTACCTCCAAAACTACAAGCAAGCCGTACGACAAGCGTGACCTCACTTTGGTGGACAATACTGGCTACTCGGTCCGCCTCACCATCTGGGGCAAGACGGCTTCGGGCTTCGAGCTTCCTCCGGACTCGGTGGTGGCGTTCAAGGGCGTCAAAGTGTCCGACTTTGGTGGCCGAAGCTTGTCGCTTCTGAGCTCCGGCTCGATGACAGCCAGCCCGGACATACCGGAATCGCACAAGTTGAAAGGCTGGTATCAATCGCAAGGCCACAGCGAGTCATTCGCCACGCATGCGAACGTTACTAGCACCGTTTTTGGTGCGGGTGGCTCTCGTGACCCGTTCAAGACGATCGCCCAAGTCAAGGAAGAAGGCTTAGGCATGGACAGCGAGAAGGCCGACTTCTTCTCCCTCAAAGCCTCCATCCAGTACATCAAGCAAGACAACTTTTGTTACCCCGCTTGCTCGTCGGAAGGTTGCAACAAGAAGGTGATTGAGAATGAACCCGGCCAGTGGCGTTGTGAACGATGTGACAAGAGCTACCCCAAGCCGCAGTACCGCTACATTATGAGTGTCAACGTGAGCGACCATACTGGTCAATTGTGGCTCAGCTGCTTTGACGAGACCGGCCGAAGCATCATGGGCATGAGCGCCGATGAACTGATGGATATCAAAGAGGTGGACGAGAAGAAGGCTAGCGACATCTTTTCCGATGCCAACTGCAGAACGTGGAATTTCAAGAGCAAGGCGAAGATGGACAGCTTCCAGGAGCAGCAGAGGTATGTGGAGCTCCATTATTCAGATCGAGTGATGCTAACTGCAACAGGGTGAGATATCAGGTCACGTCCGCGGGCGCGATCAACTATGTTGCCGAGTCACAGAAGTTGATTGAGCTGATCAAGCAGTACAACCTTGGCGATTGAGTCGATGCATGAGGGCATGAGAAGTAAGAGATGCTCCTCGATGGACACGGCGACGGTGGATTGATGACTGAAGCACTTCGTACAGACTGTATGCCTTGAATGACCATCGACTCATAGAAGACCTCGCGCGTGATTCGTGGGCTTCGGATATGACCTTTGCTAGCTGTTGCTTCAGTAGCTAGCCTACCGAGGAGTCGGCGAATCCAGCTCAACACCGCTGACAAACAACCTCACCCGGTGTATAGAACCTTCGCATTAACCTTGTGGGGCAGGCATAATTACATCATCCACCAATTTCCATTGCCCACTTCTCTCGCCCCGCCCGCGAGCACCAATGTAGTCCTGGGTACTTGTCCCTGCGAATTCGCCTATTCCCAGCACACTATTTTCTGACGCTGAGCATGTGCCAAAGACCTGACCATTTGACTAAGCTACAGACAAGACCGCGGACTGTTTCCTGATCTGATTGGTACAGTCTCCGATCCGCATCGCTGGTACCGAGGCACAGTATATATACTTCGCACCCAAGAGTATACATACACTTGACGCCTTGAGCCGCCCATCATTGCCATCACACTACTTCTCAAACAACAACAAGAAGCCATCAACGACCCCGACACATCCCCTTCGTGCTACCTAATCACCCGGCGGACCCTCCCTTCCTTCCCGCCTCCACAACCATGGCTCCATCAATCCCCACCACCATGAACGCCGTCGACATCCACGGCGGCAAAGGCGGCATCGACGCCCTGTACATCAACGACCAAACCGCCGTGCCCAAACCCACCGCCACGCAGGCCCTCGTCAAGGTCAAAGCCTTCGGTCTTAACCGCATGGACCTCTTGCAGCGTGAGGGCATGTACCCGCTGCCGCCGCAGGCCCCCTCTACGCTGGGTGTCGAGTTCTCTGGAACGATCGTTTCGTTTGGGAGTTCGGAGCACGAGCGGGGTTTCAAGGAGGGCGACGCGGTTTTCGGGCTGGCTTATGGCGGCGCTTATGCTGAGGTGAGTTGATGTCTTCTTTTCGTGGCTTTGGCGCAGCAGGGCTGCATGCACGTTTTACGGCTGCATCATGGGTCAGAGGTGCTGTACTGTGCTGTCCCTAGCCACCATCGCGACTAGATCCCCTCCCCCTCATAGACCACCAACAGGGGACCCCCCAAACTAACACTCCTCCCTTTCCACCAACAGTACATCGCCGTCTCCACGCACATGCTCCTCCACAAACCCGACGAACTCAGCTTCGAAGCCGCCGCCGGCATCCCCGAAACCTGGATCACCGCGACGCAAGCCCTCTTCATGATCGGCGGCCTCTCGGACCCCATCGGCTCCAAGACCGTCCAAGACAAGCGCGTCCTCTGGCACGCGGGCGCCAGCGGCGTCTCCCTCTCCGGCATCCAGCTCTGCCGCGCCGAGGGCGTCAAGGAAGTCCTGGTCACCACGTCGTCGCAGGACAAAATCGATTTCGCGAAGTCCTACGGCGCGGATGCCGGGTTCAGCTACAAGGACGCGAGCAAGCCCTGGGATCAGGCCGTGCTGGAGCACACTGGCGGCGAGGGCGTGGATCTGATCATCGATTTCGTCGGCGCGCCCTACTTCGACGGGAACCTCAATGCCGCGGCGCTGAACGGCCGCATCGTCAGTCTCGGCACCATGGGCGGCGCCAAGGTCGACGTTCCGGGCGGGATCGATATCGGCAGGTTCCTCCGCAAGAGGTTGCGCTTCGAGGGCAGCACGCTGCGGGCCAGGGACGAGGCGTATCAGGGCAAGTTGAGGGACATCTTGGCCGAGCACGCGCTGCCGAAGTTCAGGGATGGGAGCTTTAGGGTGCCGGTGGAGAAGGTGTTTGATTGGAAGGAGGTGCAGGAGGCGCATCGGATGTTGGAGAGGAATGTGAGCATGGGGAAGATCATTTGTCGCGTTGAGTGAAAGTGATGAATGGGCGATGGCGGCGGGCAGCTGGGTGGGGTGAAAGGGATGCTGTAAAAACATAGGAAGGATGGAGATGTATGGTCTCGGGAAGTATCTGGCCGTCGTGCGAAGCCAGTACGCAGCATCATGATCAACAGGCAAGAAAAAGCATTGCATTACCGGAGTCAAGAGTTGATGTTGTGCACGTGCCGTGTTTCCTCTCTCGTTATGCCTTTTCTATTCATACAATAAGGTCGTTTCATGGTACATGGAGTGATCATCGCTATCGAACATTGATCACTGCGTCGTAGCTCGAATCGCCTGCAGCGTCAACGCGAAGATAAGACCTCGAGCCACCTCCTCTATCTGCAGACAATCAAATACCCGGCCCAAGGCCTCCCCACTTGCCGCTGCGCCCATGACACTCGTGAGGGCCTGCGGCATGCCTCGTTCCACCAGCAGCTTGCGTGCTTTGATGCGAAGATTCTCCTTTTCTTCGGCTGTCAGCTCAGCAGGCCAGTTGGCTCGTTCTTCTTCCGTCGCTGCTGCGTTCTCCCGCAATTTTCGGATGTGCGCGGCGAGTCCTGCGTCGGAGAAGTTGGCGTCTAGGACCGACTCTTGTAGCAGCACCCGAATTGACTCGAGCTGCGGGTTTTGGGGGCGAAGCAGGTATGTTTTGGCGGCGGAGAGGAGCGACAGCCTGATTGTCCATGCCGAGGACAGGGAGTACAGCTCGGTGATGATGGCGAACATCAGGTCGATAATTACTCGAGTCTCGCCTTCGGTTATAGGACTATGTTGGGTCTTCTTCTTCGGCAGAGACGCCCTACTCGCTGACATACTGTCTGGTGGAAGGTGAGAAGACGTCGGAGTGCTGGGCATCGACCTCTCCTCCTCCAACGACTCTTTGGCAGGGTTTTTCGCGCTCATCGGTTTGATCGGCACGTACTCATCTGATATTGCATCGGGCGGTGGTGGGAGATGGAGTGACTCCTGGGACTCCCTGGGCGACGATGCAGCATGTGAAGCGGGACCAGACTGCTGGTTGTAGTCGGAGCTCATCCGTATAGGTTTGGCAGGTCGAGTCTCGCCTTGCGCTTCGCTGATCTCAACGCTCTTTCTCGGCAGTTCTTGACTGAAGCGAGGAACAGCAATACTGGATCCTGTGGTCGTTCTGTTCATTGACTGAATGGGCCGTTGCGGTGTAGTCGGCTTCTTTGGGCCCGCGATGCCAGAGGTTATGGTACCAAAAGCTCCTTGAACACCTCCAAGAACAGCTTTCCCACCGCCAGCGATACCCTTCCCTCCCTGTCCTAGGACGTTCACGAACCCCTTGCCCACATTTTCCAGAGCTGCACCGCCTTGAACGAAAACGTTCTTTGTCTGAGTTGGCGCTTTTGAGATGCCGACCTCCTTATCAAGGAACTTCTTCATCGTATCGCTTTCAGCCAGTCGCTCATACTTCAGGGCATCCCGCAGATAGTACTCCAAGCCGGTGCGGAATGGTTTCCTGGCCACGCCTTTCCATGACGGTAGCTCCGGATACTGTTGTGAGAACTCAGGTACACCAGAGATTTTGGCTATGGTCAGAAGCGTAGGGTGGATCTTGACAAAGTCCAAATACCCACGGGTCACCATCCATCCGGGGAACTTGGAGGACGCTGGCTCAATCTGGATCATGTACAGGTCGTCCCTAGGCTCCTTTTTGATAGTCGATCTATCATCGCCATCGCCCAGATCGATCAAGGTGATAAAAGCATGCTGTAAGGTGAGAGGAAGGGGTACGACAACCTCTGCAATCTCGGGTTCGGCGGACCCTTCCAAGCCCATATCATCGAAGGTCTGTGCTGTCTGGCCCAGGGCTTCTGTGGAAGCTGATAAGGCAAGAGGCTCAATTAGAGGACCATCATCCCGAGGTGCTTCGACAATCTCATGGGTCTCGTCCAGCGCAGTACGACCTCCCCTACGAGTCGGGCTTGCGCTTGCTGACTGAATAGCATTCCCTTCCGCGTCGAACATGAATGAAGAGCGTGCCGACTTCCTGTTGCGGCCACTGTCCGAAGATGTGGGAGTGGTAATGCCTGCGACGCCGGTATCGGTAGTCGCTACGGACGTGGTCTCTTCGCTCTCAGAAGTAGCAACATCACGCTTCCGCCGTGCTTCGTCTTCAGCAATCATGGCATTGAGCTTTTCTGCTTCCTCAATTGCCTGTTGCATGGCCTCCTCGGCTCTGCTGACTCTACGTTGATGTTTTGCTTGCTCTTTTGAAGTAGCCTTGGTTGGGCTCTGAGAACCCTTGTTCATGTTACCGACGCCAGCGTCGATGATATTCATTACCTCAGGCTCGCCATCTTCCAGTAGATAAACGATCCAGCCGTTGATCCACTCCGGTTTGGAGCACATAACAATCATGGGTTGGAGAATGAGGCCACAAAGCACTTCTCGCAGGAATGCTTTCACTGGAGGACACTCGTAGGATTGCTTGTCCAGAAAGCTCTGCAGTATATCATCCGAGACAACGGCAAGCTTTCGCTCTTGCTGAGACGTGTTGATGACGTTCGCCAGGTTGCTATCAGGTTGATACTGCAGGTATGTTTGTATGGCAACAGCTGGGTCCTGATTTTGCGATGCTTTGAGTGCGGAGCCCAGCTCACTGAAGAACACAATCATGATAGATGTGGAGTTGGCCATAAAATCGAGGACAGGGTCGGCTGTCCGTTTGCGAGACAGCCGGTTTGAGAATGACAGGATAAATTGTGTAAGGGTCTGCCGACATGCGGCTGGGAATGAATGTTCCGTCGGGAGGAGTGGGCGGTACCACCAGTGCACATAGTCTCGAATGACTGCTTCTGTGAACTCGTTGAGGGCCGCCTGAGTCTCTGGTTGGAAGCCCGAGTAATTTAGTTCATAGTCCGGGTCTGTGAGACGGGCAGAAGTGTCAAGCTGCCCGGTCTCAGCACTTGTCTGTTCCTCGTGCTTGCGGTCCCGCCAGTCGAGCGCTCTCTTGACGACCTCTATCCCTAGCTCTCGCTTCTTTTTCTGTTGGCGCTCTTGGCCGCCATCGCCGTCGTCGGAAGCAGCTTGGCCCTCCCATGTGGCATGTAAGACGATACCACCAACTGCGCCGATCAGAACTAGGCCAAGGCGTCCGAGCACGAGGTACGTAGAGGCTGCAAGACCAACAGCACAAGCGCCAAGTGTCTCATTGCTTGCGGTAGAAAGGAATTGTAGCGCCGAGTTCTGAAAGGCGCGTAGGCGGTCCGACGTTGAGGGCAGCACAGGGGTTGCGGAGGGAGTAGATTGCGGTTTTGTGAGATTTGGAGGATTCTCGTCGTTCAGGACAGATCCGGAGCCTGCGTCCACAGTCGGGTGGCCCTCCATGCTATGTTGTTACGAGCATAGGAGTAGGCTGGAGACGGAGCGCCTAACGTTGTCAAGGAGAAGGAGTGTTCATTGTATACATACCCTTGCAGTTCCGCTCCACGCCGCAACGGGGAGATAACCGGAAATAAGAAGAGTTGAACTGATCACCACCTGTCCAAATATTTTTTTACAACGCTGTGTCTGCTCCCCGTCGCTCTGTTGTTTTCGGTACATGTTCTGGCCCTGAATACACAATATCTGACAGAATGGCTGACCAAATCTGTGCGAGCTGCCACGACACCTTGTGGCTGGAGATCGAGCCCGACAGTGACGACGAAGACAGCAAGGCACCGGCAAAGTCAGAGGCGATTCCAGATGATGTGGAACTCTCCTGTGGATGCCATTACCACTGGTAGGCAGACTTTCGTATGTGACATGTTATCTCTACTTACGACTATGGTCAGGGAGTGCTTCTTAGAGGCATACACCATTACACAATGCCCCAATTGCTCAAAGGACATTTCTTCACTTTCAGAGTCAGGCCATCAACAGGTCCTATGCACCATCCGCAACGAGGGAGGTATCCAGGAGAAGTTCGATATCCTCCCGTCGGCCACGGAGGAGGCCTACCTGCGGGCTTACCCTGAGGAGAGACGTGCCCATGCGTATCTGCAATTCTGTCGGGAAGGCGACGTCGACGCAATCATCCACATGATCCAGGACACAGACGAGGACGAAGACGACGCGGATGAAGTACACGACCAGCCGGACACGGACTTCCTCACATACACGGGCACTTTTGAAGGAATCGAAGGCTCCGGACTGCATGTTGCTATTCGATATGGGCGGGAAGACGTGGCTTGGCTTCTACTTGCTCTCGCTTCCACACTGGACTGGTCGCAATTTCCTGCACAGGTCCTTGAGGCAATGACGAGTCTGGGTCTGAGCAGAGAGGACCGAGTCAAGGGGATCGACATCCGCAACGTCAACGATTCCGAGGGACGTTCACCAAAGACACTTGCGGAGCAGCTCGGAGGCCCATGGAAAGCCTGGATAGATAGCGGGCGGTTGACGGCATGATAGTTGTATGGCATCCAAAATTCTCTACCTTTCATTATGCCAAAGAGCAGAGATCTAAAGCAATAGGAGCCGAGTCATTCTCCGCCATCCGAGTGAATCCGACGCAAGATTTAATAGCTTGCCAGATGCAAAGAAGAAAGCGTGTTTGGTTTAGGGCTGAGGCTTGCTTTCTTGATCACGCAGAATGTACTTCGTGTGTGTTCCGTGAGCCACGACAGATTGCTGGTCGCCAGTTCCCTTGTAAATAGTCACAGTGGTAAATCCCATGTTGCGTCCGACTTTGTTGGCCTTGCCTTCGATAGTCAAGACGTCTCCTTCCTTTGCAGTGCTCACGTAACTTACGTGGATATCGGTACTCAGGCCGGTCTTTTCCAGACCAGTACTGGCGATGGCCATCCCACCAGCCCAGTCGACGATCGTAGCAGAGACAGAGCCATGCAGACCGCCCTTGGAGTTTATCATGTTGCCATTGACCGGGATGCTTGCGACCATTGAGCCATGTTCAGCAGAGACAATTTTCATGCCCGTGAAGAAAAAATTGTACACCGGCGAGTTCGCCGATACGCGCTCCCAGCACGCTTGGACGGACTCGAGAGGTGTTTTGCCAGACATAGCTGCAGCAACGATGATATAATGAAGTTATGAGAGAAGTTCCTGGAGTGACAACCAACAGAGAGAAGTCGTCGGTACTTTTTTTGTTTCTCGGAGAAGTCGACCAGACCGCCGTCGGGGACACGTTGTTCCGGCCGAGGCAGTGAAATAAAATTTTGGCAGACATCCAGAGTCGACCGTGTAACACCAAGTCCGTCTGCTGCATTACTTCTGACCCAGATCACAGCAACGATGAGCAAACACAAGTTAGACGACTCTGCGGCGCTGGAGAAGCAGGAGCGCAAGAAGAGAAGAAAGGAACGCAAAGAAGCCTTGAAGTATGAGGACATCACTCCCTCCTCCACCGATGCCACTGCCGCCTCAACGCCTGTGCCCGAACAAAGCAAGGACGAGAATGAGAGCGAGCAGGACTACAAGCAACATCCTTCTTTGACCGCCCTCCCACAGTCTGATATCGACGCCTTCCATACCTCTCAGTCCGTCGAGATCTCCGACCCTCAATCCAGCGGTCTCCGCCCCATTCTCTCTTTCAAGCAATTGCCTACCGAACTCTCCGCTCAATTCTCCTCCGCATTCTCAAAGTTCACCGCACCCTCGTCGATTCAGTCTTCGACCTGGCCCTTCCTTCTCTCCAGCCGTGATGTTGTCGGCATTGCCGAGACTGGCAGTGGCAAAACCATAGCCTTTGGGCTCCCTCTCGTGGCACGCCTGCTATCCCTTAAAAAACAAAAAGGCGTTCGCGCGGTCATTATTGCTCCCACGCGCGAACTTGCAATTCAGGTTCACGATCAGATTGCCGACCTCTGTGCCTCTACTCCGTTGAAAAGCACCTGTATCTACGGTGGCAGCAATAAGGATGACCAACGGCGAGCTCTCAAGCACGTAAACATTGTTGTTGGCACACCCGGCCGAATGAAAGACTTCATGTCTGACGGAACACTCTCCGTATCAAAGACCCGCTACTTGGTGCTCGACGAGGCCGATCGTATGTTGGACAAGGGTTTCGAAGACGACATTCGGCAGATCATCTCCGAGATGCCCAGCTCCTCGAAAAGGCAGACCGCCATGTTTACTGCTACCTGGCCCAAGTCCATCCGTGACTTAGCCGCCACATTCATGAACAGCCCAGTCAAAGTCACCATCGGCCATCCGCCCTCTGACACCGGTGACCTCCGTGCCAACACGCGCATAAAGCAGACGGTCGAAGTTGTGCAACCCGACGCTAAGCAGCAACGCCTTCTCCAGCTCCTGAAGCAACACCTCGCCGGAGCCAAGAGCAAAGACCGCATCCTCGTCTTCTGCCTCTACAAGAAGGAGGCTACTCGCATCGAGTCCTTCATCAAATCCCGCGGCTACCCCGTGGCCGGCATCCACGGCGACCTTGCGCAGTCCGCCCGTCTCGCCTCCCTCTCGGCCTTCAAATCAGGCAAAACCAACATTCTCGTCGCTACCGACGTCGCTGCCCGTGGCCTCGACATTCCGGAGGTCAAACTCGTCATCAACGTCACTTTCCCACTCACCGCCGAGGACTATGTGCACCGCATCGGCCGCACAGGCCGTGCCGGCAAGGAAGGCTTGGCCATCACACTCTTCACAGAGCATGACAAGGCACTTGCCGGAGCGCTGGTGAATGTGCTAAAGGGCGCGAATCAGCCGGTGCCCCAGGAGTTGCTCAAGTTCGGTACGACCGTGAAGAAGAAGACGCACGAAGCGTACGGCGCCTTCGGTCCCAAGGAAGGCATGGAGGGTAAGAAGGCGACGAAGGTCACGTTTGACGACTGAGTGTGTCATGTGAGATCGGTGTTATTGGCCTCAAGAGTGTGCGATAGACATGGTGTCGGAAAAGCATGGCGTTCTTGGACTGTTTTGAGCCTCAAATCGGTGCTAGATCTAGATCTAGATACAGATGTAGAGTTGTGGCATGGACGTCTTCATGATCCAATGACCACACAACCGTGTCGAACTAATCCAATCATCCACGTTCACAGCTCCTTCTTCCCCTCCCCACCACTGCCTCTCTCCACCCCCACCACCCCCGACTGCTGACCCCCACCCAAAAACTCCTTTAACCCAGGCACCCTCTCCACGATCCTTCTCGGCACTACCGTCCTCAGCATCTCCGCCAAGAACTCCATCTCCTGCAGCAAGATACTCACGCCCAATACGAGCCCGCCCATAGCCACAAAGCTCAAGTGCTGCAGATGCAGCACTCCTCCTCCCCCTCGCACCCCCTCGGCGTTGGGCAGCGTCAGTCGCAGCCCCATCCACACCCCCACCGCCGCGACGAACGACAGCGCGTCTGGTAGGGCCTTGGGCCAGAACCAGGCATTGCTAACTTCTGCGCTTGCCTTTCTCGCCTTCACCTTCACCACCTCCCCCGCATCATTATCATCATCATCATCGGGAGGTCGCTCAGCAGTAGCAGCGGCGGCGTCGGCGGCAACCACAGCGGCAGGATGCCGGCTTCCATGATCCGCGATCCACCGCGCGACAAACCACGCCCCCCACGCAACGCGCGCCAGCATGCCCACGGCATTCGCCCACACGAGGCCCTGCGCGCCCACATCCATCTTGTTCAAAAACAACCAGGCCGCGGCGCCGTACAGGGCCGTGAAGCCCGCCATGGACAGGGACTGCCAGTGCAGTTGGGCGGGGGTGGCGACGCTGGTGACGAAGGCGTCGAGCACGCCGTTGACGGCCGTGAGGGGCACGTAGTAGACGTACGCGGCGAGGAGGGAGGTGGTTTCCCGGGTGCGCCATTGTGGGGAGAGGGCCAGGGGCGTGAGGGTCGGGAGGAGGGGTGGGGCCAAGACGGCGGCGAGGAGGGCGCCGAGGGTGTAGGTGTGCAGGGTTAGGGCGAGGTGGGTGAGGGCGGTGCGGGTGTTGGACTCTGAGGGAGCGGTGGGGGTGGGGTTGGAGAGGAGGGCGCCGAAGGTGTTGCGCGAGGATTCTTCGATGGGTTGGAAGAGGAGCCGGGCTAAAAGGCCGCCGTAGTTGGAGGCGAGAGCGAAGGCGCCTTGGGAGTGGAGGGGGGCGAGGAGCGAGAGGAGGAGCGTGTCGCCTTGCGTGAGGAGGAGCTTGAATATGGATTGGGCGTAGAGAGTGGTGGCGAGGGAGAGGAGCGGTCTGGGAAAGAGGGAGAAGAAGGCGCGGCTGTTGCTGGCTCGGGGAATCATCGAGGGCAGTAGAGTGCAGTTCGTGGCCGCCAACGCTCGCTGTGCGGCTAGGTAGTAGAGGATGAACAGCGTGACGCCGTAAGCTAGCTGGCCGGTCGCGAAGGGCAGGATCGAAGGTTCGTCCCCATTCCGGTATGTGTAAAATGCAACGCTGCAGGCGAATATGCAGCGATTAATGGCGGCCCGTGTCTCAGCGGCCGCTCGAGCCGCGAAGAGTGCTTGTTGCTGAATCACAACGAAGAAAGCTTCGGAGAGGAGCTCCACTAACGTTGCAAGAATGTAGTACTTGACAGCACGGGAGAAGTTTGGTGATGCCCTGGCTTCTGAGGGGGCGATGGAGAGGTAGTAGGCGAATGATGAGCCTCCGATCAGGATGCCCAGAAGGATGGCGAGGTAGGAGGCGTTGATTGCGCCTTGCAGCTGGATAGACGCTGCATCTTTGGATTTCGAGTTCGATGAATCCGCTGGAGCTATGCGTGGTTGGCGTTGCAAGGCCACTCGGAGAGATTCTCTACCGAAGTACAGTACAGTAACGCAAACGAGCTCGAGTTGGACAGCAATTCCTAGTAATGTAGGTGCTGAGTAGCGGAGAATGACTTGGTTGCCGACGAACGTTAGACCCCGGGAGGCTACTTGAGTGAGGATGAGGAGAGCCGTGTTCCCTGCAGGTTGACTCATCTTCACGTGCAGAGGGTCTGTGGTTGCTGTGGTTGCTGGCAAACCCAATGGTTGATGGAGAGGAAATGAGCCCAATAGTATTCATCAGAACAGGTGGCATTTAAATTCTTGGTAGCACTTTTGATTCCGAGTGACCCTCAATAGCTGTGACCGATGTTCTCAGTACATGACCTCAAGCAAGGAAGCATGGCCAACAGATCGATGATGCTCCGGGGACGTACTAAGGATTCAACTTCGTAAGGCGAACTAAATGGCACACTTCTTGGCGTGGGCCTGGTTGCCTGGTCGCCTTCTTTTCTTCTGTTCAAGCAGTAACTAAGTGCAGAGACGAGATGCTGAGTTTGCTGGGATCATTTGTCCTTCAGCGAGCTTAAGTGTTTGGATTCATCTCGATGGTGTTGATTGAGAGGGTATATAAAGTGGCCTAAAGACTCAAAAGGTCCGCTGTGTATGGCAAGATGCCATTCGTACACCCTGAGTTGCCCTGCCGCGCCCGTTCGCGCCCGTTCCATGCTGTAGCCCCCGCGATATGCTATGCCATCTCGTGACTCCAATGGCGTTCATTCATCATCGGATCCCCGCCACCATGTCGTCAGAGGCTCACGACAGGTAGACAAGTAAAGCCCTAAGACGGGTCTTTCACTGTGTTGATTACCAGGCAGTCTTCCGCGCGTCCCATCGACACATCTATAATCGTACAAGTTCATGGTGTCAGACTGTGTTCACGCCTCTCCCCACAAACCTCCGCTCGCCAGCACACTCCCGCTGCCAACGCTGCCGCCCAAGTCCCAGTAGTTCGCGCTACCTGCCCCACTGGCGCTCCTGCGCCTGCTCAGACTTCGGCCACTTTGCATGCTTTCACTTGCACAGCTACTCCCTGGTCTCCTTGCTGCCACCCCTGCTTGTGCTCCTAGCCGCGTCAAAGAGACTTGGCTCTCGCGTCTCGATCTGATCGGTGACCGAGGAGTCGTTGCCGATGCCGCCGGTCGTACGTGGGCGCGCGCAACGAGCGGATGGTGCTGCCGAATGATAGCTGTGCGCTTACCGATCTCCTCCGGACTGGTGCCATAGCCGCTGGCTCCACCACTGTTCTTGTTATGCTGGTGCTGCTGCGGGGGCGCTGTGGGAGAAGATCCGGTGATGCGTTCTTTCAGAAAGCGGAATACCATGCGGACGTCCAGCTCTCGTTCCCAGTACTCGCGCTCGCGCTGAAGGTCCAAAGTATCGGAAGAGAGGTGAGAGGAAGATGTTGACGCAGTGGGACCCTGCTGGAGCGAAGTTCCCGGCGCGGTGTCATCAAAGCCCCAGGAAGCGGCGTGACGAGGAGAGTGGAGAGTAGGCGGAAAGTTGGGCGTAAGAGCGGACGAAAACAATGCTTGGGACGACGGCGGGTTGGCAGACTGTCGTGTCTCGGGAATGGGAACGGCGGTAACTGGGAGGCCAGCATAATCGTGGGTTTGCGAAGAAGCTGGGAGGGCAGAGGTGTCTGTGTAGCTGGTGAAAGCACCAGGATGAGGAGAGATTGCGTGCACACAAACGCCTAGCTCGCGGGCTATACGATGGAGGAGGCGATCGCGCCATGCATCATCGAGAGATGATCCCAGCTCTGCTGAAGTTGATTCTGGTATCGTAGGTAAAGGTGCAGGCTTGGGCTCCAGAGCTTCTTCAGGCAGTGACTCTCCAAGAATGACGGATAAAAGAGGTTCATCGATACCAATGATGTCGCGAATGAATTTACGAGTCAACCGTCGCCAGAATGGCTCGTTTTCGCACTCGGCCTCCGCTCGTTGAGATGGACGTAGATAATCGGACTGCTTCGGTGTTGAACCTAGCAGGTCTTGCGTATCTGAGACGGAGACACCCTGTTGTACAGATTGTCGTCGTACCTGCCGGCGAGTCTCTCTTTCCACCTCCTCCAGCATCGCCTGGGACTGATCTAATCGCCACTTCTCTATCCGGACCCTCTTCTCTTCGTTGGCTTGTGCTTCGAGTTCTTCTACAGTGTCAAATCGACGTTGTACGCTTGATGGCCGGCGATGATGGCCTTGGTGCTTTCGCTTCGGGTTATAGTGCTCATGCTGCCAGAGCTGCTCCAGCACAGGTGGGCTGGAGGCAGAGAACCCACCCAAACCATCGTGCGTGGGTAGGACAGCGCCTTGAGAGTGTTGCGTGTGTGATGGGTATAGTGGCTCTTGGAAAGCATGCAAGCCCTCATCGAGTGTGTCTAGCTCACCATCTTCGGTAAGGTCCTCGTCGAGTGCTTCGGATTCTAATTGTGACCGACCAGCAAGTTGGAGAGATGCGAGACCGCTCGTCCGGGACAAACCAGCCGTGCGACTGGATCTCTCTGTACTGGATCCGATTTGTGATGGGGAGAAGAGAACCCATTCCTGTGACTCTTCCAACTGCGGACGAGCGGTGCTTATCAAAGTTGAATCTTGCAGGGGAGTATGAAGAATGCGCCGTGCAGTCGCTCCAGTGGGTGCTTGGAAGGCCATGGTTGGTGTCGAGAGAAAGCGGGAGGGTCAAAGCCCTGCGACCGCCGGAGAAGAGGTCTAGTTTCCCTTGATGCCGTCTCTTTTTGATGGTTCCAGGTCTTAAAGGCAGCGCGTTGGGCTCGTTGGGAGTCAGCAGATGTGGGGTTGGGTAGTGGTCACGCTGTCAAAGGCGTGACGACATATCCGTCGGAATGGCGAACAAAGACGTGCTGATTCAATGGGAAGGAGTGATATGTATGATTACTGAATGAGGATCGTAGGTTAGTGATATTCAGGCATCTCGTAATCGTTACATGGAAGTGCAGCTGTGATGGAAACGTTGAAGCGTGTGCGTAGTCATCGTACTCTGTTGGAGGGTGGCTTAAGCCGCGATCCGATAAGGGATAAGGGGATGGACCCTCGTCGCCTGATGAGCTTAACTGGACGGATATGCAAGATCACTGGACCTGTGCCCTGAAACCGGTCATTTTGCCATCCTTTCAACTGGCCCCTACGTCAAACAATTTGCTCATCGTCACTATATCGTTGGACTTCTGCTGTTCTGCAGATTGAGACTTCCAATCCGAGCCATTTGCATCAGTATGAATATGCCAAGCGAAACAACTTCTTGCCATTGATATGCCTTCTGCTGTTAGTCATATGCACGACTTGTTGGACCTGCTTCATTCGAAATAAATGCAGGAAATAGTGAGTACGAGTTTGAGCCTTTCTCATTGATACTATCTTAGCACGACTCCGGAAATGCTAGAGGCGAACATTCACCTCTCCCATAGTATTTCATCATCATCACCATGTTTTTCTGTCTTGATTTCCGTACAATGAAAGGACTCTAAGCCTCAGAGGCAGTCTCATAGGCACCAGGGAAGCGGCGCATGTTCTGCTCGATGCGGCCCTTGTTGCGCTGGAACTGAACGTAGGCACCGTCCTGGAGCAGACGACCCTCCTGCTTGAGCTTGACGTAGTCGTCGCGGCGAAGAGGAGTGAAGCCCCAGTTCTTGCTGACGATAATCTTTTGGCGACCAGGGAACTTGTACATGGAACGACGCAGGGCCTCGATGGCGGTGGCGCGGTTGGAGTCACGGGTGCGGACCGAGAGAAGAATCTGACCGATGTTGACACGGGCGACGGTTCCGTTGGGCTTACCCCAGGCACCACGCATTCCGGTCTGCAGTCTATCGGCACCAGCGCACGACAACATCTTGTTGATGCGGACGACGTGGTAGGGGTGGGCGCGAACGCGGAGATGGAAACCTTCCTTGCCAGCAACTTTGACGAGGTACCTGTAACTATCAGTAGCCATTCTCCTCCTTTTTATTTTGGTGCTACTCACTTGTTGGCGCAAATACGGGCGGCTTCGAGGGCTTCAGAGCTCAGCTGTTCGTACTCGTTGGAGACCATGTGCACGCAGAGAGGGAACTCGTCGACATTGGCACGTTTGCGACCGAGATCGAAGATGCGGATCTTAGGGTCGGGCACACCACGGTTGAACCGAGACTTAGGGTAGGGCTATATCGCTGTTAGAACTTGTCGCCGCTTTCGAAACAGGTTTTGCGTCGCTGTTGGTGGCGCAGGATTTTATCGGTGACAACGAGAGGCACATACCTTGTTCTTGCAGTAGCGGTAGCATCTCGCGGGTCTTCTGGCCATTTTGACGGGTTGACAGAAGAACTTGCTAAAAGACTGAGTGATGTCAAGGTGGATGAGAGCCAGGAAAGCGCAAGATGTAGACGTCCCTGCGCCTCCCAAGTGTATTTCAAAGCACTCTTGGCACTGGGCATTGTGGGCGGCTCTGTCTATTTCCTAACTCCGGCCTGGAGCGCCTCTGACTCACTTTCTTACCTGAAGCACCAATTCAGGTAGGCTTCCCGCAAACATGCGATCAATCTCAGGGCATGGTGGCTAGCTACAGAGGATTGTTGGCTCTCAAGGCATTGCCTTTGCCCCCGAAGATACCGGCATCGCCTCTCCCTGAGCAAAAATAAGACTTCCACCCTTATTCCAGTTGTCCACCACACACATGACCACTACAAAATCGGGCCACAGCCTGCGACAGCAGCTACCGTGACTCCCCGTTACCAGCACTGCAAAGAAGTTTGGTCGGCGAGCTCGGCGGCTTAGTTATCTAGTGATTCACGAAGCACCGTGCCAGTCTTAAGTTCGAGACCCACTCGGCATCGGAATCGTTTTGACCGAGCCTGGTTGCTGTCGCTTGTGCAATAGGCACCCTGCCCTGGCAGACTTGTCGACAGTCCATCAAGAAGTATTCGAGTGCTTGTGGCTGCAGGTCATTAGATAGTATCTGGTCAAATAGCCTTCTTTGACCCCCATCGATGGTGGTGGTCAATTTGCAAAGCGGGAAGTTTTCCAAATACATAATTTGTCACTGCTAAGTAGATTATATGGTCCTATCGGACTGTTGGAAAGACGGGGTCAAGTCGTAGATTGTCTATTTGAAGTTGGGTGATAGACAATGAAGTCGTCATGACATGCTGACGTTGGGGATCAGTTACTGCCACCGCAGCTGCTCGTCAGACTGTCCTTCCCAGGCGGCATGCTCGCCATCTCTAGTGTTCCGCACATGCTTCATACGGTTTGCGTCAAGCCATTTAAATCTGGCCGCTGAGTATATCCGAGTCACCAGCATCAATGACAGCCATGGTGGAGCATCGGAAGAGTTTACCGCAGGCGGTACCCAGTTCAATCTGAGCCAAAGTTAGTGTTACATCCCTCCGAAGCTGTAGAGAGCTTCTTCTCAGGGCCTCTTATTGCACGTACATTGTTTCCAGCGAAATGGTGAACAGGGGTCTTGCTAAGCATGGCAATATACTCGAGCTCGGACTTGCGCAGAGGAGGGGTGTTGCCGCTGATGATGACCAGCTTGGCCTTGTTGGTGCGCAGACTCTTCAGGGTAGACTTGTAGCCGAGAGTGACAGTACCGCTCTATTTCTCCGGTTAGCATCATGCAGCAGCAAAAGCATTGCATTTTTCCCGCGCTCACCTTCATGACCAAAGCCAATCGAGAGTTGATGGAGTTGGCATCCTTCTTGCTCTTAGATTTAGGGGCCATCGTTGCGCTGTCTACTGGTGTAAAGTAGAGATTGAATTGAGGCGCTCCGGCAGATGAACGAGGATTGCGATTGAGTGGTGATGGGGAGAAGAATGGTTGCCCAAAAAAGTTCGCGAAGTTTCAATGAACGAGTGCCACTGCGGTGGACAAGTGCGGCCTTGGCACACAGATGGCTTGGCGTGCTCTGTCTACGGTGGCGGGTAGACCTTGTATGCGGCCCTCCACCCATGCACCCATGCACCCATGCCACCGTTTGGCGGGTGTGCTCACGGGCAGCCGCAGCAACAACGCGGAATGACATGTGCCACCACTCTAACTTGCATTGTACCTGAAATACCTGCTTTCGATCACGGAAACGTTGAGCTGAGCGGTCACTGGTGGCTACGTTAGATCTTTACTAGATACCAACCTGATCTACACAGTCCTTGTGGCGCAGCGTCCACTGACCACACATCCTTGCATACGGATATTCGGTAACCCTTCTGCTCCCACTACCGACGCGCATGTTTCAGATGCTCCAGGCAGCTTCTAACCCTACCACGCGATCACTTTTCGCTTCCTTCACTATCGCAAACTGCATACTCATTCAACATGTCGACGCCTACCGCTCGGAAGCCCCTTTCCAATACTCCCAATTCGAGCCCCCGCCGACCCTTGGATGGAAGTCCAGCAAGGCCAACTTCTTCAGCATCCGCAACCAGTGTCGGACAAGGTCTGGCTAGAAGTCCTTCACTACGAAACCAGAGGCCAGTGAGGAGATCGAACGCCCGTATGAGCACCTCCTTCACGCCTGACCAATTAGAACAAGAAGACGAGGATGAGAAGAACGCGAACATGCAGCCCATTGCTGATTTGAAGGAGCAAGTATCGCGCGCGGAGCAAGCGTCTGAACAGTATCGCAAACAACTTGAAGTCATGCAGCAACGCCTTGATGATGCCACCAATGAACAGACGGCTGCCGAAGAACGCGATTTCGCGCGGCAAACCGAGCTAGACAAGTTACGCGCCGAGATCAAAGAGTCGGCGCGCCAGAACAGAGAACTGGAGACCTCCTACGAATCCGATCATCGTATGCTCCTCCAAGAAAGAGAAAGCCAATCCTCGAGAGAAGCCGAACTCCAGGCTGTGATAAACAGATTGAACGAGACATTGCGGAACAAAGGCATTGAAAAGTCAAATGCTAGTCGAGCAGGTAAGTAAATGTCTCTTCGCATTTGTCCGACGCTAATGAAAGCAGCCTCTCTGCCTGATCCTGCGGATGGTGGCCCAGACCAATCTACCATGCATCTGGCGGCTCTACAGGAGAAAGATACAGTGATCGAAGCAATGCGCCTTGAACTCGCTGAACTTCACTTGCAGGCTGCCGAACAGTCTCACATGGGTGACGGGCATCTTCAGGATCTTGAGAAAGAGATCTTAGACACTAAGATGCAAAATGCTAGATTGTTAGAGGAGAACGAAAGCTTCCAGATGCTACTAAGTGAGAAGACTTTGAAGGGTGATTTCGCTCTTGATCACCACGAAGATGCGGTTTCAGGTCTGAACTCTCTAGCTGAGGAGCTGGAGAGCGCCGGTGACGACCCTGAAGCACAAAGCGAAGCAGTCAAAAAGATCGAAAGCGAGAATCGGGCCTTGAAGGATCAGAACAAAGCTTTGACCCTCTACGTCGACAAAATCATAGGACGTCTGCTCAGCAACCCCGGCTTTGAACATATCATTCTGGATAAGGATCCTGGAGAAGCAGACATGCCGCCACCGCCACCGCCCAAGACCCCAGGTAAGGCTCTGCCGCCAACGCCTGCTGGAGGTCCTGATGAGGCAGCGCAAAGCGCCGTTGGCGGCTTCTTGCAAAGGGCTAGGTCAGTTGTGGCTCGCGGCAACGCGCCTCGACCAAGTCGTCCCGAATCAATGCTACAAGCATCGGCACTGGCTCCCACGGCACACGAAAACCCTGAGACAGCCCCTAGCATTCCCATAAATCGCGGTCACAGAAGAGCTCGGTCTGACCAAGCCCAACAAGACGCCAACGTCGCCGCAGCCGCCGTGGTGCAACAGATGACTCGCAGCTCTACCTTCCGGTCGCCCTCGTCTGGCCCTATGTCTCCCGGACTGACACCACTGTCTCCACAACTTTCATCTGGAAGCAAACCGAACTACTTCCCCTCACCATCCAACACTTCACAAGCAGGCAGCACCACGACAACCGCACGGGTGCCATCTACGTCGCTCCAAAACACCGGCAGCTCGCGCAACAGCGTCGCTTCAGATGGTAGTTTCGGCCACGACAAGTCGTCCGTCACCGATGCGAGCTCCGTTCAGATCAGCAATGCCCCTGGGCCGGGACCCGCAATCCCCGGTGCGGTCATGAAGCAGAACCAGATGCGACCCTTACGGCTAGTCAACCAGGTCAAGGACGAAGAGGAGGCGCAGAAGAAGGCCAACCGCGGCAGCTGGATGGGCTGGTTCAATCGTGGTGCCGCGGAGCAGGCTCCTCAGGGCTATCAATGAGGCAGGGGTCACCGTAGCTCGAGCGGGTTCAGTGTTGAGTGGGTAGAGGTTCGCCGCTAATACATGCGGGCAGCCTGGCGAGGACTCGGTTGCCTCTGACAAGCACAGTGTTGGAATGATGTTTCTTCGACTTTTGTTTTTATACCCCGGATAGATCACGTCTGTCATGTCACCCCGGCGTCTTAACCAGATGCTGCTTTTGCATGCTCTTTTTTCACTCATTCCTCTCCCTTCCGATTCCTTCTTTATGCTGTTTCCTGCTATCATTCGCTTCGATGCCAGCCAGCACCGGTAATTCCCTGAACTGGTGCTTAGAGAGAGAATCAAAAGCTTTGCTGCGGTAGAGAGCCGCTTTCTATCATAAATGCGCCTCGTCTCGTCTATCTATGTATGCTTGCTCGGTGCTCACGCTGGCTGCTACTTCTATGCTTTATCTAGTGCGTCTCAAGTCTAATGATATATGCATGCACCGACGCTAGATGCCAATATAATGCTGCAGCTCTATTTAGATCACTCGTTCGCCTCCTCAACCTCACCGGGTAAAGGACTGTTTTTGAACTCGCTTTCCCCAGTGACGTTGGTTGCAACCCTCGGCCACCGTGCGCAACTTCGCCTCTCCCCGATTGCCCACCTGCACCCTCATGCAAGCAACATGTCCAAATCAAGCCTGCACCTTCACGCCGACGCCCCTCTCCAGCTCCTCGCCCTTATTCGCCTCGGCCTCGACCTCTGCACCGTCCACCTCCCTCGCCTTTGCCGCCACCATATTCCCCTCCTTCTCTTTCTCGGTAGCAGCATCATCACCCCCCAAAGCCGCCCCACTCTTCCACTCCCACCCCTCCCCAATGCGATCCGGCCTCTGCAACCCCCTACTCTCCCACCCCACCATCGTCTCCTCCTCCAAACCCACCTGCTCCTCCCACCCGGGCATCGCATGCTCCACGCCCCTCTTCCTCCGACTCTCCCTCGTCTCCACGATCCTCGCCTCATCCTCATCCTCATCCTCTGCGTCAACCTCGATCCCCCCCTCAAACTCATAAGCCCTTGTCTCACAATTCGCCCACCCCGTCCCCAACCCCCGACTCGCCCCCTCCCAATCTCCCGTGAAATAATGCAGGAATCCGCCGTGCGTGACCAGCACGATCTCCGGCTTTTCCACCCCGGCCGCCACGAGTTCCCGCGCTTTCTGGCGTAGGAGTTGGCGCGTGGCGCGCGCGCGCGATTTGATCGCCGCGGCGTGCGGCGAGTAGCGCGTGGTCAGGCCCTTTTCGGTCCAGGAGGGGTGGAGCAGGGAGAGGTCGACGGGCCAGGATGAGCGGGACACGGAGGCGGCGAGCGTGGTCGGGTCGGAGCCCGTGTCGCAGGGGAAGTCGGAGGTTTCTTGGGCGTCGGGGAGGGCGAGTATGTTGGGACGAGGGGTGGTGGGGGTGTTGGTGGATTTGACGTGGTCAGAATGCGAAGGGTCGAGGAGGGGTTGGAAGGTGAGGTAGGCGGTGTGCAGGGTGCGGGTTAGTGGGGAGGCGGTGATGAGGGAGATGCGGCGCTGGGCGTCGCCGGGGAAGTGGGCGGCTTGCAGGGCGGCGCATTGCTCTTCGCCGGCGGGAGTGAGACGAGGGTCGCGCAGGGCGTGGAATTCGGTGCCGAGGTTGTGGAAGCCTTGGGCGTGGCGGACGCAGTGGATGATGGCGGACGGCATGGTGGCGGTATGTGGTTGTGGTGGGGGTTGGTGGTCTAGATGTTTGATGGCCCTAGGTTTATATGGTGCCGGGATAGAGGATAGGGAAGAGGAACGTCCGTGGGCGAGGATACCAGGTCTGTATGACGGACTGAGTGCAATTCTATGAGTGAGCGACGTAAAGTATGAACGTAGGTGAAGAAGAGGAAGACATTTACAATATGACCAATACGTCCGATCCGTGACAAAAGGCGAAAGTACTTGCACGTCTAGGCATTTCCCCTGCCGAAATCGCTCACATCCGGCTCCGACTGGACTCTGCTGCTATCACCATGGCAAACACGGTGTCGAAAGCGATTGCGTCGGTGTGGGGAACGACTCAGGCCGGCAAATGCGCTGCGTTGCGTTGTGTTTGAGAGATATTTTTTTTCCACTGCCTGCTGCGTTTTCCAATGCAGGAATATAATTGGTGGGATCTGCCCTTGGATACGGGCCGTGTCCTGCCGGGCATTGCAGTGCTTACAAGTACCTACAGAGAGAGATCTGAGCCTGCAAACGTGACCCTATGATTGGAGACTGGGATTCAAGTGGCACGCTTGAGCGCATTTCGCAAAGGGGACTGCACTTGGTTGTACGTCTCGTAGCTAACAAAACCTCTAGAGCTGGCCGAACCCTTTCCCTTCGCGGATCGCCTTGCACAGTCTTTCACGGAGGACCTCCTTATACAACTTGCCCGCCCTTTTGCCGTCAATGCCCTCCTCGTCTTCCCCCACGACCCTGTATCGTGGCAACAACAACCTTCCATAGCAGGTACTACTGCTGGGCAGTCGAGCGTTGTACGTCTTCTCCTTTGGGCCTGTGTCTGCAGCGCCATCGACCTGTGCCGGGCCAGCAACCGTCCGTTCTCCATGCACTGTTGAACTATTCTGCCCGCCGGAGGTCGTGGGTATGTCCCGTGACGTGTTATCGACGCCAGCATCAACCCAGACATCTCCATTTCTTTGCAGGACAAAGCTGCCCCGATGCGCCCCGCTGCCACCGTTGCCACCCCATCCACCGACAGGAACGCGGCTACTGGCCAGGATGAATTCAAGTAGCCCCTCAAGAAAACCATCCTTTCTCTCTTCGTCACCGCTTGGTCTCGTGTCTTTGGCAGCCTCCTCTTTCACGACGTCCCAGAACGCGCGCACATAGTGGTCGTCCTTGTTGTAATCCTCATAACTCGCATGTTCCATCAAGTCTCCGATATCGATCTTGCGTTCGCCTTCGATGACGTCTCGTAGTTGATTCGGTGTGAAGAGCTGCAGAGCAGCCGGGGAAACACAAACATGGAATCCACGCGTGAAGGCGGTATATTGAGGCGCGACACTGTCTGAGGTGAGGTGCAGAATGTAATCCTTGACGTAGGGGTGACGGCTGCTGTTGGTGACCAGCGGAGACTCATCCTTTGACGCCAGCGACCGAGAGCCTGACGATGCCGCACCGACCAAGCATGACTGTGACAAAGGAAGAGCGGCGGGCGAAGATGATGGAGATGGAGTGCTGACGGGCGTGGACACGGAAACAACGGCCGTGTCAACGGCTGGCCCGGACGAAGAGGTGGAACTGGCCCCCGTGTCGATGTCTAGGGACGGTGAGGGCGAAGCAGATGATGCTTCGGGTTTGGGCGGCAGATGCAGCATAGGAGGGAGCTCAAAAGTCGGTGACTTGGCCTTTTGCTTGCCCTTCCAGCCTGGACGCGGAAGGGGCGCATATTGAGACCTGCGGTGACCTTTGGTCTTGCTCATATCCGTCGTGTATACCTTACCGCCAAACTCATAGCTGAATTCGTAGGTGCGACCAATATCCTCCGCAACATCTCCGTCATATGTAATGAGCTGATCAAGTCCTTTCGCAAGTTCAGGCCAGCCGTCTTGAATATGCTCGAGCTTCTTCACCTTGAAGCCCAGTAGCTTTCGGTAGAAGGCCAGTGGCATAGTAATGGGAAGAGTGACCCCATTATAAACCGCCAGGCCCATCAACAATCCAACGGCTTCGAATCGCCATGACGGCTCGACACTTCCCGGTTGGAACCATGTCATTTGTGTGCGATCATCGACGGTGAACATTCCATGGTCGGGATTGAATGCTTCTGCAAAAGCAAGGCGAAAGAATTCCTGCTGCACACCACCGTGATCCAGACCGTCTTCACCCTCCTCTCGGCCCAGGCGGACGCGCAATGGTCGAAGAATCTCTCGCTTCTGCCGCCGCCACAATTGATTGATTGCGTCTTCGAGAACATGCGAGCGCCGAATGGTCATCACAAAATACTTGGCCATATATGGCCTCAGGGATTGAAGAACTTCGCGACCACCATAGACCGGAATCGTTGAGCCCTGCAAGAATTGGTAGGCGTCGCTGAATACCATGCTTGCCATCTCGAAAGATGCTTTCATTGCCGTCACATTAATGGCACGGAAATACTTGACCAACTTTGACGTCTCGAAAAGGAAGGGGTAGCTCAGAATATGCGTCTGACGGGCTGTAGGCGTAAAGTGCAGCCATTCGTTGGGAAACTCCATCTCGTCGAAGGCATTACCAATGAATGGCATCTCACAGAGGCCTTCGAGATCAGGAAGTTCGAAGATATCGAGACGGTTGTACAACGCAGAGATGAGCTCCAGGGCGCCACCGACGGATCCAGTGCGAGAAATGATGGGCGTACGGTCCCAGTCTTTGAGAAGCACTGTGCGGGCGATGTCAATTGCGCTTAGGCAGAGCATGAACCGGTATTTGACGTCGTGTCCTGAGACGATGTCGAGTTGCTGGAGATCGCTGCAGAGCAGGTCGAGGACATCGTCCATGACATTCTTCGGCTTCACTCTGTAAGAAGACTTTATCTTCCGGATCTCCATGGCGGCCGTATGGTGGCTAATGCAGTCGGTGAAGGTACTGATAAGTCGTTGACGGTGCCAATCTTGGAGGTGGTCGAGTATTTCTATCAGTAGCTCGGCAGTCTCGCGGTCCTCTTGGTCGATGAACTTGCCGAATGTGAAGCTGGCTCGGTTGTCGTTGCGCACATCTGCTACGCCGAGGAGTCTGACCTCATCGAAGCCACGATCTGACCACCGGAATTTCAGCAGTGGCGTGGCAAGCGCCATCAATACTAGAACAAAGATTTGAGAGATCTGCTTCCGGTCCGGCAGGCGCCCAGTCTGTTGAATAAAGTCGGCCTGGGCCGCTGAACCCTTACCAGAGATGTCGTAGTTGCCGCCTCCAAGACCTTTGAAGGCTTTTCGGGCAAGCGTTGCAGCCTGTTCCCCATCATATGCCGGGTGGTCCACGTTGTAGCACTGCTGGATCATATCGTGTAATGCGTCGAACAGTACGTCTGTGCCGTTGGCGACTAATTCCACGATCTCAAATGCAGCTATCGTCTGAGGACCGTCAAAGTCATGAAGGTATCGGTCTGTGGCTGCGGAATCCCTGCGACGCGGAGGGCGTTGGCTGGTCGGCGAGTTCAGACTCGCTTGTATCAGCCGTACTCCAGTAGGGCTACGCGGCGCGCTTTCTGGTCCGTCGCTCTCCGAGGGCGCCCCCTCGTAGCCCCAAGACTTCGCAGATTCAATCAGGCGATTGGGATTGCTGAAGCTGTAATATATGCTCTGTTTGATGAATGTTTCAAACGGAGAATTAGTCGGCACGCCCAACTCTCCATGGTTCTGTACAAGCCAGTCCAGGTTATCCCACGACAGGCGCCTCAATGTGAAGCCTCGAAATGCAGTATTCATATGTAGGTGCGTGTTCTCGTCCCAAGGAGATCCGGCCTCGGCATCAATGGTTCCGAACCCAGCATCGTCAACTTCGGGGCAAGCTTGCGCAGGAACTTCAGGGGCTTGAGGGTGATCGTCTTTTAGCTCGATTGACGTATTCAGCTTTCGAAGTGTACAAGTATTCCACAGGCTCTGGGCAAATGAGGCGAAGTCGACCTTAGAGTCACCGCGCGATTTGGTACTATCGTTCTGACGTACTTCCGGTCTCGGGTTGACCTCGTCCTGATCCTTCTGCATTTCAAACGACATCATTTCCATGGAAGCTTCCAGGGCCAGAATCTGGTCCTCGTCAAGAGCGTCTTCAGGACCGTGACTGCTCTTGTAGTTGACGAGGGTCGACTGGTTCTGAATCGTAGCCGCCGTGGTCCAAGCCATCTTGGACTTCCCGTTGTCTCTCCAGACCACGAGATATTTGATGCAATCCTGCTCCACACGATGGGCGAAGATCTGTTCATGCGGACGATTCGTCTTTTGGGGATTTTCTTTCTCGGGATTGTTCATCTTGTCTGATTCAACATTTGGACTGGCCGAGCTACCAAGATTTGCCGAGCTCAAAGGTGTCGAAAGTGGTGCGTCATTCTTGGTTGACGGTGCTGTGTCCTTCACGGATGAATTTTGAGTCGAGCTAATGTTTTGAAGCCCACTGTTGTCGCCAGGTATGGAACAAGAGCCCTGCCTTGAGGACCTCCGGGCGCCATTGACTGGATGAGATGTAGTACTCAACCGTTTCTCTTGCTGAGCACGAAGTTGACCGTTTGCTGAGGTACGAGACGCTCTCGACGGAGTATAAGCTGGCGTGGCTGTCCGCTCTTGCGTAGTACGGGGGTCCTGGTACCACGGAACTATTGGTTGATTCGGACACAGTCCCAATGTGGGATCTTTGCGGTTGCGAGTGCTTTCCTCCACCAAGTGACATGCCAGTGCCCTGGCGCTCGTTTCGGTATACCTTCGAACTGGAGTTTTGCTGTTTCTCCGCCTGTAGCTCAAGCAAGTGGGAGTAGCGCAGTGGCGGTTGTGACAGCCATACTGTATCTGGTTTTCATAGCGACGGGTGATCAACCGCAGTCGACGGTCGCGCTCTACTTGAATATTGCGATAGGAATCTTGCGGCTCATTCTGTATGATGTCTCGAGCGACCGCCGCCGGTATAGAGCGCAGTGCATTGACCCGGAGTCGTTGGTACTCCTCGAATGACTCCGCCGGGTCATAGGACTGTTCGGGATGGTAGTGCAGGACGGCATGCTTCGAAGAGGGCGATCGCATAGCCGCAACGGAGCCACTGGCTGGTCATATGTTCGAAGATAGTAAATAGCAGCAGAAAAATCGTTCGGTGCCTTGTAAATAAGATGTAATACAGAGCCGGCGAGAGCGTGAGGCGAGGATGGGCGCCCGTCGGCAATTGGCCGTCCCGCCTGTATTTCAGCCTTATTACTTAGCCTCGCTGCAGGCAGTTATACGCTGCAATTACGAAGCGAAATGGAAGTAAATATGTTGCATTTGCAACATTGAATGTCTCCATTCGGGATTAGAGAGTAGTATACATTCGGGTGGAAGCGTTCGTCAACTAGTCGCGCGCCATCACAAAGCAGAGTGGCCAGGATGATAGATCTGATCCAGTCCGCCTCCGATCAAAAGGGCTTGAGTACTAGTACCTGCACTTTCGCATCTCAGGATATTGTTGCGGCCACCACACCCTTCACCCACTGTTCCATATCTCTTAAAACAGCCCAGATCTTTTGCCGTAATCATACACCCGCTATGCAAATAGAAGTTTCGTCGTTACGAAATCGAGAAGAGGAGATTGTGGCCGAGGCTGATAGAGATTCATGCGCGCACCCGAAGAGTAACGCTTAGATGAAATGCGGAACGGTAGCCAGCTCAAGTCATACTGTGCCGAGTTTGCTCGCCTCTGGAGGAGCAGCGTTGGGAGGAGGGAGCTGCAGCGATTAGATTAGCTGATCATGGAGGTCTGGAAGTGAACTCACATCAAGTCGAGTCCCGTCGGCCATCATGCGCTGGATACCAATGCCGACACCCTCAATGACGGCCAGGAAGATGCCGCACATGATGGCACCGTTCCGGGCGGCTCTCCATCCTCCTCTTATAGCTAACGAGCCACCGGTCAAGAAACCTGCAATAATGGAGTTATATGGGTCTTCCTTCTTGCGGATGCCTTTCACCGCGCAGTCGTATGTGCTGAACATTCCTCCCCATACGCCAAAATTGCCGCCCGTCACTGGTGCTCGCGCCTTGATGGCTGTGATCATGCCTATCCGTCGCTCGCCGTAGGGAGAATTTCTGAAGCCTTTTATTCCGTGCCACACGGATCCACCGATTGCGCCCATCGAGAAGGCGCCGCCAAAATCTGATAGTGCCACCCATGGGCACGGATCTCTTGAGTGGTCCATGATGGTCTATCGTATGATGGGTTGCTGAACGACGAGGCGAGAGATGAAAAGACTGGCCGATTGGGGACGATAAAGCTCCTCCACTAATTATGCTGCAGGAAGTTGACGTCGCTTGTTATTGCCGGTGCTCGTCATGCAGGCGCCAGGAAATATCTCCAGAACGCTTGAAAGTAGAATACAGGTAGAGAAGACGGTTCGTAATAGGAGCCCAGGTTGCGATGGCGATTCAATCCCCAAAATTTTGACCGCGGAGGACATTGACGCTAGTGCCGATTAGGAACTTCTGACAACTGTGCCTTCTAAATCTACCCACGTTACCAACGATGAGATTTCAAAGGATTTCACGAATCAGTACTGAATCATTATATTCACTACCAGTAACGAATGCTCTGCCATGCTACGACCTCATCGATCATGGGGCATGGATAATTTATACCGATATTGTTCGGACTTCGCTCGCCCGCAACATGATCTGGAGCTTACCTAGCGCAATGACAGCCGACACAGCCGCTCATTGTCGTAGAGCTCTCGATCCAGGCTAAGCAACTACGCCGTCTTTGGCTCAGTCGATGTTGGCAGATGCTCAACATTCTGAGTGTAGCTGAGTTTCTTCTCCGGGTCGGTCTCGCCAGCCTCCTCGCGTCGAGACTTCTGGTACTCAACCTTGGTCTGCCACGCCTTGACCTTGGTGGTGAAGAGTTCTTCAACTTCTTCCAAAGTCTTGCCGGAAGTCTGCCGTCGTTAGCAACAAGTCTGCACTTGACGCTCTCTCGACTTACCTCTGGAAAGCAGAAGAAGACGTGGATGAACATGGCCACATTGAAGCAACCAAAGATCAAATAGGTCTTCCACTTGATATTGACAAACGCCGGCGGCACGAAATAGCTAAGCGCGAAGTTGAAAATCCAGTTAGAAGCTGTCGTGAGGGCGACGGCCTTGCCACGGACGCGCAGAGGGAAGAGCTCAGGGGGATAGATCCAAGAGACCTGTTTCAGTCAGCAAACGTTGTACTCAAGCCACGCGAGATCCACATACCGGACCCCATGTTGGTGCAAAAGACGCAACAAAGAGGTAGGTGAATGCGATGACCGCTCTAGCCGGTGCGCCTTCGATCTGCCAGGACTGTTCCTTGATGCCTCCAATTCCACCCGGTGGAGCTGGACGACCGTATGTTGCCAGAAGACCAGCATTGCCGAACATCCAGGTGCACATGCAAGCAGCGCCAATAAGCAGTGGAAGACGGCGACCCCATCGGTCGATAAAGACAAGGGCAAAGATCGTCATTCCAACGTTGATGACATACTGAATCGACGAAGCAATCAAGTTCGTGTTACCTGTCAAGCCAGCCATGCCAAAAACGTACACAATATAGTACATCATGACCTGTATTGAGCCAGTCAGTAATCCATGGCGCCCGCAATCATGTCGGATCGTAACTCACATTCATCCCGGTCAGCTGAGACCAGATCTGGGTGAAGACACCAATGTGAGTGCGATTGATCATGTGAGGTTTGAAGAGTTCGAGATAGGAAACATCGGCGTTTCTGCGCTCAAATTCGCACATGTCACGGATCTCCTGCAGTTCCAGCAGAATGAACGGTGCGTCTCTGTTGCCCTTGGCATGAACAAGAGCGAGAGTGTTGTGGCATTCTTCCCAACGGTCCTATTCACAGTCAGTGACCTGATATACCTCTGGGTTGGTCAACCTACCTTGCGAGCGAGCCAACGAGGAGATTCTGGCATGAACAGAAGACCAATAAGGAGGATGATGGCCGGAATCATCTGCAGCGCCCACGGGATACGGAAAGCCCTTGGGCCTTCGAGATAGCTGCACCCGAAGCTCATGTAATACATGATGAGGATGCCCCAGGTGATGGCCCACTGCTGGGCACCCACAACACGACCTCTTTTGGACGGTGGTGCGAGCTCGGCGACATAGACGGGGACCTGAGCCGAGCAGATACCAACAGCGAACTACAAACCGAGATCAGGTCAGGGTCAGTCACAATTAGAAGATACTTACGCCATTGATGAAGCGGCCCACTACGAGCATGCCAATGTTCTGTGAGGCCGAGGTGATGGCGGACCCGATGCACCAGATGATGGCGCCGATCTGGATAGCACGCCTCCGACCCAGGATGTCGGATATGAAACCGGAGGTCAGAGCACCACAGAACGAACCACCAGGCATGGCGGCAGTAATGCCGCCCTGCACATCAGCGTTCGGACCCGCGCATTGGCCTTCCTCGTTGATGCCGCCCTGATTGAAGTAGCAACGATAATGCTGAGTGCCAATGATGGCGCTCATGGATGAGATGTCAAAACCGAACAGACCACCGCCGATGACGGCGATGGCCGTAATAAAGTAAATATTGCCAATCTGGGGCAGAACCATGTTGAGGCAGACTGCGGTTGTTGTTGATGTGGTAAGGAACTACGAGGCTCGCGCCACCAGGACTTGCCAACTCTTTTGTATTCCGCCAGGTTTCACAGTCACTTGACAAGGAACCGCGGAGGTTACATGAAGGAATGGATTCACTGACTGGCGCCCCGTCACACCCTTGCGCTGTATGGCTAGCCGGTGCCCAGTCTCATCGTCGCAATTAGAGGGTGTGGATCGGCAGTGACTTGTGGGGAAACAGGCAAGCCGTCACAGTTTACGTGGGGCCACCCGGATCGTTCATGGGGGTGGTAATTGGTAAACTGGGACGGAGGCTCTTGGCGGTAAAAGCTTGGGGGCTTCAGCGCGGAGCCGTCTCGACAGCCACCGGCGTCACAGCCAGTGAGGCCAATATGCGAGGTGTCGATCAATTTCGACTCCCCTCCTCCCCCCAGTCCCGACGTTCGCTCCACGTTGGGGAATGCAACGTTGCCCACATCTTGGCTGGGAGCAGACCACTCAGTTGTCACGTTTCGAACGCTTCAGGATAGCCGTCGCTTGCCGATCTACCGACAGAATGCCCGGGTTGAAGCATGTGGCGTGGCCCATCGGAGCGTTCACCATGCCGCTCTAGGACTCGACGGCAATCATCTGCAAGCCACCTTGCTACCTTGAGTCAAATTCCCACCAGGCTTACGGGTTTGCGATGTTTAGGTTTGGCCCACGTGTGAATGCTATCGTTGATCAAGTGCAACCTGGCTCGGTTTTGGGAACTGTTGTGGTGAAAATTACTCCATGGTCATGAAGGAGCCAAGGCCCAGGCTCATTTCCCGATGGCAGCCATCTCGCAAGATCAATGCACCGAACTAGCACTGATGCTATTTCAAGCATAGAGTGACACAACAAACAGCCGATTTTCCGCGGCTCCCGGTGTCCGAACGATACCTCCAGAGCAGCTCACGTGGCGAGCACAGTGCGGCTGCCAAGCATCTGACAGACCGCTCACCTAACCGCAGTAAGGCTCGTTGAGCAATTGATATTCTTTTGTTCCTCGATACGTTCCCACCGGCGTCCATTTCATGACAACGTCTCGGTCGTGCTTCATGTACAGCAGGTAGGATGCACCGAACAAAAGCTCCGTTGTTTGGTTGGCCGGGAAAACTTTAAAAGCTCTTCCGCCCCGCAGCCTTTTCTGTGCCTCGGGATCTCCCCGCTATGGGCTACCGGCTCAACTGTGGCTTACAAACGCTCGCGATACACATATGAGCACTAGCGGATAGCGTTCCCCAAAGGCAGTTTGAACGCTGATTACGCGCTGACAATAGTACTGTCGCTGACATATTCGAGTCCAGCGGGAGTAGCTACAACCCGCCCCGAATACGAGACCAACTCGACGGCTTTGAACAGCAAGACAGCTTGAAGTTTATAACCTTGACAGTCATCCCTATCGACATCACTAGTTGCCAGCACGACTGACTGCAAAAACACCTAAACCACCAACAAGCATGACGCGCCCAACGCAAACCAAACAATGGCACCTCATCTCCCGCCCGACGGGCCTACCCACCTATGAGGGCAACAACCCCACCTTCACCCTCAAGACAGTCGACCTCCCATCCCTCGGCAAAGGCCAGGTCCTGCTAAAACCACTCTTCTTCTCCAACGATCCTGCACAGCGCGCCTGGTTGGACGACAACACGCTCTCATATGTCCCGCCGGTGCCACTCAACGGACCGATGCGCGCGCGAGGCATCGCTGAGGTTGTGGAGAGCGCGTCGGACAAAGTCAAGGTAGGTGATCGCGTGACTGCGACCCTGGGCTGGACCGAGTACGTCGTGCTTGGGGAGGAGGAGGTGGCGGTGTTGCCAGACCCACCCAAAGGCCTGAGCTGGAGCCAGTATATCGGAGCGCTGGGCACGACGGGCTTGACGGCTTACTATGGGCTGGTGGAGGTTGGGCAGGTCAAGAAGGGGCAGAGCGTGGTGGTTAGTGGTGCGGCGGGGGCGACGGGGAACAGTAAGCTGAGACCCTTGTTTGTGTGGCATAGAGAGATGGCTTTTGCTGACCGGACTACAGTGGCGGTGCAGATTGCAAAAGGGATCCTCGGCTGCTCAAAAGTCATCGGACTGGCCGGGAGCGCGGAAAAGTGTCGCTGGGTCGAGAGCATTGGGGCCGACAAGTGCATCAACTACAAGGATCAGGACTGGCACGCGCAATTGGAGAATGCTTGCGACGGCGGCGTAGACGTCTACTTTGACAACGTCGGAGGCGAGATCCTCGACGCTATGCTACGACTCGTGAAACAGAATGGAATCATCGTGGCCTGCGGTGGCATCTCAGGCTACAACGACCAGGAACCCACGGTATTGAAGAGTATGTGTTCTCCCCCTTCCCGGGAGCCTGAGGCGGGGGGGGGGGGCCTGTGTGGCAAAGGACTGACGAGTTATCAGACTACATGCAGATCGTCTTTATGCGGCTGTCAGTTCGAGGCTTCATCACCACGGACTTCATGGCCACCGCGAAGCAGACCCAGGAGCTGTTTGTCAGGAGTGTGGAAGAAGGGAAGCTGAAGATCGGAGATGAGCAGGAACAGGTCGTTGATACAAAGTTCGAGGAGGTGCCCAAGACGTGGCTGATGTTGTTCGGGGGTGGGAATAGAGGCAAGCTCATCACGAAGTTAATGTGACTGGCGATACTACAGTAGAGAATACTTCCTTACATATGATCTCGTCGAAGCAAGCGAGGCAGGACTGTGGCTTGTTCGTGGCTGTGGCTGTGGTCTTTGCCCCATGATTACCGCATCAAGTTTAGATTCGCAAGGCACACCACGCGGCGTTCTTCGGCGGGGTTGGCCGATTCGCCAAGTTCAAATTATCTGCGCCCCGCCACAGAGGTGACGACAGACGTTGAAGGCCGTTCCTCATATTATTAACCAGCCAAATAAGTCAGCCCTCCTCGTATCTCTACCTAGTTCGCATTGCATACCACTCCCAACTCGTACCTCTCATCAACCTTGTATCCCCTATACAACCACTTCCTCGAATGTCGTACGGCCCTCCGCCTCACAATCCATACGGCCCGCCGCCCGGCCAAGGCGGCTACGGTCCCCCACCACCACACCACCATCAACAGCAGCAGCAATGGGGCCCTCCTCAGGGACCGCCGCCCGGTAACTGGCAGCAGCCTCCGCCTGGTCAATGGGGCGCACCGCAAGGTCCTCCTCCGGGACATCATCAGCCGCAGCAATGGGGTCAACCCCACGGCCCGCCGCCGGGGCAACAGCAGTGGGGTGCTCCTCCCGGCCCTCCGCCAGGGCAACAGCAGTGGGGTGCTCCTGGGGGCCCGCCGCCTGGTCAGCAATGGGGTGCGCCGTCGGGTCCGCCACCTAATTTCCAGCAGGGGCCGCCCTCGCCCATGCCGCCTCAGGGTGGTCCGCCGGGAGGGTTTGGTGGGCCTGGTGGTGTTGGCCAGCCCTCATTAGGCTACATTCCTGGTATGACAGCTCAAGGATGGAACGCAGACCAATCTGCCGACGCTCTCCGTGCGGCGATGAAGGGATTTGGCACTGACGAGAAGGAGTTGATCAGAGTTCTCTCGCAGCTAGATCCGCTACAGATCAACTCAGTGAAGCATGCATTCACTCAGCGCCACAAGGGCCGCGATCTGGCGAAGGACATCTCGAGTGAAACATCACGTTACTTCAAAGAAGGCTTGCTTGCGATAGTCCGCGGTCCGCTCGAGCAAGACGCGTATGCCGTGAACGACGCTGTTGCCGGTGCCGGGACGAATGAGGACATGCTCAACGACGCCGTCTTGGGCCGGTCAAACGCTGATTTAAGAGCCATCAAACAGATGTACCAGGTAAGGTACAAGAAAACCATGGAGGCCGACGTCGCTGGCGATCTGAGCATGAAGACCAAGGATCTGTTCAATATGGTTCTAGCCGCCAACCGCGCCGAAGAGAATACCCCCGTCAACCCCCAACAGGTCGACCGCGATGTCGACGAGCTCAACCGCGCCCTGCAAAGCCGCGGCGAGCAGATCGCCGTCTGCAACATCATCTGCTTGCGCTCCGACGGCCAGCTCCGCGCCATCGCACATGCGTTCGAACAGAAATACCGTAAAACCCTGCACAGCGCCATGGAGAAGAAATTTGACGGACACATGGAGACGGCGCTTCTGCTCGCCCTCGACCGCGCCACCGACCGCGCCATGGCCGATGCGGTGCAACTCGAGGCCGCAATGGCCGGCCTGGGGACCAAGGATAAGCTGCTGGTCAATCGCGTGGTCCGGATACACTGGGATCGCGCGCACAAGGATCAGGTCAAGCGCGCGTACCAACATCGCTACAAGCGTGACCTGATCGCGCGCGTACAAGGTGAGACGAGTGGCGATTACCGCGAATTGCTCGTGGCTTTGCTGCGCTGATAAAACGCCGTACTGCTCGTGCGTCCGGGAAGAGAATATGTGGTTCCTAAGACCCACCATCTTCAGCCAGGACTTTGTGACTTTATACCTTCGTGCCAAACGGCAGGCAGAGGCTTGTAAGAGGAGGACTCCGCGAGGGATCTGGACGGCCAGGAAAAGGTGGATAAGTCGTTGTACAGCTTATGACGTTTCTGTGCAGTATGAGAACGTTGCATATCGAGATGTTCAGCCTCAGAGGATAGCTCCATAACACCATCTTTCCAGGCATGCGTCCCTCCACACAGAATGTCCGTTACCTCAACGTGCCTTAGTATCCTCATCCTCGATTTGTTGTTCCATATGCTTTCAGTCCGTCAGTATCAGCTGTGCATCCAGCGCACGCGGCTGTCGCTCGTGTCTCTGACGACCTTTCGGAACAACTAAGTGAACGAACGAGCTGACCACAGAACGGACTTCCACTAGTATTGACACTTGTATACATCCCTACGCTCTCGCTCATGTCGGGTCGTTTGTTACTCCGGACTGCCCACCAAGTAACAGACATGGTCTTTGCGACCGACCGGTTCCCGACTTTTGTATATCACTTTTGTCGGCCGCGTCAGGTCATGTCCCAGCTCAGGCGTCCAGTGCTTAGTTATTGGTCAGGCTTTTCCGTAGCCCCTCACAAGAGTTCTGCGGCTTGGCCAATCAGGTGGCCTGCCCTGTAAGCATCCAAACTCTGGTCGTACGTCGCAGTAAAGAGTAAGCGGAGGCTGCTGGCCAGGACACACAGGATTATGTTCATGCTGCGTAGTTGGAAGAAACGGCATGTCGCCGCGGCGAATTAGCCGTCATCCTCATAAAATAGGTTACTACGCGATAGCTGATGCAAACTCGGGGGTTGGAAGTAAGAGGATCCACCAGGCTCGGTGTCGCTGCAAGGATCTATTTCAGGCTCCCTATGAGGCTTTTTGCCGAGGAAAATGCGCCAGCACAGAGCTCGCTAAGGTATATAGGGCGGAACCTTCTTCGACTTATCTCGGTCCACCAGTTCACGTTCAGTCCCGTGCCCGAGCCCTGCTCCCTTCGTTCCGCCAACGACCCGATAGCGACTTGAGTCCCCAGCTCTGAATACATAGCCTATCTCGACTTCCGTTCCAACCCTCGTCTGGTCATTCAATCTTCAAACAACCACCGCAACCATGGGCTCCACAGACTCCGACCCCCCACAACTCATGTACCCCGCCCCGCTGGCCCCGGAGCGCGGCGCGCCCATCGCCCCGTCAAACCCCGACGCCTCAGAAGTCGACATCACCACTCCGGTCCTCATCGTCGGCGGCGGGCCCGTGGGCATGATGCAAGCGCTCCTGCTGGCGCGCCTGCACAAGATTCGCAGCACGCTCGTCGAGCGCGAGCCCAGCACCACCGTCTTCCCCAAGATGGAGTACACCAACGGCCGCAGCATGGAGATCTACCGCGCCATGGGCCTGGCGGACGATGTGCGCGCCATGGCGGCGCGAGAAGTGCCGGAGAAGTATAGCTTGGATGAGCTGATTGTTACGAGTCTGGCGGCAGGGGGGAAGCTGGTCGATGTGTGGGAACGGGATGGGCCGGAGACGGCGAGGGAGAAGGCGAGGGTCAAGAATGATGGGTCCGGGTATTTGGAGCCGCATATGCGGTGCCATCAGATCTTGATTGAGAGGTGGTTGAAGGACAAGGTGGATGCAGAGGAGTTGGTGGATGGGCATTGGAGCACGGGGTTTGTGGGGCTGGAGGAGAAAAGGGATTGTGTTATTAGTGAGGTGAAGAAGGCGGATGGCACTGTCATGCGTATCAAGAGCGACTATGTCATTGGCTGTGACGGCGGTGGAAGCTGGGTCAGGAAGAGCGTGGGCTTGGAGAGCAAGCGCGATTATCTGTATGCTTCGCCCCCACCTATCCCCTCCCCATTCTATCAAACGCCTGTCTCCATACAGACGGAGACTCTCTTGAACAAGACTAACAAAAACTCGCCAGCAACATGCAAATCTCCTTTGTGCACTTCCGCTCCGCCTCGCTGCGCGACTCCCTCCCCTTCCAGCGCTTCTGGCACGCCAACGTCATCGCCGGCGGCATCCTCGTCACCCAGAACGAATCCGACGTCTGGACCGCGCACTTCATCACCCCGCCGCACATGGACCCCGCCACCCTCAGTCCGGAAGACGTGCTGGCGCTGACCATCGGCGGCTGCCAGGGTCCCAGCCCCGTCCAGTTCGACGAGATCTACTGCCGCGGTGTCTGGAAGGTGGATGTCGCGATCGCCAACAGGTTCCGTAGCGCGGAGGCGGGCAGGGTGTTCTTGGCGGGCGATGCGGCGCATCAGCTGAGTCCGGTTGGAGGACATGGGTTGAATACGGGTGTCGCTGACACGTATGATCTGGCGTGGAAGCTGGCTGCGACTATGAGTGGTTGGGGTGGGGAGAAGCTGTTGGATACCTATGATGCGGAGAGGAGGCAGATTGCGTTTGAGAATTTGGGACACGTGCAAGACGCGTTGGGGCAGTTGGTTATGCCTCTTTTTGGCGCGCACATGAAGTATGGTGTGGAAGTGCTGAATGGTGATGGCGAGGAGAGCGAGGCGGCGAGAGCGGAACTGAAGAAGCTGTCCGAGACGGGGAGCTGGCTTCATAATCAGAATGGGAATATTCTGGGGTATTGCTACCAGCAGTCTGAGGCGGTGGTGGCGGCGCAGGAGATGGGGGAGAGGCCGGTCGGGACCAAGGACATCTATGTACCGACGACTTGGCCGGGGAGTCGGGCGCCCCATGTGTGGATGCGGGATGGGAGAAGTACGGTTGATGCTTTTGATAAGATTGGGTTCAGCCTTGTCGACTTCTCACAGCAGGGAAATTTGAGCGAGCCGTTTGTACAAGCCAGTGAAGAGATCGGCCTGCCCTTACGAGTGCTACATTGGGACGGCGAGGACAATGTGCGGAAGGTGTACGAGCGTGACCTGGTCCTGGTACGGCCAGACGGACACGTTGCGTGGCGGTGTGCGGAGGGTACTGTCGAGCCGATGAGTTTGACCGAGGCAAAGGCATTGCTGGAGACTGTTCTCGGAAGGGCCACATAGGCCGCGAGTAGATAGCCTGGATATCAGGGAAGCAAACCACAATATCTTCAGAGCCAGTCACTCCCACGCCTGCCAATCCTCATCAAAATGGATATCGAACATCTCTGCGTTGATGAACTCGGGGTACAGCAATGCCGTATCAAAAGGCAGCGAGGTGGCGGATGTGGTGCTATACGGTGTCGGCTGTGCCTCCGGCCTCAGCTTTCTCTGCTGTGAGAGCACCACACCGCCCAGCATATGTGCGACATGTGATCTCAGACCGATCGATTTCAGCCAGTCCACGAGACTTGTCACCAGCGTGTCCAGGGACGCGACATCGTGCGAGACTGACAGCTGATCCTCGTATGCGCTAAGGAGTCGACACAATGTAATGGCCGAGAAGGTGATGATGTGATAGATGTGATCTGTTAAATGCTGTGTGCGCTCATCTGTGGTGTCAATGGCAAGATTGATGATAGATGTGGTTAAGCGGATGAGGCCACCGAGGGCATCGTCGCTGATGTTTTTTGACATGGTTTTGCTGACTCGACAGGCCGCTAAGTTTGTTAAAAGCAAGGCGAAGTAGTAGCCCATCTGGAGGAACTGGGACCGTGGCTGATCTAGGAGAAGCGTAAGGTTAGACAATAGTAGGATGGCAAAGGGCTTAGAGCATTTGTGACCAGAGCATCAGCTGTCTGTTCGTGATTGAGCGCCGACTTACCGAACAGGGCTTGCCACTCTTGTCGCCATGAGGACAGTGCCGCCTCGGTGTTCTGTCGCTTGTCGACTGAAAATGTTCGTTCATAGATAATCCAATACAGTGCGACTTCGGCGACCATGCGCTCTTCAAAGTTGGACAGCTGTCCAGGGATAACTCGCCTCACGTTCTGCCTACTGGTTTCTAGTTGCGTGATCGTGAGAACCGACTTCCTTCTCATGCCCACGCAGTATCTGTCTAGTTAGTAGGGTCTGGTACACCATGTGCGGAGCTACTCACTGAAGATGGGCTAGGCATAGGTGATTCCAGATGCACCAAGTATCAAATTGCGATTCCGTGAGAGGCTCGAAGCTGCGCGAGAACAGAGGGGCGAAATCAGCATTAGCTAGCGCATGATGAATAGCATAGCTTGTAAGAAGCCATCCGTCCATACTCAACGGTACCTGTCCAATTGTGGTTGACCAGAGGCTGAGCACCAAAACTGATTGGAAGAAAGTGAGATCATCGGCGACTGTGAGAAGCGACCGAGCAAGTAACTGCTGTGCCTCACCGAGAAGCACAGGTGCAGCCACGCGAGCAAGTTCGTCGTTAGTGTGCCTAACTGCGATCAAAAGACTGCTGCAGAGCAACAAGGGCGACTTTCCTAGACTGGATAGTAGTTCTTGTGACGTGGCTGTCTCATCAAACCGCACCCAGCGACCATAATGGCGTCCGAAGCTGCCGAAGATCAGCTACTAGGGCCTATTTCAGACTCGACAGGCATACAGTGCTATCATCTCTTGGGCGGTTGCGGCTGAGATAGAAGCCTTGTTCAACAGCTCCGAGTCACCACCTGGCTGTGAGTATGATTCGACAGGTGACTGAACGCCCATCTCATTTGCCACATCGCGGATCATCAGTACAGGCGGTGCATCCTCGGGCTGCGATGATGGCCGGACAGGCGGTGAGATCGGAGCTCGTCGCGACACCGACTCGATATCGGAGTCAAGGCGTTCGAGCAATGCTCCCAGAGTGGCCTCTAAGCGATCAAGCCTAGTTAGGTAGGTCAGTGACCAGGTCGGGTAACTACCTCTCCACGACCTACCTTGTGTTGATGACGCCAGTCTCGACGTTCGGCCGCGCCGGGATCTGGCCGCTGCCAGTAATTTCATCTGGCTGCCTCACTGCCGCAGTGAGTGAGCATTGCTGCTTCAGCGTGAGGCAGCGGAGACAGGTGCTGGAGATATTGCCTGAAGGGTAGCACCTAGTCTTCTGCTTTCTGCAGCTCTCGCATGCTTTGCCAGAGCGCACCGAGCGGAGCGGTGGCATGGTCTACGATCGCAAGACTCATATGTTGCAAGGTAATGAGAGACATCAAGATCATAAGCAGCGCGAGAGGACATCGATAGGTATGCGTCCTTATCGCGCCAAGAAATGGATGGCGTGCTGACCTTATCGGATGTTGTCATCACAGGTGTAGTTGGGTGGCTCGATGGTGCCTTCCGGGCGAGCATTGGCCCCGTACTTCTTGAGCTTTAGGCATCTTTGTGCCAAAACCAAAGCCTAGAAGCACTGGTAAGGGTGCGATCCCGACCTGCGTTACAGGCGTCAAGTGTGGCAGCCCAGGTTGGCAAGGCTGGCAGATTAGGGGGTCAATGGGGCTTGAATTTCAAGCTTCTGCTAATTTCTTAAGTGGGCTGCTACCAAATAAGGATTTTCAGTATTCTGCGGTCCATATCTCAATTTAGATCTAGGTACACCGGCTACAATCAGCGATTACTGTTCCGGGTCTCTGCCAGGTACGACCTCAACGCCACCATCTCCATGGTCAAATATCCGGTATAGGAACTTCCAGATCCCAATAACCACAGCGCCCGATATAGCTAACACTGCGGCGATAATGAGACCTCTTTGGTAGCGTGGAGCGTCTTGTTGTCGAAACAGCTGATTTCCAGGAAAACCTGCCAGCTGAATCGACATTACATATGCAGCCAAAGCGATAGGCCTTTTGTAGTCTTCCATTTTCGAGGCGAGCCAAGCAGCATTGATGGCTTGAGCAGTACCCATGCCCATTTGCGTCATAACAACGCCACCTGTGTACTGTCAGCATGTTGGTCACCCGATGAGAAGTGAGTTCGTCGTACCGTAGAGGACCCATCTCCCCACCACACTTGGTGCCAGGGCCAGCCATAAAAGTCCAGCTGCACCCCATAGAAAGCCGATCATTATATGTATGCCTCTTTCACGCAGATGATCACTGCTGTATGCAAGCGTCACCGAGAGGATCAACGCGCCTACACTTCCCACTGAGTTCAGGCCATTGGCTTGAAGGCCCGTAAAGCCGAGCGACTTGATGATCGAGGGTGCGTAGGTGTTGACCGGCTGAATCATCACCATAGACAGAAAAGCCGAGACCAAGTGTCCGTACAGTTTCCAGTCGGCGAAGGTTTCGAATATATGGGATGGAAGGACTGGCTTCCCGTACCTGAGCGCTTTTGAAGGGTCATTTCGCATCACCCTGGTCACGAGAATAGCGGCTTCTCGCTGCGGGAACAGATTGAAAGATCTGCCAAAGAAGACTTTGGGTTGGGCCGCTCCATGTGGCAGATACAGGTATGCCACACAGCCAAGGAAGCAGGTCAAGATGCCCTCTGCCGACCTATTAGCCTCGAAATGACGCTGTAATCAAGGTCTTGTTCACTTACCGATGAGAAACAGCCATTGCCAACCAGCCAGTCCACCTCTTCCTCGTAGGGACAGCAATCCTACAGACAAGGGTCCCGAAAGTGCTCCTGCGATTGAGTTGGAAGCCCAGAACAGAGCGTACCGCAGTCCAAGTTCTTGGTTGCTGTAAAACTTCGATATGTACAGCGCCATACCGGGAATATAGCCACCTTCGAGCGCTCCAACAAAGAACCTGCAAACGTAGAAAGTGGCAGGCCCCGTCATGAACATCTGGCTCCATGTTGCGCAGCCCCACAACACCATGGTCACTGGCAAGAATCTTTCGGGCCCGAAGTATTTGCTGATCATGTTGAATGGGATCTCTGTGATAATGAAACCGACGATGAAGAGTGTTTGTGCCAAGTTGATGTGGTAGTTGTTGATGCCCACGTCCGCCCGGAGTGTGTCCGTCAATGCGTTTGCAACATTGGTTCTGCCAAACTGCAAGAAGCAAAAGAGGAGAACGATGAAAGGCAGGATGGCGAAGTCGACGCGACGCACAGCCCTTCGAGCTTCTGAAGGCGTCCAACTGAGACTTTCATCGTAGCCTGGGATGTCTTTTGCTTCTGGAGGCATGCTTGTAGCGTGAGTGGCAGCATCGCCGTTAAGAGCAGTGACTTGTGCCTCCAGCGTGTCCTTTGATATTGACTTATCCATTGTATAGAGGTAGCTCTCGCTTGCTTGCAATAGTTGGTGATGATCTTGCGATAAAAATAGTGGTGTCGGACTCGTGCTGTTCCGTTCATTTTATAGACGGTTGTGGTGCCTGCGGCATACCTCGCACTGACGATTGCGTGATAAGAGCTTGAGCATCATGCCAATTAACAACTTCGCTTCGACCCGATGATAACGACATATGCGCTATCATTGCGCGATGAACCCAGAGGATCTGGACGAGAGGGTGTCGTAGAGAGATAGTTGGACGATAGTGGAGATAGGCGTCTTTAGTGCCCGCGGCATGCCGTCGGCATACCGCACCGTACTTCATACTGATCCTTTTCCACGGGCTCTTCCGTCTTGCTTTTAGACATACCGAAGAGACTCTGTTTTACCAACAACAGTGCCGCACGACTTCTGATCTGACATAAAAGCAAGGGGGACCCGTTTGACAAAGGGAGCCGCCGCAAGTTCCTTGCGACCACAGAGATCATCCATATACTTCTATTTTTTTTATGGAGCAGAACACACTCAAACGCACCCGTCGCCTGGGCCTGACGGGTGTGGACAAGAACCAATCATTCGGTGGTTACACCCTGATATGTCCTCTCACCTCTTCCACCGCCCATCTGATTGATATCGATGGCACTGAAGTACACACGTGGCACTTACCAGGACGAATCGGCCGCCACGCCCGACTCCTCCCCAACGGTAATCTCGCTGTGAACACTCTTCCACCCGGCCATAGCGCACCTTTCATGTTTTTCAACAAGTACGGTGGTGGCGTCATGTCTGAGCTAGACCCTAACGGCAAGATCGTACGTCAGTACACCGACCCCCTTGGCCACCACGATCAATACCACTACGGCGACGGCCGCATGCTCTACACTAGCCTGGAAGCTCTTAGCCCCACCGAGTCTGCCAAAGTGCGTGGCGGTGTGCCCGGCACAGAAGCCGAAGGCGGCATCTCCTACGCCGACACCATCAACGAGGTTGATGACACCGGCAAGCTTGTGTGGCAGTGGAAGGTGTCCGAGCGATTACCACGGGACGAATTTCCTCTGCAGCCACACTACACGCGCGAACACTATCCGCTCATCAACTCAGTGCTGCCACTGAAGGACGGCAACATTCTCGCCTCGATGCGCTCCGTGTCTGCGGTTGTCATCATCGAGAAGTCCACCGGCAACATCATCTGGCGCCTGGGCCCGGAGACGTTAGCGCAACAGCACAATGCCACGGAGTTGGAGAATGGCAATATTCTCATATTCGACAACGGCGCGTTCCGCACTGGGGAGTCTGTGCAATTTACGCGTGCACTTGAGGTAAGCCGCGAGACAAAGAAGGTAGTCTGGGAGTACCGCGACCGCTCGCAAATGGTGTACTTCTTCACTCCATTCATGGGAAGTGCACAGAGGTTGGCGAACGGCAACACGTTGCTATGTGAGAGCGCTTTCGGCCGCGTATTCGAAGTCACAAGGGAAGGGGAGGTGGTGTGGGAGTTTGTGAGTCCGTGGTTTGCGGAATACGGCGATGAAGGTACTCGTAAATGCTTTCCAGGCGAGAGTAATGCTTTGTTTCGTGCATATCGGTACGCAGAGGAAGAGGTGCCGTGGTTGAAGGAGCGCCTACTGCACAACGCCAACAAGGGAAAGAGATGGTGGTTTTGGTGAGCTATTGGGATGTGTACTACTGGTACAGCTGCCATATGAGGCTGCCATTGAGATCGGTCTAGCTTCAGGTGTAAGATATTAGCTCCAATACGCTGATGGCCGATTTCCGCATTGGGATGTGATAGCTTTTCTTGTTGGCAGAATCAGTCTTCAACAAGGAGACCAGGATATGTGAGACTGATGGGGTCAAACCTGAAAACACATGCACGCCGAGCATAGCTCACCGCGGAATAGAACTCAGATGTGCAATACTCGTATGGCACCAATCGGACTCTGGCCCTCAGTTACTTTCCCCATCTTCGTGATGTTCGTCCGTCGAAACAACGTACCACTCCTCACCTACGATCGGACGAGCCGTAGCATTACAGGGGCCCCATCGGCTTTCGTCCTCTTTGCCTAACTTTTCGCGTCGATATAGTGCAGAGTAGAGCCGTTACCTGTGTACCACAGGACGAATTGGACCACAAGGGACGAGCGGACACTTTATTCTGCGGTGTCGACGAAAACAGTCACTTGTCAGACTAGTGTCCAGCAACAGAAAGGAAGAGCAGTCTGTCTCTTCCAAGGCAGGTGGATTTAGGAAGCATGGGCAATATCTTGACAGATTCGATGAGATTACCGAGGATTACAGAGATGGCCCCAAGCCACGGCCCCTTGAGACGATTTCGGCTCCCCACTGACAGACCCTTGATTTGCGTTAGTCCTGTATACAGTTTTCGGATTTTTTGGCTTACGATTGTCAGACAAGGTGGATCTGCAGCATCCTTGCCTCTTGCGTGAGCTATTTTTATCCGTGGATTGGGCCCGTTGCAAGCCAAAATATCTTCGACTCCAGGCTGCAAAGACGACGACATAACTTGGCTGAACAGTCCTTTCAACACGACTAAGTCAATCCATCTAGGCACTGTGGCCGTGATGTGCGGGGGAAACCTCCAATATTCACTTTATACCGGTTCTTTCCGCCTGACCTATGTCTCGTCTTTCGGAGAATTTTGAGCTGTCCAGCCCCTATGAGCCCATTCATTATGGCTCGAGTTCTCGAATCGAGCCGCGACCATCAACCACTTCATTCAAGCCAGTGAAGTCGAAGCGCCCGTTTTCTAGATACAACCCTATCAAAGGATCAGAGGATGACTGGGATCAACAAGGCCTCGCACCTACCGGGCCACCACCCGGAGGGGACCGACAATTCACGTCAGCTCCTTTGGGGCCTGGCAAGACCGGCAAGTTTGGTACAGACCTAGTAATCGAAATTCTGCTCTGCGCGTCCGCCGTTCTTGCTACAGTCCCGTTCATATGGCTCGCAATAGCTATGGCGAAATATCACGGCAAACGCGTCACTGCCCACGACTCTGAGTTTATTAAGCAGTCAACAACTACAGTCTCTACGCTCTTTACAATCTTGTTTGCGGCCGTAGTAGGCACGACTCTGAAACGATTTGGGACATATTGCTTGGGAAAGGGCGTCAAGATTGGATTTCTTGAACAAATCATGCAAAGCCGGACATTTTTCGCCGCTGTAACGACACAAATCTCCTTGGGCCTCATTAACATAACCGCCATCATACTTCTATGTACCTGGACATTCTCTCCCCTTGGCTCACAAGCTTGTCTGAGGCTAATCACAACCAAGATAGAGCATACGGTAAGCTCAAGCCTTGTGAGCCATGTTGATACCATCACAAACCAGGTTTTTGACAGCACGTCTGGCGTCAGCTCGCTTTTGACGTCGCTGAAGCCAACATACGTGTCCACGATTCTAAGTCCGCCAGCAACGCAAAATTCGTCCATGGATTTGTGGGGTAATGTTAAAATCCCTTGGATGAGAGACGATCTCGAAAAGGATGATGAAGGCTGGGCTGACTTGACGAAGTCTAGCTTCAGCGAGGACTCTTACTCCGCTCTAGTAGGTGTGCCTATCGCGAATCTTGCAAACCTCAATTCAAGTTTCGTAATCGAGACGACCTACATCAGCCTTGACTGCGAGAAACCTAAGGACGAACCCTTGGTCGATATCCGCACCAACTTCACAACAGCAAGGAATGGCACATTCCTAGGACCTAACACCACTGTCACTGACGGCAGCGTCGGAATATATCCCTCCTGGCAGGTTGCCATGGACCAATTTGTCAGTAATGCGTACTTCTACGGCTACCCCCAGCAACTTGAGAATTTCACCTCCGATGAAGTGAAGCAAGCGAACTTTCTATTTCAAACGCGCAACGCCGTCTCAATATGCAAAATTGACCAAGCATACGTTGAGTCCAACGTATCATGCGTCGCTCAGAATACAGTCTCCACCCCCGGCTGCGCAGTCCGAGCCCAGCGCTTATCGTCCAGGAAGCACGCTCCTTCCGCCGTGACGACATTCAGCTTCCCAAGTACCTTCGAATACTTGGCCAGCGAATGGATTCTCGCGACCGACAAGCTCAGCAGCTCCGGGTACTCCTCCCTCGCCGAGTACTACCTCCAGAACACAAGCGCGCAGTTCATCCTCGCCGGTAACGGCCGCGAATATGCCAACTACAGCAACGTGACCGCGGAGCAGTTCTCGGTGCGGCTCGGCCAGCTGCTGAACACCTGGATCCTCGCAGGCCAGGTCTCGGCCGACACCATGGCCTACAATCTCGACCACCAGAACATCACGGCTAGCTACTCGGAAGGAGAGCCGGTTTATGTATGCTCGTGGGGGTGGTTGGTCGCGTACTGCGTTTCGATCTTGGTCATGCTTGCCGCGGCGCTATTGACCATCTGGTGTGCCTTTCACACAAACATCCCGGACGTGCTGAGCTACTGCTCATCATTGACGAGAGACTCAAGGTATTTCGAGTACATGCCCGGCGGCGGATCTACGATGGATGGACTGCAGCGGGCCAGGCTCATGCGGGATGTGGAGATCAAGCTCGGGGACGTGGGCGAGCCGCCGGGTCTTGCTGCTGCTCCACACCAGCAGCAGTATCAGCAGGGTGGTTTCAGGAACGAGCTGCCGTTGAATCAACTGGGGTATCTTGCTATTGGCCTGTCTGATCAGGTGCGCGTTGCAAGGAGAAACACGCTGTATGCTTGATAGAGAGACAAAGAATCTGTTCTAATATCGAAATGATCACAGCTTTTGATCATACTCGCTTTATGGCAGCAACGCGCAAGTCCATCGCCCTCTCAAACCAGCCAATTCCGCCTGCCAATTCCCACCCGTGCGGCAAGCCAGGCAGCGTGTGCAGCTCGACTTCCACGCCCGCCGACACCAATCGCTGCGTATACGTCAAGATCTCATCCATGAAGAAATCCAAAGTCCCGACGTCGATATACGTCGACGGAAGACCTCCAAGGCTCCTGATCCGTTGCGGCACCGTATTCTCAGCAACCACGGCCTCTTCCGTCCCGGCCTTGTCGTTGTCGAGGTATGCCTTCCAGATAGCCGCACTATCCGACGGCCGCCAGAGCAGCAAGTCCCTGCGAGGATCGTTCTCCGTAAAGTCGATACGGTCATCGAGCGTTGGGTAGATCAAGACCTGCTTCGCAAGCGGCGGACTGAGCTGACGGTCGCGCGCCATCAGCGCTGTGCTGGCTGAGAGGAGACCGCCGGCGCTGTCGCCCATGACGACGAGCTTTGAAGCGTCCACATTGAGCTCCTGTCCATTTCTTGAGATCCAAGAGAGCGCGGCGTAGCAGTCCTCCATTCCAACTGGCGCGGGATGCTCGGGGGCGAGGCGCCAGTCGATGCCGAAGATGGGGAACCCGGTGCGGTGGGCGAGGTAGGCGATTTGGGGACCGTATACTTTGACAGAGCCGGCGACCATGGCGCCGCCGTGGATGAAGAGGACCGCAGGTGCGGGCGTGGCTGAAGCGAGTGCGGCTGGCGATGCGAAGCGGGTGAGCTGGACTGACTCGCCGTCATAGCTCTTCACGTTGAATGGTGTTTGCTCGATGCCCTGGACTACAGGGTACCCTTTCATAATCTCGGGCAGAAACTGCTCGTTGAGAGCGCGGATCTCTGTAGGTGTTGTGAATACTGGTGCTTTCTGTTGCAAGAAAGCCTTTGCGGCGGTTTCAAATTCGCGGTCATACCGATGAGTTGACATCGTGATCTTCGATGCAGACTGATGAGGGTGGTCGGATTATGGTTCGGCGGAAGATGCGTTGTGTTAATGGGAGCAGATGGTGAGAAATGGTTGACTGGTACGGATGATAGAGCCCATCAATAGTCTCCCCATAGCCTCTTATAATTTGTACTGGTGGCGCAAGCATTTCTCGAATAGGAGAAAGCTGGTGGCTTTTGATCCTCCGGATGCCTAGCTTCCGCGGATTATTTCCATCCGTCGGTAGTTTTGGAATCGACATCGCCTCGTTTTTGGACTTTTCTGATTGCTTCGTAATAAGGTCCGAAGTTCTCGGCGAGGTCTGATACTGGATATGCTGCCGAGGAATCAATTCAATCGGTGCGATGATTGAGCGTCCCCGAAGAGGACCGCATCCGCCAGAGTCGTCGATACACCGCCCGCTCCATCTAAATGTCATGCTTGCACGCAACGATGTCCATCGATAACCCGTCGGACAGCTCAACCAATGATTGGGGCTACTTCTTCATGTCCTAGAGCACACAAATGTCTTGCTATCTTCGGCAAAGACAGACTTCTAGCCAAGATGAGGTAGGATCGTGTTACGAAGCTCCTTGATGGCTGCGGCTACATCTATGCAGTGATGCACGTAGGCTCAGTGCCTCACGGCTGCAACCATTGAAAATTGCAAAGTTTTCGGAACATCCTTGTTCTACAAATCGACTCCGAACAGAGCATCGAAATACGAAGATTCAGCTCGGTCCTGGGCGCTTGCACTCAAGCCCGTACAGGATGCTATGCCACCAGCATCTAGATTGTTGGGGTTGAAAGTCGTGTCCATCGCTCCCGCATCCCAAGTGAAAGTTCGTATGATCTCATCCATGTCGAGATCTGACCATGTGTTTTCCAGTCCCGGTGTGATACCAGTCATTTCGTTTCCATTCGCTTGCATAATTTGCTGGGAACTAGTTGTGTCCATCTGAGTGTATCGGTCAACATCTCCAGTCAGACGTACGGCATTGCTCAAAGTCGAGATGTCAGTGTTTCTGGCTTGAGCCAATTCAGGCCCAAGTAACACATTGACATCAAGTCGCTTCACCAGATCGTTCAGTATCCTCAGACATCTTCTCGACGCATGAGATACCACTTGATGCTCGGAAAGTATCTCGAGACAGTTTTGGAGACGGATATGTGCTGCGGAACCAGCTCTGTGCTGTGCTGCAATACGTAAATGGATTGTTGCACTGACGTATGTCGCGTAAGAGAGTGTATAAGGTGCCGATTTGACACAGAAGCTCTTTTGATATTGTCGTAGAAGCGAGTCAATATCAGTGGCAGCAGCAGCGCACCTGGCGAAGGATTTGCTCGCGATGGCTTCATCCGCCGTTTGGAGATGGCTATCGGATACTAATGGTCGGTACAAGAGTATGATAACGGCATTAAACAACGACCTGTGGTGTAACAATATTAGCTTGCCCCACGCTCGATTTTCTATTTGTGGACTCACATCAAACTTATGGTATGAGGAAGATAGATGGCCTTGTTGGGCAATTCCAGTAGTGCAGAAAGATGAGACGGCAGTGCGTGTCTCCATGCTGTTAAATCCTCATCCAATGAACGAGTTATGCGTAGAAGCTCAGTGGGGCTCTTTCGCGAACTCTTCTCCGTGTATAGATTGCTAATCATGCAATCGATGATAATGCTGAGCTTACACAGCTGTTCAAAGGTTGAGACCACATGGCTTGGATAGCCAAGTTGTTCGGGCTCCAACGCATATCCATCAGTGTGAAATGGATCAAGCTCGTCATATTCGTCGAGGAAGAGGATTGGAACGCAGTTGTCGGCCTCTCGAAGACGCGGAGGACGACCTTGGTACACTGACTGGAGCTTGTCAATAGCTGCATCTCATGGGAGTCAGTAAGTGCACATCCGATGAAGAGAGCGTCAGGGGCGCACATCACGCACCAAAAGCGGCCCAGAACACTCTGCGATAGATCTCTTTGTCCTCGATTTGATAAGGAGATGATATGTCGGGCCGCCGACCCGCTTCATTGTGGAGGCCCAGATCGATGATCATGCTTATCGCCATCCCAGCGTAGTGCCAGGATGCGCTCTTCTCGTCACACCAAGAGAAAAGAGTATGCGACATGATCAGCAACGCCTGGACAGTAGTCAAGTCGCTCTTCAGTAGTAGCTGTGCGTCTGCGGCGTGAAGGAGGGCCTCAGCCCGGCGTCGAAAAGTCATGCCTTCGCTGCAATTATCTGCTGCAGCACATCGTGCAGCCACAGAACCGTCCAAGGATGAGGCAGCAGCCCGTGACAAGTACTCGGAAGCTGAGAAGTACATGGCATTTAGAAGTAGCTTCGAAAAGCGTGAGCCATTACACGCCATGTCTCTCATGAACGCTGTCCGATACACGATGGGTCCGATATGGTGCTGACGGTTCCAATATATGGATAGTAGTTTCATCCCCTGTTCGGAATCGACTCCATCAAAGTCGAGCTTTTGCGATTTTAAATTGATAGTCTCCATCTGACCTGGTATTTGTAAGCAGCTGTCTGCCTCTATGTATTGAACATGTCCGGTGCATACGCTGCCTTGTAGCATTGGCTAGGAGGTTTGATTTCAGGTGAACATCACCCGAAATATTATAGCTTTGATTGCCCTTTCTGAACAGGTGTTCTGCATCGAACATGGCACTGGTGGGGCCATGGAAACGACTGCGCCTGTCGTCGTGTCCTGCGCCGGCGTCGTCGTGGGTATCAGTTCGAGACCGTTCTGAGTAATCTTGGCCCCTGGTCCGAAGACTATCGAGGCTTGACGGCGTGATGGCAGGTGAAAGGTAGTCATTCGAGAGATTAGTTTGCTCGGCCCTTGCGGGAACTGGAGCCACATTGTCCATAGATGTTACTTGCCCTGCGCCAATGGAGGTTCTCCCAGCGCCACAAGCATGGAGTCTGGCAATCTCCGCCTCCAGGTTTTTGATGCGCATGTTGGATGGCCTTGCAGGCTTAGCACTGCACTGCTCGTCGTTGGACTCGTCTAGAGCGAATGAAGTCTTACCTCATTTGCCGTACTCTCACGGCGTAAGTACAGTCTGTGTCGTGTGCTTGACAGTTCCCGCACACTGGCGAAACATTATCACAGCCCAGCCGGTGAACCGTCAGTCTCCAGGAACCAACGCACAGAGATAATCACACAGCCAAGGCTAGCTATTCGTTCATACCTTTCTTCGCCTGCAGAAATCGCAGGCAGCGGTGACCCGTTGCTTCCGATTACGGCTACTGACGGGCATCGTGCGCAGAAATCAAATTCGGCCCGTCCAATAGTTCTTACCGGGCGTCGGAAGTGCCTGGTGTCTGTGAGATGGTGTTACAGTGTGAAATGTGCTCATTTTCCAGTTGAGGCGAGGACGGCAAGTCAAGGAAGTTGAGAAGAAGTTCCGACAAGGACGGATGAATCGGATGGAGGAAGTTGCGGAACGAAATGATCCGCAAGGAACCCCGAGATCCGAGCCTAGCCCGCCCATGCCTGCTCGCTTACCAGTAACTCATACCCCTCTCTACTCTCACCAAAAGAAATTACCTCCGTACTGTCGCGTATAATCATGTCAGTGGATGCTTTCTTTCACTTGCATCTAATTGGATCGCTATAGGTGTGAGATTAGCTATGTTCCTACCCTTCATGGTTCTGCAGTCAACCGACGTGACTGTTACATCTAACTTTCCATTTGTTCTATGTTCCAGCCAATTCCCTGAGTCCATTGCAATAATGTTTCAATTGAGGAATGGCAATAGTGTCTCGGCGGAACGGGCGATGATTCCGCTGTAATAACTTTCAGAGAAGAGCCCTGAGCCATGGTTGATAATAAAATCATGCTGGTCAGGGGTGATGCTAACCTCTCCCGTCTCGAGCTGCAGAGTGCCAAATTTCCCGAGAGGTGTACGATCAATAGGTGGCATGGCCTCCACAGCCACCGCTCCGTCATAGCCAGTCTCCTTTAGAGTTGCCATAATCCTGGGCCAATCGAAAGAGCCATTTCCTGGGGCAAGACGGTTGTTGTCTGCGACATGAACATCAACGATGTATTGACCGTAAGTGCGCATCGCCTCAAACATGTCTTTTTCCTCGATGGCGAGGTGGAACACATCAAAGGCGATCCCACAGCCGTGACCGACCTCCTTTGCAAGGGCTACCGCCTGTTCTGCTCGATTCAAGAAGTACGTTTCAAGCCGATTCAGAGGTTCTATGGCGAGTCGAATATGCTTTTCTTGCGCGAATGCTGCCACTTCGCGTAGCCCCTCGACGGCCCACTTCCATTCGTTCTCGGGAGTAGAGTCTGGCACGAGCGTGCCCACGTTTCCAGGAACAACCGTGACGATCTTGCCTCGTAGGCCAGCGGCGAGCGAAACAACCTCTTTCATATAGTCGATGGTACTCCGTCGCTGTTGTGAATCAGCAGCGAGTAGGTTGCGAGCGCCATGCTGTACTGTGACCGTGCCCCAGCATTCTATGTTGTACTTTTCGAGAAGTGGACGAACCTGTTCCACGGAGTACTGGTCAGGTTCGCCGGCGAGCTCGATACTCGAGTAGCCGAGACGACTGAGTCGTTGCAGAGTTGTCTCCAGAGGCTCAGGCCGCATCCAAGTGTGCGCAGATAGGTGCATTGTGACGTCTAGCAGAACTGCAGGTGAATGTCGAGTAGGCGAAACTTGGTCGGCTTGATGTGAAGTTGATCAAAGTGTCCTCGGAATCCGAAGGGCGTTTATGTACAACTGTCACCTTTCCAGAACGGATGGGTGCGGAGCCCGCGCGGATGCTCATGTTCCGTCGGAACTCCTAGCAGCCTGAAATCGTGTCGATCTTCGTGCTGTTCGCCCTACGGCAGTGCTTGATCGTTCAGCATCAAGCAGTGTGCTCGGACCAGTCACCAGCGCTTGCATCGTCGAATGCCAGGCCCCAGTTTGGTTGCCACGAGAAAAGCTCCGTCTCGTCAAAGAAGGCTTCAATGTCGTCCGAAAACCCTGCATTGCCAAATCCTAGGCCTATCGCGGGCACTTGCTCCCCCAAGACTTGCTGGTCCCACACCAGCGGGCCGTCTGAGAACAACAATCTGTCAATTTTCTTGGCGATTGCTATATCATCGATGGCAGCATCACCAAATGGGCGCTGGTCGTCGCTACTACTGCGCGCACTCGCGCATGCCGCCGCCACCTCAGCCACAATCGGCTCAAGCAACTTGGCGCTGACACGCGCAGCGCTCCAACGGTGTCCAATCTTTGTTAGGAGCTGGAGGCACTGCGGCAGCGCGTGGTGCAGCATGTGATCGACTATGCTGCGAAGCGGTTCTACCGCCGTACGGAGCGACCAGCATGCCTCAAGTGAAATAGTGGCCGCTTCGAAGAGAATATGTACGCCATGCCAGGGGTAGAAGAGGCGGCAGCGGAGCTCCTGGGACAAGTAGTCGTCAATCAGCGCCGCGGTAGCGTCGAGTACAATCTGACGATCGTCGGTGCTGCGGACGCGCAGGCGCGGCGTGGGCCGATGAAGGCGTGCACGTAGATGGTTGTATTGCACATTCTTGAACTCAAGCATGGCATATCGAGTGTATGATTGCGCTTTCTCGTACCAGAGTGCGAGGCGACTAGACATGTCGGCAATCCAGCCGGAGATCTCGACATGGCCGAAGAGCTGGAGATCCTCTTCGAGATGCAGTACACGGTGAACTTCTGTTTCAAGGGCACGGTACAGATAGATATGGGTGGCGGAAGACTCTCTTTGCACATCCTCAGCAGCGAACATTGCTGCGTTAGCGTCAACGCCGAGGTCTAACTGCGGGGTGGTCAGTATGGCAGAGTAGATATATGGCTGATAAGGCTTACTGGTATGGTTATAGATTCCTCAGTGAAAGACAACGGCAGACGGAGGTTTCCACAGAGTGATCTTTCCATCCCATAAGTGACCCAGAAAAGTTGGCATCGCTGTTGTCGTTGAGCCTCATCCAAGGCTGCCGGGCTCCCTTTATGCAATCCAAGGTTGAGTACCACTCTAACAGCATGCATAATGCAACTCCAGTTGTCTACGCGTTCTGGACACAAGTGAGCATAGTGAGCCAGCAGGAGCGAGATTTGAAGGGCCTGAATGTCGTCGTTGTCGTCCAAGGCTTGCAAATGCTTGGTGGCTGAGTTGTAGAAGGTCTCCGACGCAGCACGAGCTTGGTCCTCAGCCTTCCATGTCAGGGTCATTGCAGAGATGGCCAGAACGATAAAGAGGACGAAGTAGTCGAAGTGGCCAAGCCCAGACGCGTCTGGGTTGCCACTGGAGAAAAAGGTGTTGGTGGCATCCACCTCGCCCCGAATGCGTTCAACGATGGTTTCAATCAAGCTGGTTGAGACGCAGGGATATTGAGGCCTATGCACATCCACATAGTTCTGCACCATTCGCTTGATCGCAGAGAAAGGTACGCTACTTAGATCCATAAGAGTCCCAACTGCCGGGCTCTGGCGATGCTCGTCAGAGATCAAGGTACGTTCGTTTTCGGTGGACACTTGCTCCTCTAGGGATTCTTGGCGTTCTCGAACCACAGCCAAAGGTGGGAAAGATGGTCGATATATAAGAGCCGGGGATACTTTGGACCTTAGATATGACTTTCGGCGAGGGACGCCCACAGATAGTGAGGCCTGAGCAATCCTCGATGCCAGGGAAAAGGGCAGGTCCTCGGGCCCGGCATGATATGCCTGCAATTGGCTCTCGAGTTCCGCGACCTTAGCCTCCAGCGAGCGTACGAGACTGTCACGTGATGGGTCAGGTTTGGGCATGTGCTTTCACGGAAAACGGGGTCACACCTCCTGGGCACGGCCTCTTTGGTGACGGGATCATAGCCCATACACGCTGCTTTTGCCGACTCGCATGGCGAACATACCGGAAACTTGAAGTCACACTGGGAAGTTGTCAGCGACCTTTCCGAATGAGCCAAAGGGATGTTCATGGAAGCTACCTTGGTCTTACGCTTCCGACAGCGAGTGCAGACCTTGGTTGATCGCCGGTGGGATGCTTGCGCATCTGGGCGAGCCATATCGATTTTGTGTGGCCTGAGCAGATAATCGGCAGGGCATCCTTCCCAAGCTGGGTTCCAGACCCTCAGTCGTTAAGATGATGGCAAGAAACAGACAATGCAGAACGATTGTCTTTGACGACGAGACACGTTGATTTGCGCCACCGAGCTGTCTCCAAGTCTGGGAAATGGGCACTGGGCTGCACGAGTCATCCGGGGCCTTGGAGGGGCTAGACCCTTACTCATCTCTGGCCCGTGGACGCTCATTTCAGGACGCGACTCAACAAATCTGAACATCCACAGCCGGAGCTACAATAGCTCGAGATAGGCCCTGTTATGCTGCATTCTGGATGCAGAGGAGACTGTGTCGTAGGATAGAATTGACAGCGAATCAAGGTCGACGTGCTATTCTCGCTGCATGAGTTCCAAAATCTCATCAAATGCGAAGCGGCGCCGCAGGTGGAGGTACCCCGAACTGACAGGGCCCCGCGTGCCCAGCCTTACCCGTGACCGCCTAACCCAATACATGATTCTGCTGCTTCTGAATCTGCTCGTGATGTCGGCATCGCGTGATGTATAACCATTAGATGCCAAAATGCTCCAGACTTGTACGAGGTGTCGCAGCCGCAGGATAAAGGTTTGTGGTTCTGTGCAGGATAGGAAAACTATGCTGATGAAGAGTCCAGTGCGACTCTCGACTCCCAGCATGTCAGAACTGCTCCAAGATTGATGTGGAATGCACTTTCTATGATGAGGCCCTACAAGAGCATATTCCTCGGAGGTATGAATGATCTTTGCGTGTGTCTGTGCCACACTCATGTACAGTCAGCTATGTTCAATCACTGAATGAGAGAATTTCGGAATTGAGCTCCCAAGTGGCTTTACAGGGGAGTTTTGTGACAAGGTACGAAAGTCGGAACACATCAAAGGGGTCCAACGAACTGATGGCGTTGATTGAGCAGAGATCTGCCCCAGGATGCTAGCCTATATCCAGTGTCGACAAAGCGAAGCGAAACAGCCTACGTGCTCATGCCCGGAACCCAACAGTACATGTATCTCGAGCATTCGCCACCATCGATTATCGTAATGATCACCTGCGAAGCGCTGTCCCAGTCCCATACAGCTTTGGACCTTAGAGACAGTCTCGACGAAGACAGCTTCTCGTCACTCACTTCCCAAACCGATAGATCTCTTCTGACTCCGAGCTCCATCCGGTACCTTCTTTCCCGTTACAATAGCTGCATCCGCCCGGAGTTCGATATTGTTGATAACAAAATCTTGGTGCAGGATGGCCTCGGCCTCAGGAAGCTTCCACTTCCCGACAGATTTGAGACTCTCATGGTTTGCGCCATTGCCGCCGCACAGGAGAGCTATCGGAATCCCTTCTGGATATCAATAGCTCAGATGTGTCGAGAGTGGGCCGCAGAGGACATCGATACAGCGCTGTCATCCAATGACGGAAGCTCACTAACCGCCATTCTACTTTTGTTGATCTATGAGCTGTCTGAGCCATCCAGAGGCAGCATGTGGGAGCTTATGGACCTGGCAAAACGCACGGCATTACAGCTGGGATGGCATCGAACGGAGCACCCAGTGACTCAAACAAGCCCTACCACGGACCAAGTCAGTGACGACGTTGAATCGAAGGCCACAAAAGACCGCTTGTTGTCCGTGATCAGAACAGCAGATCGAACCATGAGCTTCACTTTCAATGCTCCAAGTACTCCAGGTGATTGGCTACCATTCCCTAACGCCGAGGAAAACTTGGTGTTCCAATTGTATCAAGACGTACAGCGAAACATATACAGACCCGGCCAGCTGTATGATACTCATGGATGCCCTTTTGTCGGTTATATGGCTGACTTGATGTCTTCTATGGACACTTATTCCTTGCGGCAATCGACGGCCATCAACGAGACGTGGCTCCTGCTTCTTCCAACATGTGTGCGCCATAAACAATGCGTTACTTGCTTCCAAGAGGCAGACGACTCTAGCACGTGGGGCATGCGATCACTTAGGCAACGATTGCTGCAAGCTGCAGTCACTCTTATAGAGCACACGCATAAAACCACCAGATCAGGAAACGGCTTCGTTGTGCCATTGGTCGCAAGCTCAAGGGCCATAGCTGCGGGATGTACGATCTTGCTCAGTCTTTCGAAGCACTGGACTTCTAACCGACCACAACTCAAAGCCATATCACAGTGTACCGAAGTGTTGACATACTTCATGCCTCATTGGAGAGGGGGACCGGGCTACCTACAAGTATGGAACACCATCTTAGACCTTTTCGACAAGCACCAAGTCAACTTCAATTAAAGTCGAGGAGACGCTGCACTACATATCGCTATCAACTAGGGCTGTTACGCCGCCATGGTGACCTCAAGCATCCATTGACAATGTCAGAACAGGCGGTGATAGGCTCGGTCGCCCAAGAGATACCTCGGCCTTGCTGTTGTGCAGGTCGATGATCACGGTCGCCAAAGTTTCCATCCTCTCAATTCCCTTTGCTCCCGGAGGTGTCGATCGACAGATGGACACAGGGGTGCCTTGTTCGTCAGAAAGCCATTTCCTGATCTTCGCAACGCTTGGCTCCTCGCCTGCGCTCAACTCTCGTATCCTATCCAGTCTCGAGAAAGAGTTCTTGGATGGATGATCTCGAATTCCGTCTGGAACGTTTGGGGACCAGATATGATTCGTGTGGAAAGTTGCCAATGCCCCAGACTCTGGGTGGATTGGAGCGAGGCCTTTGGGCGTGCATTCAATGGTCGCAAACTTTCCACTTCGATCGGCTATCGCGAAATTGACGCATGATGCGACGCCTCTCTTGCTAAGCAAGGCGTATGCCTCGTCGAAGGACCGACATTCTAAGACTCGCCTCATCGCAAGGTGTACAGGCAAAGCATTTCGGTTGACTGTACCACACCTAATGGCATTCATGCAGATGCCCACACCTGCGTCGTTGAATCCGAACTTTGCTACAATCCCGGCTTCGCCAAGCATGCGAATCCGTGGTAGTCCGGGCTTTTGAATGTCGAAGAAGGCAGTGGACAATCCAGCCTCTCCAACCCAGTCCCAGTTCTGTGCGACAAAAGTTTTATCACCTGAAGAAGTCTTGGTGACGATACTCGTGCAGCCATCAGAGTAGTTGGTCAGAGATATCTCGCTGCGGAGGTTGAGAGCCAGAATATCACCGAGGTCCACCCCAGCACCGGCTGCTATGCCTTTCATTTCTTCAACCAGCTCAGGCTCGTTCTGCTCGAGGGCAGGTAGATACTGTTTGGCACGGGCCACTGACTCTGGCCAATCAGCCTCAGCTGTCTCAAGGAACAAGCGTTCATAGTTGGCGATACAGGTCTTGATGCGATTTGGTATCTGCCTGCCATGAGATAGACCTATCTCCCAAGCCGTACCGCTCAGGGTAAGTTGAGGAACCCCGTTCCACAAGGGAGCACTATCCTGATTCTCGCCGACGGAGCCCATGATTGCGGAGAAGTGTTGGCCACCGAAATGCCAAAGAGATGGATCAGTTGAGTGGTGTTGTGTTGTGCAGTGTTGTGTTGATTTGCTTGTGCATGGTAATGCGCGCAACGCTGCGTGCTCTTGTCCCGTATCTAAGGGTCAAAGCCGATTGCTTCGGGTTTGGGCGGTATCGGACTGAAAGACTGCGGTATTAGCCGGTACGGGTGTAACAAATTTTACATGAACGCTGCCCGGCCCGGACGGCTACCCGGTCTTATCCAGTGGGGGGTCCATGATGCACTTGGAAATCTCCCTGTCTTTACCAAAGACGTTACAGCAACGATAGCACGTAATCTACGCGCCGTTGCTACAGTTGGCGTTTGTCCGGAGCCAGGAACGCGGAAGCAATTAGTGCTAGGCGAAGAGTCTGTTGCAAGGGATACACTCCGTGGAGAAAGAGAAGCCATTTAATCCGAATTGGAAGTTACGCCTTTCAAGATCAACAATCGACCGCCTTCCGCCCGTATGACCTTGCCATCCATGAACGATCCAGCCTTGCTCATCAGCCATGTCGCGGTCCCGACCATATCTTCTTCATTCCCAGCCCTTCCAGCCGGCGCCTCAGCTGCCAAGCGCAAGTTGGATGTTGGGCCATCGTGGGTCATGGCCGAGGGGACGATGCCCGGAGAGATGGCGTTCACCCGAACTAGCACCCTTTGTCAGCAAGACAGCCTCCCCGTATCTGGAGAGGGACACTCACTGTAGAAATCAGCGAACTCAGCAGCCATGATCCTCACCAGATGGTCGACCGCTGCCTTTGTGGTTTGATAGACGGGGACGAACTGGTGGTTGTGCACACTGGCCGGACTGCTGAACATGATGACGCATCCTCGTCCTTCGCCTTTGGCAGCAGCCGCGCCGAGTAGAGTGGTTAGTCCTGCGGTGAGGAAGTATGGCGCAAGCACGTTCACGCGATGGGCCAGCTCCCAGTCCTGATACGGCGCCGATGACGTGGCGGCTTCCAGTTTTTCTAAATCATCCCCAGGCGTGTACGGCAACTCGTTCATAAAGCGGATGGCGGCGCAGTGTATCAGAGCGTCTAGGGACGCATGACTCGCCTTCATCTGCTCTACAACTGACCTCACGCCCGCTTGTGAAGACAAATCCGCGTGAATACTTCGGTCCTCCTTGATTAGATGCTGGGCATTCCGAGGGGGCTGAATACTCACGTGGTGGCTTTTGTTGGGTGCGTGAAGCTGGCCGCAATACCCTCCAATTCGACCTTGAGAGACTTCAACGCCTCTTCATTGACGTCAATCAGGATTGTGTTAGCTCCATTTACCGCACAGCCTCGAGCAAGCATTCGTCCGATGCCACTTGCTGGTTGCGTTAGCATACCACGGCAATATAGAACTAGCCCAGGACTTACCAGCTCCCGTAATGGCGACCCATCGGCCTGAGATGTCGAAAAGCGCGTTGATTTGCAGGCTGCTTGTCATGTTGGTAGGGTGGGTGTATGCTGAAGATTACAATACTCTGTGCTCTTCTGGCATGCCTGTGCCTTTTTGCTCAATACTCCGACAAAACGAATCTAGTTAGTTCTCTTAGCTTGATCTGCGGACCTTGGGTCCACAGAATTGCCATCGCTCTTGTATTCAACGGCATCCAGTTGACCGGAAAACACACACATAGATTCCGGAGAAGGGCGGGAATGTCTCCTGTCTCTTGAGTACCTGCCAAGGTTAATTTATAGCATCGGCTTTCTGCGGTTCTCTGCCCACTCAACATGGGGTTACCCGAAGTGGATATACAATACAACCATGGGCCGGCGGAGAAGAGCACGCCCTGTTGCTGGGTCCAGTACGTCTGAAGGACTTGCTTATGGACTAATTTGACATCGTTCGTATTGGTGCTTAAAGGTCTCTATACCTAGTTCACCAAACCACATACGTTGGTCGCGATCTCAAAGATGGATATTCCCGGCGCACACATCTTCGGCTTGGTGGCTATTATCAGTGCAGTCACTGCGACTGCTTTGTTTCTGTACTTGCTGTTCTTTTATGTTGACGTTCCGAAAATCAAGGGCATCCCTGAGATCCCTGGCGGCGAACTGCTTGCTGGGCATTTGTACCGGTTGGGATCCGATCATGCTACGACAGCAGAGACTTGGGCCAGAACATACGGATGGCCAGCGTTCCAGCTGCGTATGGGTCGCCGAAGAGCCATCATGCTCAACTCATTCCATAGCGCTCAGGAATTCTTAGTGAAGAATCAATCAGCCACGTTAGACCGTCCATGGTTCTACACTTTTCATGGCGTTGTGTCCAAAACTTCGGGTCAGTAGCAGTTCTCCGGTGGTGAATCTTCCGTGATTTTGTCAGTACTAATAATCGATAGCTGCCACGATTGGCACCAGTCCCTGGGACGACAGGACGAAGAAGCAGAGGAGAGTTGTTGGTTCGTACACAACGGGACCAGCTATCCAGAGGCTACGGCCGATGCTGGACATGGAGACCTGCGCCGTCGTGTCTGCAATGTATTATGACAGCAAAGGTGGTGAGGTAGAGCTTATTCCGCATATCTATCTCCAACGCCTGGCGTTGAACGTGATGACCATGTTCTGTTATGGTACTCGATTCACCAGCACTACGGACCCTATTCTGTTGCAGATCTTGAAAGATGCGAAAACCATTGCCAGGTAAGTTGCCCATCTCTGAGGACCTCGTGCAGGAGTTTAATCAATGCTTAGCTTTCGATCAACGAATGCTAACCCGCAAGACTTCATCCCTCATCTACGCTACTTGAGCAAAAGTAAGCGCAGTGAAACGGCCACGGAAGTTCGTGGTAGGCGCGACCATTGGCTGGCAACCATGCTTGAGGGGGCCCGTCAAAAAGTTGGGCCACAGTCAGCGGCGAAGAAGACCGTCGCCGAAATGCTCTTGACCGACAACACAGAGGGGTTAACCGAACGTAAGTCACCTTTGAATTTCTGCCACTTGGCTGCTTGTGGATAGGAGGCATTCTGACAGCTTCTAGTTGATGTCAAGACGATCCTGGGAGGCCTCATGTCTGGTGGGTTTGAGACAGTGTACTCGACTGCCATCATTGCTCTGGGTGTTCTATCACGAGCCGAAGGCCAAGAAATACAACAGCGCGCCTACGATGACATAATGAGTGTCTACGACACACCGGAAGAAGCCTTCGACCAATGCTTACTGGAGGAGAAGTCCCCATATGTTATGGGTCTTGTAAAACAGTCTCTGCGCTACTTTCCACCGTTGAAGCTGTTGCCAGCAAGGCAAACGTACAAGAGCTTTGTCTACCAAGGCGCAGTCATTCCCAAGGGACTCTTGGTCTACACGAATACCCAGGCAATATCTCGAGGTGAGATGACCACCAACCTTCCCCCACTGCAACTTCTGCTGACTCCACCTGTAGATACCAGCGTCTACGGTCCTGACGCTCATCTATTCCGTCCCGAGCGCTGGGTTGGTAAAGACTGCCAGATCCCACCTCCCTCTCACTTCGCTTTCGGTGCGGGCGCTCGCATGTGCACAGCAGTGAATTTCTCCAACCGCATCTTGTATGCTATGTACTGCCGGCTGATCTTATCCTTCAAAATCACCGAGAGCAAGACCATGCCAGCAGATATAGATTATATCAGCTACAAGAAAGACCCGGCCGATTCGAATGCAATTGCATCGGAATTCAAGATCAAGTTGACCGCTCGAGATCCAGCGACTCTGGAGAGATGTTTCGAAAGGTCACAGGAAGTTGCTGAACCTAGCAATGAAGGGTTGCCACGTGAAGAGCTTAAGCGGAATTAGGGCAAACGATAGACCGAAGGGGACATTTAGAAGTCAAACATTGTAGCATGGCGTCGCGATATCCCCCTGGGAGCACCTCATTACATTGTACTGGGCTCATTCTCTATTTTCCATACAATGCCATCCTTCATGACAAAGTTGACCTTCCTTAGTGCCGCTGTCGACTCGTGGGGATCTTCATCCAATGCCACGATGTCGGCTTGGAGGCCTTCCTCAAACCAACCGAACCGCCTCCCACAGTAGTCACCACCACACGACTCCCAACCACCCACAGTACATGCTTCAAGAACATCCGCGACGGGGATGCCAGCTTCGATCATCAATTCCAACTCCCGAACATTCTCACCATGCGAGTATGTACCCGTGTCACCACCACAAGCCAGCCGGACTCCCAGCTCGTGCGCACGCTTGACCTGCGAGAGGATGATGTCGAAGCGCTTAGCGTGGAGCTTCTCGGCGATGGCCAGCGTGGGAACGAGGATGACGTTCTTGGCCGCCATGCGTCGGAACAGCTCGTCAGTCGCAAAGTAGACGTGCTCGATTGACGTGACTCCAGCCTCAACGGCTCCAAGTGCACCCTCCAGCGTACAACAGTGAGCCACGGCAGGACACCGCGCCAGCTGCGCTTCCTGTACAATCATGTTCATCTCCTCTTGCGAGAAGACCATGTAATCCGGGTTCGGCTCCTTGGGAGGATGCAGCACGCTGGCTTTATAAGGATGCTGCTGAGCGGGCGGCGACCGCATGATGCGCCGTCGGTAATCGGCGAAGTACTTGATCACATCGGCGCCCGCAGCGATACGCCGGCGAACAGCTTTGCGACACTCCTCCGGCCCGTCCACAGCGTCCGCTTGCGCTGGTACGCAGTGCCCGCCCAGGGTATTCTCGGTGCGAGCTTCGAACGAGCCTGTACTGGCGAGCACCTTGGTGGCAACGAAGAGCCGCGGTCCTGGCGTCAAGCCACGCGCGATGGCATCGCGAAGGTTTGCATCGCATTCTTGCATGCCTTCCGAGCCCAGATCGCGGTACGTGGTGTATCCAGCCAGCAGCGCGGTGCGGCAGTGGTTGACGGCACGCACGATCCGCTCTGTCATGCTCTCGTCGCGCTTCTGCCGGAGAGCATCGGTCTCGCTAAGGAAAGAGAACGCACAAAATTGTCAGGGCTCAGGAGACTCTTGGTTGAATTGTGGGATTGCGATCACGGAGGAATACTTTCCATGATCTGATCAGAAACTTACTCGTAGGAATGGAGGAATACATGAGTGTGCGCGTCTACGAGACCGGGCATCACAAATTTGCCTCGAAGGTCAATATCATCGCTCTTGAAGCCATCGACGTCCCCCGTTCGTTCATAGACGCGCACGATCAAGCCGCTTGTGCTGTCGACTGTGATAGAAATGTTCTTGCGAATGCATTTTTGTTTGGGATCAAAGAGAATGGATGTGTGTATGTCGAATTCAACCATCTTGTCTGACCTGGACTTTGCAATTACGTGAGTCGCCCTAGATGGTCTGTGAGGCTGGTTATTGCCTGATGACTTGGGCGACGTGTGTTCAGCCACTCAGCAAACCAGAACGATTCACCAATTAGACGAAAGCATCGCGGTGTAGCAAGGGTGATTACCTTCCGCGGGCGCGATTCGGCGGAACGCGCCAGCATAAGGACTTTGCCCGCTCTTCGCCGACTTCAAGCCTTCTCAAATATTCCCCGGGCCTGCCAATTTGTGGGGTATGGCCCTGCATCAAGCTGCAGGGCGCGACAAGCGAATCGAGCACGATTGTCAACACTCTGGACCGTTTGATGCTTCAAAGCTGACTCAGAAAATTTGGGAGGGCTATCGGACGTTGTATAGCCGAGTCCTTTCTAGGTGAAATTGCACTAGCACAAATCTTGTCAAGAGTCATGGCAAAAATACTGCTTACAGGCATGAGAGACTCTCCTAAACTGGAGGTTCTACCACTGACGAGACATAGGCGGCAGTGGCTTCGTTGCTGCTCACATTCTGAACGTGCTACTGGCCAACGGGTAGGTGCATGCTATAAACTACGAGTCTGGAAGTCAATGCAGCCACTGAGACAAACAACAGACACAAAGTCGTGACAACGGTCCGGTCAAAACCTAAGGGTGAGGACATATTAGCCGGTCATCCTGACATAGCGGCTGGTGAGCTTTCATTTGAGGTTGTGAACGATATCGCACAAGATGGTGCTTTTGATGAGGTGATTAGAGCCACGAAATGATCGTAATGAGGGACCTCCAAGACTGATCCGTCTGGATGCAGGTATTCCAAAAGCATGTCGACTTTGAGGCCGTCATTCATGCAGCCTCGCCATTTCATGATAAATTCGACGATCCAAACGAGCTGCTGGACCCGGCAATAAAAGGAACTACTGGAATTCTCAAGGCAATTGCCAAGTATGCACCAACAGTGAGACGGGTGGTGATAACATCATCTTTTGCATCAATGGTCAACGAGAACAAGGCGCCAGAGGTTTACGACGAGACTTGTTGGAACCCGGTGAGTTGGGACGACGCAACAACGAAGCGTAATCAGGCGTATCGTGGTAGTAAGGTAAGTGAGCACGTTCCGGACCGGAAGTCATCACAACTAATGCAATCTTGGTAGACCTTCGCAGAGAAGGCTGCGTGGGAGTTCATGGCGAAGGAGAAGCCCAACTTTGATTTGGTCACCATCTGCCCGCCAATGGTCTACGGGCCAATCGTTCACAAGATCAGTAGTCTGGCGGCTGTGAATACGTCGAATCAGAGGATACTCGACTTCATCCAAGGCAAGTACAGTCACGGCGATCTGCCATCCACAGGCACTTTGATGTGGATTGATGTGCGCGATCTAGCTGCAGCTCATGTCAAAGCAGTTGAAGTTGAAGCTGCAGGTGGTCAGCGCTTCTTTGCCACTGGTGGCCACTACTCCAACAAGACCCTTGTTGATGCCATCAAGGATACTCATCCTGAGTTGGCATCGAGACTGCCTACGAATCCAGTCGACGAACTCTTCGACAAACAGTATACATTCGATAATACCAAGATCAAGCAGGTGTTGGGCATGCAATTCCGTCCTCTTCACGACTGTGTGGACGCTACTGTGGCTTCACTGCTTGAATTAGGAGCATGATTTTGTCATCAATGTCATAGAGCACTTGACTGGATCGACGGCGGGAATAAAAGGTCGGAGATATATATAGCATAAGTCTGCTACAAGATGAACAAAGTTCTAGGAGTGCTAGCAAGGCACTTGAAACATGTCGTAGACTTGAATTTTGCTCCAATATCACCATGGTGTTTATACAGAGACTTATGGACCTTGCTTTGAAGAAGCTGCAATGATACCATCTGCCATGGCTACCAGAGTTGGTGCTGTCACATCCATTTCACCAAAGATATCTGCACATGGTTCCTTTTCCCATGCTGAACACCAGGCACCCTTGAAGCTAGATACGAGTAAGTCATAATACTGTGTTGGCAGAGGAACATCACCTACCCATTTTGTTTTGCGCCAGCAGCATCCCACATGTGCGCAGCAGCGAACCACGCTTCCAAGCCGTTTTGATCAAACTTGTCAAGCAGGTATTTGTATGATGAAGGCTCGGGTTTTCCAATGCCAATAGTATCGCAAGATACGAAGTTCTCTTCAGGCATATCAATTCCACCAGCCTTGAGGTAACCTGCAACACGGGCTGTATCGCCAGCAGTCAGGCACCAGACCTTGAAGCCAGCTTTACGCAGCCGGTCCCAGCACTCGACGATGCCTTCTCTCGGCTTGAGCGAACGATATGCCTGCAGGAGAAAGTCCCGGTCCTCGTCACTCGCAAACTTGCGTGGCTCCTGGATGCCAGCTTGCCATAGAGTGCGATAGAAAATCGATCCGATGACGTCGATACATTTCATATACTTACCGGAGAGACTGAGATAGGTGTACTCTCGCTCTCCTGCTTCCATCCAACAGTACCCAAAGAGACGAGTGCCGATGTTATGTGCGCGGAATCTTTCGCCAAGACGCTGCTCGAGCGCTTCGAAGAAGAAATCATAGGATATACAAGTACCTGTGGTCCATCTGTTCAGTGGTGCAATCCAGTTGACGAAGGGCGGGGAAGCTCCATACCGACAACGTCGAAGACGACGTGCTTATTGTTTCCTGCCATATTCGGGTTCTGCCTTCAATACCTGCTCACGAAAGTCGTCTGATACCTTGAGCAATCCAAATTGTGCCAGGCTGCCAAGTTACTAAGTTCGGCAGCAATTTGTGCAAGGGCGGACGCCTTGTTAGGCGATCACCCGCCGGGCCGGCCATCGGCTTTCGACGCGTAAAACTGTAGATTACACGCTGTGCGCCGGTAGACCTTGTTCCTGAGCCAGGGCCCAACGAGACCACAAATTGCGGGCGATTGGGGTCGGTAACTCAGTCCGAGCCGTATGCCCCACGTCAGCAACTCTAGGCCGATTGTTTGCCGATGTCTATCAGTTTTTGTGGGTTTCTTGTCAGGCCACAGAGTCTGTACCAAATGTCAGCCCGCGACATGATTAGCGTAGTACGATCGTTCGCAGAAAGCCGCTCAGCACCTTTCAGGCATGTTCCAGCCTCCACAGCCGCGCGCTAGGCCAAAACCCTACTACAGTCGAGGCCGCTTCACCAATTACTAGATATCGAGAATGTACCGTTGCCTACGATTGATACTTGGAAACACATTGCAAACATGACCGATCATCGCAGTGGGCCTGTGCCCAACTCTACGCTGCCGTTCTGGCGAACAGACCTGCATCCGTTGGATTCCCATCGGAGTACGCCAACATTACCACAGGAATGCGACATCGCCATCATCGGTGCAGGGTTCGCGGGCGCGGCGCTAGCGCACTACATCTTCGAAGACAACCCAACACCGCCTTCGGTCGTGATACTTGAAGCGCGAGAGGCGTGCTCAGGCGCGTCAGCCCGGAATGGTAAGCCTCCACGGTCCGATGTTGCCATAAGTAATCCTAAGCTCCGAGAATAGGCGGCCATTTGAAACCAGACGTCTACTTTCAGCTCGCTGGACATGTCAAAAAGTTCGGCGTCAAGAAGGCAGCGGAAGTAGCGCGCTTCGAAGCTTCGCAAGTCCATGCTATGAAAGCACTCGTTGAGAAGGAGAAAATCGACTGTGATTTTGTGCTCACCCGGGCATGTGATGCCACCATTGACCCTGGCCTTGCGAAAGAGACCGATGACGCCTTTGCGGAGCTGGTCAAAGAAGGCGAGATAGACGTCACCGACGTGTATCATGCGAAAGCGAAGGATGCAGAGAGGCTTTCCGGAGTCAAAGGCGCTAAATCTTGCTTCACCTTCACCGCCGGGCATATCTGGCCCTATAAGATGATCATGCACCTGCTCCAAGGCGCGGTGTCCAAGGGAGCCAATCTGCAGACCAACACGCCCGTTACCCACATCTCCGAGTCACCGCAGCCAAACGGCAGATGGCTCGTAACTACCGAACGAGGCACGATCGCAGCAAAGAAGATCCTGTTCGCCACCAACGGCTTCACGCGCGACCTCGCACCACAGTTCAGAAACCACATCATCCCAGTACGTGGTATCTGCAGCCGAATTGTGGTTCCGGAAGGTCGAACGCCACCCTTTTTGCCCTACACGTACAGCATCCGGCACGGGCCAGGTATCTTCGACTACCTCATCCCACGAGCAGACGGCAGCATCATTGTGGGCGGCGCCAAACCCAACTTTTGGTCCGATCGGTCCCACTGGTACAACGTCACCGATGACAGCAAGCTGATCGAGCCGGCGAAGTCATATTTCGATGGCTTGATGCAGCGGACCTTCGCTGGGTGGGAGAGTAGTGGCGCTTATACCGACAAAGTCTGGACAGGAAGTGAGTACCTTCATTCCCCCCTCTCCGCCATTTCCCTCTGGCTTTACAGGTCTCGCCTCCCTGCCCGATCTTACCTACTAACAATTCACAGTCATGGGCTGGAGCTCCGACTTCATGCCCCACGTCGGCGACGTGCCAGGGAAGCCCGGTCAAAGCATGCTCGCAGGTTTCTCCGGGCACGGCATGCCGTTGATTCTGCTGTCGGCCAAGGGCGTGGTGCAGATGCTGCGGGAGGGAAAGTCGTTCGAAGAAACGAATATTCCGTCGCTTTTCAAGGCTACGGAAGAGCGTTTGGCGAGCACGAGGAATGATATCCTGGGCACGGATGGGGCGCGGGAACCAGAACTTCGCAGCAAATTATAAATCCGTACAACTCGTGGTGCTCTCAGTTGGAAATTTGTCTTCAATGCTGCTGCATCTTGCCGGTATCCAGGGTGTCATGCAGTAAACTAAATGAGACCGTATAGTCTTCGATAAAGCCGGTGACACTCAAAAGCCTGCGGGTACTAAGCCAGACTTTTCAAGACCTAGGAGAACCCACAAATGTCACTGTCAGAAACATTCAGATTGCGCTATCAAACAGCAGATGCGTACCCACAGCATTAGCCAAAGGAGTTGGTCATGTGTCGTACAGCACGCAACAGGAACATCAATCATCACGCACTATCCTCCCTAGAACATTTGCCGCAGAAGATACCCTCGCCCATCTCCTTACATTGCATAACGGATGTAGATATTCTCCCTATCCGTCTTCCCCTGCTCACCCAGCTCTTTCGCCAGACGCTCCTGGTCCTCCTTGGAGATACCCTGCTCAGCCATGAGGCGGTCACGGCGCTTGTTCTCATACATGTAGTAGAATCGCCAGCACAGGATGAGAAGAGCCTGTAGACCGAAGCAGACGGAGCAGACGACAGTGCCGACAACGTAGCGGGGTGCGTCCTTGGTGCGGAAGACCTGCGAGCCGACCATGTTGCCCACACAGTATGCAATCAGCGTGGAGGCGGAGGTGAAAGAGTATTTGGTCTTGCCGAGGATGTTGGAGGGCACTGTGTTGGAATGTTAGGACCTGATCGAAGACACAAACATGAGGCGAAAGGGGAAGGGGTGAAACATAGATGGTGCTTGCGGGTAGACTTACTCAAGCTCCAGGCCAGGAAGATCGACAGAGAGAAGACAACCGTGAGCATGAACATGGCCCATTTGATCCATTTGTACTCGGGGATGTTTGGCAGCAACGACATGACAAGCATGCCAACGAAGGGTAAAAGGCAGCAGAGAATCATGATGTACAGTCGCTGGTTCTGGAATTTCTGAGTGTACAAGGCCACCAGAATGAAGACGATGACGTAGACGGCAAGACGAGGGAGACCCCAGAGCATGGACTCATACGAGCTGAATCCAAAAGTCTGGTACATGAGGAAGCTGAAGGTTGTGATACCTCTGTAGGGTTGGTTAGCGACGGAATGTCAATTTTCATAGCGATGTCTTACCCATTGGGGATATTGGCGAGCAGAGTGTTGAAGAAGGAGAAGTAGAACTGCGGATCTCTCAAAGCCTCGAAAACCTGAGCCCAGTCCCAGCGTTTTCCTGTGGTGTCCTGACCGGCGCCGTTCTGGATGACTCGTGCAGTGCTGTTCAGCCGTCAGATCAACCAAGTCTTCATAGTGCCAAAGAACTTACGCAATGCGCTTCTCATCCGCGTTCAGCCAGCGCACTTCATGAGGAGAACCCAAGCTGTAGAAACTCCAAATCGAGCCGACGATGGTGAGCGAACCCAGAAAGAGCGAGACTGTCCGCCACGCATCGATTCCGGAGTGCTTCTCAGCGTGCTGTGCGATTCCATAGAGGATCAAGTTGCAAATGATAGCCATCAGACCTTCCGATGACTGCCAGATGATGGAGCGGCTGGAATGCTCATCAGTTCGATACCAGGCGCCCGTCAGCAGCAGGAAACCAGGCTTGACCGGACATTCGAAGAAGCCTTGTAGCGCTCGTAGTGCCATCAGAGTGGCAAAGTTCTGACTCGCACTGATGCAGATGAGGACCGTGCCCCAACAGAACATGTAGGTTGACAGTGACATGCCCAATTTCCACCTCTGCATGATGTACACAGACGGGAACTGGCCGAGCAGATATGTGAGGTAGAATATGGTGGTTAGCCACTGGTACTGCTGTCCGACGAGGCCCGTGTCTTGACGCAGCCCGAAGAGGGCTTGAATGCTCAACGCATTCTTGTCGACGATCTGGATACCATCGATGAAAAATCTGGCGCCTGTTAGCTGCGAGCACGGTTCAGCGGAGTCGAGTGCTTACAGTAAGGGCATCACATGACGGTCGACCTTCCATCTGATTTTCGCGTACTGCTCCGCGGTGTAGTCTGTGCATCATGCCATTAGAACGGTGCCTGCCAAAAAGAAAAGCACCGGACCTACCTGAGACCTCGATCACATCGCCCTTGTCGACGGTCGACACCGCGTGCAACTCGGTCATGGGCTCTTTCTTGCTACCGATCGAGTCGGTACCTTCCGCTGGGGTTGATTGCGAGGTTCGGTGACCTTCTACTGACATCTTAAAAAATTTGGTGGTTCCGAACGGCTCAAAGGTGTGAGATTGCGGAAGGAGTTGGTGATGAGAATAATGATACGGGTCGCGTGCCCGGTATATACCCTCTACGACTGACGGTTGGAATGGTCTAGCCCTAGCGACAGGCTGGGGAAATATCTAGAGAAAGGGGCGGCTGCTTGGTATCAAGCTTTGCAATACAGATATCGCTGGCGGTAGGTGGACCTGCGGGGAGAGTCTCCACTCTGCGCCGCTATCCGGCTCACACTTTCGGCTCTCAGCGCCTGTATCGTGGTGTTTCCCGCTCAAAGCCGAAGGGCGGCCCGGAACAGATATGTTCTGGCCTATGTCCCCGCGGTATTGAAACGCCAGATGCGTGCATGGGAGATGACTATCGCCGAGGCACAAAGAAAGCTACTTATCGCTTTATCTTCACAATAGATGTTTAGTAACTGTCCACCTTTATCAGTCTGGCGGATACGCCGGAGAACGACGCCATATTGCTCTTCTGAAGGCCCAACAGTTCAACGTATCTGTCCCATTCATACCTGCCTTTGTGTGGTGGATTTGTCGCAATTAAAGTAAAAGCGAGAGCTCCGCTGCATGGGTCCTGTCTCGCAGTAAGATTCAGGCATGTCTAAGCCGAGACAGCATACGATCTGGAGCCACTATTTGCTGGCCCGCCGTTTTTCTTGGTTTCTTATATTCTTAAGGGTGAACGTCTCGAGCAATCCTGGTGGATACAAGCACGCGAGAGCTCACTTGGCAGCAATAGTTAAAGCCTGATGACTCGTGGTGTGTCCGTTAGCGCAAATGGGTGGGACCATGTAGCATATCGCTACCCAAGGTTATGGCACGCTTGCTCGATCGTTCGCTGGGGACCGCTCTGGCACTGTGTGGTATATATAGAATGATGCAGGGACGCTGTAGTAGTATCTTTGGCATTCTACCCTTTTACCCGACGACCCTTCACGTACACCTCGGCAATGTTCTTGTCATTGCCACTGACTAACCATTTCTCCCACACCGTTCTGATATCATCTCCGACCTCGACCGGGGTCATGACCCCATCATCGTCTCTCAGCACTTGTTCTTTGCCTTCCGAGTCCTCGCCGAGCACTAAGTTCGGTCTCACGATCATAGCATCAAGCTCTTTCCCCACTTCGAAGCTGCCGATCTTCTCACCTAGCCCACATACCTTGGCGCCCCCTAGAGTTGCCAGATAGAACACTTCATCCAGACTCAGCGATTTCTCATTCCCATCGCTTTGGGCTTCACGTGCATTCGACACGACGATCGCCTGCCGTATCGCGTCCAGGATGCTGCTACTAAAACCACCGCCCGAGTCCGTGCCAAGACCGACATTGATGCCTCGATCAAGGAAGCGACGGATCGGTGCAGCCATAAAGCCGCCTCCGATAGTGGTATTCGCTATAGGGCAGTGCGCTACACCGCATCCCCGGCCCTTGAGCACATCATACTCGTGTTCTGTGTCCATAATAGTGCAGTGCGCGAGGATGGTCCGCGGAGTCAGCAGGCGGAAGTGATCGTACAGATCTGCCTCATTAGAAGCAGGAAACAACGACAAAGTTGCATCAATCTCTTGCTGAGCTTCGTTGAAGTGAGTCTGGATTGGCAAGTCTGGATTCGCTTCCGCAAGATGGCCAAGGCCGGTAAGTAGGTCATCTGTACAGGAGATAGCGAAGCGAGGCGTGAGTATCGGCCGCACGAGATCACCTCCAGGATCGAGCGCATGGACATGTGATAAGAAGTCTTCCGTTACCGTCAGAGACTCCGTGGCTGAAGCATCACTGTAATATGCTGGTGAGTTCCGGTTCATGTTGCACTTGCCTACCAGTGCGCGTTGGCCCTTGGCGTGACACAGCGTTGCGAGGATCTTGGTGGCTTCTCCATGCAGGCTGCCATAGTAAGAAGCTGTGGTGGTGCCTTGCTGCAAGAAAGTGTCAATGGCGCGAGAGTACATGCGATGTGCATAGGTTGGTGAAGCGAACTTGGCTTCGTTCGGGAAGGTAAGCTGAGAGAGCCAATCGAGGATGTGTAGGCCTTGACCGAGACCACGCTGTGGGTACTGAGGAGCGTGATTGTGCGTATCTACAAAGCCTGGAGTGAGGAAAGAGTAGGTTGGGAGGCGTTTGACGGCCGTTGATTGGATATGAGGGGCATATTGGGCGAGGTGCCGGTCAAGGGTGTCGCGGGAGATGTTGGCGTCGCAACGGGTAATGACACCCCTATCGCTGACGATGATAAGGGTGTCCTCGAGTATTGTGATTGCTTCTGGTGACGGAGAATGTATCAGCGTTCCGTGGAAGCCTTGGTCACCGGACATCTTGTTAGCCCGTGCCCTTGTCTCAACGAGCTACACGATTGATGATCGTGAGTCGGCGACCGTGCCCCGTAACTATCTCCGTTCCTCCGGATAGTGTACTCGTCGGTGGGCAACTGCCAGGTTAAGTGTCAGATTCATAATACAGCTGAGGTCGCAGCAGAGTTGAGCAACAGTTCTTGGCGTACCCGCACTGGATGCAAATGAGGCGCCAGCCTGCAGGCACTGCAGTGAATGAAGGCTTGGCATATCCCGTGATAAAGCCGTCAGCTTTAGAGAGGAGGTTATAGTTATCGATATGTAGTCACTAGAGTAGCATATTCAAGCTGATAGAGACATGTGTACACCTATACTGCAGAGAGCAGCTGTCGGAGCTCGCCAATGAGACTTTGCTGCTTGTGGTCCGACCCTGGACTATAAAAATATTTATGTCTCGTCGTACAGGTAGCTGGCGTCCATGTAGATGAACGCCGTACTCCGATGCAGCTGATTTTAGTGTAGATGCCAATCCATGCTAGACAGAGGCACTGACGTGCTACACAGTGCTAGTGGATCAACGACTGTACAGTGGTCTTTCGAGATCCAAAGTTACAAAGAAAAAAGCAATCAACATCTCAGCAAGTGGGCTCCGGGGGCCGAAGCCTTGCTTCCTGGATGTGGTCTTTGTTTCAAGCATTCCACGCAAATGATTAATGGTACCAGATAGGAACCAGGACTTTCTTAGACTCTGCGAGACAGTGAAGCATTATGGCATCTCATGAATCGTACCCATTTGCCCGGGCATCTCCCAGCCTCCATCCTTGAGTGGCCGGCCATCCGCTCCCTTAGCCGGACTACCTTCGACTTCCGATCTAGGCCTGTTAAACTCGTCGCGCCGTGGCGATGGTGTGGACGCTGTTGTCGTGGTGCCCACTGCGTCAAGCTCTGTCTTATGACCTAAAAACGCCGCTTGTGGATCTGGGGGCTGACTGTAGAGGGCCGTTGTTTGTCTTGGAGTAGGGCGGTATTCGTCTGACTCCGATGCGGCTTTTGGGGAAGGTTTCCCACGCTTGCCCCATCGCATCAGGGCGAAGACTAGGAGGGCGACAGCGGCGACGAATCCTAAGCCTGCGCCAACGCCTATTCCAGCCTTTGCCCCAGTACCGAGTCCACTACTCTCGCCGTCAGTTGCATCATCGGCTGAAGAGCCTATCGTTGTGGAGACTACAGCTGTGGTCATAGTTGGTGTCCCATCGACCGTGGTGGATCGTGTTGTAGTTCCGGCTGAAGTACTGGCAGGTCTTGAGCCACTGCTAGCACCGCTGCCAGAGCTGGCTGAAGGTTGCCCGCCATCCCTCGATTCCGTAGATGGGGCAAAGCCGCCTTGCCAATCTACGCTCTCTAGGGTCGCCCTTCCAAGACTGACGACATTGTCAAGTGATGAAGCCCCGCTGAAGGCAGCCGTTCGAGAGGTCTCAGGACACCAACAGGGATTAGTAGTTGTTACTGTTCCGGAGCCTCTGTTGTCCTCACAGCCGACCCATTCATTCGAGGTCCCATTGCAGTAGGTGACGCCCATCCACGCATCGCCTGGCCATGTCAGTCATACGTGTGCCTTTATGTAAGATCACAAAACTTACCGGCGTAGTTGCCCTTGGGCGGACACGAATCATCCGAATAGCTATCGTCCGTGCAACCAGCGACATAAGTCATGCCGTACTGGCCATTGTAGCAGGCGTTCGAAGACAGACACATGTCTTGGCTTTCGCAGCACGTCACATTGCCAAAGTTGACATTTCCGCAGGGTATAAATCGGTCTGGGGCCTCGTCGCCACTGTCGTCGAAATAGCATCGTCCAAAGGAGACAAAGGGGTCATCCTCTCCTGACATGGCCAACACTTATCGAATGACGGGAGTGCGGAAACGCTCGTGGGAAGACACAGATACTGCAGAATATAATGAAAATGATGAAAGAGTCCGGGTTTGTCGAATGGTCGGGAAATATCGCGTGTTTCCCTGCTGTGATCGATGTTGCAGCGAAGCTGGTGGCGCGGTCGCGGCATCACGGCGAGCGAGCGTAAGTTCCTGGTTTCTTGACATTGCGGAAAAGAGGTCCGTACGACTCGCATGACGATGGCAATGACAGTTGGTGATCAATCGTCATCGCGATCTCTTTAAGTGTATAGGATTGGTTTGTTGGCAGCGGCCCGGACTAAGCGAGATGTAGATCCTAGTTACACCCGGCAGATCAATTCATGCACTACCGTGGTTACTATATGTCCTCTACACGGTCGCGCGAGTAGTCCAATGCTGGACTCGTGTGAGATCCGATGCATCAGTGACATCTGACTACATAGGTTTGTATTGCGCTCACCCATGGACATGTACTACCTACAAGTCCAACTCGTGGCCAGCGCTGCATCGCCTCCTAGATAGGTACTGCGGAGAGGATACCGGCAGTGCCACCGTGTCAGAGCCACACCTTCGGCCGCGCTATCGTTATTGAATTTAGTCCCGAGGACTGCCTCGGGCGCTTTGCCCTCTTCCACCCAGTTGACTAGCGCTGCCAGAACGTTGTGCTCCGCATCGTAAAGCGTCCCGTTCGCACCGGCACCATTCTGGCCGATCTGCCATGCACCAATGCCGTCACCACAATGGCCCATGCCAGGTACCCTGAAGAAGCGCAGAAAATCATCCAGCTCCTCGCTCGTCGCATCCATCTGCGTCGACAGGTAGTTATACCATCTCTCAGTATCGAAGCCCGTGATCTGCTGATCCGCACCACCGTGGTAGATGAGTAGCTTGGTTCCGGCATCGCGGAGCGGGGAAAGGTTGGATGGCCAGGTACGTGCGTTGCCCGGATTGATCTCGTCTGCAGGAGCGATGTCATTGATTGTCCATGACGCAGGATCCCAGCTCGAGTCATTGTATACGGCGTAGCGGTACCAATCGACCGAGTATGGGAAGGGTGAGCCGGATAACAGACGATCTGTGGCATCAACTTCCGCGCCAGGGGCCAATGGTGGGTAGATCAGCTGCCCAGTGACACCATACAGTGGACTAAATACCTGCCTGACAGTTTCGACTTGATGAATCGTCAAGCAGTTGGTTGCATTCATGGTGCCACACAGCAGTGCCTCTGGTCGAAACACCGCTACACACAAATTTGGGTCGGCCAGTATGCCGTCACTCGCACCGTCCAGGTCATCACACTGCCTCAGGACCTCGTCGTGAATGAGACCTTCCCACGTTGCCGCGTCGATGAAACCCGAGCTGTTCGCTGCACCCGTGAGGACGAAGAATCTGGCACGCCATGCCGACATATAGTTGAAGTTGAGCGCCGGGGCACCGACCAATATCCCATCATAGTCCTCCGGAAACAAACCTGCGGCTTGTATCCCCTGCCTACCGCCACCGGAGCAGCCGAGATAGTAGCTCTGATCGTGAGGCTTGCCGTAAAACGCCTCGACTAGTGTCTTCCCAGCTTCAGCGGCCATGTGCAGCGCCCTCCAAGAGAAGTCCAGTATAACGTCCGAATTACCCAAAAAATCCTTTCCTCCAGTCCCGTTGTGGCCGTTGTTGGTACCTGTGACCGCGAAACCGTGGTTAAGGCTATACGCAATATCCTCATACTTGATGCAGCCATCGATACCTCCATTGCCAGTGCCAAGGAGACGGCCGGTCCAGGTAGCTTCATCGGGCAAGAAGAGCTCCATAATGAAGGAGGAGCGGTTGCTCGTGGGCACGGTGAGAGCTACTCGACAGACATCGGTGGGTATTAGCTGCTTGGATCGGCTGCAGGATGCATCCATGCCCGGAAGTGAGATGGTGGTGTTGGCACGGATATACTCGTGCAGGCGAAGCGTCGTATTGGTCAAGTACTCTGTGGGGTCGAAGGACATGCATGTTTGCTCAAGCGATGCATTTGCTGACGCCACGCATAGCTGTATTGCTGCCAAGATCCAGATGTTCTTCATCGCGCTGTCTTTCACATACCTCAGAAGAACCAGAGAAAACCTCCGAGCTATATCTACATTCGATCTCGCCTATCGGTAGAATGTGCGGGGTGAAGCTTTAGGGTTACCACGTACCCCGCTGTGGTTCAATCATGATATTTTCTAGAAGCCGGCGGCTATTTATTTTAGCCAACGATGCCTCCAGCTGCGGGGGTTGAAGGAAGTTTGAGGCGGGGAGTTTGGGATGCCTTGTAGGCACCCGCATACTACCTATTAGAGTAGAGGTAGACTAATCCAAGTTAGCCAGGCTACGCGAGCAGCTCTACCACGCTAATCCTACTCAGTAGTACTTCCCACTCGTAGTATTTTCCGGACTATACCTCGGAATCTCAATCAAATGAACACACGATCAATCTTTGGAAATGGAAAACGTTACAGGCCGGGCTGCCGCACATAAAAAGTGACAGTCCGGGTCTCGGCTCCGTAAGGTACACTGCCCATCCTCCTCACAGCAGTATACAGATGCGGCCTCGCCTTGATCGTCTCCCTTTCCACCCTCGCCCATGCCTTTCGCTCCCTCATCAAGGTGATCCAGACTGAGTTGGGCCCGTTCTTTGACTGCAAAAAGCAGTTCAAACCTACCTCTACCACCGACCCCTCGACCTCATCTGCTTCCCCTGCCCACTGCTCCACTAGCACCCGAAACTCCAGACCCTTGTTCGTCATAGCATACGGCAATCTGCTTGCTTCGTGCCGCCCTTCGCTATAGCGCCTCACATTCCGGCTCTCTTCGAAAGCCCAAGGCCACGGCGCGAGCATCCCACCACGCTTTTCTACATCATACCCCTCATGATAACACCATGCAAATAGACTCTCATCGTCACTCTTACGCAGCACTTCTAGCTGTAGCCGCATGAATGCCTTCGTACCCTCACCATATAGCAGCGGCATGTTCACGCCGAAGATGCCCAGCATGCAGTACGCCATATCTTCCACCCGACTGGTCTGCCGGCGAGCCAACCAACTCATCTTGGTGGCAACGCACACGTCCTGGAATGGCTCGCGATCATCACTGCTGTCATAATAAGGGCCGTGTATGAGGTAACTTGCATCGATGCCCGTGGCCGCGGCGATCTCTCCTGCCAATTCCCGGCGAGAGCCGATGCGCGTCCACTCGGCGTCATAAAACGCCATATGCTGGGGCGCCAGCAGCTCCTGTAACGTCCATCCGCGGGTGTGCCTACACCGACGTGGCGGCACCGTCAGCAAAGCGGGAATTAGGTGAGAGGCAAACACACGGGCCGATTGATCAGGCCGTACTGCAAAAAAGTGGTAGCGGCAAAAGACTCACCACGCGCTCTTGGCCACGCTCTCATTTGGCGCTACCGGCGACACGTCGTTCAGGAAAGCATAGCAGAAGAAGCTCTCCCGGTACCAACCGAACATACTGTTGATGGCCTCGCTGAGCTCGGCGCTGCTGCTCTTGTCTATACAGCAGGTATCGATCCAGATCCATTTGATGACATCGACCCGTGCGAGCGCGCACGCCTGCACGATCTTCCAGAGGCCTGGATGCGTGGCGTGCGCGTTGCGGTACTGCTCCCTGAAGGCATCGCCGCCGACGGAGCTTGCATCCGGAAATTCCTGGCGGGCAACGAGGAACTCCTGGTAGCTGGTTTCCGAGGAGGGCGCGGCGTTCCATCGGTGTGAGAGGATTGCGTAGACGGGAGTGTCGCTGGAGAAGAACTCATTGAATGTTAGTGTGGAGGTGTGTAGGAGCCGCATCCTTGTATAGATGGATTCCGAAGGTGTAGGTGAACGAGTAGAATGGTTGGTTGCGTGATGTAGATATCATTTCTAATGACCGATGAAGTCTGGGCAGTGGTGAAATGACACCATCCAGTCTATTCGTGAGTCGGTCAATTCAGACCTGGTTGAACACTATTCTGGTCAAGCGTCCTGGTCTGTCGGTACTACAATATCGACAAACTCTCCATCGCAGTAAATTGGTACGAGATACCCTCTCGGCGCCACCAGAGGCGTCGCTTGCGCTTCCAATACCAACACCCTGTACAAATGCTCAACGTCCCGATTCGGTTTCCTCAACTGCACCGTACCGTGAGGATCCTGAGGGATCGAGAGCGCGTGTCGCTGCAGAGCGATGTCTCCAGGCAGCCCGACCTTTGCGGCATACATATAGCACAGGTAAAGTTGGTCATCCACGTATTCAAAGCCCCGCAAGAGGATTCGATCGCGTTCCAGAACGTCTGAAGCATCGTGGACGACTTGACTTCCTTCTTCCAGGTACATGAGCTCCCTGGCCACATAATCGGCGAACCAGCTATCCAGACCGACCTCGTTGCGGTGATGTTTCAGCAGAGTGGCAATCGCCCGCCTTCGAGTGTCGGGGGTCCGACAGTGGACGGCGGTGAACCATAAAGGTTGAATGATCATTGCGGTTGGTCGAAATACAAAGGGAGAGAGTCCTTGCGATCCTCCCTGTGAGAGATTTCCATACGACTAGCGCGGCAAAGTCAGGCGTGTATGCGTCCCAAGACATCTCGGAATTCGAGAGAACCTGACAGTGCAGGCCGATAAGGTAGTCGCGTTGCCAGTACCAGAGCGTGCCAATGGCGGTGGCCATGCTTTCATCTTGACCTGTTGCTTCGTCTAATGTTTTGGCTATCTGGTCAACTCGGGCGAGTAAGCTTTGTGCGAGTGCTCAACCCTGAGCGATATGTGCATGATACGCCAGGTTTGCTGCCATCAGGTGGTGGTAGGTCGGAGCAAGTGCCTCCAGACTACTTGATAAGTCGTGAATGTCTCTGAATGGATACCACAAACCTCATGTGCTGAAGGTAAGTCGAGCTGAAAGGAGACGTCATTCTGCAGTCAGCGCGACGCGATCGACCGAGGGTTCCAAGAGACACTTTGCTATGGTCCCGGCCACTATTGTAGCAAACGTGGAGTGTCGATAGTTTCTCACGGCCTATGGGTCAGTTGCGTTCCGTGCTGACTCGACGCGACATCTAAGCCTCGTGTCTCTATCCATGTGACACAAGCCCTCAGCCACGCGAATGCTAGTTGCAGCAGCTTTTGGATCGAGTCGCAGATTGTACCAGCATGCTAAGCAGAATGCAGGATGCCTGTAGTACCTCTGATGGAGTGGTAGCGGACCGTTGGGGGAGATGCTTGAGGGCCTTGTTGAAGCGCTCGAGTGCGTGGATATTGGCTGAAGAGTGGCTCGAGCCTCTGGGAGCCAACAGGCTGCGCTGTGTGGCGACCAATGCCAACACCAGGTCGCGAGTTCCGGCGTTGAAGTTGCTGAGACAGGGAATCATGATATTGAAGAATCCTCCCACGGAGTACTGCTGGGCACTGGCACCCAAGATTTCCAAGAAGAACTGGAAGTCGGCCGTATCACCTTGACTCAGCCAGGACGCTGCTCTGAGTAGTTGAACACTGCTCCAAAGCTTGCTTGCGCGACCCGATGTCCGCACCCATATCCACAACCCCGTGAAAATTGGCTGTCTAAGCCGGGACTTGACGTAGTCTGCAATCCACACATTGGACATCTTGACGGAGGAGGTTTGAGCTCCGTCGCTTCATTTGAAATCATGAAGGGTATAAACCAACCATTTCTCGCGCCAAGTTGCGACTGATTGGTCTGGGTCGGCTGCTGGACTGATGAGTATGCCCTCCCATAGAGGCTTGTCCTCCGCCATTCGTGCGATATTCGTGCCGCAGGAGCGTATGCTTGGGACCTCACGAGGTCCTTCTCACGTGTGGTGCGCGAGGGCGACGCATCGACGAATTCTAGAAGGTTGGCAGTCAAGACATTGTTTTGAGACAACGCGACATCCTGCGACTTGCACTGTAGCGCGGAGTGGTCGTACTTCGCCCTCGCGCCCACGAAGGCGATCTATACAAGCTTGAGTCTCAAGAGATTGAAATCTTCGCTTCCGAATGCCCGAGTCCATCTTTTTATCGATATCGAGGTGAGCAGCGAACGCGATGCCCCTCCAAAACACCATGCCCTACCTCAGTCCTACCGTCCTGGATTGCGAAAGCGACCACGTGGTTCTATGGATCGTCTCACAAGCTTCCGAGACTTCTCCGCCTAGATTTTGAAGGCGATCAACTTGGCAGAACTCTTTAACGATGTCCGAACATCCAACAGCAGTGGATAGCTGGGTAAATACTGGCTTGCGAGTCCGAACGCCTTGGTGGAGGGCTTCATGCAAATGGGAGGCCAGGCGTCACGTATCGCCAAGGATTGAAGAGCTATCACGCAAGCATGATGTCGACCTCTTCGTACCGGGCAACCCCGTCAGTGAGTCAGAGGGCAAAGCGTCCTTATCGCACTCGCAAGCAAATTCGACAGGTGTCAGGTGAAGCATCTTTGGGCAGATACTGATAGTGCCTCCTGTGCTGACTCACGTAGATATTCTCATGTCTTTTTGCGCCCTGCTCAATCACGATGACTTAGTCAAGACGAGGTGGGACAGATGTAGTCTTCGTACACAAGGGTCGGAGTCCTCGGCACAGATATCCTTTTCCAGGAACGAACCGGCCATATATGGAGAGAACACGTTGGCGATGCGGGATGACCACGCAAGTCCAGGTCAGAGTCGTACGACATGTGCGAGGCTCACTGCTCAGCCATCTTCGTTACTCAGTCGAAAAGGTGGACGAAAGACGAGGATAAGGTGAGCCGGACGTGGAAAGCTTGTACCTGCCAAGTCCGGGCCGAGGCTTGACTCCATTCTTGCATCAACGTCAGTCCACGCACCCAGATGTCCTTTCACTTAACAACACCCCGAAGTCACATATCTCCCCAGCTACAATGCAGCTCAAGCCAGACCAACAGCCGCCCGCCACAGCCATCACATCTCCACACCACCAACCCCTCCCCCTCCGCATCATCTCCCACAATATCCGCTACGCCGCGAACCCCTTCCAGCGCTTCCCCACCGAGCCACCCTGGAACCCCACCCGCCGGCAGCTCCTCGCGCGCCAGCTCCTGCATTTAACGCGCCCGCGCTTCTCACCTGCACATACGGTCATCTTCTTGCAGGAAGTCCTGCACGAGCAGTTCCGCGACGTATCAACTGCCCTGGGTCGCAGCTGGGAGGGACTAGGCGTGGGCCGCGATGACGGCAAGCAGGCGGGTGAGTACGAGGGAGTGTGGTTCCGGAGGGAGGCGTGGAAGCTGGTGGGGTGGGGGACGCGGTGGTTGAATGAGGATGGGAGTGTGGGGAAGCGGGGGTGGGATGCGGCAAGCGTGAGGGTGGCGACGGCGGTGGTGCTGGATGCTCGAAAGGGGGATGGGAGGGGGATCGGGGAGGAGGATGAAGAGGGAGAGGAGGGTCATGGTGTGAGGCGTGGCAGGAGGGTTCTCTTCTTGAATACGCACTTCGATGACCAGGGCGTCGTGGCAAGGCGGGAGAGCGCGAAGCTGTTGTTGAGCATTTTAGCCGAGTTGAAGCAGAGGTATGAGCCAGATTACTGGGTTGTAGGTGGGGATCTTAATTCGCCCCAGAGTGATGAAGCGTACGAGATTCTTGCTAGTAAAGAGAGCGGATTGGTCGATGCAAGGATGGTGGTGAGTAACGACATGGTATGGGGAGAGGAAAACACGTACACCGGCTTTGATGGCGAGGGCGATGTGGATGAGGGTCCCACAAGGATTGATTTCCTCTTTGTGCCAAATTCGTCTGATGGCAGCAGAAAAGGCGGCGTGCAAGGGTACGCGGTGACGCCGAACACATTTGAAGATGGGAGCGACGGGAGGGTGAGTGATCACCGTGCTGTCGTTGTCGATACTGTCGTCGAATAGCGGGTGTTGTGTGTAGCCGCACGTGTGAGAAAGAACGAATGCCTGCAATTTTCTCCTCGCGGCTAGCCCGTGTGTCTGTGTAACGAATAGCAAACGCACGATAACCTCGCAGTCAGTACTGCGTTGGAAGCAAGCCAGATTATCACAACAGTCGGGACTTGAAAAGCGAGACGTTCGAGAGATCCGCCAGTCGCAGTCCGGGCACAAGGGAAATTAGTGCGTAGAGATCCGCAATGTTTTAACAATGGTTGATTCCTGAATGAGCGACATATTCCTTTACCTGCTTTAACGACGGGCAGTTCCGACCACACAGCTGATGATGCTGCTGCTGCAAGATGAAGACACGTGGCAGTGCGTTCTCCCTTCCAGAAAGGTTGTCTCTGTGAGATCTCCTAGGAGGCTGCTGAACGATCATACAGCTTTCCCTTGGATTAGCTTTCCCAATCCTTCATGCTCAGCACCAACGCGCTTCATAACCACCTTCTTCTCCCACAACGCATCGTTAGTGCTCAAAGGCTCACCCAAAGGAACGGGCGGGGGCGGCACATGTGGTGTGACTAGGTCATCACTTCGAATGCAGGTGCTGAGCGCGTACATTGGGTTCTGACGAGCCTGGAGTGGGCGGGTATTGAAGTCGTAGTCGAAGCTATCGAAGCTAGAAGCCGCAGTCGTAGCAGTACTGTCCAGGCTTGGGGTCAGCGTTGGGATATTATACATGCTGGCCGAGAATTTGTGGCCGGGGCGCTCCACGCGGGTAGGCTCGAACTCGCTTTCCTGGTTCATGCGAGCATGGAATTTGGCCAGGTAGCTGTAAGCTTCGGAGGCGCGCGCGTGGCTGCCACGTAATTTTGGCTTCCATTCTGTGGGGTCTAGATCCGCCTTGTGGGTGTGGTTGTCGGGAGGTATCCGAATCGTGGGTGTTGGGGACACCGGGGGTGACTTGAACGACGGCTTGGGAGAGTTCGAACGGGAGCGGCCATGGAAGCCTGGCGTCGAGCGACGGGCATCCACTGGCGGGAGGATGCTCGCAGAGAGGGGCTTTGCATCGTCTTTGCGACGGCATCTAGGTGCATGTCAGGCAAGTGCGGCTGAGGGGAGGATGTGAACCGTACGCTTGAGAGCAGTAGAGGATGGAATTGCTTGGAGTCATGATTTGCTTCTCGCACATAGCGCTGAAGCAGTCAGTCGGAGCACATATGGGATTTTGTTGGTCTCACCAGTACTGATTGAAACTTGCGGCCATGGTCGCGTGCGTGGTCAGAAATGAGTCAATGAAGCGGCGGGCGCTGGACAGTTGCGAGGACGAAACGTCTATACTCAAACAACTGTTGAGCAGCCCTCTAGCGATGCTATGCTAGTGTAACGAGTACTCTGTAAGAGACGAGACCGCTTGCAATGCGGTAATATTTATTGAAAGGAGGAAAATAGTCATAAAGAGGCGGTGTCGCGGCTTTTGAGACCAAGACTGACGTGCATAGAGGCACTTGCCGCGGGGCTGTCTGCGATAAGGGTGGCTTGCATTCCCAAACAAAAGCACCATGCCGACTTATCAAAGTTCCACAAGGCCCAGTTCCAGGGAGCAGGGGTGGAGGGTGTAGGGAGTAGGCGTGGACAGCCACAGCTAATTATAACCAGTTGGGATTAACGCCAGGCACAGGGCGATCAGCGCCACAAAGATCGCCGGAGGCCGGCTATCCGCAATGGGCTGGGCTGTGGACCTCGCGAGGAGATTCCATAAGCTCTACGTAGCACATCTAAAAAGAACCCTCCGCTGCCAGTAGGATTCTGTGACCGTTCATTATTGCACGATAGAAGATGACGGCGCGACTAGGCTGTGTCATTTTGTTAGAAATCCTTCCGGGCATCCACGAGCAACCGGGGCGCCATCACGCCCAACGTAACAGCCCAGCATGCTGCTCCAGGTAAACTTATGTTCTTTGAGCTCCTGCAGCACCTTGTACGCATACAGGTTGGCATACCCAATACCGGTAGAAGGGTCTCGATATCGTGCTGGCATGAGAGTGATCGGGCAGATTGTGGTACTGTGCCGGCTGGGTTTGGCCGTCCTCCTCGTGTTAAAAAAGACACCGAATTCTTGCTTCGCTTCAGGCGACAGATCATCAAAGTCTTCTAGCGTCACCAGATTGCTAGTCATGAATCCTTCTTCTATTTCGACTTCAGGAGATGGCGGTGCTGTTGCCACTGGGACGCCTTCAACGGGATGGGATGATCCAGACTCCAGGACGGGTGTCACCTCCGCGGAAGAAGGCGCTGGAATCGTAGCTAACGTCGGATGTAGCTTCTCATGCGACGTGTTGGGAAATTCCTTGATCTGTGCGGGACTCGGTTGTGCTACTTGCGCTGGTTGCTCCAAGGCGTCCTTCGCATCAGCCATGTGAATGTCAATAGGTTTGGGTTGCTCAGATTTGGCAGGCCCAGCTGCAGACACATCGAAAGCCTGAGTCTCTTCGTCTCGACTAGCTGGAGGTTCGGCCAACTTTGGCGATGGTATCTCCGATGCTCTATTCTTAGCCGGGACATCAGACTGCATAGTAGCGCATTCGTGAATTCCACCAAGAAAAGACCTATCTGGGTTCGTTGGGACAGGTGTTTCGGGCTGCTTCTCGGCGACAGACTTTCCAGTTCCCGCCTGATGCTCACCATCCGGTGGCATTGATGGGTAAGGCGAGGAGGTGGGCTGCGGAGGTTGTGGTGACATTACCGGCACCGTTAATAATGCTGGTAGTGGTGGCGGCGTCTGTTGATGTGACGGAAATTGCGCCAGTTGCTGGCCTGGGAAAGCATCTGAGGGAGTTCGCTGAGTCGTAGAATAGTGGGTCGGTTGCGAAGGTGGCGGAGGTGGCCCTAGCCATGTTTGTGGCGAGTGCTGTACGTATTGGGGTCCTGTCGGAAGCTGTAGTTGCTGCTGAAGTTGCGGTGCAGGTGCCTGGCTAGGAGGTGGCTGACCCAACGTGACATTTTGTACGGCTGCCTCTCTCATGTTGGCCATTTGCTCGTGGTACGCTTTGGACTTTCGACCACGCTTCTTAGGGCCTTCCTCGATCAAGATGTCCAACTTTGGCAAGGGTACTGGATACTTTGGACCCCTGAACTTGGCCTTGCCGCTGCGCCAGCTAATGACGGGACCCTCGAGCTTTCTGTTTTTCAGTGCGGCCAGCTTTGCAGCCTGCTCTTCATTCCTCTTCTTTTCCATGGCTTCCCACCTGTTCAAGCTCTTCGCATTACGTCGCTCTGTCCGTTCCGCTTCAGCCAGGCGATCGGCTTGGGTCATGGCCTTTGGTGCATCTTTGGCCTTTTCTTTGTCGCGCTTTTCTTTCAGTGCCTTGTACTTTTTGCTTTGTGCTTCGCTCTCCTTCAGTCTGGCAAGAGTGTGTTCGCGGTGGGCGATGGTCTGCTTGCGCAGAGAACTGCGTGCATTGGCATTGTCCGGGTCAGGTAGCCAAGTTACACGCTCTTTCTTCTTCGATGGCTTCTTTGGGGCGGTCTTGGGCACGGTAGGATCGATCTTAGGACGTTTTCGTAAACCAGTGGTGGTGGTCAAAGCCAGGTCCGCCTTTCTCTTCCTTGCTCGCTCGTCTTTTGCTTGTTTTACGATCTCTTTCTCTCCTTCAAGATCTTCAGCACCAGCGTTGGGCCCTTGATCATCATCATCCGAACTGGACATTACATCCTCATCTGAGTCGTCGCTCTTGAACTCTTCATCCTCCAAACCCTCTTGGTCTGCAAAGAGCAGAGCAACCTCGTCCTCATCTTGACCCTCGTCTGCTTCCTCAAGTGCGGCGTCGCGGTTGTAGCGATTGCCAGCAGTTTTGCGCTTCTCACGACCAGTGATCAGCAATTCGACCTGTTCATCCTCGGAATCGTCGTCACTGGAGACAGAGTCTGGGCGAGGGCTCTCGGCATCTTGTATCTCTTCATCGGCCATCGCGCAAGCTAAGTGGCGCCCAACCGCGTTGAGTAGATAGGAAATGGAATTCAATTGATGAGTTGTTGGAGAACAGAAGTTCGGGCCTGGCATTGCCTAAATGCATGCTTAGAAATAAGCTTTTCGGCCGCCCCGCGATCGCCTAACCCACCAGATGCAGGGGTTGCACAGGTCCAGTACGCGTCATGAAAGGCCACTCCCACGCGCCTACACTGAACAACCGTCCCTTAATGCAGGCAATGGCATAGATTAATATTCAGAATGGTACGAGCAGCGTTGAGAGCTGCCGCAGATCCAGCAGAGACCTTGCCGGTTCGCACCTCGCCACGTTCAAAATCAGGGTCCGGTCGACAGCAAGCTCCTGCCGAGAACAAAGAGAGCAGCAAATATCGGCATCCTGTGCTCAAGGAGGAATTTCAGTCACTGGCCAGAGCAGTCGAAGAGGTGTCCGGCGCAGATGATGATCTGTCGGATTCGCCAGAACACGATTCAGATCAAAGCAGCTCATTATCGGAACTCGGTGAGAGTGAAGGCGAGGATCTTGTCGCTAAGCCACGCAAAAAGGCGAAGGTGGAACAGCTATCGAAGACCAAGAATCCTGCGCAAGCTCGGAAGAAGACTCCAGTTAAAACTCCAGCGGTCAAGAAGGGTCGAACGGCAGCACCAAAATCTGCTCGCAAGGCGACGGCGACAGAAGAGCCGACTGCTCAAGCTCAAGACGCATCTGCTGACGCAGCAGACGAAGAAGAGGACGCAGATCAAGCACGTGGCACTAAACGCAAGCGCAAGACTAAAGCGGAGCGCGAAGCTGAAGCCATGCCACTCGCCATTCGCACCGCCAATCTCAAGATGTACGTAGGAGCACACACTTCAATTGCTAAAGGTGTCGAAAACGCAATCACCAACGCCATTCACATAGGTGGCAACAGCTTTGCCTGTTTTCTCAAGTCGCAACGGAAATGGGACAATCCTTCACTCCAAGACACTAACCGCGACGCGTTCAAGCAGCACCTCATCACACACAAATACGATGGCCTCAATCATATCGTCCCTCACGGAAGCTATCTCGTCAACCTCGCCACCGAAAATCCCGAACTGCAAAAGAAGTCCTACGATGCTTTCATTGACGACCTTCGTCGTTGTGAAGCCTTGGGCATCCGGCATTACAACTTCCATCCAGGAGCTGCCGGCAAAGCGCCTATGCCCGAAGCCATTGGCCGACTCGCCGCCAATCTGAATCGTGCGCTGTCCGAGACATCGACCGTCATCCCTTTGCTTGAAAACATGGCGGCACGAGGGTCTATCATTGGTGGCCGATTTGCCGACCTGCAGGCAGTAATTGCACTTATCAAACCTGAGTACAAGTCGCGCATTGGTGTCTGCATTGATACGTGCCATGCTTTTGCAGCAGGCTACGACCTACGCAGTCCTGAGGCCTTCAGGGCAACCCTTGAGGATTTTGATCGCAACGTTGGCATGCAATACCTCAAGGCTCTGCACATCAATGATTCCAAAGCTCCCTTCAGTAGCCATCGAGACCTGCACCAGAACATTGGCCTTGGTTTCTTAGGGTTGCGCGCGTTCCACAACGTCATGAACGAACCACGCTTCGAGGGGTTGCCGCTAATTCTAGAGACGCCGTGTGAGCGGCCTGATCCCAGCGATCCGAAGAGAAAGAAGACTATAGATGACAAGGGCGTCTGGGCGAAAGAGATCAAGCTGTTAGAGAGCCTGATCGGAATGGATGCGGACAGCGAGGAGTTCAAGAATTTGGACCGAGAGTTGAGTGAACAGGGACGCGAGGAGAGAGCAAAACAGCAGCTGTTGTACGATAAGAAGATCCAGAAAGAGGAGAAAAAGCTGGCAACAGAGAGGAAAAAGGGGCAAATGAGTGTCAGAGATATGTTTGGGAAGGGGAAAGGTTCGCAGAAGAGAGAGGTGAGCTCGCTGACTGCGGAGGGAGATTCAGAAGACAGCGCATTCAGTGAGCTGGAGGACGACGAGTTGACATGAACGTCAAAGGCCGGGTCGGCATTGTCCTCAGGTGTCAGGATGTGGTACCCAAGCGCACGCGCACCGTCCTGGTGGACAGGAATGGGGCGCCATGCCATGGCAACGTGCAGCTCGAAGCTGTATAGTTGTAGATCTAGAGTGCAATCGCAGCAATATCAACTTCTCAGCGAGAAGGCGAGATCGAACTCGCAGCTAGACTCATCCTCGACGCCACATGTGAAGAAACACCACGCCATCGCACTGGTCTGCATATTCCAGAAGGTCGTAACGTTGCCATATGCTCCTTTATGCCAAGGCTTGGCAATTCTTGTTTGCGTCAGAGTCGCGACGCGCATAGAAAGAGGCAGTCGCGCCAGCCACTGATGAGAAATCCATCCGAGTCTCCACGTCGAATCGCAGCAATCGCCTCAAGGATTGGACTAATCACGCAACGTCTCCTTTGATCGGCTCGCTTTCGGTCTCAAGATGGTCGACTACGCGCGCGAAACTGTGGCTAAGCTGCAAGAAATCCTCAAGTCCCGCCAACTGCCTACCTCCGGCAAGAAGGCTGAGCTCATCGAGCGCTTGCGCGCAGCCGACCAAGCTGCCGAGGCCAGCGGTACGCATACTCATAGCTCTGGTATCTCGTCACCTTCATCGCAACTGACATATCCTGCAGAAGCCGAAGCCGCTCCACCTGCGCCTGCAGTAACCTCCGCGCCGCCCCAGCAAACACCCGAGACTATTGTGCAAAAGCCCACTGCCCCGGAGTCCGGACCCGCAGACACCACCGAGACTGTGACTGAGTCTGTCGCGCAGCCCGCTGCTGGTGATGCTGCATCCACTACAGATGCCACCCTCGCGGCATCAGCAAGCTACTCGCTCCAACTACCTACCTCCAACATAGACGACGAACTGGCCAAACGCAAAGCCCGCGCTGCACGGTTCGGCACTAGCACGGAGACTGCCACTGCTGAAGATCCGTCCGCGGAACAGACCAAGGCGCTGGAGCGTGCGAAGCGCTTTGGCGTGGAGCAGAGCGAAACGGCGATTGGCAAGCTTGATGGAGCACTATCGAACGACGGGCCGAAGGGACGGAGAAGAGGACCTGCTAAAGACGGAGAGGCGGCGGCAAACGACGATCCAGGCTTGTTGAGGAGAGGCCGTGGCGGGCGCTTCCGGGGCCGGGGCAGAAGTCGGAGGGAGGGGAGCGCTGGGGCGCGGCCCACAGGTGTGGACAAGAGATCGGCTCTGAGTTCAGTGGACCGGGCAGCGGCAGAGGCGAGGAAGCAGCGATTCGCACAGCAGGGATGAAGGGCATAAGTGTCAGGGTCGGCAAATCTCGGTTTTGCGTCAGGACGGAAATTTTGTACTCGGTGATGGAAAGAGACTCAGCATGTCTACTCGGAGTGGCCATAGGATTGGTGCTCGACGACAAAGCGCAACGGCTTGTTCTTTTATTATGGCCTCGATTTCTGGTCATCGTTGGCTCGAGCTATGGGAGATGCTCTCCTGTATCAGACGCGCACTCGGATGCCAGGCCACATTACCGCCTTAGAGCAAATGAAAAAAAAGCAAGCTTGATGCCCCGGCTCTGGCGCTTCCTTCTCGGATCACATGCCTTTCCAGCCGCCATCATCGTCCTTCTCTGCCCAGCGCTCATCTTTATGAGCGGTACACGGACCGGTCGCCGTTGTCGAAGACGCCGCCGATCAGGGTGTCGAAGACCTTGCGAAAGAACTCGGCGAACATGGTGAAGATGGTCTCTGTTGACGGAAAAGCGTCAGTCAAGGGATCGAGAGTGAAAAGCAAAGAGTTACAACTTACGGTTCAGTGGCTGCAAGTCATCTTCCTCGTCTTCCCAGCGCCCATTCACCAGGGCCTCCTGGTCGACAACGACAGCGGCCGCCTCCTCGTCTTGCTGCTGCTGCTGGTTGGCAGGCATCGTCACTGGTTGTCGAGAAGAAAAGGATTGAGAGGAATTGGTGCTTTGTGCTGCGAACTTGATATGTCCACGGTTGTGTCTTTAGTGGTGAGTGGTAGAGGTGAAAGAAAACAGTCAGAGGGTTGCTTGTGAAGGAATGACATGGTGTCAGTGGGTCACCGTGGGAGACTTGCATCCTAGGTGATGGTGTTGCGGTAGTATGAGTTTGCTGTTGCTGTTGTTGTCAACGCGAGATTGCGGGCTGGGTTTAATGAGTGTATTCACTGTAGCTGTAGCTATCAAGTGCACGTGATCAGGCAAATGCCAGTGACTGTCTGAGGGTGTTGCAATGGTCTTCGTCCCGTGACTGGACCATGTACTGATGTTGCAGTCATTATCTGTAGAGAAAAAACGCTGTTAGGGGTGTCACTGCTAGGTCTTTAGCCGATGGTCTCAAGGTTCAGAAAGGGTACTGCAGACAGAATCTCGATCTGATCTGATCACGTAGGTAATAAAATATGTTTCCTGCCTACAGGCAGTGGACATCCAAGTACTATAGTATAAGATTAACAGCTAAGGTGTGGAAAAATTGTTTCATGGTAGCAACTCGAACGCCTCGTTGATACGTATCAAAGGCCTCGGATCCGAAAGGATCGGTTATGGAACGCTGAAAGGCATAGCTGGGTGTTCGTAGAAGCTGGTGGAGAGTACTAGGACTCTTAAGGTTCGCTGTTTTGAACTTCGGCATGCTCCGCATGGCCCGAGGCATTGATGAAGGCTTGATAGCTGCTGCCTTCAACAGCCCGGCCTTTCAGAAGCTGATACATTTTGACCAACACTCGCCCGTTGAGTGGGCAGACATCAAGGGCAATGTTACAGCCATGAAATTGATTGGACCTGTGTCAGGATCACTCATGTAAGTTAGAGAAAATACGCCGTCTTCAGGCTGTAGGAATCTCTACTTACGGATATATCGCATGGGCCGTCTTTGGGCTATTTGCGAGCTTTGTCTCGTATGGACGATTGGCATCGCAATCTTTATGTCTAGTCAAGGCAACCTGGACCCCATCTACGCTGGCAGATTCGTTGCTGGTCTCAGTAAGTCGTCCAGAGGTAGCCTCCAGCTATAAGCACTGATGTCCTCTGAAGGTGTCGGGCGTAAAGATAAAAAACCCCAACATCAGCATGTCGGATCTTGTGTACTTGGATCCAGTAGATTGAGTCATCTGGTGTCATGCTCATACATCGTGAACAGTTGCTTGATACCCTGTAGATGGAATATGTCGATGACTCGACGAAGGCTGGAAGATACCGTTGCGAGTGTTTAGCTTCAAAATGGCTGATATGGTACATCAAAGAAGCAGAAGGGCCCTGGGATCTGCGCATCTTCCTCATCTCTGGCGAATCCAGTCTCGTCCGTCGTGGAGAGTTCTTGAAGTCTTTGAGTTCGTTCTTGGTGGTGGCTTCCGGCATACACCCAGAGTGGCGCTCGAACAGCCAGAATGACTCCAGATTCAAGTCTTCGGACGACTAACACAATGACTGATGCTTTTGAGTAACATGTGGGAATAGCTCTCATCATAGTTCACAATAAGATCAAACAGACTAGGCAGAAGACCAATGACAGCGTAAATCATATCGAGAATAACCTCACACTGAATGTGAAAGAATATCTAGTCACAAGGTCTCTATATACAGGATTATATGTATATTATGGCGGCCTCAGTGTTGCTCTGAAGGTTTGCCGCCGAACACCATGACTATTACCCCGTTTCTATGTGACCAAGGGAATATTACCGGAGCTATCTAACTCTGGTACTAGAATGTTCCGTGGACCCGTCCAGCTCCTGCGGTACGACATGGTATGTCGACTGTTGCCGTGACGAATAGCTGCCCATGAGTTCAGATGGTGTTGCTGATTTTCTAATGTCGGAGCTGTCGTTCATGTCCATTTCCACGGGCGCCACCCCCCCTGTGTTGGGTGAGACGTAGCTCTTGCCAACGAGGCGCTGTCTCTTCCGTTTCCGCAGGTATAGAAGCGCGAGCAGGGCGGCGGCCAGAACTGCTATCACAACACCTACCGCGACACCAGCTTTGGCGCCGCCCGATAGGGAACTGCCTGAAGAGACTGCAGATGATGATGTAGCTGTTGCTAGGGAAGAAGACGTCGTGGTGGATGATGGGGTTTCAGAGGTGCTCGTTGGGGTGGAACTGGATGTTGTCTTGGGGTCGTTAGCTAGGCTGCTGGTGCATGGGACGAGACTGACTCACTGTACTTGAAGCTGCAGAGGTGCTACTGATGACTCCCTCTTCTTCGAACCTCCACGTACCAGCCCCAGTCCCTTCGTACATCTCTATGATCTGTCCACTAGTGGCTGCAGGCGAAGGGCCGGCTCCGAGAAACCAGCTGGTACTGTTCGCGAGATTCTGTATGAAATACTTGTCCCCGCCGGCTAGAGCGAGCGTCCAGAGACTCGAGTCGAGGTATGGATCGTCATCGGCTTTGCCTATAAGGCGTGGGCGTGTTGAGTTCGAGTTGTCCACTTGAAAGACATCCAGCAGTACAGTCCTGTCTGCATACATGAGCGAGCGAAATGCGTAGGTTCCGATAGCCTCGGTGAAAGTGATGATTTGCCATGCATCGGAACTATCGCTGACCGATATGTTGGTTGCCTGCAACGCAACACCAGCGCTGTTAGGATCGCCCGACCTAAAAGCAGCCAACACATAAGAATCCCACGGCTCGTAGAAAATGCGATAGCGAGTATTTGAATCCAGGACAATTCCTGCCATGTCTCCAATGACACATACAAAATCTGGTAGAGCAGGTCGAGGAGGCAAGGCTGAGAGCAGCCGAAAAAGACTTCTCACGCTCCGAAAGAGGTTCACTGAGGTTATAGTTCCCCGTTGCCGAGCTCAAGAGATAGTGACAGTGTTAGGCACGGCCTCCTGCGATCCAGCCCAGGGACATGCTTGGGCTAGCAGGGCAGCCTTGGTGACTGGCGCTGGGTTCTGCAGTGTGAGAGGTACGCCGAGACGCTATCATGCCGTATCAATGCTGAATAACTGATCAAGGACATGCGCCTCAATCTTAGTGCGTCGTTGATCTCCCGTGTGTGCCATTCGTATCGAGCTTTCTGACTGCTGTATGTGGATCAAAAGCGCACTGCGTGGCAGTATTGCTTTGTATACGGCGGCTTGCTCTCCAGTGACTTGCGCGGCTCCATACCGACCATGTTGACCATCAGGCTGAAGTCCGCGAAGTTGAGCAAACCCTCACCGTCGCCAAATCTGAAATCTAGCTTCTAGAGTGGAGTAGTCGGATACGAGATCGGGCTCAGACGAGGTTGAAAGCGAAAGTATGATCTCCAGAGTCGCCTGCTATCATGGGCTAGACTTGTTACGTAAAGGGGTAATGGCCCCGACCCCTCGTGCTAATCTTAGCCACCTCATGTTCCTTCTGCGCCTGGTGGGAGCTGAATAATTTCGTATCCGGCCTGCGGGTCAGACTGCGGCTTAGAGTCTGCTCTGGCACTCTCTGCCTCTTCTGACTGATATGCCTCATGTGTCCTTCCCATTGACCGCCGCGTTGAACGCGCTGCATTCTCTGTGATGCAGCGGAACAAGAACTCTTTCCTGGCAGTCAGCGGGGCTCTCGTTCTTTTGCTTGTGCTATTCTATGTTGGTAAGTACTGAAGTCATTGCAGGCTATACAAATATCAGGCTCTAATGCTTTGACCCATAGTTGGCCCCGGTTCCGATCTAGCGTCCAGGGACAACAACGTACCGGTCTCCGTGCACAACGCACATGGCACCGTGTACGAGAGCGAGACCACCGACGACTTTGGCGTTATAAAATATACCCACACAAGGCTAGCAGCCTCATCCGATCTCCTCTGGCTCACCATCACCTATGACAACACATCATGGGGTCACAACCCTGAGCCTGACAACAGCATACGATGCGTTCACGACCTTTTGAACATTATAAGCGCGCAACATGATGTGGAAAAGACGTCATTGGGGCTCCTAACGAGCTCAATGGACGAATATCACCAATACAAAGAGGCCGTTACCGAGTACGCGTTCGCAAGAGTGACGATCTTCATGCACACAGGCTTCAATGATGGGCCAACTGTCGCTCGTGAGCACCGCCACGACGGCGATGTGCAGACGTTGCGTCGCGCCGAAATCTCGAAGCTGCGAAATTATCTCATGCTGCAAACATTGCGTGAAGAGGCGCACATTGTCTGGCTCGACGCAGACGTGTTTCGCCTGGATGATGGCATCGTGGACCGCATCCTGAGGCACGTGCGGGCGCGAGATGATATCGGTATCATCACGGCGCGCTGCTCCCTGGGCGGTATGTACAATTACGACCTGAATGCCTGGCGTGGAACCCGAGAAGGGCCGAGGGGCTGGGATCTGGATCAGAAGGAGATTGACGCTGGGGAGATGGACCTTCAGGGGCAATATCACGTCGACAAGCTCATTAAGGATACATCAGACGATGACCTTCTGGCGCTGGACACAGTGGGTGCGACGCTTCTGTACCTGCGCGCTTCGCTCATTTGGCGCGGGCTAAATTTCCCGCATCAGTATGTTGTGGGCACGCGGTGGATGAAGGACGGCTGGGATGGCATCGAGTCAGAAGGTTTATGCTATCGTGCCAGAGGTCTGAAAGGCGGGAAGTGCATGGTGCTGGGAGGAAGGTGGCACGTGGAGCATACGACGGATTGATCGTTTCAAAGTAGCGAGGCATTAGATTTGTAGATTCTGGATGATTCATGTCGTTAATTTTCGCGTCCCGCAACACCTATAAATCAGGGCGTGGAGGAGAATACTGCGCGAAGCAACGTCGCCAAGAGGGCTGTGTCCATGACATTCGATGAGAGCAACAGTACAATCGGCCCAGAAGAGGTTAACAGAAGGGAGACCAAGACAGACTTGCCATATGACATGGATTTGTGCCAAGATCGAAGTAGATCATCGTTACGTTCTTAGTGAGACGCTCTATGCTCTTTATGCGTAGCGTGTCTGTTGTAAAGCCACATCCCCGACCCCAAGTGAACTCTTACAATTGGAAGCAGAGCAAACTGTTGGTAAAAAGTCAGCCCGTAAATCACCGACCACATGGCCAATGCACCAGTAGCCCCCTTCAAGCCAACGCTGATCCTCCACGGCGGCGCCGGCGCACTTGCCCGCTCCCACCTCCCCCCCGAGCTCTATGCCCGGTACCGGCACTCGCTGCTCATCTACCTGACGGATACTCGCGCACTGCTGGACCAAGGCGCCACCGCGCTGGATGCCGCGGTCCACGCCGTCAGTCGCATGGAGGATGACGAGCTCTTCAACTGCGGTAGGGGCAGCGTGTTCAATCTTGCGGGGGAGATCGAGATGGAGGCGAGTGTCATGGTCGCCAGTGTGAGGCCAGAGGCTTATGGCGATTGTGAAGGTGGCGGTGGGCCCGCGATGGGTGGATTCAAGAAGAGGGCCGCGGCCGTGAGTCTGCTGAGAAGAACGAGGCATCCGATTCAATTGGCGAGGGAGGTGCTGCTTGAGGGTGATGGGGAAGGGGCGGGGGTCAGTGGCATGCACTGCCATCTCAGTGGGCGGGAGGTGGAGGAGTGGGGTTGGAGTAGGGGACTGGAGAAGAAGGGCAAGGAGTGGTTCTGGACGAGGCGGCGGTGGGAGGAGCATAAGCGTGAATTGGGGCACGGTCATGTAATGACCAGCAGCTTTGGTATGGGAGACTTAGATGGAATGATATTGCCTAGTCAAGGGACGGTTGGCGCGGTTTGTCTGGATCGCTATGGAAATGTGGCGGTCACCACGAGTACAGGCGGTCTTACGAACAAGAAACCCGGAAGGATAGGCGACACGCCAACGGTTGGTGCTGGGTTCTGGGCCGAGAGCTTCGCAGAGTCAGCACATGAGGCCTCTGGGGATACTCAGAGCTCCTCGTGGACGAACGCGATCGGTCAGGCAAAGGCACAGCTTTTTGACATTTTCGCTGACTGCCTGGGTCCGGCCTTTGCAGGCACGAGTCTACCCACATATCATCGACTTCCTGGCGATCCCCAGACATCTGAGTATCGGTCGAACTTGCTCATCTCCGCGACTTCTCGGTCGCATGTCTATACAGGCTCTCTCGCTGAGCCATCTTCTCAGCCACGATCGCATCGGGCTGTAGCACTGAGTGGCACAGGTAACGGCGACTCATTCCTTCGGACGAGCGCTGCACGAAGTGTTGGCGCGAGATGCAGGTATAGCTCCAGCCCAGAACCGCTATCCAAGGCCGTGAGTGCCGTTGCCGGGCCTGGAGGTGAGCTGCAGCAGTCTGCCGGAACTCGATTTGGGAGAACTGGCGAGGGCGAGGGAGGAATTATTGGTATAGAAGTCGGCGCCAGTGGAGCAGCCGAAGTGGTGTTCGATTTCAACTGTCTGGGCATGTGGCGTGCCTGGTACGAGAAGAATCGGGATGGGAAAGAAGTACCAAAGGTAATGGTCTTCCGAGAGGAGTATCAATAGCGCTGGTTTGCATGTTGAGGCTCAGTACTCCAATGTTCGCTTCATAGCATCATATATTCCTGTCCTTATTGTTAGCATGGTTGGTCTCAGCGAACTGGGGTCCTTACTCGTAACATCTGGAACATTGAATTTCTCATAGATCAACCCAGGATGTGTGGACCAGCCGGTGACTCGGGCTACCGGTGCTTCGAGCTTCAGGAAGGCCCCTTCTTGAATACTCGCAGCGATCTCGGCGCCGATGCCTCCGTTGAGCATACTCTCATGGACCACAACAGCTCGTCCAGTCTTGTTGACACTGCCAAGGATGGTCTTGCGATCCCAAGGATAAATTGCTCTCAGGTCAACCAGCTCTACGTTCAGACCCTTGATTTCTTTTTCTAGAGCTTCGATTGCCATCCCGCAGAGATACAGAGGCTGCCCATATGAGATCAAGGTCAAGTCGGCACCGGATTTGATGACCTCGGCTTTGTCAAGCGGTATTGTGTAAGGATCTCGTGGAACGAACTCCTCCGAGGCCCGATATAGGATCTTGGGCTCCATGAAAATCACGGGGTCGTTGCTGTGCAGCACAGCGTTGGTGAGCATGCCTTTAGCTTGAGCAGGTGATCGGGGCATCACAACCCGCATCCCAGGAACGTGTGAAAAGAGAGACTCGGGACTTTGTGAATGATATAGCGCTCCATGGCCGACACTTCCACAAGGCATCCGGATGGTCAAGCCACCACAGTGGCCGCCGGTGGCACCTTCTCGATACCGAAATTTGGCGGCCTCGTTCACGATTTGATCGAAGGCAGGAAAGACGTAATCGGCGAACTGGATCTCAGCGATGGGCCTCATGCCTTCCGCAGCACAGCCTATCCCGAAACCGACCAGACCTTGCTCCGATAGAGGCGTGTTGAAGACTCTGGACGAGCCAAATTCGTCAGAGAGACCCTTCGAGCATCTGAAGACACCTCCAAAGGCAACATCCTCGCCAAACAGCATAACAGTCTCATCCGCCTTCATGGCATGATGCATGGCCGTGTTGATGGCCGAATGCAGGTTCTGAAAATCCACTGGAGCTTCGTCTTCGAGACCGAACGCCTTTCTGGCGGCTGCTTGAGACTGATTTAGAACGATGCTCTTCTTGAAATCAATGGGTTTGTTCAGCTTGGCGGAGGACGCGGGTGCAGCATATCCCCTTTGCTGCAGCCCATGTCGGCTCAGACGCGAGCATCCACGAGCTGATGCTCTCACGACCTTTTCCATCATGTTCGCCAGCTATGCCTCATTCACTGTTTCTCACTGAGAGGAAGGTGACCGAGGGCAGCAAAGAGCTCACCCTTAGGTTTATGAGCATCGACATTGACTCCAACGTCAAATCCGAGGCAGAGCGACGGTAGCCGCCCCAACGCGCCAAGCCTCGGCTTAGACGCGAGCGCGCACCAGCACCTTAAATCCGCTACTTCCTGCCGCGGAAAATGAGGTCAGTGGAGACGCGGCTGCTCAGTGGCTGTATGACGCTTGGCGCCATGCAGATCATCCGCGAGCGTTCTGCACCTCCCTCAAAACGTTCCACTCGCTTCTTCACGTTTGGCTTCCGACCTCATCATCTGCTTTTCCTTCTACGATAGTACCATTCACACGCTCTTCGTGCTCGCGCACTGTACACCACATCCTATTGCTACAGGGTTTTGAGCTCGTCGGACTACCCGCAGCCCGCGTCCAATCTTCAAGGCCTTCCGCCCACTGATCTGTTGCTGATCTACTGCCGGCAAACCACCCCAAAAAGCTGACGCCCATGCCGGCGTCAACGGCCAACGCCTACCTCTCGAAGCGACCTCTCGTACTCGGTCTGTCCAAGCTCTTTTTCGTTGCGATCGCGCAACTTCCGATTGCGCAAGCAGCTCCTCTCTATGTCTCAACCCTGATACACTCGCTGGAAGAGGGGGAAGAAGGCAAGAGCCCAGATGATCCGGATCTATGGCTGTATCTCGGTGTTGCGGCCGCTTTGGTGCTGCTCGGTGGCGCTTTTGCAGGCTTGACAATCGCTTTAATGGGACAGGTAGGTTCTAGCGCGTCCAAAATTGTAGGAGACAACTGACATGTGATAAGGATGAAATCTACTTACAAGTCATCAAAGAGTCAGGCGAGGGTGCAGAGAAAGTACATGCCGGCAAGGTGCTACGCCTCCTCAAAAAGGGCAAGCACTGGGTTCTCGTCACTCTACTCCTCAGCAACGTCATCACCAATGAGACCCTGCCCATTGTACTCGATCGGTCCCTGGGCGGTGGCTGGCCGGCTGTTCTTGGGTCAACTGTATTAATTGTCATTTTTGGCGAGATTGTTCCACAGTCGATCTGTGTGCGCTATGGCCTGCCCATCGGATCCTGGATGTCATCCTCGGTGTTGTTCCTGATGTACCTCATGGCTCCAGTAGCCTGGCCTACCGCAAAGTTACTCGATTACCTCCTGGGTGAAGACCATGGTACTGTGTACAAGAGAGCAGGGCTGAAGACGCTGGTATCGCTCCATAAGAGTATGGGCGATGTGAATCAGCAGCTTAACGCCGATGAAGTCACCATCATCAGTGCCGTACTGGACCTGAAGGCGAAACCTGTCGGGTCCATCATGACGCCAATGGATGATGTCTTCACCCTTTCTCTGGACGATGTGCTAGATGAAGATACCATGGACGACATATTGTCTCGTGGTTATTCTCGAATTCCTGTCCACCACCCCGATAACAATGACAATTTCGTTGGGATGTTGCTGGTCAAGATGCTCATCACTTACGATCCCGAAGACGCTAAGCCAGTTCGCGAGTTCGCCTTGGCCACGCTGCCCGAAACCCGACCCGACACCAGCTGTCTCGACATTATCAACTTTTTCCAAGAAGGCAAATCGCATATGATTCTTGTTTCTGAGTTCCCGGGTGAGGACCATGGTTCTTTCGGTGTCGTAACCCTGGAGGATGTCATTGAAGAGTTGATCGGAGAAGAAATTGTCGACGAGTCGGATGTATTCATCGATGTTCACAAAGCCATTCGCCGCGCCCTGCCAGCTCCTCGGATGAGAATTCCCAAAGGCCATGTTGTCGAAGATCCCAACAGCCTCAACATTCCCAATGGCAACCTGGTCGACATCGGCGAAGACCAAACGCTTACCGCGCAAGACGTTCAGAGGTCCAGATCTGAGGTCAGTGCTCAAATGCGACGATCAGTCTCAGAGCAACGCCGCCGCTCCAGTACGAACAGCAAGGGCGAAGACATTCGACCGCTCCGAAGAACACCTACGGATGATCTAAAGGAGCATCTAAAGCACTTGGGGCCATCAAACCTTGCAAGTCGACCGAAAACTACACGTTTCAATACTGTCAAGATCAAGCCCGGTTCCGGATCAGAAGCACTCAAACAAGCTTCTGTGACTGCTGATCGAGGAACTCCAGTTCGGCGGATCTCGGAAGATGCTTCTTCTGTCAAAGGTGGCATCGGCGAGGGCTTGCTTCAGTCAGGCGGGAAAGAAGCCAGTGACGCAGTACAGGCTTTGCAGGTTGGCTATGGAACCTTGTCTACATCCCCTGCGGAGCATCGCCCAATGAGTTCCAGCAAAGCTGTTCAAGCTATGCCTTCCGAACTCGATTCCCCAACCAAGCAGAGCCAATCCCCCAGCCCGGATGAGCCACGTCCTAAGTCCAGGAAGACCAGCAGTTCCAGCACGCTGGGTAGCCTGCCCAGCAGTCCTCGATCGAAGAGTCCTTTTTATCAACACCGTGGCCCAGCGCGAAGTGGTAGCATCACAGAGAACATTATTGATACGAACGGTATCCGCAAGGTTGTTCTGGAGACGACTTCCAGCAGCGAGTCCAATGGCGAGGAAGACAACAGCGGCGCAAACAAAGGCCACAGTTCTGCCCAGAGTTCAAAGAATCAGAGCAAAGGAGAAACAGCACGAGAGAGCTCATCAAAGAAAAAGCGCCGCAGAAAGAAGAGGCAGGGAGGCAAAGGCGAGAGCGAGCCTTTATTAGGCCAACAAGGTTAGTGGCCATGTGCGAGTGTAATCTAGGTAGGAATTCGGTTGCAGGGCTGGACTATTAATACACCAGCAAAAGTCAAGGACATCAAGGATAGAATTCCGGTATGTCGATCTTATCAATATTTCGTATCACACCCGAAATGTTGCGTTCCTCTCGACGAGACTCTGTACTATATCGAGCATGTATTCGAACGCGATCTCACGATTGCAAGGCTGGCTCTCCTTTGTTTCCCCAGCCTGCCTAGCGCGTTGCCTTGCATTCATCAAGCCTTGGCGCATAGATGCCTCGGTGGCTTCCTCACCTGACAACGGCCGGCAGCAGCCTCGTCACGTCGCTTCACGCGTTTGTCACAACTGGAAAAGACCTTTTCTGCGCCACGCCCACAGTCTCTTCGACCTTCTTACCACACTCTAGCCCATCCTCATCTTAGCGATCCTCGGCAATACCAGCTTCATCCTCACAACTCTCATCCCATCTTAGTCGCGTTATCAAGATCTGCTTCGTCGACATGACAGACATGATGTATGAATTTTTTGTTTTCTTTCTCCTGGGCCTCCTCATCTTCCTCTTCTTCAATCACCGCCGCCTGTACCTTGTCATCTGCGATGACCTCTCTCGCGCGGCCCTCCTCACATCGCTCAATGTTCTGGCAACTGGTATCCTCTCCTTCCTGGTCTATCTCTATATCTGGGAGTGGCTCTTACCCATCGCTTGCAGACGTGCATTCCGTCTTGGGCTCGAAATCTCCGACGACTTCTCCGATGCCTCCGAATTTTGCATAGCAATTGCGCACGACACCACTATTGCGACTCGAGCGGCTCAAGACTGGATTGCCACCGCCTATTCTGGCCTCGTCTGGGGTTCTAGAGTGTGGGAGCGCAGCGAACAAGAGCTCGAATTCCTTTATAAATACATCTTCTTACCATCAGTCCTCCCCATCACATCCCTGATCAGTCTAGATTACAAGCTCGACTGGGCCATCGCCCACACCTTCCAGAGTTTCGGATATTGGTATATCAGAACCATGTGTAGGTGCATCCTGTCGAGCATCAAGACCTTCTTCTGGTCAATTGTGAAGCTCGTTGACCTTATCAAACGGCTCAGTGAGCGCTGCGTCGCGATTGAGCATGCGAACCAGACGACAAAATCTGCAGCCGAATGTCACACCAAACAGGCGGAAATCGAGGCTCAACGAGACGAGATCCACACTCTCAATACACAAGTCGCTGAACGAGTCGACTGCACACTGTTCCTCAACGCAGACAACGGGGTCCTGAAGAGTGCAACTAGCATTCATTCCGAAACTGCCCAAGAAAAGTTGTATTACATGCACGATGGATGTACCTGCAAAGTCTACCAGCGCCTGGTCCAAAGCCAACAGAGCTTTCAAAAGCTGCGAACGTCTGATATGCCAAGTCGACCAACAGACCGAAAGCAATGAGAAGATCGCAGAACTCAATGCGTCTGAGGCCAAGCTCAAGCAGCAGTTAGCCGAGTCTGGGGCTGCCTGTGAGGCACAGAAGAAATGCAGCTTAGCTAGACTCGACAAGGCGATCAGAGATGCAGAAAGTCACTACGAAGACTTGCTGAAACAAGAGAGAGCCAATGGCCAGCGGAAATTGCAGCCGTTCCGCTGTCAGCTACGTCCCAGAAAGAAGATTATGAGGAGGACTTCACCATTGAAATCAATTACAGGGGTACGAAGATCCGTGCCCTAAATGCCAAAATCAACATCTACGAAGCTCGGCAAAGGCAGAATGAGATCGCTCACGAGGAGCTGGGAAACCAATTGACACGCGTCTCGGACGAACTTGCGACTCTCAAGACGGCCTCCGAACAGGACACGCAAGAGCAGTCGGCGACAGCGCCTCCCAACAGCAGCCAGAACGAAACTACGGCGGACTATTCCCGGCTGCCGACGCGGGAAAATTCTGTACAGGATGGGCAGGGTGACTATCTCAACAGTACTACATCTCATGTGGAGACTCAAGGTGAACAAGCAGCTGCTGGAGAGGCAAAAGGAATTAGAGGACGAGTTGGCCGAGTGGGAGGGGTCAATTGCAGTGCAGAAGAGAAAAATGGAGGGAATCTGCAGGCAGCGCGACCAACCGAGGTCAGGCGACAACTGCAGCATTCTTGAGACCGAGCTGGGCGAAAAGAAGGAGGAGATCGGCAAACTGAAGCACGAGAAGCTGAAGTTGGAGTCTCAACAATGGCCGCTGAACGTTCAGAAACTGCAGGTGGATCGACGGATGCTGGGGACAATGAAGGCGGTGTTCAGGACAATGGGGACGACGCTGACGATGAGGAGGACTCTGATGATGGAGATTCGGAAGATGGAGATTCGGAAGATGAGGATGACGAAGGCGTGAAGGATTACGAATTTCGCGATTATCCAGACGTCGACTATGACTTCTGGAACCAATAGGATGGTGAAGCTGGGCTTGATTGCAGTTCGTCTGCGAAACGATACTTGGGAGGACGATGGAATGGGGCAGGGTCGAAAGGGAGCATCAGCACCGTTTTCGTCCGTGTATTGAAAGCCGCGCTTGTGTCAAGGGGGAAGAGCGGAACCCTGCAACGACCAGAAAGCCATGGAAGACCTACATAGGAAGACCTACATAGGAAGCTTTGATGTCCACAATGTACTTACGTTTCATGGCATCTCCTTGCGCCTCTCTTACCGTGTGGATGCAACAAACAGACTTATGAACTCGTTGCCTTGGACGGATGCCTGACGCCAAGGAACTAAACAAGTCACAGTTTCATTCACTGCCTGCGAACGCCTTGAGCTCCTTGGCCGCCTAGCAGGGGGCTTGAAGGGAACCCTCCGCCATGTGAGCTCGCTGTCGACGGTTCTCTGTAGCTGCGGAAGGCCTGCGATACTTTGTTGTTCGCAAATGAATCAGGGCTGCATTGCTTGCACATCTGGAAGTCGGCCAACCCCATGAACATGTGGGGCTCTCCACCATTTCCCCGCAACATTTGCTTGGACGTTCAATGTGTGACATGCTACCCCATGTGTCTCTAGAGTTGGGCTTAGAGCGTATGCAGGCCCTCTGCGGCCGCCTATGCGGGCGCCTGAGGCAGCGCAGATACCGCAAGCTGCATTAAAGATGCCAGTAAGTCAACACCTAGATGTCGTCTCAGAGCTCCATTTCTCCAGGAGACTCAGCGAGATCAGCAACAATGCCGTACCTTTCCGTGCTCCGGACCTCAATCAACGACAAACTGCAGCAGCTGGAAGACGAGATATCCCACGGCAATCATGACCTCCCACACCTCCTCGAAGCCAGACCCTACGCCCTCTTCGACGACGCCGACTCCCTCCCCACCCAACAAATCTTCGACCTCGTCGAGCAGCTCCGCGTCGACCTCAAAGCCATCGACTCCCTGCTGACGCCCACCCGCTTCAAGCTCGTCGAGCAAGGCATGCTCCCCTACAAGACCGCGGCGCTCAACGTCGCCGTAACCCTCAACGTCGCCGACCTCATCGAAACCCTCGGCGGCTCCGCCACCCTCGCCTCCCTCGCCGCCCAAACCAACGTGAACGCGCACAAGCTCGGCCGCGTCCTCCGCACTTTGGCCGCCGACTTCATCTTCCGCGAAACCGCTCCGGACGTCTTCGGCAACACGCGACACAGCGTTGCGCTGCGCTCGACGGGCGCGCGCTCGTTCCTCACCTTCATCACCGATCTCGGCATGCGCTGCGCGACGGGGATTGGGGACGACGTCAGGGACGCAGACACGCGCGACTCGTTTGCCGAGGAGACGGCCCCGTTCTGCAAGGTGGTGGCGGGGGATGGGCGGACGTTCGCGCAGTATATGGGGGATCCGGCGAATGCGGCGATGGTGGAGTTGGGGAATGAGGGGGTGGTGGGCTGGTTGAATAAGCTGACGAGGGCGAGTTTGTTGGGGGATTATCCTTGGGGGGAGCTGGGAGATGTGACGGTGGTGGACTTGGGGGCGGGGATGGGGGATAGTGGTGTGGATGTTATGAGGAGGTTTCAGGGGATCCGGTGGGTGTATCAGGATCTGGAGCCGGTTATTGCGCTGTTGAAGACGGTATGTTTTCTGACCAATGCTGCGGTCTGGTGTGGGATGCTGACTTTGGTCTGATGCAGAACTATCCGGAGGATTTGAAGAGTAAGGTTGCTGATGGGAGTATTTCGTTTGTGGCGCAAGACTACTTCAAGCCCAATGTCAGCGACGGGGCTGTATGGTACATGAGAGGCGTCCTGTGAGGCTTCATCCCCGTGATGCGTGAGCATAAAATCTAATAACTCCAGGCATGAATATGACGACGACCAGGCACTCGTGCTGCTCAAGAACATCACCACCGCCATGAGACGGACCCCAAGAGCCAAGATGGTCATTAACGAGGTGCTGAACTCCAGTCCGAACATCATTCCGCCCTCATCGAATTCGCCGCCTTCAGATCACATCCCAACGCGGCAGTCGGCGCTCCCAGAGACGGCGAACATCATGACATGGAGCACCTTCTCGCTGTTTGGAGGCAAGGAGAGGTCGTATCAGGAGTATGAAGCGTTGCTGGCCACGGCCGGGCTGAGGATAGACCGCCTCTTTAGGTTCCGAACATTTACGGTCATGATGGAAGCCGTCCTTGTTTAGGGTCAGATAGATACTTTTAGCTTGAAAGATTCCCTTCTCATAGATGTCCATTGACGCCGTTGACGCTAAGATCCTCGCCAAATTTCTCCCTGACCTTTTTGACAGCATCATCCCACCCCTCCTCGACTGCCGCCTCCGCATCATGCACCCATAAATGATAGCTGTCCAAGATGCCTTTCGACGTATCAAGCTCCTTCTCCATATTCCCCGTCTCCTTGTCGTGCAAATTATGCCACTTATCTCGCTGACTGATGCCCACCATCTGGGCGTCCCTGACATGCTCGTACCGAATCTCGAAATACGCTCGTAGTGCCAAGGGCACATTCCCCTTCCCCGCTTTTGCTAAACATAATGCGATCGTGGCCCCATCTTCCACCGCCTGGCTCGCTCCCTGCGTCGAGGTCGGCAAGAACGGGTGTGCCGCGTCACCCATTATGGCCACCAAGCCCGAATCCGCCACCCACTTCTCCAGACAGGGCCGGTACACGAGCTTCCAATCGATGATGTTCTGGATCTTCTCCCAAACACGCACGAAGACAGGATCCCAGCCGCGGATGGCGCTAAGGATGTCTTCGCGCACAGCGGGGAAGTTCCAGCCTTCGGAAACGTCAGCCACGTCTTTATGCGTCAGCACGGCATTGATCTCGGTCGCGTCGCGGAGCACGGTCACGAACCCGTGCAGGTCCGGCCCGATCCATAATTGGGTGGTGTCCTTCTCCAGTAATGGGCCCACGAGTGGATCGTCTTTGAACATCGCGGCGTCTGAGTATGCGCGCCAGACGGCGTAGCCGCTGTGGATTGGGGCATCTTCGTAGCCGAGGACTTGCGTGCGACCGGTAGACTTGACCCCATCGGCCGCAATAATGGCATCGGCTTCGAGTTCTTCACCCGAGGGGAGGAAGACGCTAGGCTTGTCCGCGTTGTAGCGCTCGATCTTGTGGCCCATGCGCACGTCGACTCCGTTTTTGACGCAGTGGTCAATAAGGATCTTGTGATAATGGCCCCGGTGGCCGATGAGGCCCTTGTGCCCGTACATCTCGACGGCCTTGCCGAGAGTGGGATCGCGCGTGATGATGCTGCCGTCCCAGTTGCGCATCACTGATTCCTCGGCGCGCGACGAGATGGCCCACATGTCGTCATAGACACCCCAGCGCTTGAAGAGTTTGGACGTGTTGGAACCGACGCCTACGGAGTCGCCTAGAGGGAAGAACTCGGGCACGGCGTCCAGGAGGGTGACGCGGAGGCCTTGTCGGGCGCAGGCGATGGCACAGGAGGCGCCACCTAGGCCGGCCCCAACGATCACGACATGGAAGTCGGACTCTGAGGGCGCCATGATCATCTTGCTAGCGTGAGGTCTCGTCTTAGTCCCTGTCCCTGGTAGTCAACAATGGGTCGAGCAGCTCCAACAGCTATATGTGGTACTCAAGGCTTGCATCGCTTGCTTGATGATCCTTCCTGGCCAGTGCAATCTTCCTGATATGCCAAAGACCAATTCAATATCTCGGCAACATCTGGTTGTACACAGCATGGTTTCCGGCCCCGCAACCCCGTACCTTGGGGTACACCTAGAGCGTCCATGATCCCCCCACATGGTTACCTGGTGAGTTGTTAGCCGATACCCCACAAAGCCTCCTCGACTCCGTCTAGCGCCACTCAACAATGGCGACAATTTATGTTGCTGCTACCACATACACTCGCTTGTGTGAACAACATATCATTCTGCTTCCGGGAGTCCTTACCGACACGCCCCGAAAAGTAGATCGTCCCGCAGCGGAAATTCCGGCTCTTGGCACGGCGGAGCCAGTTCTAAGAGTTTCGGCACAGCAAAAACCTTGTTGCAACCGTTGCACAACACCAACACCCGCATTCCTCATCATCCTCCCTTCGCACACGATAATGGCACCCAGGACTTAGCTTCAATTCTATAGTGCCCTGCCAGTTTCTTGCTCGCACATACCCAATCGGGAGCGGTCAATGTCCACCATCAAACCGCTGGCCCCAGGCCAAGCTCTCTGGAGGACGTCTAGTTTTGGCCTCTCCGCAAGCTGCCCCGACTGAGCGGAGCCTGTATTGTCTCGTCACTTGAGTATGTCTCGGTGCTGGCCTCCGAATCTCGGTCTGCAGCGTCTGACGATGTCATATAACATCGCAGAACCTCGGCAAGGTCCTTGCCGCTAGCAGCATCGCCATGCAGCGAGAAGCCACCAGTATTTTTGAAAGTGTTGTTCCGAAACAAATGTTTCTTCGCCTTCTCGCCCAAATCCCCCACATTGCCGTATACATCAAAGTGGTTGTTGTTCGTGAAATCGTTGTCCACGGTTGCGTGGCCACAATTCCTTCCAACCGGCTCAATCGGCCGCTTGATATCATCTTTCGGAGACGGCTTACCAGCGGTCTTTGCCTGTGTCTTGGGGGGTGGAGTAGCATGGCTCGTGGAACCACGATCGCCTGAGCGACCGCGAGCGGGCTCTTCCGTCATGGTCGCTTTGGGTGTCGGCTTACGCTGAGCAGTCGATCGTGAGCCGCTCATAGTGATGCGAATTTGCACCTTCTCGAGGTTTTCGATCAGGAATCTCAGGTCATCGATGAAGCCGTCAAATTTGGACTTGTCGTGGATGGCCCACAGGGTGCGCTTGCCGATTAAGGACCACCTGGACAGCCTGATAAGTTGCGCTGGCTCACCGATAGCAGCAGCGCTCTCCTGTTTTTGGAGCGATCGTATTGATGGTATTTTGACCCTGCGAGCACTCGACTTGTACTTCTCAGCCAAAATTGTTGCATTACGGAAGATGTCTTTGATGCCGTTGAGGCTGCGAGCGATAACGTGCTGCTCGTCAGGCCAGTTCTGGCGAAGTGCGGGGTGTTCACATCCTGGCAGATCAACGCTGAGCACCCCTCCCCAATGTGACAATCGAGCCTGGAGCAGGTCGAGCTTGGTGCATGCCAATTGGTAGTCGCTAGCATAATTCCTGCCCAATTCGAAGCAATCAAACAGCTCGACGCAGGTCTGGAACAGCGCTGCCAGGCCTATCGTTCCTACGACCAGGCCCGTTACTTCCGCCATAGCATGAATCTGCTAGGTACTACCGGGCCCGTAAGTGGGAGTTTGGGAGACCGGAGCCCCAGTGCTCACTACTGCTTTATACCTGTATCGAATTCGTGCTTAGCTCTTCTCAACCTGTGACACGCTGGTCGCCAGCGGAGCCTAATGTGCGCCTCGCCGGTGTAACTTTGGCGTTAGGGTGCATGTCCATGGAGGTCATCCTGCAGGTCAGACGTGGTGCATGCCTTCGCGACCGGTGTGGTCTGGATTGATTGGAGGCTGGTCACATGTTACAATCGGGACTGTTCAGGCTACGCACTGTCCCAGCCCCAGGACTGCGCTGGCTCCAGTCTCTTCAAGTCTGCTTCCAGGGTAGTCCATGAAGGGGTACAAAGTCTATGGTGCTATAGCGGCATGCCTGGAGTGGATGTTACGCAGTACGAAGAATTCGAACGGGTCAGCAGCACATTGGTGAGGCAAGCACCGCATATCGACTCCTCTCACGACCCCGCCCCAGTCCTCCACATAACGAATTACTACAACGGCCACTTCTATAAGAATCTGACCATCACCAGCTCCGACGGAGCGCACAATACGTTTGGTGACTTGGGGAGAATGTGTAAGTTATCATCACTTCGTTCTTATTTTCGCGAACGGCGGCGGGGGCCTCCGACCAGTATGGACATGCGCCCGGACATTGAGATCGTGTTCCTGATAATGCATCACACAGCCAATCGCCCCCAGTCTAGGGTCAACGGTCATAAAACGAAAGCACCGTCCATTCGATCTTCTGCTCTCGAGCCAGCGGCACCAGAATTGAGATCCGTGCCTAGCGCAAGAATCGAGCCTGACAGTATGGAAGGGTCCGATGAAGATACATCATACGATAAGCGCGAGTTAGGGTGGTTCGAACCGGGTCGCTTGTTCAAGGTATCGAAAGAAGGAGACCCGCTCCATCTCAAACAATTCATACTTTTGGGTACTAGGAACAGCGAAGGACCTTGCTTATCAGTCGTCACTTACGATGACGGCGATCCAAAGCTCAGCACTGGCAACTTCTTTAGATCGCACGTCCAGGTGAAGGAACATGAAGAAGAGAACGGTAGCGAGATTTCCGACTCGCGACGCCGGATAGTCCACCTGGACGAATATGAGCAGCGGGAAGTGGTCGACAACACCTACATTGTGCTGGACTATTCCATCAGCATTCCTTTCGAAGGCTTAAGATGTCAAGATCGTGGCGAGCTTGCCCGTGGCTGTTTGAGAGACGTGCGAAAGTACTATGTGGAGTGGTTGAAGTACTACTGGGAGATGGACTGAGAGTTTGATTTAGGCGACTACAAGAAAACGCCTACTTACTGTGCGATAGATTGCCCCTACCGAGACGAGGAAAAGAGACTTGGGTCAGTCTTATGATGGCATACTTAACAAAGAACGATCAGCAAGCTGTGTCACGCCGACCGTGGTACGCTCAAGAGAAGTTCGAACTCGACGTGAATGTAGTGGTCTGGTGGTCAGGACATACCAGAAGAAGGCAAGAATTCGCGACGCGCACTCAGCACACATGTGACACTGGCAACGGCAATCATTCTGGCTCTGGTATACTTGGGTTTCAATCGGTCGCAATCCGCAACAATGCTCTCTCACAAGCTTCTCGAACTGCGATGGAAAGCCGACATCCGGGGGGAAGAGACCACATCGCCCCCGATCCTCTCCATCTGTTCAGAGTCTCAATCAAGGCGCGCGCGACGAAGCCACGACATCACATGTGCACACACGAAAGATTCAAGTCGCCCGTCGCACATCTACCAACCCTTCCAATACTGGACTCGGGCGATGCCAGTATGACTCTACTGAGTTGCGACATGGACAAGATATACGCCTAATTCGCGTAATATTTATCCAGCCTATCTTTTCAGGCTATGCCAATCAAATTTGGGGAGCTACATCAATGATAGGTCTGTCGACCGGAATGCTCGTCTCGGTCGGCGCCCAATATACGATGAGGCAAACTCATGTAAGGTCGAGTTACATGATTCAGGAGTCTTAGATCCTTCTGGAGTGTTGAATATCAGAAAATTGGGTCGTTTGTTGGTGGACTTTTGTGCAGCGGCATGAGATTATATCGTACAGGGGGTGCCATGGGGGCCTGCTCTGCAAATGTGCTATGGTACTTGGCGACTGCATGAGAAACTTGAGCTGGACTCGGAATGTGCACAGTACCGTGTCTAGTCTATCCCAGAGTCGGTTCTCCGACTATACTGTAGGAGTATTACCATTTGTTGTTGGCTCTCTCCACGAGGCACGTCTGATGGTACAAGTGGTTGACCTCTGTTGATCTACCTATGTAGCCTTTCACTCCATAACGCTTCACAAGTATATTCTAACGATGTTGCTTGTCGTGCCACTAACCGGCGCCTACTTCTGATGAGTTCCTAGGTGGAATTATACCTCATAACAGTGTAGCGTACAGCGTCTACACCACGATCAAGTTTGTATTGGTGCGCCTACAGTAGTAGAGAGCTTTACGCATAGAACTATACTGATACAACATCTGGACTAGATTATCAGTCCTTGAGGACTAGCTTAGATGCCAGCTTTATACAGCCTTGACAGGTATTTGAATTTCCCCTTTCTTCCCCCTAGCTTAGTCTCTCGAAATAGATCAGCTGGAGTTAGTTGTTCTCTTGGCCAGGTTCATGGTGCATTGATTAATGCTGCTATCGGATCTCCTGTCAGGTAGCCCCAGATCATGGCGGGGCCTGCCCCAGAATGCTTGGGCGTCGGGGTCCGCTGCAGGGTGGCTGTTGGGGAAACTTCCAGGCCCCGCTTCTTCCCCAATCATCCACCGAAGGGCTGGCATGGAGACAGACATGAAGCTGATGGGGATAGCTTTACACTTGAGTCTTTTCATTGTAGCGCGTTCCCGATGGCTATGGACAACGGTCAGTTTAGATGACTGCGAAGTCTGCTGAGATGCTAAAGCACCTCGGATGATGAACACCTCGATCCGTGTGCCCGGTCAAACATGACGAACATCGCTGGCGCCGCAAGGTCGAGATCCTACATCTGTGAGCGCTGTGGCCGAGCCTTCTCTCGCTCGGAGCATCTCAATCGCCACGTTCTAGCGCATGATAAGCGGAAGCCGTTCCGATGTAGTGGATGTGGCACCAGCTACGGCCGTGCAGACGTCCTCCATCGCCATACCAAAAAGTGCCCCGACCATCTCAGACAGGTAGCCGCAAAACACAGCGACTTGCTTGAGCATGACCAAAGTGACAATCAGACTGGCGTCAGTCGAGGGTATGGTTCAAATGACCTCCACCAGCATGGCATGGCTCTGGACGCCGGAACAGCGCAACAGTCCGTAAATTATTCAGACTTCGCCTTCGACAATGATATGTTTCTCGAGGACACCTTGTTATTCCAATTCAATTACAACCATTCCGGGCTGACCATCCCGTCGACACCAAACCAGCCAAGTACGTCCCTGCCGATGATACCGGAGAGCAGCATCAATCCACTCCAGTTAGCCACCCCCGAATCCGTGTCTGATGTCCGCTCGGTAACGGCAGTCCACAACGCCCTTCAGATTACGCTCGATGAACTCCAAATCTTCCACAGCAGTATCAACGAAGCCGACCCCGGTGGAGTGCTCAAGCAGTTCAGACGGCCGAGCTTGTCGCGCACGTTACGATGCCTAATTGCATACTATCAGCACTTCGACCTCCACACCCCCATTGTCCACTTCGCTTCTCTCAAGATCTCTGACGCTCACCCCGCCTTGATCCTCATCATGCTTGCGATAGGGGCGGTGCACCTGTCGGAGCAGAAGTTTGCAGAGTCGGCCTATGAGGCATCGTGTCTGCTTCTTGCTCAGCACGAGACGCAGGCCATTCAGGCCCACGACACTGGCTTCCATTTGTGGTACGCTCAGGCCGCGGTGCTTTGCGCACAGTTTGGCGCGTGTACAGGTGACCCCCATCTGTTTCATCGGGCCCAAAGCCATCTTTTCGCCGTCCAGAATATTGTTTACCGAGGTCTCCCCGAAATCGAAGAGCGACGAAAGATATCCGTGGACAGCTGGGCAACATGGATCTTCGCAGAATCCTGCAGCCGCGTTATTTCTTGGATGTTCATCGTCTCAGCCATGTGTTTGGCCCTGGATCCTTCCGCTGTCACGATCCTGCCACCTATGCCTTGCTCTATGCCGCCACCATCAGACGAGTCTGCGTGGCATGCAGTGTCAGAGCCTGAATGGCGCTTCGCACTTCAGATGAATCCTCCAATCGGCAATGTTGACTTATGGACGCTTACCATTTCTGTCATGGTTGGTGAAACGCCTGAAAATTGCGGTCCTATCAGTGCTTTTGCCCTGCTGGCAATCATGGGCGCTATACTGGCCACAATTTGTACCAAGCAACGACTCAGTATGGACATCTACGACCCGTTCAATGGAGAGCGCAAGAGGATGGAAAAAGCCATTGCAACCTGGGAGGGTCTATGGCGCCGTCATCCACGAGCCGAGCGTAACATGACCAGGCTAGACCATCCTCTTCTGAATGATTGTCTATCCCTTCTTGGGTCGTCATACTACCATCTGTATCTCGGCCAGGAATTGGACACACTCAAAAAGATAGCCAACAACCCTCGCAGCGGACTCTCCCTACCACCCTGCCAGAACAGAAGCCGTGCTCTCAAAGTCATCAAGTTTGCGGCAAATTCGTGGTTGGTCCGCGCCAAGCTGGGCATCACTTATCTGAACAAGACGGGTGGGCTCGAGCTTGGATCACAGGCGTTTATCACGGCCTACGAGAGTGCCCTCATACTGGCCTGGTGGTTGAACTGTCGCGGACAGGGCCAAGAACGGGGTGAAGAAGAAACATCGAGTACAGAGGATGACCGTGCCGCTGCAGCGGTCGTGCAAAGACTTTTTGATGATATACTGAACGAGCTCGATGAACAGGGCGTGTCCTATGATGAGTCAGGAAACCCCGTCCTCAGCCCCGTCGATTTCTACCTGTCCGTGCTTGATGGTCGGGTTTGGCGGTGTGCCACGATCATGGATAAGCGTCTTCGAGACTTTGCTTCTGTTCTCAAACAATCAAATTAACTTGTTAAGGGACACCAATTGGGAGCACTGCCTGGGGAGATAGGCCTCGTATACCATCGATCACTTGCTACATCAAAGTCACATGAAGTTTCGAAAGTGTCGCAAAAACTGTTCTCATTCGCTTGGAGAAGTTTTCCACTTGCCGACCGTAATAGTCGCTTCGACCAGCTGGACCTCAAACTCGACTACCAACAGACTTGTGCTTGACCCGCAAACCCAGCCTTTTCATGCGCATTGCATTCACAGACCGTTCCAGGCCACTCTTCGGCGGTTCTTCTTTGACCGGCAATGCACCTATTTCGCTTATTACTGCTCTACTCCAAATCCGGGGTTGCTGCCATCCCCTTTGTGGGGTGTGGGGAAGATACCAGACACCAAGTTGTGGCATGCCCCAACTTTTGGAGCTCGGATGTTATTATGCTGGGTTGAATCCACTATGCGGCCCCCGGGCCCTGCAGAAGTATCAGCAGGCACTTGCAGATTTTCCCCTTCGCTTCGGCATTTCTGATCAAGAGAGTGCTCACTTCTCTCATCTTCTGTCGCTGGACTCGCTACTAGGCTCTCTGCGAACAGTTGCGATGAATCACCCCAACGACAAAGCTGAGGAGAGCCGTGTCGAGCATGCCGACATGGGCACTCGTGAAGCTGACAGCGACCCTGCTGCGCCAACTCTGAAGATCACCCGAGATGGGTACTGGGAAAACAAGAAGGGTATCCTCATGTGCCTCATCGTCAGTTTGGCCTTCTTCGAGTTCGGTCTTGACCAGGCAAGTAGCCTCTTCCTACTCCTACGAAAAAACGGTATCTAACACCTTCCCAGGGAATGGTCAATGGCTTCCAGGCCATGCCAGGTTTCTTGCATGACTTCGGCTATCAAGACCCTCACCTGCCAGGAGGTTATGGTATCTCTACTACTGTACAACAACTCGTAAGTGCTTTCATCCTCTCCCTTTCCCACGACCTGGCTGACACAAGCAGATATCTTCGCTCGTCTCTGCGGGAATGTTTGTGTCAACCTTCCTAGCCGGCTGGATCTGCAACAAGACCGGACGTCGAGGCGGTATCTGGTCCGGCATTGCTCTTATGATCTTGAGTGTCACGATCCAGATTGCCGTCATCAACAAGGGAGCTCTGTACGCTGGTCGTCTCATCCTAGGGTTCTCTAATGGTTTACTCATGGTCTGTGCTCAACTCTACATGCAAGAAACTGTCCCAGCAAATCTGAGATCCTTGAGCTACACATTCTACCAGTTCTGGATCAGTTTCGGCGCTCTGCTCGGAGTCATCGTCAACAATGAAACCGCCAAGCGCCTCGACCGGTCATCATACCGCATCCCACTGGGTGTCCTTTACATCGTGCCTATTCTGCTTGGCATAGCACTCATCTTCATGCCCGACACTCCCCGCTACTACGCCTCCAAGGGCAAGCTCACGCAGGCCGAGCGCGCCCTCCGCTTCCACCGCGACTCCTGCTTCACCGACCTCCAAATCAAAGAGGAATTGGCCGAGATCAACCACACCATCGAGGCCGACAAGGCCATGACCAGCACCGTCGGCTACATGGAGATGTTCTACAAGCCCAACATCAAACGCACCCTGACATCTCTGGGCGTGGCGCTGTTCTCTGCCGCCAACGGTGTGCCCTTCATCACTCAGTACGGCATCTACTTCTTCATGCTCTCGGGCGACCACAACCCGTTTCAGACCGGCGTCATCCTGCAGTGCGTTGGCTTGATTGGCGCCATGTTGACTCCGTTCTTCACGGGCCGCGTCGGCAAGCGCATCATTCTCATGGTCGGCGGCTTCCTGCAGGCCTTGTGCATGATGGGCGTCGGCATCTCGTACTCGGTCCGCGGCATCGATGCCGTCAGCGGCAAAGTCATCATCGCCATGGCCAGCATTTTCCTCTTCGTGGCGTCCGCGTCGACCTCGCCTTACTCCTGGCAGGTGGCGGGCGAGATCCCCAGCCAGCGTCTTCGAGGCCATACACTTGGTTTCGCATCTTCCGTTACCTATCTTTGCGGCTGGTCCATCACCTTTACCATCCCGTACTTCATCAACCCGACTGAGCTCAATTGGGTAAGTAATACCCGGATATTGGTGTCTTTGTTCACTACTGACCTGTCTCAGGGCGCTCAATACGGCTATATCTGGTTTGTCGGCAATCTCCTGATTTGCGTCTATACCTTCTTCGTCATTCCCGAGACGAACAAGCGGACGCTCGAGGAGATCGACGAGTGCTATAACGACAAGGTGCCGATCCGCAAGTTTCCGCAGCATGAGTGTGTGTCGACTATGAACTCACGTAGGGAGGTTGTGAGGAATAAGGAGGTGGAGTAGTGATCAGGGTTTTAGTCGAATTGATGGGTCATCAGGAGCTCGAGACAAATTGCCTGACCATGTGGGACACGCTTGGGTGGCAGAAAGGGTGGCTTTTCAAACCCTTCGTTGATGCTTCATGGATAATAGTATTGACACATAACGATATCATCACGTGCTACATCAGTCCGCGTCTGTCTGTTGCGTGTTGTCAAACAGTTGAGTACTGAACACTCTTCCTGACATGCCCCGGAGCATGTCGGTCTTCAACGTTGAATGTTTCGATCAAGCTGATACCTTGATCAAGGCCAGGTTCATGGGGGGTTGAAGAACATCTGATACGAGTAGCATGCCTCGGCACATATCGTTTTCGTCGATCGCAAGAAAGACCGTGCTAGCGGCATAAGGAGACAATCAACCACATTTCGGCTTCGATATAGAATTGATGCGTCCGATGCGATTGGCAGCGACAGCAAGACTTTGATCAGGTACGCAGAGGTATTCACGTACTTGTCTCCATATCCAACACCAGCTTCCCCGGCTCTCCCTGATGATAGTCCTCGACCAACTCATTCAACTTCTCAAACGGATACCTCTTGATCTTCGCCCTAACACCATGCTCGACACAAAAGGCAAACATCTCCGCCATCGCCCGATTACTCCCAATCAGGCTCCCCTCGACACTCACCCGCCTAATGACCAAATCAAACGGATTCAAGCGAAACCCCGCAGGCGGGAAACTCAACACCATCATCTTCCCGCCATTCCTCACTAACCCAACCGCATAATCCCACGCCTCCTGACTCTCCGCCAACAACACCACGGCATCCAAGCCCATCTCCTCAAAAAACACCCTCCCATCCTCCCTCCCTATCTCCCTCCTCACCCCCTCCGCCCCCCTCTCCCTAACATCCACCACCTCCGCCCCGGTCCCCAACCCCCTCGCCAACCCCAGCGCCCTTTTCCCCATATCAAACCCATGCACCCTCAACCCCATCTTCACCGCAAACTGCAACCCCAAGTGGCCCAACCCACCGCCACAGCCCACGACCCCGACCCTGTCCCCCTTCCGCAGTCCCAGTTTCCTCAGCGCCACGAAAATCGTCAGGCCCGCACACATCAGCGGCGCCACCTCACACGGCGCCAACACTTCGGGCACCCGCGCCACCTGCCGCGCGTCCACCACCGCATACTCGGCAAACCCGCCGGGCCGGTCCACGCCCAACCCCGCCCCCGAGGCGGGACAGTAGACGCTGAAGCCCGCCGGGTCGGGCGAGACGGCGCTGTCGGCGCGGCATTCAAGGCAGGCGCCGCAGACGTGGTTGCCGCGGCCGGGGACGGCGACGGTGTCGCCCAGCTGCAGCTGCAGCTGCAGGCCATCGCGCGTTTCCTCTGCTGGAGCGACTGCGGCATCGGCGGGGTTGTCGGGGTCACGGAAGAAAGCGACGACCCTGCCGACGAATTCGTGGCAGCCGATGTGCGGGAGAGCAGGTTGGGGCGGGACGGCGCCGGCGGCGACGAGGGCGTCGGTGTGGCAGTAGGAGCAGGCGAGGACGCGGATGAGGATGTCGTGGGGAAGGATGGGGTGGGGGGTGGGTTGCGAGGGGGTGAGAGTGTAGGGCGTGTTGAAGGCGGTGAGGTGCCAGGCGCGCATGGTGGGGGGGATTGGTGGGTGTGGTGGTGAGGCGGGCATGGCTGGAGGGGCTCTGGGGGGGCGGGAAGTGTGTGTGTCCTGCTGCTGCTGCTGCGTTGAGGCGTGCCTGGGTTGGTGGGAGTGATGTGTCGTCTGCTTTTGAGTTGGAGCGAGAGACAAAGAGCGCTTGGCTTCTGGCAGCGCCTGTCTATGGTCTTCAGGGGAGTATACGGCGAGGATGTCGTTTATCGGGCAGGCCGATCGCTCACTATCACGCGTCGTACACTTAACAGACTGAGGGTGACTTCCCGCCAGAGGGACGTTGGGAGACGAATATCAAGGCTCTCTTCACCGTCTCCTTTATGTGGCTTCATAACAAGATGTTAACCTTAGTACTCACGGTCCTGGTTTTCTGTCCAACAAGCAACACGATCTTCCAAGCAGATGACCCCGACAGAGGGGGTTGCGGAGAGACGCATCCGACTTAGCATCCTTTTCGGGAGTTGGGGTAGGTGGAGTAGCTGCAAGTTCGTATTGTATGTGTGGGGCAAAACGAGGCGTCCATGCGAGTTGGGCTGGAGGACGAGAGATCATCTCCCCACACTGACCTTCATTGTAGCAAAAGAGGAAGGGAGAAGTCGGGCGAAGCTCTTGCAGACTTCTGATTGTAGGTCACACATTGAGGAGATCATGCATACATTCTGTGGACGACTTGTGGCCCAGGCTTCTTGATGACTGAATACTAGTTCACCAGGTTAGGACCATGCCTCAAAACATCAGCCCACACGATCCACGGTGCGCTGCCAAGGGTGATAATAGCTCGACTATCCGTCATATTGGCTGCTCGAAACGAGCTGGAAGGAGCTAGAGTTCCGCTATGGAGACGCTGGCTCTAGTCGAGCATCGATGAAACCCGTGGAGGACGAATGAAAGACGCTTATGCCTTTCTCAGCTTAGAAAGCATCCCCAATTGCATCATCCGATGACCTCCTGCTGATGAGGTGCCGGATGGGCCGTCTGGTTTGTCGACCGTCAAGCACGTCTGCAGAAGGAGAAAAGACAGGTGCATCTCCTTGTGCACGTTGAGCCGCCAGCGCTTGGAAGAATGCATCTAGTTGTTTGGAAACGTCGCTGGAGGATATTGCTGCCCTGCGTTAGTATACGTCCTAGGGAGTTCGAATCTGAATGGATGTATGTACCATTCACTTTGGCAGATTGTGGCATACCGATCTTGAAGCCATGCTTCTCAGCCGCGAGTCGCAAATCTTCAAAGGTGAGCGTCGAGCCCTTTACGTCGAAAGTGGGTCTCTCCACCGGTGATGTGTAATGGGTTCTGCTGTCTCTTTCTGCTGGTCTCGACTGCTTAGACTGTGTTTGCTGGCACTCGTCAGATGCTGCCTCTGGCCAGGAGCTCCTGCTTGTTCTGAGAGGTGGAGAGCTTTGATTGGCAGCAGATGGCATGTTGCATGAATCGGTGGTTTTGCTACGGACCGCTGCTGTCGAGCAAGAAATGTTCCCTGGGCGGGAGCCGTGGTTTACTCTCGACGCTATGCTCGGAGGCATCGGCTGCGGGTCCCCCTGGTCTGGTTACACAATGAATGCTGGTAGTCTGGAGTACACCTCAGTCAGGCACGCACACTAGCAAGCACGCTAGACCAACAACGGCACTAATAGACCGGTGGAGACCAACAGACGTACCGACATTGACCGCCAGCATGTCGCAGGTTGGTCGCTTCACTCAGGGAACAGCAACAAACGTGGGACCTCTCTGCACAAGCTGATGCAGGTACCCTCGGAAGCCGCTATTTCTCTGGGCCCACACATAGTCCACAAGCGCGCCCATTTGCTGGCGGGCCGTCGGGGCCACGTCCAGCAGGTCGATCTTGTGCAGAAGACTGCTGGATAGCTCTGGGACTTCGACAGCGACCGTGAACAGTGGGAATCCGATGTGGCGTAGGCACAGATCCGGCCCCAACAGCTCCTCGTGCGTCGAAAGTTCGTGCAGAATGTGGTTCGCGTGGGCCCGTGCAATGTCATCCGCCGTCCCGAATTCATGCATTGCCCGATGCGCGACCAGCAGGGCAGCACTGCGGTACATGGACGCTTGTGCGCGCATCCTCAGCCTTTCCACCTCGGTGTAACGTTTGTCGAAGTTTTCTGGTGGTGTAGGTGTCCACGCTCGCAGCATGGCCTCGATGTTGCGGAAAGACGTTGTTTCTGCTTCAGCACCGCCCGTACGCGCAGCGCTAGCTTTGTTGAGCGCTACTGCAAGGTCATATAGAATAGGCAGCATCGTAGTGCACAGGCCAGCCAGTCGGTCGACAGCGCCCTCTTCTCTAACCTGGGGCTTGACAACAGGCATCTGGCCGCGAACCAGACAGCACACAATATCCCAGAAGACGGTAGAGGTCGTAATAGGATCCAGCGAAGCATCCCGCGCCAAGCGTCCATACCACGGCTCCGCGCAAGACAGCGAGTAGCGCATAATCAACACACACCCATTACAGTTCGTAAGCAGGTCATGAGCGGCCAGCGTCTGCCCCAGTGCCAGGATCGCCAGCGCATCGTCCTCGCCCGCAATGTCGACGGTCCGCAACCGCTCCAGCGACGAGGTCCCTCGCGCGATACTGGCCTCGTTGGGCGCGCCCACACTCTCACGCGCGTCCTGCATGGTATCCGCGATGGCGCGGTAGACGTCAAACAGCAGCGGCGGCGAGCTGTAGAAGGCGCGCTGCGAGACGCGGCGCAGCGCGGACGCGAAGCTCGGCCCCAGCAGGAAGCGGTGGAAGGACCGGTAGAAATTCCGCACGAGCTCGGGCGTGCACTGCCACGGCTCGCCGTCGAAGGCCGCTCGGCATAGATCGTCGAGCGAGCTGTCGGTTGACGAGGCAATAATGGGCGACGCCATCGCGTGCGGTGTGGTGGGCTTGGGCGATGCTGCGGCGCCGGCGTCCCACACGCGTACGGCGGCACCGTTGGTGAAGTTTTTGGCTTGCGGCCGTCGGCCCTTGCGTGGGCGCTGCCGGATGGCGGTGCAGGGAGCTCCGGAGCGGGTGCACGGCTGGCAGCCTTTTGCGCCTGGGTCGGAGGTGCATTTCTCCTTGAAGCGGTGGCAGCGGTCACATGCTCGAGGTCCTCTCATCTGAACAAGTTGAGGGATTGTAATTAATGGGGGATCCTTGTCTCTAGTGCTATGTGAGGGTAACAGAGTATCAAGCGGAAAACGAGTCGCCTCCTGAAATTGAGTCTTGGCATCGACTCCACGGATCTTGCGGATCTTGTCAGGGGCAGATTCATGGTATGGAAGTAAACTTTTCGTAAGATAGGACGTTAGGCCGTGCTATGCTGGATGACCGGATAGTAGTAAAGCGTATCGACCATAGACAGCAGACCCCTGGATGGCCAGTGCCTCAGCTCACCACATCTTCTCCCAAGTCCTCCTCATGACATTCATTCCAGCCAATCTCCTCTTCTCATTCTCTTCCAGCCCACCCTCTTCCCAGACCCGACACTCAGCGTCAATTTCCGCCTTACCTCCATACACATCCGCTGTCTCTGGGTTGACGAACCTGGTCCGCTTGAACACGGTCCAGAAAATGAACAAGCCCATGGCCCAAAAGATGCCAAAATAGCTCGTGATGAAGCCCCTGGCAGTGAACGGCGCAAAGCGATCAAATCCAATAAACAGGATGCCCAGCACACCCAGGATCAAGCCAAAGATCTGTACGTACGGGGCCAACGGTGCCCGATACGGCAGGGCGTGACGGTCGATGCCCTGGCGTTTGAGGGCCCGATACCAGCCTAAGAAAGTTAAGAACATGGCAGTCTGGTTGACGATCAGGCCGGACGTCGTCAGATCCACAAACCACAAGAAGACCTCGAGCGCGGCGTTGGACGAGACCAGGAAGGTGATGCAGCTGATGAGAGACACCACCACGACGCACACCCACGGGATGCCGTGCTTGGTGCAGCGCAGGAACACTTTGGGCGCCTGTCCGTCCTGAGCGAGCGAGTACAGCGTGCGGCTGCTGGTGTAGAGGAACGCGTTGCCGCACGACCAGCCAGACAACAGGATCAAGAAGTTGATCAGGCCCGGGAGGAAGCCGTGGATGCCGACGTTCTTGATGCCGACCACCCAAGGTGAGGCGGCGGCGCCCGGGCGCGAGTCCTCGATCGCGGAAATGAGTGTCGGGTCCTGCGAGTTGCAGATGATGCCGAGGAACGCTACTCCCAAGACGTAGAAGCCGACGATGCGCCAGACGATGAGTTTGGCCACGCGCGGCACCACGCGGCGCGGGTTCTGGATCTCGCCGGCCGACAGCGAGATGTAGTCGGGTCCGCCGACGGTGAAGACGGCGTAGCGGAAGGAGACGAAGAAGGCGAGGAAGCGGCCGAGGTCACCTGAGCTGTGGTATTCGCGGAAAGCATTGCCGTCAACCCAGTTGCGGAAGCCGTACTGCGGGGCGACGTGTCAGACATCGCGGGAAGCAATTGGGAGGAAGGGAAGTACTCACAGCATCGCCATTCGGGTTGCCGCCACACATGGTAATGAAAGTGACGAGCATCAAGCCCACAAGCAGCAGGATCTTGGTGCTCGACATGACGAACTCGCTCTCGCCATACCACCTCACACCCACGAGATTCAAGAACAGACAGACCACCATAGCCATAGCAATCCACACCGCCGGGTTCACAGACGTGTTCCAATACTGCATGACCGTCGCCACGGCGCTGTATTCCGTGCACACCAACATGGTCGCGCTGTAGAAATACGTCCAGCCCATCGCGAAGCCAAAACTCGGATGCACGAAACGGGTCGCCATCTCGAAGATGGAGCCTCGGATGGGCAACCAAGCCGTCATCTCCCCCACCGCCAGACACAGCGGCCAGATGTATCCGAGTCCATAGACGATGTAGCCGACGAGCAGCGCGATGGGGCCCGCGCGTGTAAGCGTGACGCCGATGCCGACGAAGAGACCGATGCCAATGGCGCCGCCGATGGCCTTTGTGCCACGTCAGTACGTTGCTTATTGCGGTAAGATATAGAGGGTGTCACAACGCACCATGAGCTGCACGTGCCTTGAGCGCAGGTGGCGCTGCGTCTGCATGCGCGCCGGCGCCTGGGGCTTGTCGAGGTCATCCTCGTAGACGGACGGCTCACGGGCCTGCGTGATTTCGCCCGTGACTGCTTTGTTGGTGGGGGCTTCGGCGTCCATGGTGGCGTAATGATGGGTTTGTACCAGCCAGTCGTAGGTCCCTGATGGACAAGAAAGAGTGGTGAGAGGTTCAAGAGAGACTACCGGTAACGCGCTTCCCAGTTGATTATCTCACGAAGAGATGGACTGTCCGACCATTTTGTATCCCTCACCAACCCCAGAGCCGTATCTAAGACCGGCTATGCAAGGTCCACTGCCGTGCGTTATCTCGTGGATTGCCAGGATGCTCCGCCGATAGCGATGGAGACAGCTGCTTCCTCGTGGACATATTGTTCATCTCAGCAGGGTTTAGTCGATGCAGTACAGGGACTTGTTGGTATACCCTGCCTGGGCCGGGCATGCTTGCTAGGGAGTTATCGGAGGACCAACCGCGCCCGCTAGGCCGGCGCATTACCGGGGTGCTAGATGGCAGTCCGAGCGACTCAGCGCCTGTGAGATGTGGTCTGAGTGGAATCGGAAGACTAATAGGATGTGCAGAGAGTGGGCACCCAAGCTTCATCCGGCGCTGATCCCGTGTACACAAGTGCTTTGAGGAAGATCTTGGGACGTCGGTCTCCCGCTCCGTCGCTGCCAAGAGGGAGTATCCTGGTTCGCAGGCAGTGACCGGCCCGGGATACCGCGATAGTTCTTCTCACCGGCGAAGCATCTGGACAGACTCTGGGCCGATGGCGTAGGTTAGGTATAGTATGGGTCATCTCAACCAACAACTTTATGCGGAAGAACTCGTGAAGCCTGTTCCCGCACTGGTAGCGACACTTTGGTACCAGACCAGGGCAAAAGGTTGGGAACGCTACAAAGGTTCTGGACACATGCTCGATGCGCCAACACTGTCATTTCTGTTCTACAGTTCATCGACCATCTATGCCGGGTCTGCATAGCTTCCCGGCACGCGGCCCGGCTCCAACGCGGAGACTACGATAGCTCTCGCACAGCTGAGCGACCTATTCTGAATTCGGCAGGCTTCGAGAAGTCCTCGCGAAAGCTGCCGCTGTGGCTCCAACCGTGCATTCCGGGGTTGGGGGGGGGGGGGGGAGATGACCCATCTACCGCGGGTGTGCGCAGCGGCTTTGGACCTCTTCTGACGAGCATCAGGCGATGATGCGGTCAAGGATGGACCTGGTCACATCCGGAGATCCAGCTGCGACCACCTGCGAGGCGTTCCGAAGGTGACTGGGATCGAGGCAGCACTTGGTGACAGCGAAAGTAGAGGCCACAACAAGGCCAATCAGTAACCCAATTCCACTAATTTTCCCAGCTATCCAACGTCACCCAAAAACCCTGTCCCAATACACCGTCGCATTCACGCAGACATCCCTCCGGCCCTCCCACGTGACGAACTTGCCCTCATACCGACAAGCAATCTCCCTTACGACACTCCACAGCCGCCTCTCCGCATCATACCCGCAGAACGCGACGGCCTCGTCCGCGCTCGTGTGCCAGATCCGGCGCATCGTCCCGTCCGCATCCCTCGTCGGGCCCGTGACGCCGAACGACACGTCCTGGAAGATCGAGCCGGGATTCAACTTGGGGAAGTTGGCGTGCACGAACAACGGCCGTGCCATTGTCCTGCCCTCATCGTCTCCTCTGCCATCCGACGATGCCGCCGCTCGAGGCAAGTCGGTGCGGGGATCATACTGCACCATCGCCGAACCGCGCCACTCCTTGCTCGTCGTGATATATCCCAAAGCGCGGATCTTCTGTTGGACCTTGTGGAAGGACTCGTTGAACGCCAGGGCCGCCCACAGGAAGGTTTCCTTGTCGCCTTCGCCGGGCGCGCCTTGGGCTTGCAGCGGGTAGTAGAAGTCCGGGCCGTAGAAGTTGTAGTACAGGGCCAAAAGCAGAGACTGCGTGTGTTTCGACTTTGAATACATGAGCTCGCCAGATTCCGTGGCCGGCATGCGCGCCAGCGGCGGCATTTCGAGGCCGGCAATGTCGAAGAACGCCGGGCTCTCGCTTGCGAACCAGAAGTCCGGCCACAGCACCATGCCGGTGGACTGGAACGGCTCGGCCGTGAAGAGGCCGCTCGGGTCGTGCAGCGGGAAGGAGTCGGAGTCGAGGAACAGGACGTCTTGGAACGAGCTGAAGATGATGGCCATGATTTTATACTGATATTTCTCGATTCGAACCGCGAGGGAAGGGCGGAAGACGCTATCGAGCACGACACAGCGCGCAGACATGCTGGGGAACACGTTGTCGCAGATTTCCGCGTCCCATTCGTCATCGCAGGCCAAGAAGACTTCGACTGGTAGCATGCAGCCCGTCTCGCGCAGCATGCGGATCGATACGACTGAGACGGGGAGGTAGTTGCCTCCGGCTGTGGTGACGATGCCGCGGGTGCCGTTCACGAAGGGCAGTTGGTAGCGCATGTCCTCGAGATGGGTCTTGAAGGCTCGATGCGCGGTGCGGAGGGCAGAGACTTGCGTCTCGGTCACGTTGAGGCGATCAGGCCGTTGCGTGGTACGGGATGCATCGTATCCGACCACCAAGTCGCCGCCGTTGACGTGCTTTATGGGCTCGCATTGCGGCTCGTGTGCGACTAGGCGCGGAAACAACAATGCCCAGAGATCTTGTTGGGCCAGGAGCAGCGACGACGGTGCGGCTGGAGTGATCCAGCTCGGCGTAGGGATTATGGGGAATGCCCTGTTGGCGGTGTAGAATCCATATATCAAGACTGTGCTGGCGATCAGAAAGACGGGCCACCGAGAAAAGTGCTTCATCGATGAAAAGGCGTCTTGCTGAGTATTCGCGGCTGTGCAAGCAATTATCGTTGAGTATATGTCTAGATCGTGAATAGGCAGATTCCCCAGCACAGGGTCGCCAGATGGAAATCCTCAACGGCGATTCATCTCTGTCGAGACCGTCGAATATTAGACTTCAGCTCGTACCTGGCCTGGATCCAGCGCGATGAGCGCCGTCATTTCTGACAGTCAGCGAGACTTGGCCCAGCATGTTTCGGGCCAGTGGGCGTGAGCCTCAGATGCGGGCGTCGGAGGGTCGCGGGAGGACCTCTCGCTTGCAAGTCTGGAGTCTTTATTCCATGCTGACGCATAAACTTGGCTCGTGTTGGAGAACGAAGCGGGTGATGTGGGAGTGTGGCTCAGCAGCCAAAGCGACCGGAGTCGTCCGCACGGCGCCTTTTCCCACCATGATTGTCGCCACAGCACTCACTTGAAGCTCATCTTTCCTCCGTGGCCTTTGTACGCTTCAAAATATCGTCCGTCCATCCCAGTTTGCGCCTGTCTTTGTCCGTGACCCTCCCCCACTCCAACAGCAGTCGAAACACGTAAATCTGCATGTCGACTTTCCGGAGCGCCTTCTGCGCCCACTCCTTGCCCGCCTTTGCAATGGCCTCCGCTTCCGCGTCGTGGCCTTTGACATCTTGGCCACAGATCTCCGCGCTACAGCCCGCAAAGTATTCCATCAGGCGGTAAAAGTCGTCGAAGCGGTTGTTCATGGGGACGAAGTGCTTCCACGGCACGAGGCGCGCGTCGTGCCACTCGCGATAGAGCGTCGCCTTGATGGGCAGGCTGTTGGAGAGCAGGAATGCGCGGTAGCGGCCGGAGAACGAGTTGCCGTCAATGTCGGGTAGGTACTTGGACTGGTACTGCACGGAGAGCCGCTGGCCAGGCACGACGTCGTAATGCGGCGACGTGTACCAACAGGAGCCATACGGACGGTCATCGGGCTTCGTGTCGTCGTGGTCATCGCAAAACAGGTCCGTGAAGGCAGCGTCGACGTGGTGCTTGAGGTAAGCGGAGAGATGGGGTTGCAGCGCGGGCTTGAGGGGTGAGACGGCGCTGAGGTGCCACAGAGGACTGAAAATGTCGTCGGCGCGAGAAGCCCTCTGATGCGCGCTCTCGTACTTGGTTCCGTTGACGAGGGCGACAAAGCGGTGCCGGTGGAAACGCGTCCATGTGTTGGGCTTGTTCCAACCACCCGTGGCGGTGCCGCGCCAGATGACGCTGTCCGTCTTTGCATTCCATTCCCACGGGTCATCTTCCATGAAGCGCTCCTCTTCATTCCAGTACATGGGGGCCGGAAGTAAGATGTCGTTGTTGACCGTGGCGAATTTCGACCCACCAAACAGTGGCAGCAGGTCGGTGGAGGTGCTGGCCGTGAGTGGATCTGTGAGGGCCGCATGATAATACTGAATCGCCGGCTCATTGCACGGGCTTGTCGACTCGGTGAAATTGGTAACAAAACTGGGGTTTGTATACGATTGGAGATCGGGGTCGTGGGTCCGCTGCCTTGCATGAAGCATGATCTCTTCAGTGAGCATCTGTGGAGTGGTCGACTCGGTACGCCGACGCAAGGGGCTCTCAGGCGGACATGCCGCTCGCGCATAAGAGAAAGGTGGGCTGTCGTGCCACATGAGATCTGAGTCTTCTTCGTCTTCCTCCTCTGTCTCCATTCCCCATCCGCGTACTCGCCGGCGCATCTGTCCTACTGGCAGCCACTCTTTGGTAGACTGAGCTTCGGCCATCAATTCCGACATCTTCTCCCACGGCACCATTACACGAGGCTCATCCATGGGGTTCATGGGCACGACCATGTCAGGTAGGTGGCGCGACACTTCGGCAAACATCTTTGCCCAGATCGTGTGCCAGAACCAGTCGGTGGTCGCATTCGCTCTGCCGTCTTTGATCTCCACCGCCATGCCCAATTTCCTCGCCTGCGAATGTATCAAGGACGGATTAACGGCCCAGAAGGGTTCCAGGTCCTCGTATATCTGATCCCAGAAATCCTCAACAATAATAGCACCATTCTCGTGCGCATATTTATACCATTGGTCAAAGCCGGGAGGCGGATGTCTCCCTCTTCGTTCCCGATATGCTCTTGCGGCATCCTCGAGGGTGGAGGATCGTTCTCTGAGCAGAGTTTCAAACTGGCTGCCGGCATTTTTTATAAGGCTATCTATCGACGCCGAGTTGCTAGTGTCTGCGACAAGCCGTAACTGTCCATCTTCCGCATATTCCGCTGTCGCCAACCGACCGCCCGAAGGAAGATCAGATGAGTTCGCGAGAAAAGGCTCCTGGGCTGAGTCGCGTATGGGTCGCTGCCACGGGTTTATCGAAGCAAAGGGATGAAGCTGAAAATTATACCAAATGAAACAAACGAGAAAGACAGCAATGTAAGGCGCAGAGCGAGAAATCGTCGTTCGCGCCATTCTCGCGCAGGCAGTTTTGACAAAAGCGCAGGTGAACGGGACATACAGTAGAGAAGTATATCGGGCTGCCATTAGGGGCAAACACTCGGATCAGAAAGTCTGTGGCATTGAGCTGAAAGGGTGTGCGAATCAGCTTGTGCTCTACACGTACTAGCAGAGAGGCGCTCCGGGAAGTCCTTAGAGTCTCCCAAAACCGTATTCACCCCATCCACGAGGCGGGGTGGTGGCGTTGATTTGGTTCCCAGGTTGGAGTAGTCAAGTGAGATCGTCAATGTCGTGAACTCTTTACCCGAAGGCTTTCGATAAAGCTCCGACAGGAGTGACTGGCGAATGTGTCCCAGTGCAGGTAACGCGAACATGGAAAAGTAAGCAGCATTGAGCAAAGTGCCCTCGCATCCCAGTCAGCATTCAAGGTGCTCGAGCGCCGTGGGTGGTGGATACGCATGCAGCTGGTGTTCGGCTAGCTGGGCTGATTCCACAAATAAACCGTGCCGCTGACGAGCGCGTCAGCTCCAGCGCGTCTATTCATCGTTGCCAGCCCAGGCTCGCGGTGGCTCTTATACATCAGGGCAGCATGCGTCGTGAGATGTGTCAGCCCGATGGCTGACCACAAGTGGTATCACTGTAGGAGTGACGGCAACGATCATCACTCAAAGACCTTGGAACTTAAGCTTTGGTAGATCGGCGGCACAGAGTTCCAGGGGTAGACGTGTGTTATCTCACGTTGAAAATGGGTGGCGTACACGCCAGGCGAGTATCGCTTGAGAGCGAAGCGAGGTCTGGCCAAACTCCTCAGTATTCACCAGAAACCCCCCAGCAGGTCGTTCTTGATGGTGTTCTTCACACGTGTGCATGCGTGGCAGTCTCTATCGATGATCGGGCGCAGATCCGTCTTGCGCTCGAGGGCCGGCACTTGGTGTACAGGTGCAGCTCGTGTTCAGTTGGCGACTAGTGAAATCAGGGGCAGCAGGAAATCTCGGCTCACGCTGATGCTCGTAAGGGAAGATTGTCTGTCACTGGCTTGGACAAGCCACCTCATTCGGTTGGTCGCCAGATGACTTCCAGGCTGATAAGATAATCAAAGAGAGAAGAGTCAACAGTCTTGTGCTCCATATGGATGCCCTTGGCGGCGCCTGGGAGTTGTAGTGACCGCAGTCAGCACCGACCCTCGTCCGAGCGGGCCAACCTTGTCACCGCCAGCTTTAGACGCGACAGAGTATTCAGAATCATGGCTTGAAATTCTTTTTTGGGGCATTTCGGGCAAGGATGATAGCTATCTAGACTCAGTTCCAAGTCAAATCCACCGCTCAAACGCCCTGCTCCCCCAATGGCTCGTCTGCACTTCAGGGTGAGTCTATGCTTTTCCTTTTAGTGTACAATGAAAAAGAGGATATCATGAGCATCGTCGCAAGTCGCTTCCACACCTTACAGTTCATCGTGGCCCTCGGGCTCATCATCACCGTAGTCGGGCATCCCACCAGCACCCTCGTAGAGCTTGCTGGTGATGGGGTAAGCCACGCCAGAAAGCTTCTCACGCTGCTCCTCAAAGTCGTCCTTGTCAGCGGTGGCCGAGTTCTCCTCAAGCCAGTCGGTGGCCTCCTTGACGGCTTCCAAAATGGTCTCCTTGTCATCCTCGTCAATCTTGCCGCCAAGACCCTCCTCGTCATTGACCTGGTTCTTGAGGTTGAAGGCATAGTTCTCGAGCGAATTGCGGGCTTCGATCTTCTCGCGGGTAAGCTTGTCCTCCTCGGCAAACATCTCGGCCTCAGCAACCATGCGCTCAATTTCCTCCGGAGACAACCGGCCCTTGTCATTGGTGATCGTGATGGACTCAGCTTTGCCAGTTCCTTTATCGCCGGCCGTAACCCTAAGTATACCGTTGGCGTCGAGTTCGAAGGAGACTTCGATTTGGGGCACGCCTCGAGGGGCAGGAGGGATACCGGTCAACTCGAATTTGCCGAGAAGGTTGTTATCCTTGGTCATGGAGCGTTCACCCTCAAAGACCTGGATGAGGACGACCGGCTGGTTATCGGCAGCGGTAGAGAAGATCTGAGACTTCTTGGTAGGCACGACAGTGTTGCGAGGAATCAACTTGGTCATAACACCGCCCGTGGTCTCGATGCCAAGAGTCAATGGGTTGACATCCATGAGAACAATGTCAGCAGTGCCCTCCTCACCGGACAAGACACCACCCTGAACAGCAGCACCGTAAGCGACAGCCTCGTCGGGGTTGATACCCTTGCTAGCCTTCTTGCCGTTGAAGTACTCCTCGATCATAGACTGAACCTTGGGGATTCTGGTCGAGCCACCGACGAGAACAATGTCATCGATGTCGGCCTTCTTGACCTTGGCGTCCTTCAGAACCTGTTCAACAGGCTTGAGAGTCTTCTTGAAGAGATCCATGTTGAGCTCCTCGAACTTGGCGCGGGTCAGAGTCTCGGAGAAATCGTTGCCCTCGTGGAAAGCCTCGATTTCGATGCGAGTGGACATCTGAGAGGACAGGGTACGCTTGGCCTTTTCAACCTCGCGCTTCAGCTTGCCCATAGTCTTGAGATCCTTGGTGATATCGACGTTGTTCTTCTTGTTGTAGAGCTTGACAAAGTAGTCGCTAACTCTCTGATCGAAATCCTCACCACCCAGATGAGTGTCACCAGCAGTGGCCAGGACCTCGAAAACACCATCCTCGATCGAAAGTAGCGAGACATCGAAAGTACCACCACCAAGATCGTAGACAATGATCTGGGACTCTTTGCCCTTCTTATCGAGGCCGTAGGCAATGGCGGCGGCGGTAGGCTCGTTGACAACACGAAGGACGGTAAGACCAGCGATAGTGCCGGCGTCCTTGGTGGCTTGTCTCTGGGCATCGTTGAAGTAGGCCGGGACAGTAACGACGGCGTGGGTGACCTTCTTGCCGAGATAAGCCTCAGCGACTTCCTTCATCTTTCCAAGAACCATGGCGGAGATTTCTTCAGGGGAGAAGTTCTTGTTGGAGCCACCGACTTGGACATCGACGGTAGGCTTGCCATCCTTGTTGACAACGTTGAAAGGAAAGTGCTTCGCATCGCGGGTCACGTCCTTGTCATTGAACTTGCGACCGATCATACGCCTGGGATAGATTAGTAACACCATCAGATTCAGGGCGCAGGCAACTTACTTGATGTCGAAAATGGTGCGGGTAGGGTTCGCCGCATACTGATTCTTCGCGGCATCACCCACCAGACGCTCCTCATCGGTAAAGGCGACATATGAAGGGGTAATTCGGTTTCCTTGATCGTTGACGATGATTTCGACCTTGCCTCCTTGCATCACACCGACACAGGAGTAGGTGGTGCCCAGATCGATACCAATGACAGTGCCGACATCTTCAGGGTTGGTGAGGTTTTCTTGATCCTGGGCGTTGACAGAACCGATCAGAGCCAGAGGGCAGACGAAGATTAGGAGGAGGTAGAAGATGGTAGTCCACTGGAAGGTGGACGAAGCCGCTCTGCGCGCCATGATGCGGGGGCGGTCGCAGTCAGTAGAAGGAGGCTGCTATGATCCACGAAGAGAGACGCTCAACTGATCAACAGTACTATCGAGTCCTCAAGGGAGAGCGAGGAGGGAATGGGGGGGATGAACGGCGAAGAGCATAAACCTTTGCAAGATATTTAAAAATGCCCGGCATCGAAAGGACAAGCTGGCCTGCAGTGCAGCCCGCCACACCGCAGCACCCCACAATGGCCCATAACACCCAATCATCACTCGCAGCCCGAACTGCCCCTTGAAGCCACCTGGCATTGTGGTCCTTGTCATCAATGCATGCCCCAAATAGCCTTAATTCGGCTATAGAAGGCTCGAGAATATTCGAGTCATCAGGAGTCACTAGGCACTATCACAAAGAATGCCAGCTGGCACTAATGCCTACTCATGTACCCGCCACCAACCCGACGCTGTCTCTTCCACCCCTCCCTTCACAACGATCGGTACCAGGACAAGTCGGCGGACACTAATATCATGCATATCACCAATGAAAGAATTCCGGTAAGGTGACGGCGTCCACGAGCAAATCGTATCCTATACCAAAGGTGGCTGCACCCAAGCCAATCTATGGGAGGACGAATCTCAACGGAATCCCCATATGAGGCTCTGCAACTCCAACGAACAAGCTCATGTCCCAGCAAAAGCCGAGCACCACCCCTGTGGTGATCCGGACCCTTTCGAACGGCTCTCACTCGGCTCGCACTCCTCATTCGTGACTACACTCTCTTTGCCTTGTTCGAGCCATTGACAATACAGGTTTCGCGTGAAGACACTGTACACTCTGATTCGCCAGGCCGGAGATGAAACCGACTAACCTCGACTGCATCCATGCACATCACATGCAGTATGGCAATACTTGCAGATGACCCTTCACCCCGGTCTTCACTGGGGTGTACATCTTCTTTTATACGCCTATGGGCGCGTTGTTGCGTCCAATATGCCTCTACTTCCCAGCCAGGTGCCTTACATTCTCCTACGCGAGGTCGGCTGATATCAGCCCTCGCGTTGTCGCTCGTTTCACATCAGTCGCTCGTTCTTTTGCTGACTTCAGTCTTGACCGGCCGCCTCTCTCTTAACAATTGCCCGGCTGTCCATGATACAGCGCCGACTGCTTTTACCTCGGCCGCGGTTACTTCACTTCACCTACGATGTTCACTATGCAACGGACGATTCTCTCTCTGGTGTTGGTGACACTCGCCTCCACAACACCAATCAGACGCCAGACCAGCTCTGTGCCACAATACGTCCTCGATCACGCGCCCCTCGTCCATCTCGACGAACAAGAGCAATGGTTCCCCTCCGACATCACCGCACAGCTCACCAACAGCCACCCAACCGACGCCTCTTCCAATCCTATTCCCAACGCCCCTTCTCCCCTAACGCTCTCGAATCTCAACTCTCTCGCCGGCGAAGGTGTCTACGTAACCTCCAACGAAGGCATCACCGCCCTGCCAGAATGGTTTCATGGCGTCGCACCAACCCCCGATGGATCCACCCCAGGCGCCGTGGCTAGCGTAGTCATCACGGTGCCCAAAACCAACGACATTCTCGATGTCTTCTACTTCTACTTCTACGCCTACAACGAAGGGAATGCTCCATTAAGCATTCCCAACTTTGAGTTCGGCAACCATGTCGGTGACTGGGAGCATAACATGTACGTGATCACCCGTCTCTTGGCATCCTCCCGTAGCACCTATCTTCCACTCCTCCTCTTGCTCCTGCCCTGATCCCGCCAACAGCCCATCCATATGTGACTCTCTACTGACACTGTCCCTCCAGGATCCGCTTCAACGCCACAACCTCCACCCCCCTCGCAACGTGGTACAGCCAACACGCCTCCGGCCAAGCCTTCACCTTCTCCACCCTCTCTCTTTCCCCGGGCACCACCCGGCCCCTCGTCTACTCCGCCCGCGGCACACACGCCAACTACGCCACTCCGGGCCCGCACGAAACCGCCTTTCCCGGCCTCGCCTTCCCAGGTGTCATCCTCACCGACCGCACCTCTGCGGGCTTGCTGTGGGATCCGTTGCGGAATGCTTGCTTTTATGAGTATGACATTAGGAGCGATACATTCACGGCGCTGCCGGCGCCAGGGAATGAGGGAGGGCCTGCGGCGCCGACGAAGTGGTTGGATTACAGGGGCCGCTGGGGGGATCCGCAGTTGCCGGATGGGGATCCGGCGCAGATGAATTTGTTTGGTGCCAGGAAGTTTACGGCGGGGCCAACGGGGCCGAGGGATAAGAGGTTGGGGAGGGGGCCGGTGTGTAATGTAGATGAGGGGGCGGAGTGTTTCGTTAAGAAGACGTTGATTGGCGCGAAGGTGTGAGGGCGGCAAGCGCAGCCATGGAGGGCAAGGGGTGGAAAGGAACGGGGAGGCGGGTTTGAGGGCGGGGTCTTGTGAGGAGGGAGGGAGGTTTGAGCTAATTACCTAGTGGGCAGGTGCTTGGTAAGGCATCCGTTGAGTAGACAGCATGGCTTTGGAACTCCCAGTATATATGATTGGGGGTAGAACAGTACAACCCGTAATAGATAAAAGATTAATCACATACGATGCCTGTCTGCTCTTTGGAAGCTTTTTGTCCAGGTAGGTTGACATCAGACTAAGCTTCTGGTCTATGGTGAGTTGTCGGGACTCACAAAAATAAGGAACTGGGGCGAAGAGACCGCACTCTACGCAGAGCTCTGTCCAGCCGGGCAGAAGGTGCTGTTGCGGCGAACCCGCCTACTGGTATGATAGCAAGTAAAGCAAGTTGTTGCCAAGCTTTCCACTGCCTGAGATCACCTAGGTCGCTACAATCTATGGACGCCCCGACGTAATCGACCCATCCTGGCCCAAGTTGGGGATCTGGTGACCAAAGTATGCTGTAGCGTTACAAGCGATATCGCCTCGCTGCATGGGCGATGGCCTTGCTGTGGAGATGCTAGACTGGTCCAGCACCCAAATCCAAGGAGAACTGTACTGTCTTGCGGTAGGTTGTCTTCCAACGATATCAGACCATTATGCTGCACATCAATAACACGAAAATAGCAATTGACGTATCGATAGCGTCTTCGATACCCCGGTAGGGGAAGAGCTTTGCGAGAAGCCCACACGCAGCCAATTGGCAGCAAATCCGACGCCTGAAACGTGCATGATAACTAATCGGTGCTATAAGGATGATCCTTGCTACTTTTCGAACCCAGTCCAAGCGTCTGGGTTGCCTACAGGTCACAAGAGAGCTGCTGTAGCTGCTGGGGAGTCAAGACTCGTCGTCATGGTTGGCCCACGATTGTGGCGCATGCGGGAAGCCGGCAGCCGAGCAGCCAGTCACCTCGGATCGACCATCCCCCATTGTTATCCATCCATCGTGGCCATGTTCACAGCCCGCCTTGTGCCGCCCAGAAACATCTGAAAAGGGCGTCCTTCCCATCCGCGCACAATCGCGCGTCCGTCGTCTGGTCTGAAGCACGCCATGCCGACTGTGATGTACCGGAGGGCTCTCAGAACGTCCAGAACTACCCCGCCATAGTCACAGTCTCCAACACTCTTCCATCCTCGAGCCTCGAGCCCGTGTCCTCCTACAACTGAAATGTGGTTCGAGTCGCGACAGAAGAAGAAGAACCGCCTGCACAAGGAGCAGTGCCAGCCGCCTCCTGTACAGACCGTATCTCCACCTCCTCCATACGCGGCACGACCAGTTGCAGTGTCCTCCCAGTCGATCAGACCGGCGCCATCGCACGTGCAGCTACCACAATATATTAGTCCGCCGCTGCCATATCGCCAGCCTCAGAACGCAGTCACGTCGCTCACCTTACCTGCCAACACACCGTATCCAATAGTCAACCAAACTGTAGACTCATACAATAGAACATTGGGTTTGTACGACGCATGTGCGGACAAGTTTTGCAGTGTCATCGCCCGCATTGATGAGGATGACTTCGTGGGAGGGTACCGAGATCTTGCTATTGATCAACCATCCTTGCCGCAATTGGACCTCGAGGGACCTCCAGCTACATCAGATCGGCGGCTGGTGCAGTTCGAAAAGCCACCGGCCAAGAATGCTCGAGACAAGACTGTAGAAGTCTTTTCCAAGTTGGACTACTACCTCAACTCTCAGCTGCCACTGTCGCTTCCACCATTGCAGCTCTACATGCCAACCTACCCTCTACTCTGCCTGGCAGCCGAATACTCGGCAGACGCTTATCTCTCGCCCCGATCAAGCGGTGAGAAGCGGCATTACGTCTCGGCCGACGGACGAACAGGTGCGAAGGCTATGGTCGTCAAGAGCGTGCCTTGCGACGACAAGAAGACCATCGTCTTTGCCATACGCGGGACGAGTGCCCTGAGCCTGCGAGACTGGGGCGTCAATCTGAAGAATGCTCCGTCCTCGCCCCAAGGTTTCCTGGACGACGAAGGCAACCTGTGTCACACCGGATTTCTGAAGGTCGCCCGAGCCATGGTTCGCCCCATCGCTGCGCGCTTGCGGCAGATTCTCGAGGAGAACCCCGATCGCACAAGTTGTTCACTTCTCATCACGGGACACAGTGCCGGTGGCGCCGTGGCGAGCCTGCTGTACGCGCATATGCTCTCAACATCGATCCACTCGGAACTCAACACCCTCACCGACTGCTTCAAACGAGTACACTGTGTCACCTTCGGGGCGCCGCCCATCAGCCTCCTCCCCCTCCAGAAGCCCACCACCGCCGACGGCCGCCTGCGAAAATGCCTCTTCCACTCCTTCATGAACGAAGGCGACCCCGTCGTCCGCGCCGAGCCCGCATATATCCGATCCCTCATCGATCTCCTCGCGGCGCCAAACCCCATCACGACCGGTCCCACCAGCTGCCACAAGACCAACACCGCCCTCACCTCGCTCGGTGTCCTCGGCGCCAGCATGTCCCGCCTCGACCTATCACTCAAACCCACCAAGTCCCGCCCGAACCTGCGGCAGCGGCAGGACCTCCGGCAGAAGCTATGGTGGGACGTGCCGCCCGCGACGCTCTCGAACGCCGGTCGACTGGTGGCGTTGCGCGTGGCCAAGAATGATGGCAGACCGGAGAGCGAGAGCATCGGCGCCTTTGTTGTCCGCGACGAGGAGCTGCGCAAGGTCGTCTTTGGCGACCCCATCATGCACCAGATGAGCGTCTATCGGAGGCGCATCGAGGCATTGGCGTTTCGGGCTGTCACGGGGAAGTTGTGCTCGTGATTTGGCCAAAGCTGGTTTTTGGGCGGGAATGATGATGTACACCACAGCAAAAGCAAAAGCGATGTAATTGTGAAACCTATACAGCGGTGGGTTGACTGAATTAAGCAGAAGCTTTTTGGTGGCTGATGGTCTGCTCGCTTGCGAGTCCAGCGGGGAGCCAATCCATCAACATCCAATCCTATCAGCCCCCTGACGACCCAAAATTCAGACCTACATGGGATCGATTGATTCGGGTAACGAACTGGCTTACGACCGAGAATGAATGCCGCGGCGTCTTTAGTTGTTCTTACTATGGGATGGAGGTATCTTCGGTCGAGGGACGGAAAACAGATATGAGATACCCAGGAACGGGGTAGGAGGGGGATACGGTCCGATTTTTCTTTTTTTTTGGCAGCAACGGCAACGGCAACGGCAGCGGCAGCGGCAGCGGCAGTAATAGCAATAGCAACGAAGTATCAGACTCAGCAAGTGGAGGCCACGGTAATGTACTAACGTGCAGGGGAAGCTTTTGAACTAGCGCAGTAGTACCACAGACAGGAAGACACACACACCAGGAAATGAGGAACAGGATGATGATTTCTCAGACCGGACCAGACCAGGGGGAAAGTCTGGGCAACTACTTCTAAATTCTTTTCTTTACCTACAAGGGGTTGGTTGGGGGATATGTGCTGTAAAACCTTCGGGAAACGGCGATACCTCATACAGTACAACATACCCCCCAAACGCGGAATACGATCAAACACGCCTCTGGTAGATGATATAAGAGTTTTCGTCATTATCCCATCTCATCCCTCCCACAGTAGCATGGCCTCGTTTAGCCAGGGATTACAAAGGGCACATCTCCGTTGCGCGTTTAACAATCACGGTACAGATATCATTTCCCTCTCGACGACGTCCATGTGGTGGACATATCCCCAGCTGTTGAAATGCCTATATGCCTAGCCAAATAACAGGACGACTGGACCGGTGACGATACCAGTAGGCAAGACGCGGATATGTGTGGATGTGTGTTTTACACTTTCTCATGCTGGACCATATGAGCCTGCTTGTCGCTGTCGTACTCATCCGGCACAATAACCAAATTGTCGGAGCGGAAGGGATCGACCTCGACCTGGCGGAACTTGCGGGCCGAGACCTTGTTCTCGAAGAGGACGTCGAGGTCGGCGTAGGTGAGACCCTGTGTTACATTACAACATTAGTAATCTATTTTGGAGGTCGGGAGAGACAAAAAAAAGGGAGGGTAGCTTACCTTGGGCTCGGGAAGACGGAAATAAGTCCACACGATCCCCAGAAGATTGGCGCCGGCCCAGAAGAAGGCGGTCTTGCCGCGCCAGCCCCAGCCGGTCTCGGGGTTCATGAAGCGGGGCTGCAGGGTGCCGATGATGATGCCGCAGACGTTGTAGACGTTGCGGGCCAGGACGACGGTCTTGATGCGGAGGCGGGTGGAGGGCAGCTCGGCGACGAGGGAGTAGCAGACGGGGCCGACGGTGATGTCGTAGACGAAGGTCAGGATGAGGATGAGAGCGCCGGTGGCCCAGCCGGTGGAGGAACCCAGTTTGGGGATGCCCAAACCGCCGATGATGACGAGGATGACGAACATGCCGACCTGACCCCACAGATATAAGGTGCGGCGACCAAAGTGTGGCATCAGGAACCACGAAGACACAGTGCCGACGAAGCCCATGGCGGATTGGCCCACGCCGAGGGAGAAAGCGTTGCCTGTGTCCAGACCGGCCTGGATCATGAAGTAGGTACCCCATCCCATCATGGGTGACCCGGAGGTCTGCTGAATGACCCAAGACATGACGGTGAGTTCGGTGCGGCGGAGATCGACACCCTTGAAGCAGTCGAGGTACGAAGTGCCGGACGTCTGCTGGATTTCAAGTTCGTTGGTGTGGATGATCATGGCAAGTGTATCCTCGACGTTGAAGTTGGGGTTGTTCTTCCTCGAGGTGAGCTTGAGGAGAGCAGCGCGCGCTTGGTCGAGCTTCCCGTGGCGGACAAGCCACCACGGAGATTCGGGAGCAAAGAAGGTCACCAAGAAGATTGGGACGGGCCACACCCACTGGATGGCATAAGGAACGCGCCACGACCAGTCGCTGGTGCCAGCGACAAAAGCCTTGAGGACGCCGGAGGCGATCAGCTGGCCGATGACCCAGCATAGGTTGACGTAGGTGGTCAAGTACGGGCGGAGGGGCACGGGGCACACCTCAGCCGCATAGGTGGTGGTCAGGGTCTGGAAGACACCCCAGGGGAGACCGGCCAAGACATAGCCCGCCAGGAGCATTCGAACGTTCTGGGCGAAGAATTGGATGAAGATGAAACAGGCGACCAAGACCAGAGCACCCATCATCGTGAAGCGATAACCGATGCGCTCTGACACAATGCCGTTGATGAAGAGACCGATAATCTGAGCAGCGGCAGTACCGTTGCTAAGAGCGTTTTGCCAGCTGACGTTGACCTCGTATCTGACCTCGCCGGTCTGAGGGTCCGTACCAGCATCGCCAAACTTCTGAGCGAAAGCAGGCATACCGTAGAAGGAGCCGAGAAGCCAAGTATCGTAGCCTTCCATGACGACGGCGAGGGACAGACCGAAGGAGAAGAAGATAGCGCTCGGATAGAGTCTGACACCCTCGCGGAAACCCATCTTGCGCTCCGACTCGGCGGCAGTTTTTGCATCGGCGCTGAGCTCGGCAAGATTGGGCACGGCGACGGACATCTTGCGGAAGGTCTCATCCCTCTGATTGAGGACGCCGCTCTTCTGCTCGACGCCACCCACGGAGCCCGCAGGGGCGATGGAGGAGCGGCGACGACCGGTGTCGTAGGTGTCGGTTCCCAAGTTGGCCGCATAGTTGGAGACCGACATATGGCGGCCACCATGGCCTTGTCCCGGTGTAGCCATGCCGACGTTGGTATCTTCACAAAGCAAGCGAGATGATTGAAGCGATTCGCACTGACCACGAACGCGTATACTGGAACAAGAGACGCGGAGGAGAGGCAAGGGCGGTAGCAGTGATGATATACACAGCAGCTCGGCTACTCAGCTTGAGACAACCAGCGTTCAGATGACGCGAACTGAGTTCGACCGCACCAATGATTCTAGCGAGCGACAGCGGACTTGACGAGAGTCGGGCCTATCGAGAATCGAAGTCAAAAGCCGGATCGTACAGCAGAGCTTGGAAACCAATCGGGCAGTCTGCGCTGATGGGCAGCTTGCTTGAGAGCGGAGCGGCATGTTGGAGGCTTGCATAGCATGATGGCCACCTGGGGTTGACGGCATCCAGAGGAGAATAACTGAGATCATTCACGAGGCATTGCGCCGATCCGTATGGCCCAGACCTCAAGCTAAGCTCAAGGTAGACATCGGTCAAGTGTCTTGGGAAGAGCTGCTAAGCAAAGAGAAGCAAGCTCGGGTAAGCTTTGCATGGGAGCTGGCAGGGTGAGTTTGAGCGAGGAGTGGTTGGATGGAGGGGTCGAGCTCCTGGGCGCAAGCTTAGAGGTCGCGTCAAGGTGCTTGACAGGACTTCGCTTCTCCACAGCAGCGAGGAGGGAGCAGGGAGCCCCCCGGGTTTTCCCCCGCATTTCGACTTCGAACACTTTGCCGTCCAATGTAGGCGAGGGTCAAAGAGGCTCAAGATCTCAAACACATCGTGTATCTTGCATATGCCGTCCGTGGTAAGTGAAGGAGAACTCCGCTTGCTTCATCATAGAGCTGCTGTACTTTGACTCGATCAGCCGCTGTCTCGGAGTTCTGCCAAATTGTCCTCCACGCTTGACATTAGAGTACAGATTCTCAAAACGCCGATCCATCGAGTCAGCCATGAGTATGACCGAGGATACAACAACAACAACGAAGGGCTAAGATTGGCATAGTGGAAAAAGAAAATTTAGGCGACGAGCACCACCCTGGCTGGGCTGGGTGGGCACCGGAGGCTCTGGAAAGGGGTGTCTTTGTAGGCTTTTGTCTTGTCCCTTCCGCAGCCGAAGCTAATGCAAGTCGTCACTCAAGGACAGATACTTGATGCGCATGATACTGCCTCGAGGTGGCGCACACGAGCACCAGAGGAGTTGTTAGCGAGACTGCGAGCAGTCGAGAAGAGAAAGTCTTGCCGTTAAGCGCGTGTAGAGTACCACCATGAGGCTCATGTGACGCGACTATCTAGGTGATGTCGAGCAGGGGGAGTAGAGTTGCGGCCAGCATATCCGCCATCGCACCGAAAGTCGGGCCGACTCAGGCAACCCCAGGTCTGACGTTGATAGAGGTATGGGTTCAGACACAATGAGAAGAGACAGACTTGGTCATTTGATGCCCAACTCCTGCCCTCGTCTAATAATTGCATCTTGGGCTCTTCGGGCTTCCTGCGTCGACCCTCATGTCACATGGTTTCTTCTTTTCCTCGTTTTTGCATTTGGCCGAGACCTCCCTTAGCAACACGATTGCGAGTCTATTTGCATGGTGCGAGAAACGCCGCAGCCCCAAGACCTCAGGGTCGGCCAACGCCACATGGAAAGGGGAGCTGTCCCTGGGTTCTATGCGGCGGTCCTCATCGTATGGAACCTTCTATGACTTTTCCCCATTCACAGCAAGGTTCTGCAGAGCTTCTGTCGCACTATTGGCGACGTCCACTTCTTGCTTGTCCTTACCTTGTACCAAACCATCAGGATTGGCTTTGACTGCACCTGGGTAGCGAGAGCCTTTGTCTTTGGGCTGCTTCTTCTTCTTCACCGGTTCCGCTGGTGGGTACGCCTTCTTTTCAATCTCCTGCCATTCAGGAGTAGCTTCAAACTCCGCCCGAATCGGAGCGAGAAGGTCAGCCAGAGCCGCACTCGTGGCCGCTTTCAGTAATTGTGGCGTTAATCTGTCTGCCTTGTAATCTTCCTTGAGCTGGCTGATGTCGGTGTAGACCAGCGGCTCTCCCTCGTTTCGCTCGATCACAAAGTTCCCCTTGCCATCTTCTCGCCTCAGAGCCGTCAAAGGAAGCAGAACGTACTCGACGAACGAGATGATCCCGTTGCCCTCAACTTCGCCAGCCGCAGCGTAAGCCTTCCTGAGCTTCTTCTTGACAGCATCAGCCGTATCTAGAATGTCAATCTTGGAGTCGGGATCGGACGCAGACATCTTGCCGCCAGCCAGTCCGGGCACCATGGGATTCATCAAGTGAGCACGGGTCTTGTAGCCCACCTTGCTCAATGTCTCCTGCGCCAGGGCAAAGATCTTTCTCTGGTCGACACCACCAAATTGAGCATCCACCCCCAGGTGTTGCTCGTCAAGAGACTGCATTAGCGGATAGATCAAACCCGATAGAGTAGCGTTGTCGACTTGTTTAACTACCTCGGCTCCAGCTTTCTTCGCATCATGTTCGGTGACGATAGTGCTCAATCGGAAAAGGTCCATGGCATAATCTGCGCTGAGTTGGTACGACGAACCAAGAACAAACTCCAACTTCTCCAGACTGACGCCGACCGCTCGTAACAGTGAAGAGATGATGAATTTGTAGTATTCGGCACGATATTTGACAAGCTCGATGGGCGCCTTGAGGTTGTCGAGAAAGCCATGTACATCGGCGAGAAGCACCTTCACTTTGCACCCGGCCCGTAGGAAGTGTGCGATCTTCATCATGGGGACAAAGTAGCCGCAGTGTGGTCGGCCAGTGGTAGCAGTACCCCAGTAAATGACGAGCGGTCTCTGTTCTTTCAGAACAATGTTCTCAATAATATCCTCCTTCATCACCTCGTCTAGATTCTGCTTGATGAGGGCGAGCTTTTCCTCCGGAGTCAATTCTTTGGTCGCCATGGTGGGGGACGGGGCCGGGGCCGGGGAGTTTGTAGAGGGTGGAAGGAGTTTCGCTTGCGAGCAGCGGATGCGCAATGCTTGTCAGCTGCTCACACGAGATTTACCAGCCGACTCGTGCTCGGAGCAGTGTTGTGTGAAGCGGTGTCTCTGAGTCACTCACTCCTCGAGAACGTCGCTATGCACGAAATATCAAAAATTGCGGGGCATCCGCAGGCCGCTCCACCCAATGAGAGACGCGCCACTCGTAAATAAACACCACCACCATCAACCTGCCTTCGACGGTGTACTTCCACAGGCTGTACAAGATTGCCACGTTGTTGAGCCCGCGTACTAACATACAGGTCTGCTTGTCTTATTCCCTGTGGCATTGCACTCATTGTCGCTGCTAGCATCCGTGCCCCTCGCTCATCCACGACATCCCTTTCCTCTAGACCCTTGACCGCATCTTCACCTTCGGTCTACCGATCCACCGACATCAGCATGGAGAACTACCAGAAGATCGAGAAGATTGGCGAAGGTAATTCGAGTGCGGTACTGTCCTGACGTTATGCTAAAAGTCAGCAGGCACCTACGGTGTGGTGTACAAAGCCAAAGACCTTGCCAACGGCAATCGCATCGTGGCTTTGAAGAAGATTCGTCTGGAAGCCGAAGATGAAGGTGTCCCCAGCACCGCTATTCGAGAAATCTCGCTCCTCAAAGAGATGAACGATCCCAACATTGTGCGCCTGCTCAACATTGTCCATGCCGATGGCCACAAACTCTACCTCGTCTGCGAGTTCCTAGATCTCGATCTGAAGAAGTACATGGAAGCACTACCTGTTACTGACGGTGGTCGTGGCAAGCCTCTTCCGGAGGGCTCTAGTGAGATGTCGCGGCTCGGGTTGGGCAAAGACATGGTCAAGAAGTTCATGGCGCAGCTTGTCGAAGGCGTGCGATACTGCCACAGCCACCGCGTCCTGCACCGTGATCTCAAGCCTCAGAACCTGCTCATCGACCGCGAGGGTAACTTGAAGCTGGCTGACTTTGGCCTTGCTCGCGCGTTCGGCGTTCCGCTACGGACTTACACTCACGAGGTCGGTGTCCTACATAACGGGTAGAGAACCTTCGCTAACAGTACTTCAGGTGGTCACTCTGTGGTATCGTGCTCCCGAGATTCTACTTGGTGGCCGACAATACTCGACTGGTGTTGACATGTGGTCAGTGGGCGCCATCTTTGCCGAGATGTGCACCCGCAAACCGCTGTTTCCTGGCGATTCTGAGATCGATGAGATCTTCAAGATTTTCAAGTTCGTGCTCCTGACCCTCGGTCTGACACTACTAACCATCGCACAGGTTGTTGGGTACCCCTAATGAGGAGACCTGGCCCGGCGTCACTGCCTTCCCCGACTTCAAGTCTTCGTTCCCCAAGTGGCCTAGAGAGCAGTTGAGTGGTATCGTCAAGACGCTTGAGCCCGCTGGTATCGAGCTACTAGAAGCAATGCTGGAGTACGATCCCTCGCATCGTCTCTCGGCCAAGGCTGCTTGCAATCATCCCTACTTCGCTGCGGGCAGCGCCGCCTACTCACAGCGGACGACCGCAGCGCGACCCAACGGCTACCACTGAAATGGTTTGCTCTGTGTGAGTGATTCTGATGCATTATTACGGCGTTACGAGTGATGTCGATATGGAATGAGGGTTGCATTGCAATTGGACACGATGATAGGCGTTCAATGCATTGGTGGATGAATCTCAGGGCCGAGATGGCGCGTCTCAGAGGATGCGATAGGCTTCGATGCTGACGTTGCAATGGGCGCAAGCAGCGGCAGCTCTTTCTATTGATCTCCTAGATTTGTTCGTGCAGACGGGGTCTTCAAATGCAAAGTAAACGGAACCTTGCCGCCAGTCAACTCCCGAGTCCAAGACCCGTCGTTTATCGTATCGGCACCTCGTGGTTCATACCAAAAGAAGCAGGTGTATGCCCCTCTCGATCGAGCACCACGCGTCACAACTTCGTAAAAAACCAGCCCCGATTCGCCTGAAACAGTTTGGCTGGTCTGGAGTCGCTCGGAACAGCTTCGCTCCGCCAGGTCTCGCAGCAAGAGTTCCTCACTTCGCCGCCTCTTCTAATCATGTTTTCGAGTAGGAAATCAATCGGTGTGGACAGCGTCATCGTCATCCATGCTTCGCGGGCTCTAAAGTAGGCACCCGGGATAAGTCGTGTTCACTCTCTGCTATCTATTGCCTACATCTCCAATATTCTTGCTCATTGCATTTTTGAGTGAGCATCGCCGCTTGGAACACCACACCCGGCCCAGCAGTGGTAGTACGCTTTCGAGCACCACATCCAGCAAGATGAGCGTTCGCGGCATTAGCAAGTTCGACTATAACCCTTTCGCAACATGGACATTCTGGGTGGGCAGCTCCACAATTGCATCTGTCCTCCTCAATATCTACGCACCGCGATACACAGTTGCCCAATCTCTTAAATGGACAGCAGTCGCCCTCTTTCTCTGGCAGTGGTTGGTCTACTTGACATACACCATTGTCATCTACCCGCGATATGTCTCACCTCTGCGCCATCTACCCGAACCCGGTAATAATGCCTTCTTCATGGGCCAGTGGTCTAAGATTATCAGAGAGCCCTCTGGCATTCCAGCGCGCCAGTGGATAAATGAGATACCTAATGACGGTCTCATACGATATCGCCACATCTTCAACCGCGATCGCCTCCTGGTCACATCGCCCAAAGCTCTGGCTGAAGTCCTCGTTACAAAGTCCTACGACTTTGTTAAGCCAGACTTCGTCCAGACTGGCATTGGACGGATTTTGGGAATTGGCGTGCTCTTCGCAGAAGGCGATGAACACAAGAGGCAACGCAAGGCCCTTACACCCGCCTTCAGCTTTCGTCATATCAAGCAACTGTACCCCATCTTCTGGAACAAGTCTGTAGAGATGACCGATGGGATTGTCTCGGAAAGCCTAGGATCCGAAAAACCAGCAGACCTGTCTTCAGCATCTGCAATCGAGATTGGAGAATGGGCATCGAGAGCGACGTTGGACATCATTGGAGTGGCCGGCCTTGGTCAAGACTTCAATTCCATTGACAATCCAAACACCGATCTCAATCGAATCTATCGGTCCATATTCTCGCCTTCTCGGACGGGTCAGATCCTAGGACTGCTCCAGCTTTTCATCCCAGCATTTATCGTCCAAAATCTTCCCATCAAACGGAATGACGACGTCCATGCAGCTTCCCGTGTCGCCCGGGAGACCTCGATGCGTCTGATTGAAGAGAAGAAGCGCGCCCTCGCAGCCAAGCAGGAGCTGCCACCAGATATCATTTCAATTGCACTCGAATCAGGCGAATTCACCAACGAGAAGCTCGTCGACAACATGATGACGTTCCTTGCCGCAGGCCATGAAACGACAGCTTCGGCCCTTACGTGGGCACTATACCTGATGTGCAAGGTTCCCGGCACGCAAGAGAAGCTGCGCGCAGAGGTCCGCCGACACATCCCGGAGCCATCTTCGCAAATCGTCTCCACCGAGATCATCGACAACATGCCATACCTGCATGCCGTCTGTAACGAGACACTTCGCTTGTACGCACCAGTTCCGCTCACGCTTCGCGACACGCCTGCCCCCACCACCATTCTTGGACAGTACGTTCCCCGCGGCACTAAAATCATCATCTCCCCATGGGCGGTCAACTACAGCAAAGAGCTGTGGGGTGAAGATGCCGAGGAATTCAAGCCGGAACGTTGGATGGCGCCTGGTCAGGCAAATGCCGGTGGCGCAAGTAGCAACTACAGTTTTCTGACTTTCTTGCACGGACCAAGAAGCTGCATTGGTGAGAGATTCGCCAAAGCAGAGTTGGCGGCGCTGCTCGGAGCGTTCGTGGGCAGGTTTGAGTTTGAGATGAAGAACCCAGAGGAGCTTGAGCGCATACAGATCAAGGGAGGTGTGACAGCCCGGCCAAAGGACGGTCTCTGGCTCAGAGTGAGGGAGGTCGGCGGGTGGTGAAGTCAGTAGATATGATGCGATCTCCAGTTTCGCACTGGCTGTAGTGAGCCGCAAATGCCAAACCTCTTTCAATCAAGATCAATGCCTGACATAGATATTGCTTGGGCTGCCATCACAGGTTGCACTGACATGGATAAGCTCCCATAGTCTCACCGCTGGTTTCCTCCCCCAGATACATAAACCCATCTAGTCATGCGAAATCGTTCCACTCTGGTCCAGAGCCAAGGCTGTAGTAGAATGCCATTCTGAGAGACGCCTCATTCAGGCGTAAGGCATACATTCTGGTACGGAGTTAGTTTGATATATCTCCGCTCGCGCCTTCCTTCCAGGCCCAGCATCAACTTTTGATCTCTCTTTCAGCACACCCTCTGCCACAAACTTCCTTTTCGCAGTCCAGTTCGTCGGGCCACGCCGCTCCGAGTATCTGCACCCGAGATGCCCGCCCCGCACGGGTCTAAACGTGTGCGCGGCGTGCAGATCCACCGTCCTTTCATCTACGGCACCGAAGCCATTCCCTTCGACCCCGCCAACCGGCCGAAAGACGCGCCTCCAGACCACACACACAAATGGAAGGTCTTTGTGCGCGGCATCAACAATGAAGACATCAGCTACTGGCTGCGGCGCGTGCAGTTCAAACTGCACGATACCTATGCGAACTCAGTCAGGATGATAGAGGGTCCGCCCTTCGAAGTTGAAGAGACGGGCTGGGGCGAATTTGAGATCGCCATCAAATTCTACTTTGCGCCGGAGAGTAACGAGAAGCCGCAGCAGATCTGGCATGCACTGAAGCTGCATCCTTACCAAGGCGATGTGGAGAAGCAGAAGTTGGAGCGGGCAATTGTGCGCAGCATATGTTACGAGGAAGTGCTGTTCAATGAGCCCTTGGATGTCTTTTACGAGGCTCTTACGGGAGGACCTCAGAATACCAAAGGCAAGGGGAAGGGCAAGGCGGCCAACAAGGCGAACACGGCTGAGATTCCCGACCGTAACAGTCCTGGGAACAAGTTCAGCAGGGAAGAGGAGAGTAAGGAACTAGATCGCCTGGGTGAAGCGGTCAGGAAGGTCGAGAAGATGGTGCAGGAAGAAAAGGTGAGACTCGTTGAGGACGAGAAGAAGTTGCAGGAGTTGGAACGAACTGAGGGCAAGCCTGTGAAGAAGAAGTGAGGTCAGAGTACATGATGAGGGTCATCAGTTGCCGTCATACCGCAGCCCTCTCGAGTTCAGGTTCAAGGCGCACTGGAGGCCTACTCTGCTCTTATCCCAGACCAGCAGAGCATCTCCGGTCTGCACGATAGGAGTTCGTCCTCAGCATCCTCTCCACAAAGCCTCAGCTCCATCGACATGAACTCGCCTGCCTCGCATCAGAGCCACCAGTCAGTCCTAGGCGGGTTGTCGTTCCCTTCGCACTGGCATGGCAACAATCGCCTTTGCGATCGTCTCCTCGCCGTCCCCATCGCCACACCGCCTTGGCCAAAACACTCTATACGTGCCTACGGGGCAACGGCTGAAGGAGAACCGGGAATTTCTGCTGTCGAGACCGTGGATGCGTGGTCTTAGAGGTTCGATAGACGCGATATTCAAGGCTGAGCCTGAGACCTATCCGAGGCCTGCTCAGATGCAAGCCACTACACGCTGCAGGGGCACACCATGCAGCTAAGCGCTCCGTTTGAGTGGATATCGTCGAGCCTTTCCACTCAATCGGGCTCAATTCAGTTACTTCGAACCTGCTGTTGAGATCCCAACGCTCAGGAAGATACTGCGATTCGAGGCCTGGGGATTACGATGGCGGAGTGGAAGTGCTTGACGTGCTTTGTGTGCGTTCAGCCTGCCCTTCTATGCGACATTGTTGTGTGGAAGCAATATTCGAAATGACCTCAGCAGTAGCCGAGCAGCAGTTTCACTCGACTCTTGCCAAAACTTGGTTCTCAGGATCAGCACTCTGTTGCTCGACTTGGCCCCTCAATGTTCAGAGAGCTTCATCACAAGACTATAGGGACGGGGGGAACAAAACGTCTGGATCTGTTTCTCTCGCAGCATTCAAGCATCGGCTCAATCCATCTTGTGGTCCAAGTGCGCACAATGCGGCGGTCGAAATCCGAAGATCTCTGCATGCTAACAATGTCGAGCTTGTATTCCAGAACACCCTGATTCGACACGTGATGTTACTACGCATCAGAGCCTCCAGCCAGCCTCTCACGCCGTGGTTATTGGCGGAAGAAGAGTATCTCGATCAAGAGCACGACAGAGTCAGACTGCACACCACAAGAAGAGGCACACCGTGGTATCTGTATAGACCGGCTCAATACCTCTTGTTCCGGATCGAGCAAATTAAAGCGAAGCCTTCAATCTCCCTCCTTCTTCTACCAGTCCCACCACATGCTCTGCAACGCCCCAGCTCAGCTCAAAGCCCCTACCCCCAGCACCGTACCCATGCACCACCGTCTTTCCACCCCCTACATCCTCGCTCTCGATCCGCAGCCCACCCTCCCTCCACGGCCTCCTCCCCACCACATCCCTCACCACCTCTTCAGCGCCCAACCCATGCGCAAACTCCGGGAAACACTCTCTCGCCCTCCTCAACAACCGCTCCCGCGTCTCCACCCTCACCTCCCCCTCCCAATCCCCCACCTCCTTCGTCCCACCCACAATGGTGCCCCCACCTCCGGGCCTGGGAATCAAGAAACTCCAACTCCCATCCCCGCACTGCCGCGTAACCGTCTTGTCAAACTCCCGCCGCACCAGCACCGTCTGGCCCCTGATGATCCCCACCTTCGCATCCCCGTCGAAATTCCGCCCGCTGCAGTTCACGACCGTGCGCGCCCCCGGAAAACCCAACTTCTCCGCCGCGCCGAACGCGGCTTTCGCGTTGGGGAGCCGGTGCCGCAGCACGCGGGCGCCGCGCTTCTGGCATTCCCGCAACAGCCAGCGCAGGTACAGCGGCGTGTTGACGCAGTAGGTGTCGTAGGCGCAGCCCCACTGCACGTCGGGGGGCAGCTCCGAGGTAGCCAAGATGCGGAAGTTGTCGGTGGGGGAGGCGTAGGTGTCGCCGGTGCGCAGGGCGAGTTCGCCCGGGCCGGGCCGCTCCAGATACTCGATTGCGGGGAGGAGGGCGAGGCCCGTGGTCGAGGGGTGGTGCGTGGAGGCGAGGCGCTGCATGGTGGTGGCGGTGGAGAGGGCGAGGGTCCGCTCTGAGGCGAGTTGTGGCGTGGTGGCGGGGATGGGGCGGTAGTGGGCGCCCGCCCAGGGGGAGGCGTAGTCGGGCGTGTAGTGCGATTGGGGGTCTGTGGGCAGTTCGGTGGCGATGATGAGGAGGGGCGTGCTGGGGTGGCGGGTTTGGAGTGTGTGCGCGACGGAGAGGCCGAGGACGCCGGCGCCGATGACTATGATGGGGTCGGGAGGGGACATGGTTGTTGAAAAGAGGGTTGGGTATAGGGGAAGAGGTGACCTGTGGATTTTCGAGTGATGGGCGAGGGATATGTGCTCGGGATGTTGTATATCGGTGGAGGAAGCCGATGCCGAAGTCGGTACGGAGAAGCCGGTTATCAGTGCTGGGCTGCACCGGTCCGTCTACCTGCTCACCATGAGACCGGCGTGCGTGGACTTATATACAGTGGCGTGAGACAGGACTCATCGCTGCAAGCTTTGCGTGTTTCTAGAATGGCATCTCGCGATTTTCGAACAAGGGCAAAGGGCGATCTCGAAGGCTGTTTAGAAGTGGGGCAATCGCAACGATCGCCGCCTTGTGGACGCCCTGTCGCATGGACGCCTTGTTACAAATTTGGGTCGCGCACGCGATGACGAGGTGACTCTAGCGACAATCCTGCTATGGATAGCTCATAGGGATCTTTGAGGCTGGGGCCAGGCTTGTGCACGCGATGTGTCTGATGCTGTGCGATCAAAATCGCATCAGAAGTCTTTCTATCCGACATCATAATCGGTTAGCCATGAAAAGCCAAAGTCTCCCCAAATCGAAAAGTGTTGCTCGGTTGCCAGCTATGGACCACGCTCACGTTCCTACAGCTTCTCAATGCCCCTTTCCTATCACAGGGCGGTACCTCTTTCGAATGCTTCCCGGATTCCAACCGTATACCTGTCGTAGAACCTCCCTAACTTCGCGTTGAATTGCTTGTTCTTTTCGTTGATATAACTGACATCTCCTTCGTCCACGCCGCCTCTTCTATCCTTTCTTTTCTTCAGCCTCACTTCTTCGGCCTTTCTCAAATCCTCTACCAAGCGATCCACGTTCTGTTTGTTCGGCTTCTGCTCGACGAAGCCCGTGCTATCCTCGGTGGCATAGAATCTGCCATCATTATCAATGGCCACCATCTCTCCGTTCTCGAGTTCCACGATTTCCAGATCACCCTGTCGTGCCGCCCGCTCCAACATCGCTTTCTTGCTAGCGTCGTACTCGGCTTTTGCGCGTCCACTTGACTTTTCCAACTCCCTAACTTGTCGGTCATAAATCTTCCCCGCTTCTGCGCCGTAGTCTTGAAACGCGTTGTTGTCTCGCCGGGACTTTCTCTCCGCCATTCGCTCGTCCCATCTTTCGCTCTCCTCGATCGTGTAATCCCAGGCGCGCTTGCGTTCAAAGGCCCCCTTGCCATCCGACTCCTCAGTTTCGGCTTGAAGTAGCTTGTGCCGCGCAATGTCTGAGCGTCGAGAGAGGTTGTTGAGCAGATTTTGGTCGACGGCGCCACGGGCGGCTTCGTCTTGTGCGGCTTGGAGATTCGATCGTGCAGAATCTGTTGCACGAGCCTTGAGGGCGGCGAAGCGAGCGGCGCGATCTGAAGAAGCTGCTGCAGGTTTCGAGGCTGTTTTTGCATCTGTTGTAGAGGGCTCCTCGCTCAAGGCTGGGGGCTCCGACGCGACTGAGGCTTCCGCGGGCACATTCTCACTGGCTTCTACGGGCGACTTAGGCGATGTGCCGTCTGCGGCGTCTAATTGTTCATTTGAGACCGGCGTGATCTTGCGCTTCTTTGCGGGAGACACCATGGTGTCGTACTGGGTCTCGAACTGCGTGTCGGGAGCCTTAGTATATCCGTTTCAGCTCGTTCTTGCTCGAGTCTCAAGGTGTCATGAATGCAATCCCGTGATTTGGTGGTGCTTGCGGAGAGTCAAAGACAATACCGACTTGGTTTCAAGACGGAAATTCCTGAACGGAAGGTTTGCCGAGCTGCCGCATGAGGTCACCATCGAAGTTGAACAATTTCTACACATCAGTCCACTCGAGCAATCCACTGCTCCGAGCACGACCGGAGAGCGAGTGAAGCTACCGGAATACCTGTCATACCATGTCTACAGCGGCAAAGAAGAAAATCGTTGTTGCTGGGGGCAATGGCTTCTTGGGCTCGCGAATCTGCAAGTCCGCGGTAGCACGGGGATGGGATGTGACTTCAATAAGGTAGACGGCTTTCTACTACATGGTCCACATCACTGATAATCCTCAGTCGCTCCGGCGAGCCGAGCTGGTCCTCCGTCTCTTCCTCTCCAGATCCTCCCCCGTGGTCCAGATCGGTGACTTGGGCGACCGGTGACATACTCAAACCCACGACATACAACTCCCACCTCGCCTCTGCCAATGCCGTCGTGCACACCATGGGCATCCTCCTCGAAGCCGATTACAAAGGCGTTCTGCAGGGAAAAGAGTCTCCTATCGCCGGTCTCCAACGCGCTTTCTCCTCCTACAAAGCTGGCTCCGCAGTCAATCCACTTGAGCGCAAGTCCGGAGAAGATTTAGGCAAAGGTGAGAAAGATGGACAGCTTACATACGAGTTGATGAACCGGGACAGCGCGATCGCGTTGGCTCAAGAGGCTCAAGAGCAAGGCGCGGGTTGCTTTGTCTATATCAGTGCTATGGCTGGAGCGCCCGTGCTGCCAGGACGCTACATCACAACGAAGAGGGAGGCGGAAGACGCAATTGCCAGTAACATGGTGAAGATGCGGAATGTGTTCTTGCGGCCTCCTTTCTTGTATGATTCGAGTCGGAAATTCACATTGCCGATTGCAGCATCTGGGGCTGTGGGCAACACGGTGAACGAGCTGGTCGGCGGCAGGTTAACGAGCATATTCGGTGCAGCGGTGGAGAAACCTCTGAAAGCGGATCTGGTAGCAGAGGCGGTGGTCGAGGCGATCGCGGACGAGGTAACAAAGGGTATCGTGGACCGGAAGAGCATTGAAGCATTGGCCGCAAAGGCATGGCGGAAGACAATGCTGTGAGGTGAACGCTTGTACTAATACTGGACATCGCATCTCGACACACTGATCGATTGTAAGCTTATCAAAATGGGAGAATGGCAGCAGGGGCCCATCCAGGGCAAAAGATCGGGCTGTTGGAACACGTGGTAGTTTGATCCGATTAGATTCATTGCTCTGGCTCTTATGGGGTACACTGTGGCAACCGCTTCCACGTTTCTACCGTACACACAGCTCTTCGTCGAAATCGAGATTGCTCCAACGCCACGCACAATCCCGCTATGCAAGTCGTAACGGTGGGAGCGAAGATTCTAGTCATCGTAAGACCTTCAAAGTCTACTTTTTAACACACCTCAGCCCGATGGCTACTGTTCATACATTGGATATGCCGACTTTTTGGACGACATTCGAAGATGGATAGAATGATGGGAGGCACAAGTCGAATGTTGGTGGGGAACTTCGTCAATTATAAGGGCTCTGACTTCATCTCAGGAGGCTCGAAGACGACTTTTCGCGTGATCTGTACTCGTTAGACATGGCATGTTTGAAATCAAGACAACTTACAGCCCATGCCGCGGCAATAGAACCGACAATACCTCCGGATATCACCATTTGTTTTGTGCCTTTCGTGCTTCGGAAGACCATGCCACTGAGGATGCCGGCAGCCACGCTGTTCGTGGTGTCATGCTTTCCTCGATAATAGCCAATTGTAGAGTTGATGCCATTGTAGCACATAGCGACGACACCCGCAGAGTTTCCCAAGAACGGTCCTCGCCTTGTCACAGAATTTAGAACACTGTTGATCCGCAACTTCGGGGGCGCGGAAGCTGGGACTCTGTTCAGGCCTTCGATGAGACCCCAAGCGCCACCCGTCGTCAGCGCAGCCAAGTAAACACTTCCAGTTCCATAGCAAAGATCGTCCGACCATCCTCTTGATGGCAATACTGATTGTCCACCCGGAAGTTCTGAGAGTGCTGATTCATCTAAGGAGAGGTAGTCGAGGGTCTGTTGATTCAAGCCAGCTAGGGGATGTAATTGAGATGCATCTGGCAACGACACAGAGCCTAGAAAAGAGTTTGCATCGGTTACTGTGGGAGCGTAGCCCGGCGCAGGCGCATGTTCAACGGACGTCGATGAAGGTAATTGCGATTCTGACGGAGGAGACTGTTGTTTTCTTTTACCCGTGAAGGCGTCCCAAATGGACATTTTGGCTGCCGAAGGAGATGAGGCGGACGAAAGAGGGCAGCGAAGGAAGAGACGTCGGATGATGAGATGGGAGCAACAGGAGTCGAGTCGTGGCAAGATGATCAAATTGTCGTCTCCAGCTTGCGATACAGAAAAGTTGCGCCGCGATCGTCCGCGGTAAGCGTGTTTTTCCGGAGCCGTAAGCTATTCCAAGCCTGGTCTAGTCAATATCAAAATGTCCTCGTGGGTCGAATTCACATACTGGGCCTTCGAGTAGGTCATATGCGCCTCTGCCTCTGATAAGAAGGAGCCGGAATGCCAAACACCGTAGCTCGCAATATGCTGATTGCCAGGTGCAAGGACAAGCAGCCATAGGTCATCTGAACTGAATCATCCTTTGCGATGGAACAGATTAACGCTGCCCTGGCCCACAACGGCCCTCTGGAACAGCAACTTCTCTCGAGCCTCGCAAGGAGGTCGTTGCGAGATCATTTGCAACGAGATGACCATCCAATCGCTGTCGCCGACCTCCAGCTACTGTGGAAAACATTGTCAGGCAGTGTTGTTACCCCAAACACGTCAGACTCTTATTTAGCCGCGGCTTGTAACAGCGTTTCTGTTTTCCTTCTGACTGCATCTAAGGCTCCTCAAGAAGCTGTCAGGAGCTTTGTGGAGTCTTCATCGGTCTGGAATGAAGGTTACCACTGTGTGAAGTATGCTTTTAGCTGTGGGAAAACGAAGCCGCCCCTTCAGGTGCTCGAATCTCTTGCTCATCTGCTTAAAGAGCATTCTGACCAGCCAACAGCCTCGAAACTGCTTTTCGATAGCGCCAGCTCCATGGTAAGCACAGTATTAACGGACGAGCCGGAGGGATGTCTGAAAGCATCATGCATCTCTCTGTCATGCTTCTGCAAAAAGACAACACTGCTGTCGGAATTGAACTCGGTCATCACAGCTTCTCTAGAGAAGAATACCGCTGTTTGGAAGCAGCGGCAGTTCTTATACAACGCCCCAGCCAGCCCGACCGATGGCTATACCAGTCTACAAACGCTGTTCCTGGCGCTCCTCTTCGCCATCACCAGTCTCGAAACCAGGAGTGCCGCTCTGAAACTCTTCGCCCAGCTTTGCTCCAATGACGGTGCAAGTGAGCAGGCAGCACAGGTACTTGAGCACTACATCCGTTACAACCAAGGCTCATTGAGTGACTTTGCGGATAACGTCTTACCCGTTATCTTGGATAGCGCGACTCAATTCAGGACCTTTCTCGACCTCTATTCTCCAGATAAGCTTCAATCAGAGTCTCGCCTTATACTGTATCTGGCTGTGTTGAAGGTCGGACGCTTGAAGAGCTTCGTCTCCGAGGATGGTGAGTAGGCTGTGCCATGGTCCTGCATCAGGCTCTAACGTTCGCTAGATCTGCCGTCAATTTTGAACCACGGCCTCAAACACCACGTAGTAGCGTTCGACGTCGATGATGATTCTTACCGGTGTTTCCGCGTACTCCTTCAAGCTGGAAACGGTGGGATTCGCCTCCGAGCCTACGATCTCATCACTGCGTCCTTCGCTACAAAGGCTACAATTCCTGCCGGTGTCTTGCGTTGTCTGAATGACTGTCTACGTTATCTACACGATGATAACGACGCATATGAACGAGGTGAGCTACTTGGCATCACTCGTCGCTTTTTGAAGAGACTTGATACCAGCTATACGAGTTTCGGCAAGCTGCATTCGTCAAGCAAACTGAGTGACAGCGAGGTTGTCAGGATGGGAGAATACGAGGCTTTCCTCACACAACTGAGCAGATTCTTGTCGAATGAGCTGGAGACTGGAGTATCTTATCAACGACATGTCCTTGCTTTGCAGACCTTCCAGCTCCTTCTCAGAGTCTCCTACAGGGCTTGGACGACCAATCAGCTGCTGCACTCACGTATCGAAGCATTGATTCTGGATGCATACGATGATGTGAGAGCACTGTCAGCCAGCCTTCTGTCGTCCATTTATCGCGGGAACACAACATCGGCAGAGCTCCTGGATCTCAGCCTTGTCACGAAAGTTGTTTCTCTCGCAGCTGACTCTTGCCGCCAAGATCATGCCGATGCCGCCGGCCGTATGCTTGCAGTGGCGAGGTCCGTCAAGCCGGCTAACCAGAACCACAGCGCTCATGCGGCTGCTGCATCAAGTTCCAACTCCATGGCGTTGCTGACCAAACTCGAGAATCATCTGAACACTTCTCAAGAGCTACGTTCCGACTCTCTGTTTCCATTGCATGCATACATCTTAGGTTTGGTCCACATTCATGGTGTTTTCGCGATCGAAGAAAGCGAGATCTCCAGGGTGCTACACATCTGCACGCAGATCTGGTTACTCACCCAGCCGCAATTATGCATCGACTCTCCGGAGACGGGCACGGAAGACATGGAGGATGAAGTTATAAGAGGCCCCAAAGATCTGCTGGCCTACACTTGGAGAGCACTACGAGACTCGAGCCTCCTGTTGCAGACCCTCATGAAATGGGATCAGATTCATTTTGAAGAAATCGGTGCACTGTGCCTGGAGCAACTGACGCGGCTGCGTCATCGAGGCGCCTTCTCTACAGTTGCGCAGACCTTTGCACTGTGTTGTGAGAAAGCAAGATCACATCCGGACGAAAACATTCGACGCCTTATTTCGAAATGGTACGAGAACGCCCTTGCAGAAATTGACGTCCAGGCCAGAAAAGTGACGCGGCGCTCTGCTGGCCTCCCTGCAATGTTCAACGCTATTCTCTCTCCCGACGATGCAAGATTTTTCGCAACTGCTATGTCTGCCCTAAAACAGAAAGCTAGCTTGGCAGTATCCGAAGAAGAATCCGCACGAGCAGAGCAGTCACTTCCCCAAGTGCACGCTCTCAACTGTCTCAAAGACATCATAAATCATTCCAAGTTCCGGAGCATTACAGAGCCATACTCCAGCGAAATGATCGAGCTTGCGGCGGACAAGTTATCCTCTGACCTCTGGGCCATCCGGAACTGTGGCTTGATGCTTTTGCGAGCATGCATGACGAGACTAAATCACAAAACGATAGATACAAGTCCAATATCTCATGATCCCGGATCCCGAAGTTCGCCCACCAAAAGCCCCATTGATGTGGCGATACAGCTCCTCGAGGATCTAAGAGGCGACGTGTTCACCACCGAACACTCTTCCAGGGGCTCGGAGAAGACTTTCGCTGCACTCGATCTGGTGAGACATGTCGGCTCATCGAGAGAACATGACAGATCGATACGAGACTTGATCCGACCTCATCTTGGCAGTTCGATCTGGGCCATCCGAGATCACGCCGCCAGAGTGCTGGCTGTGCGTGTAGCTCCAGGTGATGAGTGGTCAGCAATCGCCATCGAGTACGCCATGACGCCATCATTGACGGAGAACGAGCTGCACGGGCGGTTGCTATTCCTTCGCTACTCTCTCGATATCGTATTGCAGCAGGTTTGTTCGTCTGATCTCAAGCGCATTGTTCGTTCCACAAGGCTTGTGCTGGAACAAATTGCACAGCGACGTCAATTTAGGAACGTTTCGCCATTCTCCGAAGCGGCCATGTTGGACATTGTCAATATTGTTCTCAGATCTTATCTCGTTCGAGGCAGCAGCGATGAGATGAAATCGATGGCTCTCGCACTGCTCGAGCCGAATCTCGAGGTTTGTTGCCCGACATCGTTCTATCGTCAACGTCGCATGGTTCTGTTATTGAATTGTTTCCTTTTGAATGGACAGGGACAAGACAGTCTCCTGGACGACGTCTGCTGCATTGCCTCGGCCGATCTGGATGATGCGTGGTGCTTGGCAGAATATCTCGAACATCTCGTTTCAACCCTTCATGAGAATTCCAGAAATCCAGCACTAGCAGAAGCCCTAGTCCATATTATCTCTGACTTACCAATAAGCGCCTCCCTTGGGCTCCTGATGACGATAGTTGCTACATGTTTAGAAGTGTCAAAGATTGAGCTGGCCCCCAAAGCTGCTCGAGCCTTGCTACAACGATGTACCAGTATCACAGACTCACAGAGTCGGCAGTTCTTGAACGCGGTCATTCGTCTGCAAGCAGCTCTATTCAGCATCCTAGATCTCGATGACAGCGAGCCAATGTCCACGCCACTCTTGCGGACTTTGGTAAACAATCTATCCGTTGCAGCTCATGATGAGCTCGAATTTCCCACCCGACTGAACGCTGCTCATGCAGTCTCAAGCTGCATAGAGCTTGTGCTGGGGAGGCGACATCGTCCACAATCTTGCGCAGATCCGGAGATTCCCCTGCATCTATTGATGATTTTGTACGACGAGCTGAACGATGACGATGAAGAGATCCGGGAAGTGGCTCAGAGCACCGCACTCAAAGCCTTCGCTATTCTTCGAGGCGGAGACAGCTCCGCCATCAGGCTCTGCGCGCTATCCGCACGCCAATTGCTCCTTCGACTGCTGCCTCAATCGTACGGCAATAATCCAGCATTCCTGTCATTGGCAATGAGCAGGGTGGTGGGCGTTCCCGCCGTGGAAGTTCATCACGGGTCAAACTTGTTCAACCGGTCACTCGGCGATAGGGTTGGCCGTGTACTCACAGGAATGAACAATCTCTTCGCAGAAGAAAGACAGAATCTGTACGTCGACGAGCTGCAAGAGATCGCAGACTGGAGCTGTACACTGCAAGAGTGCAACGACAAGGCGTTCTCGCCAAACCTCTGGTCAGAAGCCGCCAGATGGTCGGTGACTGGAATTGAGTACCTGAGGTCGACTCCCTCCATCCGAAGTGGTGGTTCTGAAGGCTTGAAGACTGTAGGCCTCACCTTTAACAGTGACATTCTGGAACTGTGCATGAGAGTCATCCACCTAAGCAAGGCACTGGTATCCTTCAATGTAAAGGCTGCAGATCAGGCGAGTGCACAAGAAGTGATGGCTCTGCGGGAAGCGCTTGTCTCCCAATTGAGCGCCTGGCAAAGAACATTGCACAAAACCCATGCTCATCCATTGCTCGCGGCAACCATCTGTAATAATGGGTAAAGTCTGGCACCTGATACCTTCGATGCCCGCTACCAGCATGCTACAGTTCTGACTCCTAACTTGATAACTCACCAAAAAACCCTACACTCGAGTTCAGTGGAGATCTGTAAGACTCCAGAGACCAACCGTGAGCTACTCGAAAGCACTCTCCTCATATCAACTGACCACATAAGCAGGAACGAAAGTCTGCTACTCGACGCCAGGCCGCATCAATTGAAATGGACGGAAACATGGCTATCCTCGTCTGCCTCCTGGTCATCACACCCCTGTGCATTTACGGGGGTTGGAAGTTCTGGAAGTGGTACGCCATGCAAGCTAGCTGGCAGGCTTTCCTTACAGACCAGGCACGAATCCGCACGGGAGGAGGTTCGGTGGTGAACCTGCAGGTCACCGATCAACGTCAGCTCCCCCAAAATACTGTCTGAATCATCCGTTGATAAATAGGGGACGCTTGTGACGAATAAGAACGAACATCAAGAGGCTGGGGGAGGTGGCTCCGAACCAACCACGAGAGTATCACAAGAGCAGTCGAGAAGGCCTCTTCAAGGCGATCAAAGTAGAAAGTCAAAGATAGAAGTTGCAGCTGTTCTCTCTGACCTGAATATGAAAACGCACTCCTGCCCAGTTCTTGACCCGCACATCTGCCTTCATCGCAACTTCTCTTTTCCACAAACAAAGTCATCATCTTGCATCATCCCTCACATCCCATCATCATGGACCCTACTCTGTCGTCGACCTTCTGGTCCAGCGCGCGGCTGTCATCGACCTCCACATCGAGCACTACAACCACAACCTCGACGACAACCACCACGACCAACCCTTCCCTCACCAGCAACAGCGACGTCAGTACTTTGATCATCAACACAGTACCCCCCACAACCCTTACCACCCGAACCGTCGGCTATGCCACGACCCTCACCTCCGCCCGACTGCCGCCGATCAGCATCATCTTCGTCCCTCCGCCTGAGCCAACTAAAACTGTAGTCCACACCGCAGTCGGAACTCTCGGACCCACTACCACCCTCACCTGCACCCAAGTCGAGGCTACCTACTATTATGCCGACTTCGCTGGCTCCGTCTACAGCACAAGCACCCAGGACTTCATCTACGGACCGGCATCGACATCATACACCGCAGGCGAGAATAATTTCAACGATTCTGGCGGTGGTGGGGCTTTCAACAACTGGTCCGCTGGTGCCAAAGCCGGACTGATCGTTGGTGTGGTGCTCGCAGCCTTCATCCTGCTGTGGCTTTGCGTGTGTTGCTACAAGAGGAATGCGAGGTGGGTGGCTCATGATTGGCGTTGGGCCGGTGCTGTCGAGGGCAGTGTGCCAGGTGCGGCTAAGGCGAACATGATGCACGGCACAGGTGTCATCACGAGTCCCGTCACCACTATCGTCACGCCGAGCTATGGCTATACGTCGCGGATGCCGCCAGCGTACCTCAGAGGCGGCAGGGACGTAAGCAAGGGGTTCTGGGGTAGGGTTAAAGATCTAGTAACAGACTGGATGATGAAAAGAGAGTTGAAGAAGGCGGTCGCCAAAGGTTTGACAGACTATCAGGCTGAGCAAGGTGTCGAGGGTGAGCGGCCGGCCTTCTATTGCCCTCCTACCAGTCAGTCTGCCACGCCGATTCGGGTCCTGAGGGAAATGCGGCAAGCCAGCGCTGAGCGTGAGGCGAAGATCGCGAGAGTCTGAACGGACGATGTTCAAGGGTTCGACACGGCGCGGTGTGGTTGTGCTGACAGGACGCATGCCTCTCAATTCACAAGAGCAGATCATGGGCCAGATATACTAGTGACTAGATCGTAATAGCTCTATGCCAATCAACAAAGTCGTAGCCTTGCGAATGATCACTGCTGGTTATAGTCAAGGCCATAAAGTCGGGACCTTGGTCCAAGACCATCGCGTAGAGGCGTTGCAGAGCCATCATAAGTTTGTCGTGCTTTCTGTGTTGTTCAACGGCACAGTGGTAACGCCCCAGTGGTGCACATGCTTCATCTGAATCTGTACCTTTCAAGCCCGAAATATAAGGAGATTGCCTGGCGATACACCAGAGGAGTACTCAAAGTTCAAAACCTCCGGGCGGCTCTTCTGGACCGAGGGGCCTCCCAGCATTAAGTTCGACCCCCTCCAAGTCACCCTAAAAATTGCGTACGTCTGACAAGTGAATGAGGTTCTATTCAGCTGAGACTTGTTTGCTCGCCTACACAGAATGATACTCACCGCAAGCTCACCTAGGGAACAGACGGTGTCTTTGTTAGGACCAACGTGGTTCATCCTCTCATCTGCGGCTCATATTCACTGTCCTCAACCGCCGGCCGACTTGCCACCGAGCTTGCTGTAGCACACAGAAACTGGCAAGTCAGCCGAACGCTAGTGATTTATTCACGCACAAACAGAACACCATGGTCCTCTGCCTGCGCTTCAGAAAGTCTTCACGTTTGCACATACCAGGCACAGCCACCACCTGCAACCAGAGCCATGCCATTCGGACGACGCAACGGAGGGCGAACCGGTTTCGGACTCAACTGGTTGATGGAAACATTCGCCGACCCGCACGCAAAGATCTTTGACAAGATTTTCCCCAGAGCAGTGCAGAAGGAGAGCGACGTTGAGAAAGGAGAGGAAGACAAGACCCCTGTCAACGCCGAGCCGTCAGAACAAGCTCCTGCATCCAGCGATCCCAAGAAGGATCCCGAGCCAATCACCCCGCCGGCTGCCGAGACTCCACAGGTTGACGTAGCGGAATCGACAACTGCTCTGCCTACCGCGACCAACGCCGACTCGTCGGACGAATCGCTATTCATAGTTCACCACTGCTACAGATCCAGACTCTCCGACATCGAGGAAGTCGACGAGCCAGAGGAGGAGTCCAAGCGCCGTGGAAGCAGCAGCCGGGTGGCCGCTGCGCGCAAGTAGCCAAGATGTGGCAGGACGAGGAAGACAACAACCCGCATGGCTTCTCTTACAACCCTTCTGACTCGGCTGCGGTCAACCCTGCTCAGAACCCATCGTGTAAGCCTTACTGAACCATCGCGCAAGGCATAGAGCTAACATTCAGACTAGTTGGCGACCAACCTTCATCCCCACCCAGCTTGCAGCCCGAGTACGACTCTCGACCCGCCGACCTAAGTGACGATGATGAAGCGGAATACAGCAAGCAGCAGCAATCTAGTCAGCTTCCTAGGAAAGGTGGCTATGATGGCCGAATCCAGCAGATCCTCTACGAGAACTCGGACCTCGAAATACTCATAATTGACGCCGGAAAGGCTCCGCATGGAAACTACATTGAATACCGCATACGTACAGGAGTATGACAGACCACATTGCTCGCTCACATCTAGCTGACGCACAAACAGGACATTGAGGTGACCCGACGGTATTCCGACTTCGATTCCCTGCGCAAAGCGCTTGTCAGCCTCCATCCTACCATCATCATCCCACCCATCCCTGAGAAGCACACTATGGCCGATTACGCGGCTAAGCCTACCAAAGCCAAAGAAGACCCAGGCACCATTGATCAGCGAAAGCGAATGCTGGCAGTTTTCCTCAATCGATGCCGTCGCATTGGTGCTGTATTAGACGACGGGGTGTATTGGCGATTCCTCGATCCAAACTCAAGCTGGGTAATGCTACCAAGCGCAAACATCCTGCCACAAGGCTAATATGTGTCAGAACGAGGTCATCAATTCGCATCCTGTGTCATCGGTCCCCAAGAACATCCTCAAAGCTCCTCCACTTGACCCTGCTAATCCTACCCCCGCCCACACTTGGTTGCCTGTACCATCATCGTCCGCCAAGCTTAAGTCTACCGGACCAGCTTCAAATAGTGGCGCTCCTACATCCCCAACCGGCCAGTCCGCATATCCCTCGGCGGCAGCTCATACTTCGGCTGGACCACAAGTCTTTGGCCGGTTTCCTCCAAATCCGGAGAGACTCAACGAGTCCGAGCTCGATCCCTATTTCTCCAATTTCGAAGCTTCCACGCGAGAGACCGAAATTCTTATGTCGGGGAGCATCGATAAGACCAATCGCCGCACTATCGAGCATCTGACCAAGTACGCTGGTGATCATGAGAAACTCGGTGCTCGCTTCAACGCATTCGCCCTGTCCGAGCCGCACCCAACTGTTGCAGCTGCACTGGAGAAAGTCGGACAAGCTGTCGATACTACTTACCTTGCTACGGAAGAGCTCGCCATGAACCTAGGAGCAAATTTTGCCGAGCCCATGCGAGAAAGTACACAATTTGCAGGGGCTGTCACGAAGAACTTGGGTTACCGAACCTCCAAGCGAGTACAGCTTGAGATGACTAAGGATGAGCTAGAGAAGAGCAAACATATGCTCGACGCCTTAGAGCGCAGTGAGCTGGAAGCTAAGCGCATTGACGCCTATCTTTCTCAGAGCACCACCATGAGTCCACCACGCCGATCTCCTTCTAATGCCTCGTCAAAGGCTGCTCCATCTCACAATGAGGGCTCTGAAGAAACTGCATCAGTTGACTCAGATTTTCCACCAACGCATAGCGATGCCCCTTCCTCGCCACCCTCGGCCGGCCAAGGTCAGCCTGAAGGCCCTACATCGCCAATGAGTTCGCACCGTAAAACCCAGAGTGGGAACTTCATCACCAACAAAGTCTTCGGTGGGTTCCGCCACGCCATGAATGGATTTGCCGATGTAGATCCCGAACGTAATAGGCGAGACCAAATTGGTAAGACGAGGGAGAAGTTAGTACAGCTGGAGCAAGCACTTCAAGTTTCGGAAAAGGACACGAAAGATGCCTCTCAGGCAGTCATGCAAGATCTAAAGCGCTTCCAGGGCGAGAAGGAGGAAGACTTGCAGAGATACATGGTGAGCTCTACTGTCCCCATCCCGAGATATCTACTGACATGTCCGAGATTGCCTTTGCGAGAGATCAGATCCTATGGGCGAAGAAGTGTCAGGAAGGATGGAAGGAAGCCAAGGAGGAAGTCGACAAGATTGTTGCACGTTGACACGTGACGGATGGTTCCAAATTGGGTCCAGCAACAGGGAAACAACTCTGGTAAAGTGTCGTCGAACTGCCGAGCCTCCTACGGAGCCAGAAGGTGATCACATGGAGAGACACTTTCTCGACTACAGCCGAATCTGGCCAGGTGGTTTGTCAAAAGCACTACCGGGAGTAGCAAGCACAGGATACTAGTAGCCGGATGCTGCCTTGCTCAGGCAGTACGAGCTTAATGATTTGAAGTCCATGTGCACAAACGAACAGACTCAGTTCACATCAGTGACAAGGTCATGACTGGATATAGTGACTATTTTATTGGTGCCATAGCGAAGGGGCGCAAGTGCCCTCTTAGTGCAGGCAGCCGGTAGCCGCAACTGTCACTCCGGATGCACAAAAATAGCGGAATCATCAATAGCTTGACGCTACTCTTCCATCATACAGATCATCGCTGAAGAGCATTGTTTATAAGACATCCGCCATTATTCAACTATTTGTTGGAGGGGCGGTCGTTTTAACGTGGGTCACCAAGAAGGCGGAATTCTGCAAGGGCAGAACCCCATCGATCAGCGACGCAAAGATTGCCCACCACCACCAAGTTCTGAGCCGCCTCACTCTTTGCAATCCGCCCCGGTACTTTAACATACGCCGATGGTGTCAGCTTCTCCAGTCTGGCTCCTCTGCGCCTCTCTTCCACCGGACTTTGCCTCTTAGCCTTCAGAGGAGCATGACCAGCTCAGACCAGGAAAAGCAAACAGAGCCGCACCTACCAAGAGATGATTTAACCCGACTGCGCTCCGCCTCCCCCGCCATCAAGCGTCCTGCTTCCGACATGGGGGCCCAGGACCGAGAAGAACATACCAACGACGTTGAAATGAGCAATGCTCCTGGTCCCAGCTTCGTCATCACTTCCGAACCTCAGACTTCCGACCTCAAGGCAAAACAGCAAGATACTGGCAAAACTCATCATGACCGTAATACTATGACCCAGGCACCACATGCCAGCCACCCTGGCGCTGTGCAGCAAGATGCTCCCTCCGAGAGCAACGGCTCTTCATTGTCTGACTCGCTTCTGCCCACACCATCCTCCAATTCCACAACGGCTACTTCAATAGTGACGCCCGAAATCCCACCGACTTGCACAGACCTCCCTTCTTTCGATGACCAGGATACCAAAATCAGGGAACTGGCTGAGAGGAAAAAATCCGAAGGGCAGAAAGGATTCGTGGTCTCTACAAAATGGTGGAACCGGGTACAGGCCCGTCGGTCGCACACGGACGCAAAGGTAGACAAAGATGCGGCCGAAGGAGAGATTGGCCCGATTGACAACTCGAATCTTGCTATGGTTACCGAAGACTCGAGCAAGCTATTCGATCTAGCTGACGATAAGTTCGTCGTTCTGAAACCAGGCCTCCGCTACGACGAAGACTACATCATTGTTCCGCAGGATGGCTGGGATCTTTTAGTATCTTGGTACGGTTCTGCAAAGGACTCTCCGGTCATCACACGCTATGCCTACGATACAAATGGAGAAGACGCCTTGTCTCCCAATGTCGATTGGGAGCTTGAACCGCCTATCTTTACCTTTCTGAAAGTACCGGCTGAGCACACTCCGCAGACCCAAAAGCAAACGTCACTTCCGCCTCCAAAGATGGTCGCCAGCAAGTATATGTTGGCCAACGAGTGGCTGAAGCGAGCGAAGCAGCTCGTCCACATCGATCTGAAGACCAAGGTTCGCCCATGGCGTATACTAGGTGGATTGAAGAGTCACGCTGCTTCTGGGCTTCCCTCGCCTGCCGCATCTAGGAGCTCTTCTCCGGCGCCCGGTACGGAGATGGTTGCTACTGTTCCAGACAAGATGCTGCTCGATGTTAACACTTTCGTTGCGCTGCCTTCGGGTGAGCACCGGGACGAGATGACTATGGAAGATAACACCGCCAACGAGAAATACAATGGTAAATCCAAACTTAGCATGTTCACTGGGAGAAGCGATCTCGTCGCTCTTGAAGAACAAAAGAAGGGTGGCGACTGGCCTAGCGAAACCAGTCGTTTATCCTTGCCGAAGAATCTGAAGGACAAAGCCAAAGGCTTGACACCCAGTGGCAGAACAAGTCCCGCTCCAGGTGTGACAACTCGTGGCAGAACGCGCAGAGAAGGCCGACCGAAAGGCAACATCGGCCTGACCAATCTTGGCAATACCTGCTACATGAATTCGGCACTGCAGAGTATCAGAAGTGTGCAGGAATTGACAGAGTACTTCTTGTCCGATATGTGGGCTAAAGAGCTGAACAAGAAGAACCCTCTTGGTCACAACGGCAACGTTGCCAAAGCTTATGCCAACCTGGTCAAGAATATCTTTGAAGAACGAGCAGGGGGTGCTTTCACTCCTCGGGACTTTAAGCACACTATTGGCAAGTACAACCCCAGTTTTGCAGGCTACGGGCAGCAAGATTCACAAGAATTCCTTCTGTTCCTGTTGGATGGCCTGTCGGAAGATTTGAACCGCATCCACAATAAGCCTTACATCGAGAAGCCTGATTCGACCGACGAGATGGTGCACGATCATGCAGCGCTGAAAGCGTTTGCAGACCGAAATTGGGCTGATTACAAAGCCCGGAACGATTCAATCATCACTGATCTTTTTGCTGGCATGTACAAGTCCACGTTGACTTGTCCAGTCTGTGAGAAAGTCAGTATCATCTTTGACCCTTTCAGCAACCTCACCTTGCAGCTGCCAATCGAAAGCACCTGGTCCAAGCTATGCGTATTCTTACCTTTGCATGGCCGACCGATGAATATTGAGGTTGAGGTGGACAAGCATGCCACGATGCAAGGCATGAAGGAATTCGTGTCCAAACGCACCGGTGTTGCTGCCGAACGCTTGATCATTGCGGAGGGTTACAAATGCAAGTTTTACAAGATCTTCGACAATCCCATGGTCATCTCAGAGGCCAACATCCACGTACAGAACGATGTCATCTTCATCATGGAAGTAGAAGATGTACCTACCAACTACAATCCGAACAAGAAACAGGTGTACAGCATGTTCGGCTCGAGTACACAGTCGGACGAGATCGTCGACCCGGAGTCTGCAGGCGCAGACAAGCTATTGGTGCCTGTATTCCATCGATACATCAAGAACGCCAATGACCCCAAACGCCTATCTCAGCGACCCTTTTTCGGCTACGCCAGCTTCGTGGTCCTAGACCGGGAGGACAACAAGACGTATGACGGTGTCCTACGAAAAGTCCTTGGCAATGTGGCAGGAATGACAACCCGAAATATCTTTGAAGAAGTTGGTGAAGATGACAGCTCCGATGCAGTCGAGGTCAACGACGACAGCTCAAGATCAGGCACCAACACCAACGAAGATGGCTTTGTGGACGTGTCAATGCGTGATGCATCGGTGGCGCCTGAATCTACCGACAGCGAGAGTGCTGCACTTGATCGCTTTCTCAAATCAGATAAGCCAATTCCCGAAGCTTTGAAGAGCTTGTTTGACATCTGTGTCAAGTCTACTGGAGAAGGCATCCCGACGGGTTGGAACCAGGTCTCTGAGCACGATGACTTCACAAGTATCCGCAGTCGCATTCCGAAAAAGCCAAAATCGCGACCTGCTCGATCATCAACCACAAGTGATGAAGATGCTGAGTCAGAAGCAAGTGAAGACCTAGGTGACATTCCCCACGACGCCTCTACACCCGGAAGTGATGAGGGTGCCTCAGAGGCTTCGGAAAACACACCCATGGCTTCGCTCGAGGACAATGATGATGATACTGCAGCCATGTTCGGTGGCTTCAAAGCTCAGAACCGCAACAAGCATGACAATCGCAAGGTTTATCGACGGAAAGGCAAGATTATTCAAGGGCAGCGCACCCAACAACGTGAGCCGGTCAGAGTTCGGCAACAGCCCACACCACCAGATACCGACATTGACATGCTTGTGCGTCCAGGCGAATGCATTGTGCTTGACTGGAATCTCGCGGCTCACGATGCTTTATTTGGAGGTGAACCGACAGCACAGGATGAAGACGAGCCAAGAGGTATTCCAACCTGGCGGTTTGATATTCCTACTATTGAGGATCCTGAGCTCCAGAACAAGCGCAAAGTTCGGGCTGCTCGCAAGAAGAATGGTGTCAGCTTAGAGGACTGCTTGAATGAGTTCGGCAAGCCCGAGACACTTTCCGAGCAAAACATGTGGTACTGTCCGCGTTGCAAGGAGCACCGTCGAGCCGAGAAGAAGTTTGAGCTTTGGAAGGCACCAGATATCCTCATTATGCACTTGAAGCGATTCAGCTCTCAACGAAATTTCCGGGACAAACTTGAGATATTCGTCGAGTATCCTGTCGAAGGCCTTGATATCACGAAGTACGTCCAAAACCCGGAGGAGGGCAAGGAGCTCGTTTACGATTTGATCGCAGTCGACAACCACTACGGCGGCTTGGGAGGTGGTCATTACACGGCTAACGGCAAGAACTTCTACAACGGCGAGTGGTATGACTACAATGGTAAGCAGAACACTAGTGTACACTGGATCTACGCTAACAACTGTACAGACAGCCATGTCTCCCGTCGAGAATCGGACAAGGTGGTCACTCCTCACGCGTACATTCTCTTCTATCGCCGCCGCAGTAATCCCCCCCATGCTCCTCTAGGCGGGTCTAAAATGGAGGAGCTGTACGAATCAATGAACAATGAGCACGACTCGGATATGGCCAACTCGCGCGATCCCTCGCCAGGTGCGGGGGAAGGCCGGCGTCTCGGCGACTCCTCCCACAATGGGTCGTCGGGGCCTGGCGCAGTAGGAGCAGCTCACCAATCGGGAGTTGGTGGCCTGGAAATGGGAAACCAAAATCGCGGTCTGCAAGCCGGGATGACAGAGGAGGACGAAACGCAGGAGACGACCATCACGACGAATGAGCTCGAGGACGAAGGTCTTGGAGAAGACGTTCCACCGTATGGTTCAGACCTGGTATGGACTGAGACGCCAGGATGGGGTTTTGACATCTTGAACGCCACGAACGAACCAGGGCAGCAGCCCAATAACTCTGATAACGATGAAATGTTTGGCGATGCAGATGCTGGGAGCAACAGCAGTACGAGAGTAGCCGGCGCTGGCAGTGAGGTGGCCGATGAAGACCTACCAATGTTCTCGGACGATATGGAGCAGGATACCAGGATGAGGGGTATAAGAGAAAGTGCGCCTCCTCCAGGGACAGAGGATGTTGTTGTCGACACAGGCGTTGGAGAAGCCGACGACGAAGACGATGAACTGCCGGTTACGGAACTACGTGCAGGGGACGACGGGGAGCTGGCCGTCAGTTTTGCGAGGCGATAGTTTCTGCCCTCGCGCGCATATTATTTGGTAGGGTTGGTGCATGAGCATGATAAGTCGCTGGATGCAGCAGCAGCGGCATTGTATAGCGTTCATTAGGACCAGTTGGCAGCCGCTGCAACAGCCTATTTCATGCATTACATTGCCAGGGGCTATGCATAACTCGTCTATGGCGGAACTGGACTGCGGGCAAGATTGGTGGTCATGGTCATGGTCATGGTCATGGTGGTTTCCAAAAAACGGATGGATGTATAGCATCGAACAGAACATGATGGGGGTAGAACAAACAACCCAAACAAAAAAGCAAAACAGCATTATATTCAAGCTGAATAAATGTGTTTCGATCTTTCGCTGAGACTGAGACTGAGTAAGCTGCGTTTCGGCCTTTGAGGGTTATGTTCTTTCCCCCATTCCCCCCCCCCCCCCCCCCGGGGTAGATACAGCATAGGGGGTGCGGGATGCATGGTCATGTATAGACAGACACACAAGCAGCCCTCACTCGGGCGTGGAGAAGAATTCTTCCTCGTCAGGTCGAGGACAAGGGATGCACGAGTACAAAAGCACATGGGTAAGTTGGAATATAGTAGGTTCGAAGGACAGAACATTCTCGATCACAGTATTTACCACGTTCATGCTGTAGGTATAGCGAGCGCTTCAGAAAAAGATAGGTCTTTGTTCTACCAATCAGTCCATTTCAGTTCATATCGTTACGCTACGCTAAAAAAACAGATAGCTAAGGGTGCGCGAATATCTCTCGCTCCCTATAATGAGACCATATGTATAAGGGTATTTTTCGTGTCGTGTCGATTCGTAACGTGTCGCTTTCGCTTGCTTGCTTGCTTGCTTGCTTGCTTGCTTGCTTGCTTGCTTGTAGTAGTAGAGAAATGCTTTCGTAGCGTCGTTTAGACCCAAGGAGGGAAAATCGTGCTGTAGACTTTTAGACCATGCTGGTTCCAGCAGTGCCAGCAGTTCCAGCGCGCTCGGCTGTCCGCTCTAGTGTGTGTTTAGCCCGCTGAGCACTCTTGTCATCCATTTGTAATTGGGCCGTCTCATGAAGCGACACTGCTATTCGTGTCTTTGCTGGTGAACATGCGGCGCAGCGGACTCGGTTTCTTGACCACGTCTTTGCCGCGGACGAGCTCCTCGACGCGGCTGCTCTTGTGCTTGGAGCCAGTACTACTGACAGAGCCCCCGTCGCTACGGATGGAGCCGCTCTTGGACTTGATCCTCTTCTGTTCTTTCTTCTCGTCCTTCTCGCGCTTCCTCTCCTCCTTCTTGCGCTCCTTTTTGTCCTTGCGGGATTCCGGCTGGGGAGGCAAGTGTCCCATACTGCGTGCGGCCATAGGGGTGATGAATTCGCCTTCAACACTTGTGCCGCTGACGACACTGCCTTCGTATGCGTCGTCTCCGGCATCGGCGATGCCCCTTCGCCAGTGCTCGATACGGTCCAGCTCTTTGACCTCCAGCATCTCGTCCATGCTGCCTTCCTTGCCCTCCTTGCCGCTCTGGATCTTCTTGATGATTTTGTAGCCTCCGATGGCGACGACCGTAACGCCGACGCCAACGCCCACCGCAATGAGGAACTGTGGTGATGCCAGTAGGGCAAAGACCGCCGGTGCAGCCGTTTTCATAGAGGCCAGAGCGGCGGGTGCCATCTTGCTTGCGAGACTGCTGATTTCGGCCAGAGTTAGTGCTACGGCGGCCATGGCATCAGGGTTTTTCTGCAGATGTGCAACAATAGCCTTGACGCTGTGCTGTGCGCAATTGGCCTCGTCGAGTAGACCTTTGGCGCGAGCAACAAGGGTTGTGAGTTCTTGCTTTTGAAGCTTTTGCTCGGTTGCGGGATCGAGTGATAGGCGCTCGAGCGAAGAGGGATGGAATTCGCCATATGCTAAATCCATGTCGATATCGGTGGCGGAGTGGGAGCGGTGTCCTACAGAGGGACGGCGATCTTTGGTTTGCAGGGCGAGGCCATCGGTGCGACGGCGCTGAAGCTCGTGTCCGGTGGGTGATGCAGGTGCAGATCGATGCACGGCCAGATCATCATTGAACTGACCGAGGGAAAGATGTCGGGTACGTGGCGATTGGGAGATGGAACGAGAGCGAGAATGAGTAGAGCGCGGAGATGAATCAAAGGAGGAGCGGGTGCTAGTGGTGTAACCACTGCGAACCGAGGCAGATGATTTATGGCGGTGTTCACGGGCCGAAGGGCGGTGACGCCGTTCTCTGTGTCGGTCATAGTCGTCTTCATCGGATTCATAGTGGGCATGGCGCCGGGAAGGATGATGCCGTCGAGGAGAGTCGTGTGAGCGGTGAGAGCGACGCGATGAGGCGACGGAAGCATCATCTGCGATGGTCATTGCTTCGACATGCTTGCGGGCTTTGTGCAGTTCACGGTCTTCTTTGGCTTTTCTATCGGCAACAATCTCGGCTTTGCGCTCGAGGTAGGCGATTTTGGCTTCCTTGAAGACATTCTTGAGCTGTTTTGTGGTTCCTACAACTTTGTTGGACTTGTCGACAATGGCAATGGTCTGGACGAGGGCAGCCATTGTGAGAGTATCGAGTGGGATGTGGTTGACCGTTGTACGCAAGGCTGGGTCGGGTGGGATATATCTCGCAGTCGGCGGCTAGAGGCGTTGGCGGGGTATATCAGATGCACTGTTGGAACACAGCCTTTGTTTGACAATGACACCCGCACGCACAATCGATGGACACCGAGAGAGTCAAAGGCACGGTCACAGGCGCCTTTCTGCGACTTTGTTTCGAAACAACGGGCCGAAGAGTGACAGGCGGTAGAAGAACGGGCTGACGTAGCGGACCATCGAAGACAAAGCCACCGGTAAGAGGCTATTGCGGAGGAAGCAGGGCGGCAAATGGAGGAAGTCTCGACATATTTGAACCACTGGTAGATAAGTGTCGCAGAAGAGGAGCTCTGGGAGCAAACTGGCGGCATCCGATTGCTGCATGGACGAGTTGTTGGCGGTAAAGACCCGTGCAGCTCAGCATTGCTGATTCGTGCGTGGCACCGACTGCGCCACAAAGAAGCGTGGCTGGTGAGTGTCAGATTCGCCCAATTCTCCATTTCTCTGCAGCTCTCAGCTCCAGACGTGTCGGTCTGATGCTTGGGGTACAAGCCGGCTGCACTTCCGGCCCATGGCTAAAGTCGATCCGGTGCTGCAGGAACGCAGATCCAGTGCTGTCCATTTTGTGCGACGGGATCTACTGCCGGCTGTCTTAGGCGACCTCCAGGCATGGTGGATTTCGTTTGATGAAATTTCGTAGGGTTGCTTTGTGCCTGCTGGTCGGAAACATGAACTGGTATACCGACGAGGTACTATTTGTTACACCTCGGATATTGATGCTGGCTTGAAGTGGGGGAAGGGAATGGGAATTCTGACTCTGATGCATCAAATACGAGTGCTTGACTGCAACACGCAATTTGACTCATAAGCTTCTATATCTTCATGCGGATTTCTGTGGCATCTTCTATGGCAATTCACCTTGCGCATCATGGCAGAGGTACGAATAGAACTCATCACATCGACCACCGACGTCCCCGCATGCGCGCGACTGTGCGTCACCGCTGTGAGCTCAGACCCTTTTCATACATTCCTAGATCGTTACGGGAGCGAATCCTTTTACGACAGCACAGTGACGAGATTGATGGATGCCATTAACCCAGACAATACAACCGACTTCGCCTTCAAGGCCGTCTGCGATATAACGGATGACAATGGGGGCATTCGTGAAGAGATTGTTGGTGTCTCTCATTGGTACATCGGGTATATCAAGATACCAAAGATGGACCCTTTTGCCAACAAAGTGGTGGGGGAGCCCAATGAGATTGGACCTGAAGAGGTTGCCATTGGTGATGAGACAGGGACCTTGGACACTGGCAATCAATCTTCTCAAGTCATCGACACTGTAAAAAAAGCCAAAGTAATGGATGAATTCCATCGCACACACGGAAACATTTACATAAGTAAAATCCGGGGCAAGAAGCATGTCTGTAAGTCGCTCCCTTGAACAACGCGAACAGGCATCGACATTAACGCCCATAGACTTGCGACGGATGATGGTGCATCCAGACCACCAGAAGAAAGGGATCGGGAGAAAGCTGCTCCAGTGGGGCCTGGACATGGCTGACAGGCAGAAAATTGTGGGCTGGCTCTTTGCGAGACCTGTTGCAGCCAAGATGTATCAAGACGCTGGTTTTCAAGTCGTTGCTGTCGATGAGATCCGGGGTGCTGAAGGCGATGAGCCCCTCAATGTGCCGCCTGGCCTGGCCATGTTGAGGGAGCCACAGCCGTACAAAGGAGGCGACTAGGTCGTCTTTTTCGATGAACGAGCCGTTGCGGCGATTGCTGACGAGAACTCTCCCCACGCGCAATATAAAACCCAGAAAGGGAAGAAGACCCATAGGACGTTGAAGAAGAAGAGATAAAACCACAGATACACTGGGTCATCCGTATTTAGCATAATGCTTCCCGAAAGCCATTCCGGAGCAAAAGTCATGAAGCCGCCATAGAGCTCTCCCGTGGCCAGAACCGTAGCAGCGAACCAGAGCTTTGACATATGTGAGGCCTTAGCACTTGCATTGCCAACCGTCATGGCGCGGTATATCTGATAGCAGATGTATGTTGCGGCCGGGCCACCGAGAAAGACCGTCAAAAGCTCGAGAGAGACGACGTTCAGATCGGCGTACAGCCAGCGAAGATCGGCCTTTCCATACTCGATCCAGGGCAGAGCCGTAAAGTGTGTTGAAAAGGTTGCCCCGTAGCGACGATTGACATTGTTCCACAGATAGGCCACGTCGTCAGCACCACGGAGGTACCCTTCGCCCTTGGAAATCTTAGATTCGTCCAGATCCAGATATGAGAAGAAGCAGTGGTACAGAAAGCTACCCTCAAGGATGAAATGGGTCAGAAAGTCGTAGGCGTGCCAGAAGAAAAGAACTCGGTATTTGAGGGGAGTGGTCTTGGGCAGTGCTCGGTAAGCCAGAAGTTGCGCTGCAGGCATGATGGTCAATGCCACAGCCAGGCCGAAAATGGTGGCATTGTCGATGTGGAATTCCTTGTACGCCATGTTGGCTGCTCTGGTCGCTCTTGTGAGGTTGTAAGGACCCCTAGAAAGAAGAACTTGGCCTAGAGTCGTCGTAGCGGACTGTAAAAGGGGCGGCCGTATCTTGGCAAACACCTAGCTGGGGTACATGTAACCCGCTGCCCTATTCTGACGAGGAAATGAGCGAACTCCAAGTCGATTTGCTCCTCGCTCGCCCCTGTGAGGCTCGCCTCCTGATACTGTTACAGACTGATTTTGGAAAAGACTGCTAGCTGAGATGCTAGTAGATAGCAGGAGGCTATCAGGTGCATTCGGGCAGGGGTTCTGCTGCAGGTCAAATGCCCTTCCCCGCCAACAAACTTACCGAGCTCCCCCACAATGTGCGGTCGGCGCCGGATGACTGCCCAACATGTGCAAATCCCGTTCTCCTCCAGGCATGCGGGAGGCAAGTCGTACCTAGTGAGCAATTGGCATGCGTAACCGCCGCGGCTGACATGGCCTTATAAAAAGTACATTTACTAAACGCAGGACGCCTCTAGTACATCACGCGAGTGTTACACCACAACCCTCCATTGACCTTACAGACGACAATAAAGCACACTTACTCCTCTCCGAACCTTCTGCGCCCATGAGCTGAACATTCAACTGCCTCACTTTGGTAGGGACACGCCTCTCCCCGGAGCATGGCCAACGTGACATCTGTGCCGACGTCACCGGACGAGGCGTTGACCCAGACAAAGACGAATGATACCGAGCAGAAAGATGGAAAGTCACACGAACCTCTGAAGCTGCCTCCGTGCGACCAATGTCGTCGGCGGAAGGTGAAGTGCGACGGACGCAAAATTCCCTGCGAGAGGTGGGCCATTGCATATAGTAGTACCACCAGGCAGTGCTTACAACTCACTCAGATGCACCCAAAGCAAGCTCACCTGTACGCGCGACATTGCCAGAAAGAAGCGCGGTCCAAAGAAGGGCTCCGGCTCGGTCATTGCGAAGCTCAGAGATGAGCACGAATACACCATGGTGCAGGAGACCGGCCTCCCGCCATTCGACCTCACAGCACTAGAAATGCAAGTACCTAATCTGCACCGCTCCTATTCCAATGACAGCTCCCTGTCTTCTACACCTCTCGGATCACCTCTAGGCACCGGCTTTCCAGACATGTATCCTCCTCCACAGCAAGACACCATGAACCTTCCCCGATCAGTGCCGTACGATATGCAGAACGGCAACGTACCTCAGACCTTCGCACAAGGTGGTATTCAGTTTCCAGCCTCGTGGCAGATACCCACATCAGACCTCCTTCAGCTGAGCGCCCCGTCCTCGGCCTCAGGTTACATGTCTATCAATGATTTAGCACAACAAATCTTCCAGGAGCCGTTACCTATGACCAACACACCCACAAGTGCTTCGATCCAGGCACCGACGTCTGCACCGAGCAGCACAGGCCGGCCACTACAACCAAGCCCACCGCAATTAGATACCCTCTCGCACCGGCCACCCTCTATAGATGCTATCATGTCCTCCACAAATACTCCACAATCGCCGCCGCCTACCTCAACCGCTGCCAGCTCTCCTATGCCAGCTCTCGGTCCTAAATACTTATATCGGTCGGACTCGGCACCATACCCAGTAGAGCCGCGACTCATTAGTCTAGCGGCTGAAGTCGGCATGTCTGCGTTGCTGCTCTCTCAATGCATGAAGCAGTATTTCCGGCATGTCTACTCAATACGACCATTCATTCATGAGCCATCCTTCATTGCACGGTTGTCCAAAGCAGAGGAGCTTTCTATGGAGGAGAAGGTCTTGATCCTGTCGCTATGTTCTGTCACCGTGCTTCATGATTCTCCTGAAGTCGACCTGTCCCTCGAAAAACGACATCAGCTGGGACGGCAGTTCCTCGAACTTGCCATTCAGATGCGGAAGAACTACGACTGGATTGAGCATGGTACATTAGCCGCCATTCAGACCAGCTACCATATCTGTGTTGCCCTATTCGAACTGAAAAAGCCAAGATCGCATTACTTTTATCTTCGGGAAGCAGTCGGCATGGCTTACGACCAAGGTCTTCATCACGAAGCTACATACATCGGTATGAACCCAATTCAGGCAATATGTGCGCGTCGGACGTTTGCCATCCTCTTCGTAACAGAACGGGGTCTCGCAATCCTAAGAAATAAACCTGCCACGATCACGAAACTGCCAGTCGTGCCATCTGAGTTCTTTGACGAGCAAGATAGCCGTGTGCTTGCAGGCTTCACGGCTTTGGCGAGTCTCTTTGCGATCCTAGACGAAAAGTTTATTGATCTATGGCGCTCAGACTCCACGTCAACTGCTCCGTACGAAAATATCGCAGGTCTGCAGCATTCGCTCAATGAGTTTTACGCCGATATCGACGCCCTGACCGAAGTCCAGAAGGCCGACGTGCTCATCACACATCAATGGCTTCGGCTAATCTTCTGGCAAGCATCTATGAGGCAGGGACTTGTGTCCTCAGATGCAACCGACCAAGTATTCTACTACAACTATCCCATCATCATCGCAAAAGACATGTGCAGAGTCCTGAACCAAGTACAATACGAGGCCATTGTGGTTCATGGCTTGGGCATCTTTGAAAAGATCTTCGAGATCGCCTATACATTGATGGACGCATTGACACTTGCCAACCTGCAGTGGAGTGAAAGCGAAGAGCTTAGGATGCTTTTCGGATGCCTGGCGGCGAGTCCGAACAGCGAAAACACGTATGTTAAGATGCTGGAAACCAAGGTCGATACTGTCGCTTCCCGACAGAGTCCGGTGACGACGAGCCCACGGAGTAGTGCAGGTGGGCTATAGGCATAGTCACACTCATGTACCTTCTGATGGCGAAAGCACCAGGGCACATCAGAAGTCCTCGGCTTTGACCACGCTATATGCCACCACTTCATACGGGTGTGCGTTCTTCAGCGCCCCTACGGCCTGCAAAGCTACATCCTTGCCGAAGATCACCATCTCCACCTTGTGCTCGTTGACCTGCTCTAGATCTCCCACCTTGCCTATATTTGGATTCGCGCCTTGAAGTGGTCCTAGGAAGGATCAGTAACCCTACTTTCCCTGGCACAGATTAACACACTGAATTGTCCCGTGCCTTCTGTAATGAAGCAGGTTTCTCCGTAGGTACCTCCAGGCCAGGTTCCGGCACCTGTAGCATGCACAGCCGCTGTGACAGCCATGGAGTGCTCGGTGGGGACGTAGTAGACTAGGACGTATTTTCCGGCCGGTGAAGCCATAAATGATAAGTAACGATGTCTGTCTCGAGGCGTATATTGCGGTGAGAAAATAGACCAGCGACGAACCCGAGGCCGGATGGTGGTACAAGATATGCTCGCAGCGATTCTGCTCAGCCTTATGCCCGATCGCATTTCAGCCTTGCTTCACGAATATTTTTCCTGATAACTGACTTCGCTCTTCCACAATTTGTAGGATCGGACAAATTGTTGGTTTGGACAAACTTGAACGCCTCATTGCACTTCAACACGACTGATAGTCCTCGCTAAACTCGATTTGGCGGCGTTTCAACCGCAGCAAAGCTCACAGATCGATCTTGAAAGTCATCCCCATTTTCCAGAATATCATCCTAATCACGCGAACATGAGTGCTTGAGGTCCTCGCCCTTCACCTCAGCCGACACCAAAGCGTCTTGATTGAATCAATATGAGGTTTCACTCGACCACAGACAACGTACTTGTACTTGTACCCCTAATCAAAATACCTAATCTACCCAGTCGGTAACATATGAGCAAACGACCAGCACACAAAATCATCTCCACTCTAAGTCAAATCCTTGTCCGGCGACCACAGTCAGAAAGTTTCACAACAGCTTCGGTATCCTCTTGTGCGAACCATACATCAACCAACATGGAGCATTCATCGACATCGGATCTGCCCGTCGGCTACCAGCCATACACGAACTGCAAGACTCGAGTTGTTGATCTTCGCACTTTGAGCCTCCCGGAGTCGGCCGAAGACGAAATTTACCGCGATGTTTACAACAAAGCTATCGCCCAAGGTGGTGACTATGCGCGGAGCTTGCAATCTGCCATTGAGAGTGTCAAGTATGGTCTTGCTCCACCAGTTGCCTTTCCGACGGAAACGGTGTACGGGCTAGGACACTCTGCAATCAGCACCCCATGTGTCACTTCAATCTTCGCTACCAAGGGCCGGCCGTCCGATAATCCTCTCATTGTTCACGCGAGTTCAGTTGCCCACCTCGAACGCATGATACAGGGTCCGCTGCCCACCGTGTACGCTCCATTAGTCAAGAAGTTCTGGCCCGGTCCACTTACTATTCTTCTTCCTGTTCCGGCTATGTCCTCCTTCAGCCCAAAGGTGCATCCGGAGCAGGACACAATTGCGTTCCGCATTCCGAGCAACAAGTATGCGAGGTTTTTCATCGCAGCTACCGATACACCGCTCGCGGGCCCAAGTGCTAACAGTTCGGGAAAGCCGAGCCCTACGACCGCACAGCATGTGTATGATGATTTGCATGGGAAGATCAATTTTATCCTCGATGGTGGACCATGTGATGTGGGCGTTGAGAGCACAGTTGTCGATGGACTGCATGATCCGCCACTCATCTTGCGGCCGGGGGGTATCAGTCTCTCGCAGTTAAGAGCATTAGGAGGTGTCTGGACGAAGACAGCGATCGGGTACAAGAGACACAGCTCTGCCAATTCCGGCACACCAACGCCCATTGGTACCGGGGCTACCACCCCTCAGGAAGATGAGGATATGCACGTGGTGGATATCAACGGGGCGCCACGTGCACCTGGCATGAAGTATCGGCACTATGCTCCAAAAGGACGTTTGATCCTTTTCTCATGCGAGGCTGTTGCGCAAGGTCGCGTTTCCGAGAAGATGAAAGAGCTCTGCGCCTTACATCCCAGCCAGCACACCAATATTGGCATCATCACGCGACGCTGGGGACGCTTTGCTGGGCTTGCGGAACCGACGGCATCAGGAGCCACAAGCAACGGCGAAGATCCCGTACCAGGCTCTCACACTACTCTGGGAACTGAAGTGGATGTGGCAACTCTCATGACCAACACTGGCCACAGTATTTTTCTTCATGAAGCAAATCTCGGGCCTGATATCGGCAGGCTTGCTCACGAGCTTTTCTATGTGCTGCGGAAATTCGACGACCTGGGTTGTAATTACATATTCGCTGAGGCGGTAGATGCTACAGAAGAGGGTGCAGATGGCACGGTGGTTGACGCTGTCATTGATCGCATCGAGAAGGCTAGCAGCGAAAGAGTATGGTAGGAACATATGAGGTGGATGATCAAATTTCATAAATTGCAAGAACATGAGGGCGACTCTAGACGTTGTTCTTCAATGCACCGTGCTCTACGTGGGAAGTAGTTGTCTTGTGCCGTGTACAAATAGTCCTGAGGTTTTCAGGCAGTGAATGAAGCCCCACTTCCGCGGGGAAATAAAGACGAACGACGACGGTCGAAAATGCGAGCCAACGACGTCACCTTGCTAACAATCCAATATTCATCAGACCTGCAATTCTTGAGAAGTCCCTACTCCGTTGCATTGCCCTATACCCAACCCGTGGAGGAAGCATCAGCAAGATGAAACAACGCTTCTCGTCCATCGACGTCCGAGTCCTGTCTCTCGAACTTGCCTCCGTCATCACCTCTCTGCGTGTCTCCAACATCTATGACTTGTCATCACGCATCTTCCTCTTCAAATTCCAGAAACCGGGCTCCAAACAACAGTTGCTCGTCGACTCTGGTTTCCGCTGTCACCTGACATCCTTCGCCCGCACCACCGCTGCCGAGCCCTCTCCATTCGTCAAGCGATTGCGGAAATATCTGAAGAGCAGAAGAGTCACCGGCGTCAAGCAGATCGGCACGGACAGAGTCATTGAGATCGATTTCTCGGGCCAGTACAAACTCTACCTCGAATTTTTCGCCGCGGGAAACGTCATTCTCACCGATGCCGACTTGAACGTGCTCGCGTTGCTGCGGCAGGTGAATGAAGGTGACGACAATGTCGATGTGCGGGTGGGCGGCAAGTATGTGCTTGAGGCAAAGCAGAACTACAACGGAGTGCCGCCCGTAAGCGCAGAGCGGGCTAGAGATGCGCTGGAGAAGGCTGCTGCCCGGGCAGAGGTAGCTAAAGAGGCTGGCGGGAAGAAGGCCAAGCGAGCCAAGGGCGGCGACGACCTCAGGAAAGCCTTGAGCGCTGGATTCCCGGAGTATCCGGCCCATCTGCTTGATTGCGCCTTCTCGGAGACGGAGACCGATGTTTCGTGGTCAATATCATCCGTTCTGGAGGACGACTCGAAGCTCGACAAAGTCATCCAATCCCTCAGACATGCCGAGTCACTCTTCAGGGGTCTGGAAACCGGCCCCTGGCATGGGTACATAGTGGCAAAGCTAAAAGATGATGCTCCTCCGGCCGAAAGTGGTACGCAGCCAACCCGCGAGTCGCTTCTTTACGACGACTTTCACCCCTTCAGGCCCACGCAGTTTGCCCAGAAGGAGAGAACACACATACTCGAAATCCCAGGCTTCAACGCCGCAGTCGACGACTTTTACTCTTCCATCGAATCCCAGAAGCTCTCCTCCCGCCTTACCGAGCGAGAAGAGCGCGCCCGTCAGAAGATCGAGTCGGCGAAGAGCGAGCACGACAAGCGTCTCGGTGCCCTGCAACACGTGCAGGAAATCCACATTCGAAAAGCACAGGCGATTGAGGTGAACACACATCGGGTAGAGGAGGCGTGCGCAGCTATCAATGGGTTAATTGGCCAGGGCATGGACTGGGTTGATATTGGGAAGCTGATCGAGGGGGAGCAGGATCGCGGCAATGTGGTCGCAAGCATGATCAAGCTGCCGTTGAAGCTGGAGGAGAACACTGTGACGCTGTTGCTGGAGGAGGCGAGCTTTGAGGACTCTGATTCAGAAGACGAGGACAAAACCGACAGTGAAGCAAGTGACTCCGACGATGAAGATACTCGCACAGTCAAGAAGCCCGAAGTGAAATCTCAGGACAAGCGACTGCCTGTCGACATCGATCTCGCCCTCTCGCCATGGTCCAATGCCCGACAGTACTACGATCAGAAAAAGCTCGCTGCCGTCAAAGAGCAAAAAACCCTGCAGGCGTCTTCCAAGGCTCTCAAGTCCACCGAGCGCAAAATCACCGAAGATCTCAAGCGCGGCCTGAAGCAAGAGAAGGACGTCCTTCGTGAAGTCCGGCAGCTTTTCTGGTTCGAGAAGTTCCTGTGGTTCATTTCGTCCGACGGCTATCTGGTGCTGTCGGGTAAAGATGCGCCGCAGAGCGAGATTTTGTTCCGTCGATATCTCAGAAAGGGGGATATCTACGTACATGCAGACTTACCGGGCGCGAGTCCAGTCGTGGTGAAGAACAACCCGAAAACACCAGATGCTGTAATTCCACCGGGCACGCTGAGTCAGGCCGGAGCGTTCTGCGTATGTGGAAGCACTGCGTGGGAGAGCAAGGCTATCATGAGTGCGTGGTGGGTGGAGGCAGAGAGAGTGAGTCGTGTGCATGAGCAGACGGGGGAGTTGATCAGTGGTGGTGGTGTCGCGGTGAAGGGCAAGAAGAACTGGTTGCCACCCACGCAATTACTGCTAGGCTTCGCGGTTGGGTGGCTTATCAGCGCGGAAAGTAGAAAGAACCACGGCAAGCTTCGAGTGGGCGGTGGCGAACAGCAGCTGGATGAAGGCGTTCGTGACTTGAACATTCAGGATCAGCGGGATTCTGAAGTTGGAGCGGAAATTGATGACGAGGAAGAGGTGGAGGATGAGGACAATACCGATAAGGAAGATGGCGGCGCCGAAATCGTGCCAGACGTAGAAGATGCGGCAGATGTTGCAGAGCATGACATTGAAGAAGATGTTGCGAATACCGCAGCTGCCGATGAGGAGGAAGGCAATGCCTCAGACGCCCGCAGCGACGACGAAGCAGAGGCGGATTTCCCACGCTCTAATCCTCTGCAACTCAACGGCTCTTCACTCCCGCAAGATACCAATCGGCCGTCGGAGGACATGACTCTCAACGACGACGACGACAACGAAGCCAGCGACGACGACCCAACCTCTGACCCCACAGACCCCATCCCCTCCACCACAGAGCCCAGCACCCGCCCCGACACACCCGCCTTCTCGATCGCCGCCTCCGCACCTGTCCAGCCCACCAACAACACCAAATCCAAACCCCAGCCCGCTGCCCCTACAACCCGCGGCAAGCGCAGCAAAGCCAAAAAGGCCGCGCAGAAATACGCCCACCAAGACGACGAAGACAAAGCCCTCGCCATGGAGCTACTGGGCTCGACCAAAGCCGCCGAGCGCCGCGCCGCCGAAGAAGAAGCCAAGCGCCAGCGCGACGCCAAAGCCGCGCAGGACCGCGAGCGGCGCAAGGCGCAGCACGAGCGCGCCGCGGCCCGCGAGCAGGAACGCGCGAAACGCCTAGCTGCCGCTTACGCTAGCGGGGCCGCCGGCCAAGGGGCAGGCGCCGCGGAAACGGTGGACGAAGAGGTGTCCCCCGAGGAACTGGAGCGCGAGCGCCGCGAGCTGGAGGACGTGGATCTCATCGTGGCGAGTCCCGCGGCGGGGGACGAGGTGCTGGCGGCGATACCCGTGTGCGCCCCGTGGGGCGCGCTGAGCCGGCACAAGTACAAGGTGAAGCTGCAGCCGGGGAACCTGAAGAAGGGGAAGATGGTGCGCGAGGTGCTGGGCATGTGGGCGGGGCTGGAGAAGAGGGGGCCCAAGGTCGTGGATGAGGCGAGTCGTGATAAGGAGAAGGTGTGGCGCGTCGAGCTGGAGAGGCTGAAGGCGCTCCGGGACGTGGAGGTCTTGGGGTGCGTGCCTGTTAGGGGGTGTCGGGTCGTGCAGGGTGGTGGGATGTTGGCGGGCGCGACGGGGAATAAAGGCGGCGGCGGGGGAGGGAAGGGGAAGGGCGCCGCGGCTAGAGGCTCGAAGGGGGGCAAGAAGCGGTGATGTTGCTCCCATGGCATGGTGGCGATGTTCGTTGGGCCCAGCTTACCGTCCTCCGTGAGATGCATGGAAAGTGTACGATGATTCCATCAGCGGCGGAAGCCAAGAGCACAAGGAACACGATAGACTGTTCAAAGCCTTCATACAACAGCCATGCGTGGATGGGATCCCGTCCGATTCCATGATACGCTATGCTATGCCATGCTCTGGAAAGAGGCAACCACTCCATAAGCCGTACCTCCTATCAGAGCACCTGAAGCCATCCATGCTCGCAAATCGAACCTTCCGAGCCTAGTACTCAAACTCATCATCCACGCCGGTCTTCTGCTCTTTCGTCACCGCCTCTTGCGCCTGGTACATCTCCTTAATCTGGTCACTGCTGGTGGCTTGCTCGGGCTTCTTATCGTCTCTCTTCTTGATGAAACGCGGGAAGCGGAGGGAGACGCCTTTGCCGAGTCCCATCTCCTCGATTGCCGCTCTGTACCGCGGGCTGAGGGTGAGGTCAGCAGTCTTAACCTCCCAGACATACTTGGCCTGGAACCACACGTCGGGCTGGTCATTCTTGACGCTACTGTGCGAGTAGTCGGATGTTGGCTTGTCGATGACAATCTCGGACAGCTCCTCGTGGAGCTCCTCAAGGAGCTGCTCGGAGAAGCCGGTGCCGATGTTGCACACGGACTCGAACATCTGCGTCTCGGGGTTGTAAGCTGCTAAGAGGAAAGCTCCGTACCAGGAAGTGCGTTTGCCTTTGCCGTAATAGGCACCGAGGACAACCAAGTCGAGTGAATCACCTATGCCAGAGAGGTAGTCCTTTTTGACCTTGAGCCAGTTTCGGGAGCGCTTGGAAGGCTCGTATCCAGACTCATCGGTGTCAAGCATCTTGACCATCAAGCCTTCACAAGAGGCTTTGACCGAATCATCAAGTAGAGTTTGAATCTCCTCAATGTCTGCTGTGTCATCATACTGCGCAAAGGCAAACTCGCCCTCGATAGGCTGGAATGCTTCGTGTAGCAGGTCGCGCCTCTCGCGAAGAGACTTCTTGACAAGAGGCTCGCCGTTGTAGAAGAGCATATCGAAAGCAAAGACACACACCTTCACTGTAACTTCAGAAGTCTTGACATCTTTGCGCTTACGGGTCATAAGCTGCTGGAAGGGCAACACCTTTTTGTTTTGAGGATCCCACGCCACAGTCTCGCAATCCAGGACGAATGAAGTTGTGGTTGGTTTGATCCAGGTATCAAGCTTTTCGAGAATGTCAGGATACTTCTTAGATAGGTCTTCAGAATTGCGTGAGAATATCGAAGCAAGTCCCTTGAAAGCTTTCGAGTTCTTTACCAAAGTGTTCTCGGCGGTAGGGTAGCTGGACTCAGCTTCAGGCGCCACGTAGTGAATTTGTGCTCGTTCTCCATCGTATTTGTACTCGCAGGTGAAGTTCTTGCCTTCGAATCGGTCAAGCACCTCGGTGATGGACTTGGTCGGCTTAGCCAACATCGGCTTAAGAGGCACTCCTGGTTGAAGTTTGCAAGACTCGTGAAGGTCGGATATGCCATGCTCAAGCATGGCCGGAATGATGACTTCGTAAGAGGGGAGCTCGCTGTACACTTGCTTGAGAGCAGACTCGCCTTTTGCAAGCTGCTCGGTAGATGGCAACTTATTGCCCTTTTGGGCCGTTTCGTGAGTGACAACCGCTTGTGCAAGGCCAACAATGACAGTCTTCTCAGCCAACCCCAACCTCAGCTTACCCTCTAAGAAGCGGACCAGAAACTTGGCCTCAGAAGGGCCGCCCTTGTCTTTGGAAATGTCAACGGCCTTACTTGCCGAGGAAACGTCTGCCGAAGCCATGAGCTTGTTAATGGCCTTGACTTTTTGATCTTGTGAGCCGTGTCCTTCCATTTTGGCGATTTCGAGTAGGCCCCCATGAACGCCGCGGACTGTCAACGGTTTTGGCTTGAACATCTGGCCTTGCTTGGAGCGGCTTTTCGCAGCAACCAGACCGAGGTCCCCAATCTTCCGGTGATCCTCCTTGATGACAGCCAAAGAGCGACCAGAACTTTCGCCGATGGCTTTCATGATCAGAGATTCACCGATGCCCAATTCGATACCAGCATAGTCCGCCGCTAGCTTGTTGAGCATAAGCATGACGGTTGGTAGGAGGTCATTGGGAGTGAGTCGCAGGACTTGCTGGAGGAAGGCTGAGCAATACGCAATGATTTGCAGTCTCTTTGTCGTGAGCTCGACCAGGGAGAAGGTGGTGCAGAGAGCGGCATAAGGGACGGGATCACCTGCTTTCCAGTCCGGATATGGGTCTTTACCAGCACTCTTGACTATAGCCTGAATGCTTGCGGCCTGTTTCTTGCTGGTCTTCGGCTTCTCTTCCTCACTTTCCAAGGCCTCTTCCTCCTCCTCCGAGACTTCTTCCACAGCTGGTGACGGAGATTTCTTGGAGGGTTTGGGGGAAGTTTTCGCAACTGATGACCGTTTGGGTGTAGCTTGCTTCGGCGCAGGCTCCCTGGGAGCCGTGACCCGCTTCCTCTTCACTACAGGTTGATCGTCCGAATCCTCCTCTTCCTCCTCAACGGGGCTGCGACTGTGCTTTTTGGAGGCGGAGTGGTCGCTCTCCGCGTCACTCGTGGGATGACCATTCGAGGGGACCTCATCCCTCATATCAATATCGTTCTCGACGGGCTCGGCCTTAGGCTTCTTGGAGTCTTTGCCGTTGAACGATAGCGTCGACTGAGACTTTGGCTTTGTGCCATTCTGCTGCTTCCCAAGAAACTTTCTTCGCACTATTAGTTTAGTACACAGAATCAAGTATTGTTGACATACCCTAGGGTTGACTGACGACCTTGCGCCATGTTGTTGAGCAGCAAAAAATAGGCCCGATGCTGATGGGTACTTGTGAATCGTAATGTCGCGTAACCACTACACCATCGAAATGATGAGGCAGTCGATGACGGTGGGACAGATAATACCGTGGTTTTCTGTCGGAACGCTCGAAAGACACTTGGGAAGGCCGAGAAGCACGGCACCCCTCGCACAGCGGTCATATACTTAAAAGCTGAAGATTGTAGCAGGCCGAAGATAACGTGGAAGGCTTCAATGTAGGCGCGACGCGTTCCGGAAATCCATTAAAGTGGCACGCGTGAGGTCATCGGGCCAACATTTCAATCGATACCAGAATATGAGGGCTGAGAGAGGTCAGACCATGTCATTTCGATTTTGTTACACAGCTGGTTTCAGGCTGACTACCCTTAGGCGATGGTTGCCTGCGAATTATCAGAATGCCCAAACGAATGCCATATGCCTTCTCTGTTGACTGTTCTGCTGCCTAATTGCCTGAAATGTCGGTGCGCCAAATGAGTGCAGACATAATGGTTGGGAAGGTCTTCGACTCACACATGGAGATAAAAGGGTCTACAAAGACGCGTGTGCCTCAAGGCTACGGACACACGTTGCAGATTACAAAAGATGAAGGAAGACTAGTGTTTCGAAGTGCATGGCGTTCGGTATCTGCATTACGTTGAATCTGAACTCGATTACGAGTTTGATTATTTGACAGACTGAAGCCTGCTCTAATAAGGAGTGCGTTCACGATCCGTCAAAGCATAGCATGTCGTTACCGCCGTACTCCATTTTCCCGGCCATAGGGTATTAGGTATGCGTCGCAGCGTAAGGTATTGTGGGTATCAAGGAATGGACCGAAGCAAATGGCAAAGATTGATGTAGAGAGTTCTGCGCTCTTTACAGGAGCATGATGGCAGCCAGACCAGCGACACCAGCAAGGCCATGGGTGGCAACAGTAGCCATAGGCGCAAAGTTGCCGCTGCTCTCGCTACCGGTAGCGCTGCTAGCCGCGGAACCGGCACTCTCACTGGCACTTGAGGCGGCACCAGATGCTGAAGAAGAGGCGGCACCAGCTTCGGACGAGGCAGATTCGGAAGCGGACGAGAGGCCAGACGAAGCAGACTCGGATGCACCAGATGCAGCAGAACCGGCCGACTCGGTGGCAGAAGAAGCAGCAGAACCGCCCGATTCGGTGGCAGAGGCAGCAGCTGAAGCAGCGGAACCCTAGACGTCGTCAGATTGAAAAGGGCAATAATCAACAACGAAGGCACTTACGGTGAGGGTGCTGACTTGAGTGCTTCCATCACTAACAATGGTGGTCACGATTGCGCCAGCGGCACCGGCGCCGTCCTATTCCGTGTCAGTTTGAATCCATCATGACGGGAGTATTAAGCTTACGGTGATGGTGCTGACCATGGTGCTGCCGTCCGAGACAATGGTGGTGACCATACCTCCAGCAGCGCCGGTAATAGTGCTGACTATGGTGCTGCCGTCCGAGACAATGGTGGTGACCATACCACCAGCAGCTCCGCCAAGGGAGCCGGTGGCAGTCAAGGCCTCGGTAGCGGACAGGGCGGAGCCAGAAGCAGAACCAGAGGCACTGCTAGCAGCTAAGAGACAGATCAGCGATTCGCAACGGCTATTGCTCAAGGGTCATCTTTACCACCAGCACAGTATTGGAGACCGTAGTCGATGACCCCATTGACGGCATCGGCAGGGCAGACGGCGCGGGTGCAGTCGCGAACACCATAGCCAAAGTTGGCGTTGGCGCAGAGGCAGACGGCGTCGGGCTGGCCGTTGACAGGAGGGCAACCAAGGTTACCAGCCTCAGCAAGCATGTTGTTGATGCAAGTTTGCTGAAACAGTGGTCAGTATGCATTCAAACAGTGCTATGAGGCAAACATACACCGCATTGAGGGAGATCTGAAAGGCTCTGAGCGAGAGCAGAGCCAACAAAGGCCGCGGCAGCAATGAAGGACTTCATGATGATAGATTCTAGGAGTTTGGAGCTTGGTAGGGTGGGTTGTGAGGTGCGAGAGATACTCGAGTTACGAGATGAACGAGTAGACTGCAGGTAGGTGAGTGAGAGTTGTAAGCTAGGAATCGAGGAGTGCGACAGAGGCGGGAGCGGTTTAAGAGACAAATACGAATGGCTGGTTCAGGTTGGGCAGGTACAACAAAGCTGGCGGCCGTAGGTGCTCTAGTTGCGGCAATGACGCGGGCCTTGAAGCTGCAACTTGAAGTTAAGGTTACTAGTGTCCTGCCAGCTCGTGAAGATCTGGGCTGGCGAACGATTTAGCCTCCCCCGAGTCCCCCTCACTATGCCCTGACTATCGATTTCGGCAGCATTGACAGCTGAGAGCTCAGAGCTTGACCCGAATGACGTTGATTTGTCGGTCGGCCGTCGTTTGCGTACACACAGTCAGCGTCGCTGCACACCTTCAACTCTGTCTACCCGTTCTAAGTTTGCTGTCGCGTCTCATAAGACTGCTTCTACGCGATTCAGGACCGTTGGTGGCACCGAGACCCGAAAACAAGGCAGCACCAGCCAGTTCCTTGTCAACCAACGGTCAAGCGGTGGTCAAGCTTGGGACACAGACTTGCTCGGTTGACGTGAAAAGGTACTGCGTGGACCCCGGCTTACGGGCGATGATAGGCTAAGACAGCTCAGATCGCAGGCCTCTGCCGTCGTCCCGCCTATCAAGCCTCCCCCACTTGGTCCTTCGGCTGCAGGTCCAGATCTTGACATTTTCCAGGTTTCTTCCAAGCGCTCCACCAGCCTACCCGGTACTTACTCCTTACCCTACTGCACCTTCCTGCGTATCTGTACCTAAGCAACTGACCCCATTGCGCCGCCTTTCCCGCCGTCACACCGACATGATTTGACCTGTGTTTGAAGGGTTGTGCAGGAACGGCAGCTGTCACACAGACTCGGACTCCCTTGTCCTGTCAAAAGCCGCCTTGGAGATTATCGCCAAGCTGGGCCTTGCCTCGTGGCGTTTCTCGGTTGTCGGTTGGACGGCTGGGGCTGCTACTCGCTTACCCGTTGCTGAGGCAATCTCTCCAACGGAGATGGGAATTGGTACTGGCTGGAAGTTCTCGAGATCAAGCTCAGAGTGAAGCAAGATTCAGGTACGGAGTACCCCCCGTGCCTGAATAAACCAGATGCTGGCAAATGCGATTTGGAGTCCCCGGGCTCCGAAACCCAACCTCAGCTCGTGGGCTCAGTCGATCGTCCCGTCGATCTATCGCTCATCGTAGTCGGAGTACCGACAGTGTGCAAGATCTTTCAGCTGCCGTGCAAATCGTCACCTCGATCTAACCTTCCTTTGTCGGCCCAATCGTCCGGCCAGCGCATCGTGACTTACACCTGGGTCAACGCGTCCTCAAGGTGTCCTCCACCTTGAGCGCGTGCGTAGATCCTTGCCCGGCTGAACCCTGTCATGCAAGCTGAAGTGGCTTCACAAGCCTCTCACTCGCCACACCTTCGGCCCTTCACTCATATGCTTCCTGGCATTTATGATTGCATGATAGGTGACTTTCCTGCATTCTCCGACGCTCTTTTGCAGCACAGAACAATGGACCTTGTATTGTGCATCATTTTGCCAAGGCCTCTAGCACGTGACGAGGCTGTGAAAGGCATCGAAGTCTGCAAGTCACATTGTGCTGCATGAGTCTTTGTCACACAAGCAGTCTGAATCCCTTGTACTTGCTCATGTCAAACAGACCAACTTGGATACAAGCATTCCAAGCTGAGAGCATGTCGCGGAGATGGCAGTGTCGCACGCCAGACAGCAGGCGTTCCAACAGGTACGGCGATCCGGCTTCCCGCCTGTTTCACCAAATTCTAAGATTAATAGTTACGACCACCCTGCGTGGAATTGAGTGCGATAGCCCTTCGCTTCAAAGGCAGCCAAGCTACCGTCAAGCAGGTCTTTCATGCTCTTCAAGATGTGCAGCGTGCCCTTGAAAGTCCGAACGTTCAAGCAGCACTCGACGCAAAGCTCGCCGAATACGCCTTCTTCCCCTTAACTCACATATTCAATTCAGCTCAGTCTTTGTCCTCAACATGTCTCGAATCCGCGATTCGCTGCGTCATCATTCTACTCTCCAAGGGCTGGCGCAGTACAATCGCCCCAGAGATGGGCAAACAGCTCCTCATCTTGATGAGTCTCCTTGCAGGGGGACAGACCAGACCTGGTGGCGAGGCTCCAACTGCCGAGATCAAAGCGCTTGCTTTCCGCTGCGTAGAAGTCATTGTTCAGCAGCTGACGCAAAAGGATGAAGCCCATCAATTGCTCAATGATCCAGGATCCAGGAATATCATAGACCAGTTGGTCTACTTGCTGCTAGAGTCGGTCACGGATAGTGAGTCTGACAACGTACAGCTTGCATCCTCAGAGGCACTGCATGCAATCGTCTCGTCGATCTCAAGCCGCATGACCCTCGCAAGCCTGCTGCCGCGCACAGCGTCTTCGCTCACTCAGGCGTTGCGCACGAGCACCAAAGCGCGTCGCACCAGGAAGGTTTTATCGTCCTATCTTGCTCTACTCAGAGATTTGCTTCGTGCTGTCCTGGCTGACGATGTTGTATTCCCTCCTCAAGCTTCAGCGACCGACACAAGTTCTCAAGATGAGCAACTGGACAAACTTGATGACTCTTGGCTCCGAGCCACAACAGAGCAGGTCAAGATTGCACTCACTCAGGTAATGAGGCTTCGTAGTCATGACCACATCGAAGTCAGAGATGCCCTAGCAGACCTGTGCCTCATGGTCATTGGGGATTGTCTTCGTTCACTGTCCGACTCGCTTCCGATCACCGTCGAGACGCTGATCCACCTTGCACAATTTGACGACTCTGCATCTACAAAATCAAAAGTCGAGTTTCTCATGACTTCCCAACCAGTACTCGTCGATATCTTGAAAGAGAAGCTATACAACTGGTGTCGGGCACTTCCCAGGACTATGCGTACCAGCGAGGATAGACCAAAGGTGCAGTTGTTCGGACAAATCAGAGCCGCGCTATCATTGCTTTCGCATGTCGCAGAAGTCTCCGAACAGGCGCTTTCAAAATTTGCAGGGGGGCTGATCGAAGGGCTAAATGTCTTCCATCCTGGTTCTGGACCTGCAGAACTATTCACTGAACAATCGGCGACCGCCTTGCCGTCCCTTTCACAGCTCCAAACCGTCAACGCATCAGAAGATTTCAGGTCTCTTCTTTTTGAGCGTACGAGCGAGCATGGATCAGCACATGAGCTTCGCCTAGCGCTTGACAGCCTTACGACTCTTGGGTACAGCAACCACCTAGCTCGAGTCTGTGTGGACCGGCTAGCAGATGCGGTACCTGCGGAGCAGTTCACATCTGCTTGGCTCGCTTTGCAATCGTTGTCAGGAAGTCGAGGCACAGAATTCAATGCTGACTCCTTCATCGAGGCAGAGGGGACAGAAGGTTTGCGTGTGAGTAAGCCGCAGATCGTATCAGACCTATACGCTGCTGCTCTCCCATGGCTCGTTGACGAAGAGTACCGAGGCGAATCCAGTGACTGGCGACTTGTGGCCTTGGCAATCGAAGTCGCTGTTCTTCAAGCTCAGCAGCTGGACGTTTCATACAGGCCAGAGCTACTAGAAACTCTCTATCCAATGCTTTCGTTGCTTGGAGGCCACAACACCGCTCTCCGTGAGCATGCTATGACGGGCTTGAACCTCCTTGCCACCGCCTGTCAATATCCATCAACCAGCCACATGCTAATCGAAAACGCCGACTACCTCATCAACTCTGTTGGCATGAAGCTCAATGCGTTCGACGTCACTCCTCAAGCTCCACATGTCCTCCTGATGACGGTCCGCCTTTGCGGTGCTCGAATCGTGCCTCAATTGGATGATCTCATTGGCAGCATGTTCTCGGCGCTTGACAACTTTCATGGCTATCCTCGGCTTGTCGAAGCATTGTTTCAGGTCCTCAGAGTGATGGTTGACGAAAGCAAGAAGCGACCAAATCTTACTATTACAAACGGTATGAGAGAGCCCGAGCATTACAGACAAGCGGAAAAGAGCTCGTCCTTGAACGACATACTGGATGATCTCGTTCGACGAAGGACGCGAAAACGCAAGATCATGAACGAGGATGACGCAGCTCCCGCGAGGGCCCCTCAAAAGCCTTGGACAGACGAGGTATTGCCTAATCAGCAAGTTGACCAGGACATGCTCCAGACAGATGTGGATGGGCCCGAGAGTCAAACAGGTCCACAAGCCAAGGAGGAAGAGAACAAGCTTTCGAAGTCGTACAAGCTCCTTCTAAGCATTGCACAATCGGCAGTCCCTCACTTGACCTCCCCCTCACCACAGGTACGTCAGACACTGCTGCAGTTACTGGATGAGGTTGCGCCACTACTAGCTATGGACGAAAACTCGTTCTTGCCCTTGATCAACAGCGTTTGGCCAGTAGTCGCGCCTCGATTACTGGCGTATACACCAGTCGTGGACGACAACGAGGGCGAGACGGCATACAACGCGTGTGCTGCTGCCGATGTCATCGCCACGCTCTGTAGGGGAGCCGGAAGTTTCATGTCTAGTCGAATTGACGAAATATTCCCTCTGCTTAAGAAGCTTTTCTCGGATGTCGAGAGTCGTCGCAAGCCTACGAAGGAGTCCAAGAGAGACACGAAGTCTCTAGCAGTCCGTGACTATTCCGTTGCGACGGGAAGATCTCCGCGTTCGCAAGTGCTGGGAGCTCTGATTCGTCTTCTGAGCACGATATTGTCCTTTGTAAGACTTACAGACGATATTGGGGATCAAATAGTGGATATGCTTGTCCCTTATTGCGGAGGAGTTGGCCAAGACGTTGAGAGAGCACTTACTTGGTACAATGCAGACGCTGTTTGGCTTTGGCGGGAGAAGCAGAGTCATGCTCCGCCAGAGCCCGCGTAGAGCCTTCGCTGTATGAGCCTAGGGGAGCTGGATTGACATTCGATGGACTGAGGTAAAATGGGTCAGTGTCACTCATTGGAGCAATGAGATTTAGGAACTCGTGGGAGCGGCAGAAAATCTTGTGGTGAATTGACAGTTCCCTTCTGCGACGTCCATACCCCTTACGGGACAGCACCATTGGCCTAGTCCTGCTTCGTGGAAGATGCTGACCTGGAGGCGTGGTTGCCAAGACGCGGAGTGTATATCACCGCCGGAGATAAGACTGCAAGAGCCGGTCCACCCGGCATGTCACAACTCAGCCACCATGGTAGACGTCGTCGCATCTTCGGCAACAACACTTCCTAACGTAAATGAGCAGCAGCAAGGTGAGCTCACTAGATCAACCCGCTCAGTAGTCGCCCAAGATGGCGGCAGATATGGCACAGTTTGTCCACAAATTCCGAGCAAATGGCGATGTCTTCCAGAATGGCCCAAGTAGCAAAGTCATCAAGCGCAACCGTCAGCCTCTATCCTGTCTTCCATGCCGACAACGCAAGCTCAAATGCTCTCGACAACAGCCATGCGACACTTGCATAAAGCGCGAGGATGAGGCTTCGTGTTCGTACGCCAAGCCTGTCCAGAAGGGCGGCTCTAAACCAGATGCCTCGAAGAGCAAAGCTCAAGATCGACTACGGCAACTCGAAGAGCTTGTTATGCAGATGGTCGATTCCAATCAGACCCAGCAGCCAGGCGCTGCGTCTGTTCCAACACCAGTGTCTAATACATCGGACACTGATGGCACACCACGAGATGGCGTCTACACTCGCGGCGCAGACTCAACAAAGTACGTCGGATCTACGCACTGGTCAGCTATACTTGAGAATATCCAGGACTTGAAAGCAACCCTCGGTGGCGACAGTGACTCGCCTAAAGGACCATTCCTCGACGAGGTCGACGAGGCAGAAATCGAAGGCGAAAACCTCTTCGGTGCTCAACGTGCTATACCTCTGCAGCAGATTCTCGCGCAATACCTCCCATCACGACTCCAGATCGATCGCCTGCTGTCTGTATACTTCAACGCAAAGTACATGGTCATTCCATACATCCATACTCGTCAGTTTCAGCGGGAATACGAGAAATTCTGGCAAGACCCTCTCGCCACCTCCCCTCATTGGATGTCTGTCCTTTTCTCTATCTGTTGCATGGCCAGCAAACTTGCCTCCACTGGCCGACACGGTGGCCCTGTCATCACCGACGACGGCGTCGCCAACCCTGTCGAACAATTTACCAGCGCCTCCGCCCAGTGTCTTGTCCTGGGAGGCTTCAAGCCCCGGCCCTATGTCATCGAAGCTCTTGCCCTTTATGCGCAGTGCAAGTACCTGCGGTCGCTGGACCCCTCGCGCGAGGTCGGACTCGTTTTCGCCATCCTTGTTCGCCTCGCCTATCGAATGGCTTACCATCGTGACGCAGACAACTTTCCAGGCATTTCCGTTTTCGAAGGTGAAATGCGCCGACGAGTATGGGCCATGACACGCCAATTCGACCTCATGTCTTCCTTCCAGCTTGGCCTGCCACCCAACGTCACGCAGGACTCCTGGGATACCAAGCCCCCGCGGAATTTGCTAGACAGCGACTTCGACGAACCGACCAAAGTCCTTCCTCCATCTCGTCCCGAGAACGAGCCTACGCAGATCCTCTACTTCATCGTCAAGTCTCGGCTGATGTCCAACTTTGCAAAGATATGCACACATGCCCTTTCTTTCAAGAACAGCAACCAATTTGAGATTGCAGAGCTAGACCGTGACGTGCGCGAAACCTTCAACGGCGTCCCCGACACGTTGCGCATACGCCCTCTGTCGCAATCGTTCGCCGACCCACCATATCTGATCATGGTGCGCCTGAACTGCGAGTTTCTCTATCAGAAATCCCTGCTCGTGCTCCACAGGAAATACATGACACAGGGTTTTGAGTTCTCCACCAAAGCATGCATCGACTCCGCCACCTCCATCGTGCGGTACTTTGCAGATATCCACAAAGAATTCAAAGTTGGCGGTCAGCTGTATCTGGACCGATGGATGCTAGGCTCCTTCACCATGAACGACTACCTGCTAGCCGTGATGATTCTGTGCCTTGCAATGAGCCAGTGGTGCAAGAAGAATCCGGCAGCCAACATCGACGACGACGAGGCAGCCAGAGAGTTGCTGGGGATGCTGCGCACAAACTACCGCATATGCGCCGAAGAGGCCCGCTTCAGCGTCGAGGCACGTCGTGTGGCGGAAGCAGTGGGGGCCATGCTCCGCCAGCTACACCCACGGGAGCCATTACAGCCCATCGCAGCTTTGGAAACTTCGCCCGCCAGTAACTCCGACTCACAAGCAGACTTCCCTGCGGCTTCCCACAGCAACAGTGAGGCAATGACGATGCCCTCCTCGACCGCATCGTCCAGCGGCACCAATCCCCCCAGCACCTCAGCCACCGGGCCCACCGACATCTCATTCACACCACTGTCCTTCTCAAACCGCGGCCTCGTGCCTCAGGCCTCCACCATAACGCCCACATCCCCACCGCAACCCCTCCCGCCCGTCTCCAGCACCCTCGACGCCACCATGTCCAACACCCTCCCCACCTACCCAATCCCCCCCCATAACAACAACAACCCAACCCCCAACCCCTTCGAAACCTTCCTCGACGCCGACTTCTCCGTCATCGACTGGACCAGCCTGGACCTCTTCCTCGTCAACGCCGACCGCGGCTTCAGCGCCGACACCGACTACGCCCCTCCCCTCAACATGCCGCTGTCCGCCTACTTGAACCGGCAATCCTCCTCCACCTCCTCGCCTTCGCAGCCCCCGTCCGCACCACAACAACCGTCCTCAACAACGTCAGCCACCCACCAAGCCCATCCTCAGACTCAGATCCCCCAACAACCCTCAGAACCGAATCCCAACATCGGCATTCCCCCTCCCAGCGTGAATGCAGACTGGTCTTCCGCACCCATGCACTTTATGGGCGCGGACCTGCACGGCGGCCAGGCTGTTGACGTTGACGTTGATGCTACCGCAGCGCCGCGGACGCAGGCGCAGACGCAGCAGCAGCAGCAGCAAAATGAGCAGGGAGAAGCTGGAGGACAACGCGCCAACGAAAGCACCCTCGCTGGGCTGACGACGCCCGCGGGTGGCGCGCAGATGTGGTGGGGGAAGGTACAGGTCCCGAATTGACGAATCGAGTTTGAGCGTGGTCCTGTAGGCGTGTACTGTAGGCCAGGCCGCTGTTTGGAGGTGAAAAGGAGAATGTATACATGGCATGAATGAGCAGTGCGGCGGGTATGTTGGGAGGAAGGATGGAAGGCTTTTTACCCGCCGGACACAACTACTATCCCGGGCCCCGACCGCGCTCACTCGGGCGCCTGTGCGGAACACAGCTGTACTTTCTCCCCATTGATGGCAGTGGGATCTGGTGGTAAGCCCGCCGGCAGATATGGTGGCGTTGCAACTCGTGGGACGAGTATACGAATATCAATGTTTCTACTGTTGCAAACTCCACAACTTTCGGAACGCTCACCACCTGTCGCCATAGCCATGTACAACGTGACAAACATCAGAGACAGAGGAAAAGCTCCTGGATTGTATTGCGTACAAAACCAGCTGGGTCTGCGTACGATATCGCCAGCCCGCTGTCTCAGGGCTCTTTACTAGACTATGCGTATGTCTTGCAGTTGCAGCTGCAGTAGCAGTTTGCAGTCCCCGTCTGCTGCCCATCCGCCGGCCTAGCTCAGGAATGAGTAGCATTAACTGAACACCGCTGGGGAATCCCAATTCAAGTCTTCCCAATCGACTATACATGGTTTTGTTCCAAAAAAGGCCCACCCAGTGCCGCTCGAGGAAGTGCGAATCCAATGTGGGTTCCGTCTCAACCCTGCACCGTAATCGATTTGACCAAATTACATGATATGTGTGTACAACAACAAGTGGTGTAATGCCGTTGTCCCATGTTCACCCATCTCCCCACCCCCCTCCAGAAAAGCAGATACCCAAAAACCCGCCAGAATCCGGAAACGCCACCGCTGGAAAATTCGAGAAAGGATTGGGAAATGAGTTACTCAAGATGTAGATGTGATAGCCTTGTGCATCTCCATGACTGCTGGCCTCGCCCCACTGTGAGGGGATATATCAACTCTTCATTAACTCTTCGGGTCCAGAAAATTCAACGGCACCGGAGAAGTGAAGTCAAGGAGAAGCTTCTGGATCTGGGATTTGCAGGCGGTAGTTAGGGTCGCCGATCCTGCTCGTCGGTCGCTCGCACGTGCTAAGCGCGACTGGCAATGGTAAGCAAAGGGGGCACACAACGCCTCAGTCGACGCCGGCGTACAGATCGACAACGATGTTTATGGCTCTGTTTCGTGCAAGTCAGACGTCTGATTTGACCGTGGTAGAGGGATTGGGGGAAAGACTTACGCCACCAAGATTTCCGCAGCGATGAGGACGATCACTGGGCCGCACATGTCAGTTACGAGGTCAAAGATGAAGGGATGCTACAAGAGCACTCACCAATCCACTCCAAAACCTCCCCGTGCCTCCGACTTCCCTGCTCTCTCAACACCGCCAGCAGATCTACAACTGCGTTAGCTCCGATCTGCATTGTCTCGGTTCCTGAGCACTCACCAGCAATGACATCTAACCGCTCCGTCAAAAGGCCGACTCTTTGATCGATCTCCAAGTAGCTTCTGACCGCCGCATACACGGGCTCCAAATGCGGCTCCGCCCACATCAACTCCGGGCTATCGAGCACGCTGCCCTGCAGATGGATGTTGATCCTTAGAATAAAGAGCTCACCAATCTGCATATTGAGTTGTCTTCTCGTCAAATTCACCGTCCCCGTCTGCGCAATGACGGCGGGCAATGGACTTGTCGTCTCAATCGTCTCGGACACCAGATCCTCGAACAGACTCGTCTTGACGCTTTGCGAGAGGGCATGCGAGATCGCCAGCTTGGTCATGTGTCCGCGTGGATCTCTGAGACTGATGAAATCGTTGTAGATTCTCGCTTGGTATTCTTGGGTGTAGTAGAAATTGAAGTTCTCGGTCTGAACCGACTCCTGGGGTAACGGCGCGTCGGAAAATTTGGCCATGTCATTGAGGAACCGCTGTTCTTGCGCCAGAGTCATGCCCCAGATGACAACGACCCCGTAGTCGAAGATGAAGATCTCCGGGGCCAATACCTCGGTGGAGAACTCGGGAGTATTTTGGTGGTGCATTGCTTGAGGGGGTATTTCATCGGGCATCAGCTGCATGGTGTCGGCGGACATGGCATCCGGTACAACAGCTACATCGCCAGCTTCATTCACAATCGGCGGACCCATCTCGTTGTGCAGATCGATGAGATCTTCGCGCCGGTGCATCTGATTGTCATCGACCTCGACAGCAGAATCCGAATAGCGGCGCTCGCCGGGCTGCAGGCGGGGACTATGTCGCATCATCCGAGCCAGACGTTCTTGAACGGGACTCGACCGACGTTCAACAGAGCTTTGACTTCGTTCCGATCTTTGTATTTGGTTTTTCTTGATGTGATCGTAGTTGTAGGTACTGTACACACATTCGTCGAAAAGCTTGGGGTTGGCGCCGCGCGTTCTGTTCCGGCTCTTCATGAACTTCATGATGCCCTCCAAGCGGTAGCCTTGTGCCACACAATAGGCGGTCACACGCGGGAGCCGTTCACGATCCGCCTTTCCGAGGCGCGCAGCATCCCGCCGAGCATTCGGGTCTTTGATGCGGGTGAATTGCGAATAGACATCGCGGCCACTTTCTTCGTCTGGACCTTCGTCGCCAATGTCGGGATTAGGCAGGATCTTGAGCTTCTCGATGTTCTTGGTAGTTCGTTGTGCGCCGGGACGGGGTATGGAATTCTGAGGGTGTTGTGTTGTGGGTAAGGGCGATCCATGGCTATTTCTCCTTCGCAACTTCGAGTTGAAAGCGCTGAGCATGGGTTCCTTAGCCCGGCCAGCTGCGGCACTGCTCAGCGCCGATGAAGGGCTTTGCATGGGTCTCAGAGAGCCAGCAGCGCTCGCGCCAGATTGCGTCTGAACAGAAGTCAGAGGATTGAAGGTCACAGTGCGCTGCGGCCTAAGAGCAGCAGCAGCTCGTGACGTTGACCCTCTATTCGGTGAGGAATGCGAAGGGAGTAGCGGCGAGGACTCGTCGACGGCCGTGGCCATTTTGTGCGAGAGGTAGGGATGAAATATTGAATGGACTAGTTGCTGAATTACTGATGAGCATGTCCTGAGGAATAATTGTTATGCTGAAGCAATTGTTAGGAGGAGAGACTTGACGGTGGAACTATGACGCCAGCAAATTCAGCTTCCGCTCCGAGTTGCGACGGCCGTCACCACGTGCACACTGGCTACGGTACAGCTGCACATGCTCCGCTCCCATTTTGGTCTTTGTGCATAACACTCGCAACCTACAGCCATAGAATGTCTAGGAGGTCTACAAGGTATTCGTGACCGGAGCATGTCACGCATGTCACTATGTCATCGCTGTCACCAGTGACAGACACGAGAACCGCTTTTGTGACACAGCAGAGCACTTGACACCGGTCACAGCAAGAAAAAGACGCCGAAAGCAAGTACATGGTGGCAAGAAGAGTCTTGATTTCGAGGCCGCTGGAGTTGACAAGCGCGCTCAAAAGGTAAAAAGAATGCCTCTGATGGCATCAAAGGTGAACGCCTCCCCATCTCAAAAAACCGTGAATCATCCAAAAAACAGCTCAAGCAATTCCGTTCTGTAGCCAACTCCATAGCTGCTCTCGATGCTCAAAATGCGCCTGCGGATTTGCGAAATATCCAGATGCTTCTGCTGGAAGAGAGTCAGCACCACACCCGTTGCCAAGTAGGAAAGGAGACGTACCTCGAGGAACTCGTTCAAGCACAGCTTTACAGAATGACGCATTTCTTGCTGCTCTTCTTTGGTGGCGGCTCCAGAGCTGCAACGATGGCTTCATCGAAGACGTCTTTCAACTTGTACTGGGTCAAAGCCGAACACTCGACGTACTTGACCGCGCCGAGCTCCTTGGACATGCGCTCACCATCCTCCTTACGGACTGGGGCCATCTTCTGCTTTGAGAGCTTCTCGCGTACAGAGGGATCGTCGCGAAGATCAGTCTGTGTTCCAACGATGAGACATGGAACGCCAGGGCAATGGTGATGAACTTCGGGAAACCACTTCTCTCGAACGTTTTCGAACGATGCTGGAGATGTGACGGAGAAGCAGACGAGGAACACATCAGTCTGTGGGTACGAAAGCGGGCGGAGTCTGTCGTAATCTTCTTGACCGGCAGTATCGAAGAGACCGAGAGTGTAGGGTTCATCGCCGATCCTGTAAGGACATATTAGTATGCTGTACGAGTAAACCGTGGGGTTGCCGCATACATGACGGTGACTGCATAGTTGTCGAAGACGGTGGGGACGTATTCGGAGGGAAATTTGTTGGTGGTGTAGGATATGAGGAGGCATGTCTTTCCCACTGCACCGTCGCCCACAACGACACACCTACACGTTAATTAGTGGTTGTCGCGGTGATGATTGCTGTGCTCACTTGATAGTAGCCACAACCATATTGTTAACGGCGGGAGGATGTCTTGCGAGGAGTGTCTTCAGAGGGTGTCAAGTTGAAGATGTCTTCGTCTGAACCGATGAGAGGAGGGTAGGGTCGCTGAACGTAGCTTTTGATTTTGTTAACAAACTTCTTCCACTTGCGCCCGAGACGAGCCTTGAGAGAGTTGTCAAGCAAAGGAAGTAGCGGACGAGTGTGCAAGTCCTCCATGAGTTTTGAAGGCCATGCGCTGGTGTGTGAGTGGGTGGAGTTGGGGGTGACATACTGACGCTACAAAAGTGCGTAGAGATCTTGTAGAACAGGCACCAGCACAGAACAAGGACGTGTGAATAGCTTGCTGAGGTTTGCGTGTGAAGGAAGGGCAGATATTGCCGGGCGGTGTAGTGTGTGTAGTGAATGAAAGAGTCGGCAAAACCAGCGCCACAGAGCCTGGCCCCCTCAATCAGTACCCCCGTACCAGGACTTTCGATATAGTGTCTTGCAACCTACAAAATTTGTCTAGAGAAGAAGCGAAGGCGTAGAAAACGAGATCGACGACGACGTGGAATCGCAGAGGCGGTCAGACTGTGGGTGGGATGGTACAAGCGCGCAGTCGGTCTGGCCCCTCGGGAGATGGAGCGATATGATGAGCGCGGGGGCGGGCGCGGAGTTGAGGTACAGAAAGGAGGATCCGAATCGCAGATTCAAGAAGCAAATAGCATTTACCTGAAATGTCGTGCTGGAATGATGGACCACAAGAGGTGGGAATGTAGTGAGGAGTGAGGCAGCAAAAAGAGAGCGAAGGGGAGGTTCGAGATGAAGTCTAGTCCGTACCTCCTCCGTACAGGATACGCCGACACTTAGCGCAGGACTTGCACGCTTTTACATCCTCCACCATCCCTCCTGTCTTCTTTCGTGACATTATTCCTCCACTCTCTCGATTCCGGAATTCTAGTTGACAGTTTGAGCCCTTGACAGTTGGGTCCGCCTCGGAGCGTCGATTTTTGCCTCATTCTCTGATACGGAGCCCCTGTCAAGCCCAGCTAGAAGGCACGAAGAAAATCAGCCTAGCACCCTTAGTTTTGCCCCTCTACCCAGCATCACGGTCCGACCATCCCAAGGTCTATCTGAATACTGATAGACTTCTTGTCCGGCGACGGGGATCGTGCCGCTATTCTTCAAACTCCATTTCCGCCATAGGAATACGGAGTAAGCCCCCCACCAACTACCACCTATTTAGGCACGATACCCAGGCACTTCGGTATTTGCTGTGACACGGACTACCCTGCACGCACGAGCCGTCAAGCCGGCAGAGGGGCATAATCGTGCGTGCCGTACCTGTACCTGGCAGATGGATCTCCTCAGCATTGAACTCTAACCCTCTGCCTCAAACAACAGCCACATATTTCGAGATTCCTCCCAAATCGAACGATTTTGATCCACACCACACCGGAAGTCTCCTTTCGCTCCCCCGACATCTACTAGGCGATATCAAGCCTAACTGCACATACGGTGATTCTCCACGCAGGCTATTGATGCTAAGCGTTCCAAAGACGGCCCATTACCCAATGGCTCCCAGCCGGCACAAGATATCAGAAATTACTCTTGTGCGCCTTTGCAACGGTGTCGGACCAAGTGCTTCATCATTACCGATACTTCCATTACTAAGCTCGTCCGTCTACCGCTGGTCAAACGCTCCGCACAATGTTGTTCTCGCCGTCCCAGTGACTTCTTGCCTTCGTCTTGCTCATGTTCTCTGAACATCCTGCTACCCCCATGTAGTCAACCAAGGCCCAGTGCCCGTGCTATGTACAGTCTTCTAGCTAATGATAATAGTGCAATGGACTGAACCAGTGAATCAGCGGGTATCGTGGAACCACCAGAAGGTGGATGCTGTTATTATTAAGACACGAATGTGCCGGCCACGCTGCATTCAGAAGCCAATCCAGTATCCAAACATCAAGACTCCTTTTGTTCCCAAAACATCAAGTGCATCCCTTAGCAAAACACCGACAAAGTGCAAGACTTTCCAACAGAATATCGAGAAGGAGATGAGCCGACCATGTATCCGATTACTTGGCTCCAATCTCCTCTTCGGCCCAACCTGAAAGACCACCTCGATCGTTGCTCAGTCCAAGTCCATTGTAGCCGCTGGTGCCAAAGCCAGTGCCGAACGCGGACCCAAAACCCGAGAAGCTGCCCTGTGGGGCGTGGCCACCAAAGCCACGAGACGAGGAGCTCTGATGTGATGACGGACCGAAAGGCTCCTGCGAGAATGCTGGCAAGGATACAGCACGTGAATGAGCGCTGCGGCTTGCTCCTAGGCCCGTGTTGGTCGGTGCCAGCAGACCGCCCACCGTTGTAGAGGAGCCGTTACTCAGCCCCGAATTATTGCCAAACGCACCACTCATGGTGCTTTGGTGGCGAGCGTGGTGTATAGGAGCTGGGTTAGGCTCAAGACCACTGTGACCGTTGGGCATATCACCGTACAGAGTAGCTTGCTGAGTAGCCAACGCCTGGTTCTGTTGTTGCTGGAGAGTAGCAAAGGTCATGTTGTCTTCATGCATGTCTTGCTCGGCCTGCGCCTGCTGCGACATCTGGTTGAGGTACATTGTCAGAGGGTTGTTCTGGCCGGCATTCAAGATGCTCGAGGCAGTCGGAGCGGGCGGCTGCTGGCGTGGTTGCTGCAGTTGATGCTGCTGGTGCTGCTGATTCTGGAACGCTCGAGGTGCGGTGGGAATTGCAGGGCGGGTAGGGCTGGAGCTTGACTGCGACATTCCATTCTCGTAACCGTTCATGGGAGGGGGGGAACCGGAGCCCTCAAAGCCGCCTTGGATCCGAGCATGACCGTTCGCGTTGTTCATGTTCTGTCGAGGTGGGTTGCCGCAGCGGTCCTTGCCAAAGTTGATCTTGAATCGCTTGTACTCATCTCGGCCTCTCATTCCCTCAATGGCCTTGATAGCATTTGCTATGTTCGTGAAATTGACGAAAGCACAGCTCTTCTCCCGCAAAGTGTTGACCAATTCGATCTCGCCGTACTCTGTGAAATCCTGGCGTAGGCGCTCTTCGCTCCAGTTCTCATCTAGATTGCCAATGTAAACATTGCGTGATGCGCCTCCACTCACAGCGAGGGCGATCGCAGGTGGCAGAGCACCCGAGTGCTTGCCCCAACCAATCTTGAGTCTCCGGTTGTGAATCATCAGGCCCTGTAAGTTACTCAAGGCGTAGAATGAGGCAGCAGAGGTCGGGTCGATGAAAGTGACAAAGCAGATGTGCTTGTCAGGAATATATCGAATGTGGTGCAAAAGGCCGCCCCGGACAACATTGCAGATCTCCTCAATCGTGGTCTCGGGATGGATGTTACCCAAGTAAATGGTTCGGTTACCTAGATTGTTGACACCGCCCGCCGTTGTCGCAACCGCAGCCGCGGCGACAGACTGCTGAGCGAGCGCATTAGAGATGAGATCGCGATCAGCGCCATTGAGGACGTGAGCATATCCGGGAGCGATACCAAGATACTGCGCTGCGTTCTGCTGCTGGGTTTTGGACACATAAGCGCATCTGTCTTTGCCGTAGTACACTCGGCGAGGCGGCTGCCATTTCGGGTCTTGCGGTAGTTGTGCGACAGCTTTGACGGCATTGCTGATGGATAAGAAATGCACAAAGCCGATGTTCTTTTCTCGTACCATCTTGATAGTGTCGATGGCTCCGTATTTGCTCAAATCTTCCCTAATTTCTTGCTCGCCAACATCTTCAGGAAGGTTCCCAAGGTACACATTGCGCGAAGCACCTGATTGCTGCACTGCGAGCTGCACTGAGGTTGGTACTTGAGAAGGCTTACCCCAGCCGACCTTGATGTCCTGTCCCTTAATATTGAGCTTCTTCAAAATCGCATCAGAATGAAAATGAGTTGCCGAGCTACCATCCAGGAAAGAGATGAAAGCGCAGTTCTTGTCGGAGAGCATGCGAACGGATTCAATTTGGCCGCTTCTTACGTGGCTCAGTAGCTCTTCTGCAGTGGTGTCACTTGGAATATTGCCCAAGTATACGGTGCGGCTAGTACTTGACATCCAGCCTGGATTTTGCATCATTGGCTGGTAAGAACCATATGCACCACCACCCATCTGCGAAAACCCAGTGGGTGACTGAGGAGCGAAAGGATCAGGAGACGTCATCCCTTGATACAGCGTTGGCGACATTGGATTGGCATTGCTCTGGGTTGGGCTGCCGAGCGCCTGCTGGTTATGGTGGTACTGTTGCGTCTGTTGATGCAGGGCGTTGTTCGTCGATGGAAAGCGGTTGGCATTGGTGAACTGCGGAGACTGGAATGCACCAGGCGAACCGGGTTGGAACGGACTGCCAAGCAGAAGTTGAGAAGGCAATAGAGGTGTAAAGTTCATCTCAAATGCAGTTCCGGGCGTCTGCTCGGAAGCTGAGATGTGATGCTCATTGTTGCCAGTATTGATATTGGGAATGGTGCTCTTACGGAAATTCCGGTCTCCAAAGCCTCCATAGCCCATGTTCCCGTTGTACGCGTTGTGGGAGAACCCAGTATTGCCGTTCATCTTGCCAGATCCGAATTTGTTCGGGAATCCTGTAAGGGCGTCCTGATTCTGCAGGCCGAGGAGGTGTGGAGGACGGACGGAATCGTCCTGCGTTGGAGGGTATAACACAGCCAGAGTGACGGTAGTATGGCCCGGCTTTTTGATGGCCGGACACTTGTCGAGAAAACGATGGTTCGCTGCTAGGAGTTCTGAAACAATGCTCGTGGTCGGCCAAGAATTGGAAAGGACGAAGTTAATGAAGCTCTTGCAGTCAGACAGGAGGTCGCAGTTCGGTCTGGGAGCTTTGTACAGTAGTCATACAAAGGTAAGTCGTCGAAGTCGAGTGGATAGAAATACGAAGCGAAGGTGATGTTAACAGGAACAAAGAGAATCAAGTTGCAAGTAAAGAACGTAGATGGAGAAGAAAAGGCCTAGAAGACCGTGAGTAGGAGCGGAAGATGGGGAGAACAGTGCTGGCACGCGAGAATTGGGCAAGAACGACCACCAGGGGTTGCCAACCGTGAAATTACATGGATCTTTTAGTCTGGTTCACCGCCACAGCTGTTTGGAACAACATTCCAGTCGCGCTTAACAGCCCAGTGCTCTTCATGTGAACATTAGGGTCATGGTGAGCGAGGACAGGACCTTGGGGAGCATCGCCGGACTGCTGGTGGTTCAGTATGTGACAATCATGACAAGCAGATCGTTGCAACGAGACATCACAATTCTTCCGAGCCGACCCCAAGCAGCGAAACGGTCTGATGAGCTGTGGCTTGTTGGTTGTGGCGCATGCAGGGGCTAATCTCGATGTTCCTGACTAGCATCTGCCGCCGCGACCAATCTAGCCATCCCAACTGGCGGGCCCTGTACCGATGCACATGCGGCAAGTCTCGTCAACCGTACTCTGTAAAAATAATTTGGAGTCGGCGCTGTAATGGACCCCACCAGCAGTCGGCAACACCATAAGATACGAGCCACAAGCGATTGATATGTCTGCACGAGATAGCATTGCTGACCCTGTCTCACCACTGTGCTGATTCGGAGGACTTCGCGTGTCCATTCCTGACACACAATCTGCACCGCGCGATTGTGAGTCAGAACATTCTTAAAAGACCAGCACCATCGCTTCCAACCCAACGTCCTGCACAAACCCCTCCATAACCATGGCCGACCAACACATCTACATCGACGAAGATGTTGGTAAGGATGAAACTGCCAACGGCACGCAAGACGTTCCATACAAGACTCTGCTTCAGGCGATGATCCAGCACCCTGGCGCATCTTATCAAACCAGAAAATCAGAAACCGGCACTGTCGAAGAGGGTGCAGACCCCTCCTCCCGCTTGGAATGGAAAGCCCCCACCAAGTCTGCCATGAAGAAGGCCAACAATCTGTATGAGGCCCACAAGAAGAAACAGGCCAAAGCGGGCGACCTAGCCTTGAGAGAGAAAGCAGAGGCGGATAAGAGACAAGCCGTACTGGAAGAGGCGAAGAAGGTCATTCTCGAGGAGGACAAGTCTCTGCCAGCACCGGTCCGCATCAAACTTGACGAGACCGACCCTTCCAAGATTACCTTGGGCACGAAAGATTCTCCAGGTACCAGAATTCGTGTCCTCGGTCGTGTTCACCACCTCCGCTCTCAGAAAGATGTGACCTTCGTAACCCTCAAGGATGGATATGGTCTTATGCAGTGTGTCTTCACTGGCAAGCTTACCAAAACCTATGCGGCCATGACATTGACTCTCGAAACCTCACTTGAGATCAGAGGCCAGCTCATGTCTCTTCCTGCTGGCGCCCACGCCCCTCTCAACCGGGAATTGCACGCCGACTTCTTCTCCGTTATTGGTGCTGCTGTTGGCGATAAGGATGCCATCACTAACAAGGTCACCCAAGATGCCGATAACCAGACCCTTCTCGATAACCGTCACCTTGTCCTTCGTGGTGAGAATGCCTCTCAAATCATGAAAGTCCGCGCCGCCGTCTTGCGTGCATTCCGCAAAGCCTATGAAGAGACGAGGACCCTCGAAGTCACCCCGCCTGCCTTTGTACAAACGTCCGTCGAGGGTGGTGCTACGCTCTTCTCTCTCAACTACTACGGTCAAACCGCTTACTTGACCCAATCCTCCCAACTCTACCTGGAAACCTGCCTCCCCTCTATGGGCGATGTCTTCTGCATCAGCCCTTCCTTCCGCGCCGAGAAATCACTCACTCGTCGTCACCTTTCCGAGTATACACACATCGAGGGCGAGCTCGACTTCATCACTTTCGAAGACCTCCTTGTGCATATCGAGACTGTCATCACGCGCGTGATAGATATTACTCTCGACGATCCTATCATCGCCGGCTACATCAAGGCGCTCAACCCTAAATTTGAGCGTCCTAAGACCCCGTTCAAGCGCCTCCGCTACTCTGATGCAATCGAATGGCTCAACGAACACAACATCCTAAACGAGGACGTCGAGGAAGGCGAGCAGCCCCGCCCTCATGTCTTCGGTGATGACATTGCCGAAGCGGCCGAGCGCAAGATGACTGACATTCTCAATGTGCCAATTCTGTTAACACACTTCCCTCACGAGATCAAGTCCTTCTATATGCCGAGAGATCCAGAAGACAACAGAGTCACCGAGAGCGTGGATGTTTTGATGCCAGGCGTTGGCGAGATCGTCGGAGGCAGTATGAGGATTCACGACTATGAGGAGCTGATGGCCGCTTTCAAGCGTCACGGCATTCCCACTGAATCATATTACTGGTATACGGACCAGAGACGGTGAGCCCGCCTCCGACATTGCACGTATTGAATGCTAACGGAGTTCTAGATACGGAACTTCTCCTCACGGTGGCTACGGTCTAGGTGTTGAGCGCTTCCTCGCTTGGATGTGTGGTAGATTCACGGTGCGCGAGTGCTGTCTGTATCCTCGCTTCATGGGTCGTGCTACGCCTTAGGCAGCCCCAGACTTCGACACACATTGTCCGGGTACCCTAACGGGACCTCAACGACCGAACGACGATAGATGGATAGAGTAGGACGGGGCCCTGGGAAACATCCACGAGTCATCACCATGCTACGTGAGTCTAGATCGACCACCCACGGAAATTTTCGAAGACCAATTGAAGGCGATCGTCCAAATCCTCACACTTTTGACTGCCTGCTAGTATTGTACAACTTCCTCTTAATGCGCCTGCGCTCGGATCCTGATGCGTAAACCAAGCCATCGCCTTCCCTGGCCATCTAGATCGTGCCGGGAAATTCTGCTCGCCAGTCCACGTTGCGTACACCTCCGACGCGCTGATTTAGTCGAGCTCTTGATTCGCATTTGTTGTCTCACTTCATGCGGGTTTCCCAAAAGACCTTCCCCTCCTGTCTAATTCCCACATCTGCCTGCCAACCACATCTTCGTCTACAGATATTTCTTCGGCATCGTGCTCTTCCGCCACTTGTACCACACCCACGCGGCAATACAGCACGTCTGAAAGAACATGAAGCTGTACAGTATGAAGCCGATGCGTGGCGTGTGCGCAAGCATGTACTCGCGCAGTCGCTGCGGCACGTGCTCCGTCACGCCGCTGTGCACGGTGTCGATCTGCGCGGAGAGTTTCTCGAACTGCTTGCTGTGGTCGCCGGATTTCAGTTCGCCTTCCATCGACTTGAGCGTGCGGGAAAGGTCGTTCAAGCGGGCGTCCAGGCTGGCGAATTGCGCCTGGGTGGGGCCGGACTTGCCGTCACCGCCGCCTGGGAGAGGCTGGCTGAGGCGGGAGTTGAGGGATTCAAATTGCTGGGCCATGGTGTTGGTTGTGCGCTCGACGAGGGTGTAGAGGTCGTTGACGCGGCGCTCGAGGGCCGCTATGGTGTTGGGATCCGCCATGCTGCCTGCTGGGGCAATGACTTGCTGCTGGTTAGGGATGTTCTGTCGGCCCTCTGTGGTGTCACGCTGTTGCTGCTGGACGGGCGGCGTGGCAGGCGAGAGCGCGAACTTGAAGGCCTCGAAGCTGTCAGGTGGGTCGTTGGAGGCGGCTGTGATGCCGAAGTGATAATCTGTTGGAAGGCGGACAGTATCGGTGCTAAAGCAGGGCTTGTCATCGATCGTGACTTCGAGACCGGCGGAAGTAGACTTGATACGGAGTCTTGAAGGCGTTCCGAGGTTTCGATATGTGTAGTCACAGTGGCCAAAGGCGAGGGACTCAACATTGGGATTTGACTTGTATTCGACAGAATTATCGTTCAGGAACCCACGAATCTTTTGCTTGCCACCAGTTGTATCAACAACTACAGCCAGCCCGTCGAAGCGCTGCAAAGAGTAGATGCTGTTGGTGCTGATGGTGTCCTTGCCATTGGCAGCGTACCAGACGTGCAAGCTACCGCTTCCTTGATCGGTAACACCCACGCGAAATTCAAAGTCGACTTGCCAGTCACTGAGAGTATTCTTGTTCTCGGTCCACAGCGCTCCCTTCTTGTTGCCACCGTATGGAGGTGTTAGAATCACCTTATCTGAGAGCAACTGCGGGACATATTCTTCTCCTAATATGTTAAAGCCCGGGATTGCGAATGAGTTGGGGCTGATCTGTCCACGATGTCCAAACGAAAACCCGTCGAGTGGGGCTTGTGCTGAGCTTCCTGCTCCGAATGATAGAATCGTGATCAGGAGAGCGGGTATAGATCGCATGGTGAGGGTGGGGGTCGGACTATTGTACTACAGAGTCAGCGAGCCTCGAGTTGTAAAGGACGGATGCCGCACGTGTATACGTCGCAACTGAACGAGTGGAAGTCTCAACGCGAAGCAGCCTGGCCTCGACTATTCGACCAGACTGTTCGGAAAACGACAACCGTGGTGATACAGATCGCAACAGCAATCACAGCGGTGCGGACCTCACGCGCAACGGACAGAGCAGAAGGAGAGACCTCAACGAAATGACGTACATTCACCTCGTGAACGGCCTTGTGAGTATGAAGAGCAGTGAACGTGTCCATGAAAGAGTGGCCTGGGTGTAGGTAGTTGACACCTTTGTATTAGCCGATGCGGCCCCGGCTGCGAGTCGCATGAATCCAGAGGGCTTCCCCGGATTATCTGTTAGGGTTAGGGTGGTAGCGAACTGGTCGTATTGATTGTCCATGCGTCGTCGCCCTGATGGCTTAGAAACATGTCGGTGAAAGCCTCTGAATAGGGGGTTGAAGGGGAATGGTGTCTTGTGATGTTTGCACCAATTTCGTAACGTGCCGAGGGCTATAGCGCTGTTGAGCGACATTGCAGTATTGGAGTGTATGGCTTGGCGTTCGAAGCTTGAAGCTACCCCAGCCGAACCGTACACGGCCTCTTTCCATCTCTTTTAACCAGGCGACAAATTCCTTGCGTGTCTAACATGGCTTCGACCGTGTCGCGCATAGCCCAGCCTTATCGGGCCAGGCAGGTGATCGTGCCAGTGAGTGCGCAGCCTGTACCTACAGGGAGTTATGCTCATCACATATCTAGGAGATTCGCTCCTCTGAAGCACGAGCGCCAAAGGATCAACAATGGCCATCCCTCATGCAGACTGCTGTTGTGGCGACGGCCTTGAAGATTCTACTCTTTCCAGCATACAAGTCAACCGATTTCGAAGTTCATCGCAATTGGCTGGCTGTCACCCACTCGCGACCGGTAACTGAGTGGTACTATGAAAAGACCTCCGAGTGGACATTGGATTATCCCCCGGCCTTTGCCATCTTCGAGTGGATCATGTCGTGGCCCGCAAGTGTGCTTGACGGGGCAATGGTCGATGTCAGTAATCTTAATTATGCTTCCTGGGCGACTGTCGCCTTTCAACGAAGTACGGTGATCATAACCGAGCTACTACTTGTGTACGCTTTGCACGTATATGCTTCGACGGCAGTACCATCAGCCAAAAAACAAGCTCACGCAGTAGCCCTGTCGATACTGCTCTCACCTGGATTTCTGATTATCGACCACATACATTTCCAGTACAACGGCTTTCTCTATGGGTGGTTGATCTTGTCTATCACTCTGGCAAGAGAGCAATCGACAATGCTGGTCAGCGGCATCTTGTTCGCCATCCTTTTGTGTTTCAAGCACATCTACCTTTATCTGGCGCCGGCTTACTTTGTATACCTGCTTCGTGTTTACTGCTTCGATCCAAAGAACGTCTTTCAACCGCAATTCCTCAATATCGTCAAATTGGGTGTCAGCATGGCGGTGGTATTTGGGGCGGCTTTGGGGCCCTTCGCGTACTGGGGCCAGCTCGAGCAGCTCAAGAGTCGCCTATTTCCATTTTCGAGAGGACTCTGCCACGCCTATTGGGCTCCGAATGTCTGGGCTCTGTACTCTTTCGCAGACAGAGTGCTAATATTTCTCGCACCTTACCTCAAGCTTGACATCAACCAAGAGGCAGTAAAAAGTGTCACTCGCGGCCTGGTCGGCGATACATCTTTTGCAGTTCTCCCGAACATTACGCCACAACAGTGTTTTGGCCTGACCCTTGCCTTCCAGCTCGTGGCTTTGGCAAAATTGTGGTCCAAGCCTACATGGCACGCATTCGTCGGGGCCGTCACGCTGTGTGGATTTGCTTCTTTCCTCGTTGGGTGGCATGTTCATGAGAAAGCCATCCTACTGGTTATCATTCCTTTCAGCCTCATTGCACTCCAGGATCGATCTTACCTCTCAAGCTTTCGACCGCTTGCTGTGGCAGGACACGTTTCGCTTTTCCCGCTACTCTTTACAGTTCCCGAGTTTCCGATCAAAATTGTCTACACGCTATTCTGGTTGATGACGTTCTCCTACACTTTCAGCAGGCTGGCTCCTCCGCCTCCTACACCCAGGAGATTCTTGCTCGATCGCTTCACGCTGCTCTATACTGCAATTTCGATACCACTTGTCGTCTATTGCTCATTGGTGCATGGTATGGTGTTTGGAGACAAGTACGAGTTCATCCCTTTGATGGCAATATCGACATATTCGGCATTGGGAGTGCTTGCCTCGTGGGCTGGTCTGAACTTATGCTATTTATCAGCTTGAAGCCAAGATAGCTTGCTGGTTTACAGGTTGCAACATCCTCTTATTGGTGGTCCCTTCGCCATTCAGTCAAGCCATTTGTTCGCTCCGGACAGTACTTGTGATTGAAAATTCCCGTTGAACGAGTGTCGAGCTACCAACGGCTCCAGAGGGACGAATTGGACGCTCTTTCAGAAATACTTGGCAGCAGTTATATGAGCCGAGTATCGCGACGGTTGGCAAATTGGAGCATCCCTGGGCAAACTGTAACATGGTGAGGCCAGGGGAGCCGTCGTGGGTAAGCTGTGTTGTAAATCGGCACTGGTCAGGGAGCGAATGCTTCCAGATCAACTGACGCGTCAGTTGGTTAGCGAGATTCATGTACAGCACAAAGCACTTGCTTGTGAAGAATACGATACGGCGGAGCTGCACTCCTGAAGTATTGAAGAATTTATGCTCTGGCATTTTAGATGATAGATCAAGAGGTCAAAGACCATCCAGTAAGGTCGGACAAAGATTCCGGGTCTGGTATACACCCTCTGGGGGCCATGAAGCAGCGGTCCGGTTCACGAACATGATCTAGCTTCGCCACGGTCAAGTGTAGAGTCCACATCTGGAGAGCGGCATTTCCAACGACTCGAACGAGTCCAAAATTGTGGGTGTTGACCACAGTATCGAGGGCAAGGTGGGTGAAAGGAGGGCTACTAGAATCGCTTGTTGAAGGAGGCCTTTGCCAAGTTTTTTAGGTCGATCACATCCCGCTAAAGCTGCCTGATGCGGTAATGCATGGCATTGAGCCGCCAGAGCGGGCACCCAGAGTTGATCTCAGCAGTGCTGCCCATGCGGCCCTGACCACACAGGCTAGGACCCACTTGATGTGCACATCATGGCCCTCCTCTTTCACTCCTCTATCCTCACTCTTCGCCATCTCATTCTCTCCAACTTCATCACCCTCCACGCCAGGGCGCGTTTATTACATTTCACTGCCTGGATTACACAATTCTCCCGGCCCTCACTTCATCCTACCCTCCACGTCCGCCTCCGCACCGCGCCCTCCCTGGCTGGAACTATTCATTTACACACACGCCCTTAGCACCTACCACGAGCCTCTCCACGCCCAGCAGACCTCATCCACACGATCAGTCTCTTGTACAGGGAAAACACGTCCGGGCCTGATCACGGCGAGCCCAGGCTGAGGTCCGCTCCCACCCTCAGCCATGGTGCTCTTCAAGCGCAAAGCCGTCTTCTATCTGCCCAAACCTGCTGTTGAAGATGATGCCGAAGACATCTGGTTCATCCCGCAGACCGGGGAGATTTTCACTACGTACGAATCTTACTTGCAGCGAATGGACTGGTATAAACAGAAAAGATTCACGTGTGAGGTTTCTGGTCGGAGCGGTCTCTCCTTCTTAGACGCGTTACGGAGCGAGTTGGCTGGGTCGCGCGAAGTAGACCAGGCCTTTCCCGACGCGCTGAAAGGACCAGTCCTGAAGAGAGTCCAGTTCTCCACAACGTCCCGCATCGACAATCTCGTGGATGAGGTGTTTGATGACTTTAAGAATGACTTCTACCCGGGAGAGATAGTCACAGTGATGCTAGATGACTCACAACGGTTGAATGGACGCGTCCGAGAAAAAGCAAAGTTCGCAGAGCAACGCGACGCTGACGGCAATGTCACGCGAAAAGCGTTTACTAGATATTTCGTTCGTCTCATTGACCGGCCGGACGAAGAAGCACTAGCGGACGACGACCATATGGCTCGGGACCGCAAGATCTTCACCAAACAAATGCTCCGTTCCTTTATCAAGAACTGCGTTACCCGCGAGGCCTGGACCGGCGCTCCATGGCTGGTAAAATCAGAAATCGCCGAACGTTATCACATCGATAGCAACGTGCCACAGCATTTGCGGCATAGTTACAAGGTAGCCGAGAGGAAAGCTGCGCGTAAGTCGGAGCAGCAAGGTAAGTCACGCCCTGCCGATCGATGGGCGCTACTAACCCGCCCAGCTCAAGGCGCCCACCCGGGTTACACCGCAGAACAAATTCTCGCGATGCAACAGAACAATTATCAAGAGTACCAGCGAGCCGTACAAGCGGACCCAGCATGGGCCGCGCAATCGTGGCATCACGCGCACGGCGTACCGTACCCATATGCCGGCCCTCCTCCACCAATGCCCGGCGCGCCACCGCCATCACAGGGGTACTGGGTTCCCAATGGCTACCCTCCGATGCACATGCAACCACCAAATGCACATATGATGCCCAAATTCGAGCCGCCTCCGCCTGGACCACCCCCTATCAAGTACCCCATCGACGATATGGAAGTTCCGCCCAAGAATGATGGTGTCCAGAGACCGGCCCTCAAATACGTGGCTCTGAGCCAGATTTTGCCCGAGTCTGACTCTACCCATGTGATTGAAGGCATCGACGAGGCGACGATCGGCTACCTTTTGGAAGCCTGGAACACCCTCAATGTGTACTGCCAAGTCTTCAAGCTTGACTCCTTTACATTCGATGATTTCGTTGATGCTATGCAATTCTCATCAGATGAGATAGACTGCGATATGCTGAATGAAGTACACTGCGCGGTGTTGAAACAGCTCGTCAATGCGGAAAATCAACAGAACGGAGCAATTCAGATCTCACTACCGGACTTGCCAGACCCCAGCGATGACGAGGATGACGAGGACGAACCCGAAACGCGAGAGCCTACGCCCACGCCAGAGCCAGAAATTCCAGCGCGGCGCACTCGAAGCAGTCTAAACAAAGTTCAGAACGCTGAACCAGATCATGAAACCCCGGCGGAAAATGACGAGCCGGAGAAGATTCATCGAGCCTCTGAGCTAATGGATGAGTTTGGCTGGATTCAGAGACTCCGCAAACGAGAATTTCGAAGCGGCGGCTGGGAGCTCGTTTTGGCTGGTCTCCTACACCAGCTGTCTGGGCGACCACGTCTTACTGAATCGTGCGACAAGATACTTACTCACCTTTGCCCTCTCGACGCTGAACCGACGATTGAGACTGTCAGATTACAGTATTCCACCATGGATATCAACCTACGGGCTCTGGCGCTCGAGATCATCATTCAATTGTTCATGGAGACGAAAGCGGTGAAAACATTCTTAGATGAAATGAGCAATACCATGACCGAGTTCCGCAAGACCAAGATCATCCACCAGCGTGAGCGGAAAGACGCCCTGGCGAAACTCAAAAACCTCGATATCGAACGCAAATTGGCTGCTCCGACTCCTGAAAAGTCTCCCACACCCATGCCCGAACTCGAGGATGGTATGGATATCGACAAGGTGGAAGATATGGAAGATTCCATCCAAGATTCAGAAGACGAAGACGCCATACAGATCAGATCACTGCGACGTGGTCATGATCGAGCTGCCGAGCGGAAGCGAAAGCGAGATGCTGAAGCCGAGCGCAAAGCAAGAGAAGCAGAAGCCAAACAGAACAAAGGCAGTAAAGAGTACCAAAAAATTCTTAAGCAGATCGATAAGGAACGCGAGCGTCTCGATGCGGCTGAGGAATTGATACTCGTTGTGGAAGAAGATCTGAGACAGGCTGACTGCACCAGAACACGAGTTCTGGGAAAAGATCGCTTCTGCAATCGATACTGGTGGTTTGAGAGAAATGCCATGCCACACGCTGGTTTGCCGGAAAGCTCAACTGCCGATGCCGACTATGCGAACGCTCGGATCTGGGTGCAAGGACCAGATGATATGGAACGAGTGGGCTACATTGATGTATCGCCGGACGAGAAAAACAATTACGCCAGCCGCTTCGATGTCACGCCCGCCCAGCGGAAAGCCAATGAAGAGGGCCCAACGCAGCTTAGCCACGCCAACCAGTGGGGCTTCTATGATAGCCCTGAGGATGTTGATGGTCTGATCGCCTGGCTTGACACCCGCGGACTACGGGAGCTTAAGCTCAAGAAAGAATTGGTCATGCAGCGCGACCTCATCGTGAAGTACATGGAGAACCGCAAGGCATATTTGGCACCCAAGCAGGAGAGCGAGGAACCTGAAGAGCCGCCCAAGAGGATGGCCACGCGGAAGAAGACCTACATCAGCGAGCCCATCGCGCGGTGCACACGATGGGAAAATTCCATGGCAATCGAAGAAAATGGCCACAAGCACGTCGAGCCTCCGCCGGCGAAGAAGGGTCGTGGAGGGGCCCGCAAAGGCGGCTCTGCGGGAACGGGCACTATCGTCGTCGAAGAAGCCCCCAGACGCAAGGGGCGTGCTCGCGCAGGAAGCGAAGTTCCTACGGAGCCACCAAAGAATCGACATGGTCGCTTGAAGACCAGGCAGGGCGGTCGCTATAACTGGTAGTTCGGTCCGGCCAGGAGAAGCGTGTCCCATGTGTTTACGAGTTTACATTGCTGTTTATCTGTGCTTGGCGACAAAATGGTGGCATGGCATGGTATGGCTGTGGCATAGACTGCAAGGCGTTGTCGGACTGATGACTATTGCGATACGGACAATCACTTGTTTTGTTTTCCTGGCATCGTCGGTCAGAGTGTGGTCTTTCGTGTCTCAGCCGGTCAGAACCCGATAGACTCAATGGGCTCATGGTTATGGTTTAGAATTGTTCAGACCAGAATCAGATGAGCCTTGAAAAGCAGTTGCCGACAAACAAATTCAAGATTTTTACCAGTCAACATCGTATCTCATCTTTACTGCCGAAACAACCTCCATTTATATATATTTATATGCATCCCAGCGCTTCACAACTCATCCTTTCCCTCCTCACCCACCACCTTCTGCTTCACCTCCTCCACCCACTCCCCCACCGTCTCCTTGACGCTCTCCCCACCCTCCCTCTTTTTCTTCAACCACTCGCGGCCCGGCGTGCTCTTGACCGTGTCCTCCCACTCGCCCCTTTCCCTCAACCCCCTCTTGACGATACTCGTCACGATCTCATACACGACCTGTGCGGCCGCCAGACTCGTCTCCTCGCCCCTCCCATCATAGCTGGGGGCCACCTCGACGACATCCGCGCCCACGACATTCAAGTCCTCGATGCCGCGCAGAATGCGAATGAGTTCGCGCGTGGTCCAGCCGCCGGGTTCGGGGGTGCCCGTTCCGGGCGCGAGGCCCGGGTCCAGCACGTCGATGTCGACGGACACATAGCAGGGGACGTCGCGGCCGATGCGCTGCATGATGAGCTCCGCGATGCCCTCGGGCTTCAGGGCGTCGATGTCGTCGGCTTCGATGCGGAAGAAGCCCACGGCCGTGTCGACGTCGTAGTCGCTGTAGTCGTGGCCGCCGAGGCGGGTGCGCAGACCGGCGTGCACGGAGCTGCTGTTCTGGATCAGGCCTTCTTGCGAGGCCAGCCAGAACATGGTGCCGTGCGTAAAGTCGGTTTGCGAGCCGGGGTTGGTGCTCCAGGTGTTGGGGTAGGCGCCTGGGTGCCAGGTGTCGAGGTGGGCGTCGAAGTGGAGGACGGCGACGGGGCCGTGGACTTTGGCGAGGGCGCGGAGGGAGGCGAGTGCGATGCTGTGGTCGCCGCCCAGGCTGATGAGCTTGGGGTGCGTGTGTGAGCGTGGGGTGCCGGCGGAGAGGGCGCGGCGGGAGAGGAGTTCTGTGTAGGCGGACGTCATTTGGTGGAGGGCGAGGGCGTTGTCAAAGGGGGTGACGGGGATGTCCCCGCAGTCGATCACAGAAGCCCAGTTGACGTAGGGGTTGACGCCCGCACGGTGGTTGAAGGAGCGGTAAGGTGTTTGGCGGGCGGAGGCGTGGCGGATGGAGCGTGGACCGAAGCGTGCACCTGGTCGGTATGACACGGCGGTGTCAAACTGGAGAGAAGTCAGCTTCGAATGTCTAGAAGTAATCGGAAGGCCCTCAGGGCAGGAGATTGAAAGTGAACATCGTTGAACAGGCATTAGACGCAGATCTTCCGCAGGGTGCCCAGCTCTTTAACGTTTATATACAGTATTGGCAACACTTACCGGCGCACCAATGATGCCAATGTCGAACTGACGGGTGGGGTCAACGAGACACTTCGTCACGTTAAGATGAGCAAAAGACCCAAGCCCACTGAACGCCCAGTCAGCATCCCAGCGTGCTTTGAGCACATCGAGAGGAGTACCGCTCTCTGGGATGGGAGGAACTTCAGGGTTGTCGTAGAAGCTGGCGTAAGTGAGATGGGGAAGGGTCAGTGGCAGCAACGCCGTTAAGCAACTGAGGCAGCGCATCTCGTATGAAGTCGTGCACAGTGTTGTACAGACCTCGACAACGACATCACCATGAAATCACAGCGAAAGACCTACCTTGATCGTCTTATTAAGATTCTGCTCGTAGGGTGTGGAGCCCCTCCTCCGCCGGCGGTGATGTCCTTTTCACGAACCCAAAAAGCCCGGTACCCTTCGAGGACTCTTTCCGTTAAAGAATACACTTTTACACAGTCTCGGCCATCGACACCGGCCCGGCTGGACAATTTTACATAGCAATCGTTTTCGATCCTGAGATGACATGTGGATGAGAAGAGGCTAGAGACGGGGATGAAATGCGAAGAGTTGTGGTGACTGGTCTGGGGGCCGTGACACCGCTCGGAAACGGCGTCAAACGGACTTGGAGCCGCATCCTCGCTGGCGAATGTGGCATCGTCTCAACACGGTCTCTAGGCTCGGAGTTCGCTGCTCTTCCGTCCCAGGTTGCTGGTCTCGTGCCCAGAGGCAAGGCGGTTGATGGTAGGTGGACCGCATCTGAGCACGTCTCCGCCACCGAAGTCCGGCAGACCGCGCTTTTCGCACAGTATGGTCTGACCGCCGCTGCCGAAGCCTTGGACGATGCTGGCTTTCCAGGCGGGAAAGACCTACCGCAGGAGGACACTGGTGTGACACTTGGAAGCGGCATCGGTAACCTCGAAGAGCTCTATTCGACTTCGCTCGCGTACGCTGGTGCTGGTCAGGACAAGGCGAACTACCGCAAGATTCATCCTTTGTTCGTGCCACGGCTCCTCATCAATTTGGGAGCTGGTCACATTAGCTTACGCTACGGACTACGAGGGCCAAATCATGCAGCGACGACCGCATGCACAACGGGGGCTCACAGTCTCGGCGACGCGGCGAGATTCATTCAATCCGGTGACGCAGCTGTGATGATTGCGGGCGGGGCTGAAAGCTGCATCCATCCTCTGGCCATCGGTGGCTTCGCAAGGAGCAGGAGTCTAGCAACGGCATGGAATGAGCAGCCCAGTGAATCATCGCGGCCTTTCGACAAACAGAGGGCTGGTTTCGTGATAGGCGAGGGCGCTGGTGTGGTAATTCTCGAGGTAAGCAGCCTGTCACGGAAATGATACGGAACTGATGATTTACAGGAACTTGAGCACGCAAGGGAGCGTGGCGCGAGGATCTATGCAGAGTTATCTGGCTATGGATGCAGCGCCGACGCGTACCACCTTACTGCCCCTTTGGAGGATGGAGCTGGTGCGTTGCTGGCGATGAAGAAAGCTCTACGAAGTGCCCAGGTTGAGCCTTCGAAAGTCGATTATGTCAATGCACATGCAACATCAACTCCGCTTGGAGACGCTGCTGAGAATTCAGCGATCAAGGCGCTCTTGTTGGGCGGTAACGGTAGGCAAAAGCCAGCAGATGTTAACGTCAGCAGCACGAAGGGTGCTCTGGGTCATCTTCTGGGCGCTGCCGGTGCAATCGAGGCCATCTTCGCCATATTGGCGATTCATGAGGTGAGTAGTCTGAACTCGGGACGCGTTCTTGACTAACTGGCAACGAACACTCTTCCACCAACAATCAACCTCAAGTCGAGAGCCGAAGAGTTTGACTGCAACTATGTACCGGACGAGGCACAAGACCACCGTGTAGATGTGGCTTTGACCAACAGCTTCGGTTTCGGCGGTACGAATGCAACTCTCTGCTTCTCGCGCCTGAAATAGGCAAGAGCTGTACCAATAAGTATAATATAGCTGTGAAAATAGCGGCTTTCCGGCTTTCAGGTTGGGTCAACGGACGCCTTCCTTGGGGGCGCTTTAATTCCTGGCTGTGCCATGCCTGTCGAGGTCGAAGCAGATGCTGATGGCACGGCTGATGGGACTGCAAAAGTATCGCCGTTGGTCGCTGTCGGCACGTCTCGAGGTACGCCGAACATGTTGCTGTTCCTATTGCCATTGAGAGCGTTGGATAGCATCTCTTTCATTCGGACTAATTGATACTTCCGCCTTGTTGGGAAGATTGTATGTGTGACGAGTGGTTGAGGGCGGGCGAGACTGCGAGCGACAGCGGTCATGACAGCGTCTCTCTCTTCATCCGAATCAATAGGACCTGTGAGCGCTGTGTCCAGGTCTTCCTCTTGGAGTGGTGCGTTGGCATCGATCGCGGCCTTCTGCTGGCGAGCTTGATTCTTCTTCTGATAGTTGGCCAACAACATGTCGTAGGGTAAACTTCGTCCAGGAACCGCCCGCTTTGCCCCCATTGAGTGGCTTTTGCAGGTAAGACTTCTGGCACATTGCGCACCGTTAGGCAGAAGAACACCACACTGCTTCTCGACATCGACCGGCCCTTTGGTCTTCGCTTGCTTCGGCTTCGGCTCTTCCTTTTTCTTCTTCTTCTTTGGCTCCTTGTCCTTGTCATCGTCCTCAGCCTTGCGCTTCTTACTTTTGCCATCTCGAACATCGTCGTCATCGTCATCGTCGTCATCTCCGCGCTCGGCTCGTTCCTTTGCGCGCTGGGCGGCCTCTCTAGCTTCCTTCTTCTTGCGGGCTTTCTCCTGCTTCGACTTTAGACAACCTGCCACATGCTCCTTCGCCGTTCTCTTCAAGATCACTTTCTTGCAATGTTTGCAAATTGTTGTGTCGAGCGAGTCGAGTTTGCCGCTAGGGAAGTTGTCGAGCGTCTCCTTGTCGAACTGTGGCACAACGGGAGAGGAGGATGTGGATGTCGCATCGCCATCTTTGCTACCATTGACAGCCTTGGTAGCCTTCTGCTTCAAGGGAGTCTTTTTCAACTTGATCTTCGTGCCCTTCGTCGATGAAGTGAACTTGTATCCTGAGGCCTGTAGTAGTCGATCGCCCTTCATAGATGGCGAGGCTCGGTCGCCATTTGGCGCCATCACGATCAGCAACGGCACAGCCGCGCCTTTGAACGGCGAGAATGGATTCGATCGATATTGCGACGAGTCTAAAATGTCAAAAGAGCCGATGGCAGTTGTTGATAGATAGAGGACCATCCGGGGTAGTTAAGTTAGGCTGCGCCGCCCGCATTGTGCCAAGCCTCAGCCGAATGGGCGCCGCAATGGAGCACCTACACCCTTTCACTGCACTTCTTTGCGATCCGATCTCACAACAAAGAACATGGAACCAGACCGGGTTCTGGTGTCGCAGTGATTGCTATCACAAGTATCTATCCTGCGCAGAAGCCATGAACCAGATCTGAATCGCGCCATTGACGCATCCGCTTTACCACTATGGAGCCCCCATCGGCCTACGACCCTCTCAAAGGCAACGACCCTAACGGCTTGCTGGCAAGAGTTGGTGGTGTATGGGCCGGGTCAGAGCTTCAAAGACAGTTCCAATATGAAGTTGCCGACCTACTTAAGCGAACAAAACCTTCCTTTCCGGGCGCTCAACCAGTCTCGTTCGCTGCAAAGCATCTGGAAGAACTCAAACGCGAAGACTACTATGTTTGCGAAAAGACCGACGGCATGAGATACCTCTTGTGGATGACAGACGACAATGGCCGGGCTATACATTACCTGATCGACCGCAGAAATGACTACTACTTCGTTGACGGCCTCTTCTTCCCACACCAGGATTCTAAAGACTTTTCGAAGGCTCACAATCACACGATCCTCGACGGTGAGCTAGTCGAGGATCGCTATCCAGACGGAACATCCAGCATTAAATTCTTCGTCTTCGATTGCCTCGTACTGGATAAGAACGAATTGATGCCACGCCCACTTGACAAGCGTCTGGCCTACTTCAAAAACCACGTCCTTGAGCCGTACAAAAAACTACTCAAGGCACATCCAGACACGTCGATGCCATTTACAACCGAAGATAAGAACAATGAATTCTCTTACGGTCTGGAGAAGATGTTCAAGGAAACCATTCCGAAGGTGAAAGAGTTGCATGGAAATGATGGTTTGATCTTTACCTGCAAAAACACGCCGTACTGCTCCGGCACCGATCCGCACATCCTAAAATGGAAGCCACCTGAGGAGAACACTGTCGATTTCCTCCTACATATCAGCTGGCCCTCACTCCAACCAGATCCATCTGACCCAGATCAAACCCCGATAGAGGACTTCTACGCTTTCCCAGAAGAGTTTGGGCTCTATGTCAACTATGGAGAGAACGGGCGGTATGAAAAGCACGATACGCTGTACATGTCACCCGAGGAGTGGGAGCAATTAAAGGCCATGAACCGTCCGTTGCAGGACTGCATCGTCGAGTGCTTTCAGCAGGAGGTCCCTCCTATCAACGGTATGAATGGCTACGGGCCCACACGGAGATGGCGCTTCCATCGATTTCGAGATGATAAGGATGACGCCAACCACATCTCCACATTCGAAAGTGTCATTGAGTCGATCGAGGACCATGTCACCGAGGAAGACTTGCTCAAACATGCCGCCGAAATCCGATCTTGCTGGAAGGCTCGAGACGCACAGAAACGTAGTGGTAGATAGGATTACGGTGCGATTTGCGCTCGTGAATTACGGACCTGTGGGTAGCAAGGTGGTGGTATCTGGCATGTTTTTGAGTATCGATGGTAGTTGGAACGGTATAGGCAGCAGGGCGTTTTCTCAGATATAGATGATACCCACGGAATGGCACACTGGTAACGCGCAATGTGAAGCAAGTTTCTTAAAGCTCCAATCACCTATCAGGAAACCCGGGCACGGATACATTGGCACTTCCCTCAGACTGTGCTTCGCTGAAGACTCAACCAGACGCGCCGTGAAGTTGCCAGCAATTGACACCATCCAACGTCGGCGCCTCCTCTCATTACGACCAAACCTTCAGCGTCCCAAGCGTGTTCAACAGGCACCCCGGAGACTCTGAGTAACATCAGCCAGCAGCTGAAGTGGTTGTTCGAAGGCCAAGTCACAATGAGATTTTCTCTGCCCGCCAGGGCGACCAAGGGCCTCCCTAAATGTATAGCAGAGGCGTTGACGTGTGAGCCGATATGACTGGGGAGCTCTTCCAGCGATGTCGTCGACTCCTGGCGGCCGTGCGCTTTGCCGGTTGCCTGACAGACGCACTTGAGCTTGTAGAGGGGTGACTCGCGAACAAACGCGCCCGCTTGGCAGGTGAAAGGTGCTACCCAGCCTCCTTTCGAGATGCTTTGGGATTTGTTCGCGCTCGTAGTGCGTCTGTGTTTCTCTCACCACCCCGATCGAGGGCCTCGCCCTGTCCACCCGCACTAGTGGTTTGGTCTCACATCCTCCGGTTGGGGTACTGCTCGCTGACACAACTCAGTGCTACGAACGACATACAGCCCACAGATGGCTCTCGCAAATCTGATCTGCCTCAGCAGCGGCGCGTCTCTCGGTCCACTGCCGCCCACACGCTCTGGCCGGATGGAAGCTGACTGATTGTAGCAACGCCACGCATGAACGACCGACCGACCGATCCCAACACGATTTATCCCTCCGCCCCATCGCCATCACCTCTCCCCAGCATCACGCGTCAGCACCGCGGCCTCGCACTCGCAAAGCATGTCTCCCTCGCCCCGATCGCAACTCCGGCGCGCCAAATCATAGACGGCATGCAGGTGGTACAGGCCTCAGTCAAGTTTGTTTGCCTTGATGAGTAGATTGGTGACGCGGAGGCCATAGACGCTGACGGGTGCGAGGATGGCCAAGGGCGGCGCTGCTGCTGCGTTGAGGCCGTTGGCGGTAGGCGCAGGAGAGTATGCTAATGTGTGTGCTGGGGAGCAATCTTTCTCGGGAGCTGAGATGTTTTTTCCGTTGTGCTCTTCGTTGGTGTGGCGCTGGCTCGGAGAAGAAAGTGGACTTCGTGAGCAGGTTGCGCAATGTATTGCTGCCCTCGCCAATTGTATAGGATCGAAGCCATGAAGGAGGCCGACCTAACGACGGTGCCCTCCTCAGAACAATATCATGAACCCTGCAATTCAGGCGAGGAATCGTTGTGCCCTCCACATGCCTCCGTCAATGATTTCTGCTGATGTCCTTGACAAAGTCCGGCGCCCTCCCCGATCCTACTGGATGAATATTCAGGACATGGCGAATGAACAACGAAGCCTTCCCCAAACCCCTAACGCGATCCTCTCCTTCTGTCGTCTATGAGATGACTTTCTGTGCAGATGATACTTGTGAGGCTGGGTGCATGCTCGTGGTTAGGACCCTCGCTATTCAGCTTCAAATTACTTTCTCATTTGCCGCACACCCGCTGGCGGGCATTCTTTTGCACCCACTCGGTGACGGGAGGCCTTCCTGGGGCTCCTTATGCCCTGACCCTTCTCGACAATTCGTTCAAGATGCATGCGACACTGTTGACGCTATTGCTCTTCGCCGCTGGCTGGGTGGAGTAGGGTTGAACACTGGTTTTGGATGTACACCGTCGCTGATGGAGTGAAGATTCCCAGAATACCGAAGCCTTCTGAACTTATCTCAGAAGAAGTCGTCGTCATCATCAACCCGTCTCGATGGGGATCCTTGTTGCTGTACTGGTATACGCCCGCTCCTCCCCAATCGAGACGAATTCCCGGCGCCAAAAGCCTGCTTGAAATCCTCTGCATACCGGCTTGATAATGAGCACTCCGACTCGTTAAACTTTGCCTCTGCATCTGGCATCCACTTTCGAATCAGCTCCCTCCGATTGTAGCTCGTAGGATGTGTCGACAGAAACTGTGGAGGCGCACCCTTCTCGGCCTCGGCCATGCGGGTCCATAAGTCAATGGCACTGTGAGGATCGTAACAGCTCTGGGCCATCATCAGGAGCCCAATGTGGTCAGCTTCCATCTCCTGAGTGCGCGAATTAGGTAAGCTGAGAAAAAGCGATCCGATGGAGTTGGCAAGGTTGCCCGAAATATCGAAAACCAGTGATGCAAGAAGAGCGAACGAGAGCGTGATGAAGCTTTGGGACATGCGTTCAGCGGCATGGTGTGCGACATTGTGTGCAATTTCGTGACCCAACACAGCAGCGAGGCCATTCTCATCTTTGCAAATCGGGAGGAGCCCGGTGAAAACGAACACTTTGCCGCCGGGTATCACGAAGGCGTTGCGCTCGTTGGGTGCGTCAATGACATGGACTCGCCATTCCTCCCCCGCCAGAGGACCGACAGACGGGAGCAGACGTTCAACTACACGTGCCACAAGCTGCGTGTATGGGTGTTCGGTGGGGAGGACACGGCCGCGGTACTGTTTAAGGACCTCATCGTACATCCCTTCTGATACCTGTTTTTCTGTCTCCGGTGAAACAACATTGAAGCGTCGCCGGTGAGTGACCGGAACTTGCTCCTGGTTTGCAACGTAGAAAACGACGCCTCCGCCGGAGACAACGATGATTGGTGTACGGTAATTCCTCCATATGTATTGCACACGGTACACGGGCCTTATGTTTGACCAGTTCTGACCGGTCCCGCCTTTCTGGTCTCCGAACCGCTGATATCTGGATGCGAATCGAGCTTGCTGTGGCGCTCTTGAAAAGGATGTCTTCGCTGCTTGCCGGCCAACAGGTCGTGTTGCGCCGCGAAAAGCGGTCCGTAGACCTAATCTAGCCGCGAACATGTTGACGAGGCAGAACAGATTTTGTCAGCAAAGCCGCATTGCAGGAGCTGCGACGAGTCGAATATATATAGCTTGGAAGTGAACGCAGGCAGTAGGTGGAGGTATCCAAATGACGCACTTTATGTGTTTGTCGCCGCCGGGGAGTCAGCCTTTAACTCCGCCCAGCCTGCGTCGTAAACCACATGCATTCAAGCCAGCCCATTGAATACGAATCGATCACACTGCGTCAGGATGGCTCTAGTGAACTACAGCAGCGACTCGGAAGCATCTGACAATGAGCAATCGCAGCCGCAACCAAAGCCCTCCTCGAAAACAGCAAAGCCGAACTTTTCCGTTGATAAATCCAACCCTCAGAAGATTCGCGTCAAGTTAGCAGATGCCACACCCACGAACGGGACGCATGAAGATGAACGAGCACCAAAAAGAGCAAAGCTAGGAGGTGGCTTCAGTGGGTTCAACGCAATGCTCCCGCCTCCGAAGAGGGATGCAGACAAGCCACAACCTAGCAAAGGTCCAGCGAGGAAGGTCTTTAGCCTGAAGACAAGTTCAGAGGCGGGATTCAGCCGCGAGTCAGACGCCGAGTTGCGCCAGCTGTTCTCTGAGCAAGATTCTATGCGGGATAATGATCAGGGGGATGGGGATGTGGGATTGCCAGAGGTGCCGAGAAAGAATCAACCAGCCGAGCAGCCAACGAAGGGCAATACTTTCATGTTCAAGCCCCTTTCTGTCGCTCGGGGAAAGAAGAAGAAGCCGACTGGCGGTACTGTAAAGCCAGCAGCACCACCACCATCAGAACCTGTCATGCAACAAACCGAAGCAGCGCTAGCCCAACCGAAGAAGAAAGTCAGCCTCTTCTCAGCATATACCGAGGAGCCTGACGTACCCTCAACCACCGACCATGAAGCACCTCTCACTCCGGAGTATGACGATGAGTCTGCCGTAACGTCTAGCTACGCATCCCTCGAAGCCTCGGCTTCACAAGCCACTGACCCACAATCCCTTAACACCATCGCCGCGGATCTAAACCTTTCTACCGCCGAACGTCGTCAGCTTTTTGGCCGCTCCAAGCAGCACCTTTCGGCCACCAATGTCGTCAACTTCAATACCGACGCCGAATACGCAGCCAACGAAGCACTCCGTGCAACGGGTGAGCAAGTACAGCACAACCCAGTCCGGGCGATTGCGCCAGGAAAGCACAGCTTGAGACAGCTAGTGAGTGCTGCGCAAGGCCAGAAGGATGCGCTCGAGGAAAGCTTCGCAACAGGCAAGAGGAATCGGAAAGAAGCTGGAAGCAAGTATGGCTGGTAGGGCTTCTTCACTCCGGAACCTACGGGACCGCTGGGAACAACCTCAATATGACGACTTGTGCCGACTGCAAGGCCAGAGGGCGGGGCTGGGTGCATATTCGCTTACCTAGTATGCTCACTGGCGGGTCTCTGCAAGCGACCGAAATAAGTTGAAGATCACATTGACTTCAGCTACTTCGCTCTCGACAAGTTGTAGCTACGGCGCAGCGACCTGGGTTGTTGCGCTAAGATTGAAGGGAAGACAATGCTCCAGCCACTCAAGCGGTGAGTTGGACACAACGGCGGGATCATCACGAAGTCGAACGGAATGAACTTGGGTCAAAGGTCAAGTTGATGCTCTCACAAGAAGTCACAGAAGCTCGAGACTCAAGGGAGAATGAGAAATGAAGCTACGAAGCGGTACTGGTGTGTTTGTTTGTCATTCCTGCATTACTGACTGCCATCTAAGTGTGGCTGATCGGACTCTGGTGGTTCCATTGTCTCTCACCCTCTTTGTCTTGTCGATGGTTTCTTTGACTTCCGCTCCTGCTCCTTCTTATGGCCTATGCCTTCACTGCTGTGACAGTATCGAGACCTTTTGAATTCTGATCAGACGCAGTACTCTCCGAGATTGGGCTAACCGGGTCGCGGAGGGATGCCTTGCCCACGCCCGCGGCCTTGACCCTGTCTCTGATCGGAGGGGTCCGAAGCATTCCGTGGCCGCCGAGGATTGAAGTCTGGCGGAGGACCGGATGGTACGTTGGGGTACACACCCGCCATGAGATTGCGGAAGGGGCGGCCTGGACTGTCGTGATCAGGTGACTGCTGCTGGTGATTGTTGAATTGGCCTTGGGCAGGCGAAGTCCGAACATTGCTCTCGCTGCCATGACTGGAGTCCGTGGATGCAACAGGACCAGAGGAAGAAGTAAGACCCTCTGGTGTACTTGGAGCAGGAGCCGGAGCCGGAGCAGGAGCCGAAGGAGGAGGAGGAGGTGATGGTGGAGGAGGGTTCGAAGTCACTGGAGGCGCTACCCCTGGTCCAGGGTCTTGGGTGAAGCCCGGCGGATGACCATGGCCCCTTCGATTGTCAGCTCTCCAGCGTGCCTCGCCGCCAGGATAGCGAGTTGCGAACTCCCTGTTCGTGGGATTGTCCGCAGGGTAAACGCATCTCTGGTCGTCTCTGGTGCTGGCTAGGCAATGGTTGCAAGGCGACTGGCCGTCACACTTGTTCCGCTGCATCAAGCAGAACTCGCAACGGCGGCTGTCCCCCCTCCGGCGCGATGCCCTTCTATATGTACCAGTCGCGCCTGGTTTGTTGTGCGGTGGCGGAGGAGGTGGGGAAGGAGGAGGAGCGCCGGCTCCGGCGGCTGCTGAGGGATTGATGGCTGGGTAGGTAGCAGACATGGTGCCTCAAATACTTCGGGAGTCCTAGATGGAGTTTGCTTGCTCTTTGAACCCTGTGGTCTGCTGCTGAAGGATTGCTGTGTGTACCCGAAGACTTTGCGGCTTGTTTGCGGTCAAAGCTGATGACGCTGTGCTTGCTAGTGTATTTGGTATTTGATGGGGACGGAGAAAGAGAACGCATGCTGGCAGCAGCAGATTTGAGCGCACCAGGATTAAAGGTTGTGGTTGTCATTGCGAGTGAAGGTGGGTGATAAGAGGCTTCACCGTCATTAGGCAGTTGTTTAGTCTAGGAGAGGCTGTCTCTACAAAGTGACTACGTGACACGCGAACAAACAATCAGAAGCTTCACTGTCTACACTTCAATTTGGCACCGGAGACTCTCCAATGACGGGAAACCCTCCAGTGGTGTCTATTGTCATCTGTCACTAAGGGCAGAAAGGTAGTGCTGGTGGGCATTGATTCACATTGACAGTTTGAACATTGAATGGTCCAGTAACCATGGCTATAGCAGCATGTGACCAAGGATCCACGGTATAGATATGGTCTAGACAAGTCTCTAGAACAATACGCGTTGCTTTCAACGACATCTGAGGTATAGGCGCCATCAACTTCAAGCTCCTAAGGATCCTAGTCGCCTTCTCCTCAGGATGATCTTTGCATCACTACTGTCTCCTTATCATCGCAGGAGGGCCCAACACACGAGGCTCAGTAAATACTGACATAGCAAACTCCTCAGTCCATCTCCGTTAAATTATCCTGGTGGAGAGCGCGCCGCGATTGTTGTGGTGAGCCATATCATCGACCTAGCCCTGTTGTAGTCGTAAAAGTTGCGTTTCTCCAACGTTCACTGCCTGAGAATCGGGGGGCGGCAGACATTTCCGTGGCGATCCCCCGTATTGCCCCGGGCCCCAATTTTGTGATGTCAGAGCCCGCATTGGATGATGCTTGCTGGTATCATATCGACTTTTCGACCTTCAAGCACTCTGCATAGTCCTTCCCTAGCTAACATCTATTCGACCACGAAATACCAGCTCACAATGCGGAACATGACAGTTCAACGACTATCGAGGTCCCTCGCCACCTCCCGAGTGCCTCACAGCAACTCTAACAGCTTCGGCCAAGCTGTGCGCCCTTTCTCCCTCAGCGCAACACAGAAAGTCGACAAAAACCCGAATGAAAAGCGGGACGCTATGAAAGATCGAGAAAAGCTCAACCCAGACGCCGATGAGTATGCCCAATCAGGCACTGACGACACTGCAGCTGCCAACGAGTCGGCGGCCTTCAGCACTAAGAACCCCGACCCTCAAGACGCGAAGAAGGAAGCCGGCAAGGGCAATAAAGTCAACCCACTAGACGCAAGCCCAGCCAACCCAGATATCAGTCAGCCAACTTCAGAGAAAGATGGAGGTGCAAAGCAGAGGGTGCGATAAGTGACGGGCGGGACTACGCAGAGGCGGACGGAGTCAGATTCGCAATTGGCATTCAAGCATGGTTTGGGTGGCGGTGTTGACAAGGCCATCGAGGACTTTCATAACAGTCCTTATGCATTGCAAATATTGGCATTGATTACATATCATCATCAGTGTGTCGAGTTCTCGTCTACTTTAGATCCTTCCAGCCAGTCCTGCCGTACTGAATGATCTCCGATCCATGCATATAGACAACCTTGTCTTTCAGCTCGCCATTTTGAGCTTTGAGGGCAGCACTCACGGCTGCCTTTGCAATGACTTCGGCCTCCTGAGCCCACGGATCCTTGAGGTAGTGCGTACTAATCGCGCCCAAACCAGCCGCGATCCATCGAATAGGGGCCTCCATGGGTCTGCTCTCCTGGCGATGACCGGCAATCAGGCCCGGGCGGAGAATGATGGTATGATCAAAGTCCATGGCCTTGACTGCATCTTCGATCTCACCCTTCATACGCATGTACCCCATTGAGGACTTTGCATTGGCATTGGCTGTCGATATGAGGACATATGTCTTGATACCATTCGCTTTAGCAGCTTTTGCGAGCTCGAGATTGAAATCGTGCTCCAGCTTGTACTGGTTCTCAAACCCACCTGCATTACCTCTAGTCGTCGCGAGCGCTGAAAAGTAGATCGACGGTGGCGGAGCAAGGGACTGGATGTGCGCAGGCCATTTCGCCGTGTCTTTCTCAACGAACGAGTTGAACGTGACGGGTGATGAGGCTTCCTCGGGAGGTGCGCGACGCGACAGAATGTCAACGGAGGAGATGTGCGCCGGAGAGGCGCTGCGGACAAGGTTGGTTATGTAGGACCCCTTTTGACTAGTGTCAGCACTATCCATAGGAGACTGCCAGAATGGTGGGAAGCGGCGCTCATACGAGACACGGGATGCTGGATCTGGATATTCTAGGTGAAAGGAAGATTTACCGTACCACCATGCCGGTTCCACCTGTGATTAAAACCGATGCCATTTTGGTCAAGAATTTGTATTGGACGTGTAGCTGATGAGGAGGTTGTTGTCAAATGGAGAGAGCACATGCTGCATCATTTGATAAGAAAGCAAGCGGGACGACCCCACTCCGCCGCCCCAGATCGGACGAACACATCCGCGCTCTTTTACGCAGGCCTACATTTGCGGCATGCTAGCTGTAACGCTGATCTGCTAAGGAAGCAATGACTTTCCGAGTCAGGTGATATTGCATGTTCGTGCAAATAACGCACCACAGGTCCATATCAGCGCGACGTCACGGCGCGCTTGCTTTGAGGTTCCAGGCAAATCAGCCTGGACACCTTTGTCCCGAGACGATGAAAGCTCAAGACCCAGCTAAGTAGGTGACTAACTCGAAACGGACGGGTCACGTTTCTTCGCGGTGTCGCCCATGCTTGCGAGTGGAAGCCTCCTTCTTTATAAATCGGGCAGCTTGAATTTCAACACTGTGGTTGCTAGTCTCGGCTTTTCAACATACTGCTAAAGCCCCAGAAGCTCTGAGGACAAGACTACAGGTACAACAATTGCGAGATCGGGATATTTTCGATGATCCTTGCATGCAGGACGCAGCCTCGCTAGTGGGTCGGATGGAGATCTTAGCCATTCCCGAGCTGTAAGGCTTCAATTAGCGTGAATTGCGTGATTGTCTCGACTCTGAATCTCCAGCATTTTTTCCCAGGGCGACGGCAATTGCTCCGATGGCGTTGAGCGAGCACGGCAAAATGAAGCGCGACATGATTTCCAATTATTCCGGGGCAGCTGTCGCCTCCCTCACACTTCCCTCCGACCTTCACATCCTCTCACAAGCATTCGACGCGTCGCAAACATGCGCTTGGTCGACTCTTCTTCCAATGGCCCCGCCATGGGCCTAGAGAAGCCTTCTGAGGTTACCTCCGGCGGCCTCCCGTTCGGGAAGAATATTCCCCTCCAGAGCATTGGGGGCCCGACCTACGTTACTGCTCAGACTGTTGTCCAGCAAGTCGCGTATGTCCTCTCTGACAAGCTCTTCTCCTACTCCCCCGAGACATTCGACCTCGATGTGGCGGCGAAGACCTGGTCGGCGGCGCAAGAGAGCAATGCAAATGGCTACACCACTGCTTTGCAGCCCATGCAGATCCGCAACGGTGCTGGTTCTATCGCTTTGGGCTATATGTTCTCCAAGGACTTTGACCTGAAGAAGCGTCATATCCCGCAGGGTGTCCTTGCTTCCTCCTCTGCCCTGCAGTTTCTCCGGCCTGTCCTCGACCAGCTGTCACTCCTCTACAGCGTCAGCAATCCGTTTGTCGCCCATATATCCGCAGCCGACTATGACGGCAGCAAGCATGGTGGGCTTGCCGTGGACTATACGTCAGCTTTGACTACTGCTGAAGATCTGGGCTTGGGTCTTGTGGCCAGCCATACGGCCTACGAGACGCAGCACATGGCTTTGTTGGCGACCGCGCTTGCCCAAGACCAGCCCATGCTGCACACCTATGACGGTTTGAGGCTTGGGCGGGAGACTACCAGGGTCGTTGACCTTCTTGACAAGAGCCGTCTTGCTGCCGCATACCAAGCCGTGCTCGCCTCCACCCAAGACGAGGAGAGAACGCATTTGAGCGCAGAGGGCAAGGCATTGCGTACTCTTCGAGCTTTGAACGAGGAGCTCGGAACCGACTACAAGGCTTTTGAGTACCACGGTCACGAGACGCCGGAGGCCATCCTTGTCACTTTCGGCTCAGTCGAATCTTCTCTCGCTGCGCTGGCTGCTACCGACCTCGTCAACTCCGACCGTCGAGTGGGTGTTATCAATGTCCGCATCTACCGTCCATTTGCCGAAGAGCAGTTCATCAAGCTCATCCCTCGCTCTACACGTACCATTGCAGTCCTTGGCCAGGTCGCCAACGCGCAGGCTCTGCAGGAATCTGGCGTGCACTCGCGCCTCTACGATGATGTTCTGGCGGCTCTGTCTTACAGTTCTCTGTCTGGCGTCCCCGATATCCGCGACGTCAAATATGCTAGATCCGAGACATGGTCTCCGTCTAGCATGGTCACCGTGCTGCGCGGCCTACTCGGGGAAACCTCAGTCACCAGCAATGCCTCCTTCCTCGACAGCAAAGTTCAGCAGTACAGCTTCTGGAATGCTGACGACTCACCGGCAGCTGCTGCTGTCCACACACTCGCCCAAGCCCTAGCTAAGGACTCTTCTCAGAACGTGACTGTCAACACCACACACGATAATCTCATCCAGGGCGGTGTGCATCGTGTCGATGTTCGCAAGTCACCCAGAAGCCTTGAAGCTCCTTACTCGATCACTGCTGCTGACACTGCCGTTGTGACCGACGTGAAACTTCTGGAGAATATTTCCATTCTGGAATCTATCAAGACTGGTGGCAAGCTCATTATGTCTCTCCCGGGAGTCAAGGATGAGGACGTTGAGAAAAAGATTGCTTCTTTTCTCCGCAAGAACATTGCGAAGCAGGCGATCGAACTCTATTTGCTCGATTCTACGCGTACAGGACTGTCACTGGAGAGTGAACAGCTCGAATCGTTCATCCTGCAAGCTGCATTCCTTCGAGTCGCTCTTGGTGAATCAGAAGAGATCGCCCGGAAGAAGCTCGCAACGATCAGCGGCGATCAGAACACTCTTGAACAGGTTGCTGCTGATCTAGAGACCACCCTCCGTCAGATCGAAGTCCCCGAGGAATGGGCTCAGCTGGAGGTTGAGACTGAGAAGCCCACCGTGCCAGCACACGTTTCTAGCAACAGCTTCATCGGCTTCGACAAGACTGAAGAAGAATCTCCTTCTCTGCTCCGCAACTGGCAGAAAGCCGCCAAAGGCCTACTCTTCAAAGAGGCCTATGGTACACGCGATGCGCTTCGTCCCGATTTGCCTACTAAGACCTTTACCGTTCATGTGAAGGAGAATAGACGCCTGACACCTAAGACCTACGACCGCAACATCTTCCATATTGAATTCGATCTGGGCACGTCGGGTTTGAAGTACGACATTGGCGAGGCGCTTGGTATTCACGCCGAGAATGATCATGATCAGGTTATGGAGTTCATCAAATGGTATGGCCTTGATCCTGAAGATGTGGTTGAGGTCCAGGCTTTGAGTAACTCGGCTGCTTTCGAGAACCGCACCGTGTATCAATCGCTCATACAAAACGTCGACATCTTCGGTCGCCCGCCGAAGAAGTTCTACGAGGCGCTTGCCGAGTTTGCCGACGACGAGGAAGAGAAGAAGAACCTGCTTACCCTTGCTGGCCCCGAGGGCTACAAAGAGTTCCAGCGTCGTGCCGAAGTCGATACAGTTACATACGCTGACATCCTGCTCGAATTCCCGTCCGCGCATCCTTCATTCCACGATATTGTTCGAATCGTTGCACCGATGAAGCGCCGAGAATACTCAATCGCCTCTTGCCAGGCCGTCACACCTACTTCTGTCGCTCTTATGGTTGTTGTGGTCAACTGGGTAGATCCTACTGGCCGCGACCGATTTGGGCAAGCCACTCGATTCCTGCGTGATCTGAAGCTTGGTGCACCTGTTACAGTTAGCGTTAAGCCTTCGGTCATGAAGCTTCCGCCCAAGTCTACTCAGCCTCTTATCATGGCCGGCTTGGGCACTGGTCTTGCTCCTTTCCGTGCGTTCGTCCAGCATCGGGCCATGGAGAAAGCCCAGGGCAAGGAGGTTGGAGCCGTCCTTTTGTACATGGGTTCTCGCCACCAGCGCGAAGAGTATTGCTATGGTGAAGAGTGGGAAGCCTACCAGGCCGCTGGCGTCATCACGCTACTAGGTCGAGCCTTCTCGCGTGACCAACCCCAGAAGATCTACATCCAAGATCGCATGCGTCAGACCGTCACGGACATCATCGACGCGTACATCAAGCAGGATGGTGCCTTCTACCTCTGTGGTCCTACTTGGCCTGTGCCTGATGTGACGGCTGTTCTCGAGGAGGCCATCACCAAGGAGAAGCAGATGCGGGGTGAGAAGGTCAAGCGTGGCGAGGCAAGCAGGAGAATCATGGAGCTCAAGGAGGAAGGCCGCTATGTGCTCGAGGTTTACTAGGAGAGCAAGCGTATTAGATACCTAGACAGCCATTCTTACATCCAGAATCAATTCTTACTACTTGTCTTTCTAGAAACCCCCTGAACCCTCGCCAAATACCCCGAAACTCATGGGCAGGCGAGGCAGGGTTGAACAAGGGGCCTCGAGAACGCGTGCTTAACTCCTTAGTATCTCCGGAAGAAGTCGCAGTCGCGAGCGCGACGTTTTGACGCTTCACACATGATGCATTCAGCTAGGTACGATATACATATCGCCATCTTCTCTTCTTCGCATGCAGTTTAATCACTATTCCCTTTGCGATACAACATATTCTTCTGCGTCCACAACACTCTACTGTAACTTCATCGGACCCCCGCCCTAGCAATGGAGGCTCCCAAAGATTACTCTTTGACCCCTGCGGCAGCTGGCACCCAACAGAGCAGCGCCCCTCTAGCTCCATCACAAGAAGCCGCGTATCGGAAGAAGTGCATACAGCTCAAGCGAAGGCTGACTGAGATCGAGACGAACAACGATGCTACTCGCCGACGTATCGAACAAGAGAAAGAGCATGTCAAAAAGATGCGCCTCGTTCGCGCCATCCTGTTAGACCACCTCAAAAAGATCGCAGAGACTCCCGGCAAGAGACTGACTCCGGAGCAACTCGAGGAGCTAGGTCTACGCGCTGACGGCAGAGCTCGAGTGTCTGAAATGGTGGGCATCGATGGAGAGCTGAGGCCCGATGGTGAAGGCTTGCTCGATGACAGCTCAGATGATGATGAGGAGGATCCCGAGGTACTACCACTTCCCAAAAAGGTGTACAATAGAAAATCTGCTTACAATGGCCCAAGCCAGCAGAACGGCCCGAACGAAAACAACGCAGGACAAACAACAGTTACCGCGAGTCTATCATGACCACCACACCCGGCCCCAACCCAAGCATGTATCAACAGCCCGGCCTACCCAACCTAGCTCCAGCAAGCTCGTTCTCTCCCGCTGCACCCAGAGATCCCGCGGCTCTGACTTCATCATTCCGAGTCAACAACACATCGCAAGCCGCAGCAGCCCCCGCATACCCACCGCAGCAGCAATATCCTAGCGAATATCAGCAGTCCTCTCCTCTAGCACATGCGCAAAATCCGGCTTACACTCAACCGCCTCACATCGAAGCTCCTGGTGGATCTCCGGGCGCTGCGCCCGGAGGCGGTCCCCGTTCACTGCCTCCACAACCACAGCGCCCACCACCACCGTTCCAGCAGTTCACCGACCACATGAGGCCGCAACTTGAGGCGGATGACTACCCTCTAGATCAGATCGATAGTCGCATCGACCAAGAGTGGCGCAATCTTAGCAAGGAGAATAGAGAACTCTGGGACAACCGCTACGCAGAGCAGATGATGGAGTACACCGCAGCTATGGATGATTGGAAGCGCCACCAGAAGAAGGTCAACAATAGCGTTGCTGGAGTGAGCTTTTCTGAAAGCCGGAACAGGACTTAGAGAACACCGTTCCGTTTCATGCCGCGATGAGAACTTTTACAAGACAATATTCAGCACCTTCAGTACCACTTACTCCATCTTACCCTGGAAGTGTTCTATCTGTATATGCATTACTAGAAGTCTGCAAATTTAATGGGTGGATCCGGCGGACTGACAGTTTAGTCTATTAGATGTCAGCTGCTATGGATCCAGAGATCCCGCCCGTCAATTCTGTCGACCGCTAGTGATACCCAAGACATCTTCGACAGCCTGACCATCTCCGCCATCATTGGCGGAAAGTGGGGACACCTGGTTAACGCGCTCGACCCCCCAGGTCTTGGCACGGCGGAAGTATTTTGGTCCTGGTCAACTAAACCGCAGGACTTTTGCTACTGCGCAGATTACAACTACGCTGACTTGCAGTCGTCTACCATGAGCCCCAATTTTGTAAGATAACGCCCCAATCGCATTGCATTTCTGAGATAATAACTGGCCTGCAGACCCAGAAGCGGCGGCCCTCCAGGACTAGCTTTCTCATAGCAGCAAACCCAGCCGAATGGCCGCCGCTTGGGGCCGGAACACCTCCCCACACCCATCAACTGGATCCTTCGAAGGATAGGTCTGCTTGTCTAGGTGTCCCTATGATGAGCCGAAGGACACCCGGCGGTAACAAGAGAATGCAAGGAGGTCTTCGGCAGCATGAGTCGAAAGCTCTTTTCAAGCGGCAGTTCAAGATTGATCATCCTCCTGGCTCTGATGGTCCAACGTGGGAAGAGTATTGCGAGGAGATACTACGATCCACTGCAGAAAAATTTGAAGCTGAGTGGAAGTTGAAGCAGTGTGGAAGATACGCTGGTCCTAATGCTCAAGACCGGCCGCCTGCCCATCCTGAGCCAGATCCCACGCCCGCGATCGGCTACCATGTTGCATCAGCTTCGGCTTCAGCTCGTCCTGATTACGGTAGAGCCGGAGGCCTCGTGGCTCCAGCACACTCGTCTGGAAGAAGAGCGCCAACCTTGGTTAATCTCGAACCCCTTCTCTCGCCGGGGAGACGACCGCCAGAGAAGGATATGCGCCAAAGCCTCCTGCCGGGCCCGACCCGGATGAGCTTGTGCCTGCGTTGTGCTCCTCTCTCTCTCTCCTACGGCAAGGGCTGAGTCAGAATGATGACCTGGCGTGAGCTGAGTAAGGGCAGGTCGGAGCATACCTAGGCAGCCTGTGGTCTCACATCTTTTCGAAGCGCCCTGCTCCGTCGATGTCGAAGCTCGTGCCCACTCCATCAGCTTGAAAGCCGGCCTTGCGAAGAAGGCTGGTTGTCAGGGGGAATGGTGACTTTACGATGCTGGGGGAAAGACTGGACTTGACAGATGGGAGGTCTCTTGCGATATTCCAGAGCGCAGCATGCATTGAATATGAGATAGGCGGGTTTGGATGACAAGAGGCCTTCCCATCTACCTTTGAAAGGCCTGCTGCGCGAAAATAGCCTGAGTCACGCTTGCTGCTGTGGGAGCTCCTTGCACCGTGGTTCGGGTAACACGCGCACTGTAGTGGCTGAATTAGGGGCAAGAAGCATTTGACATTTCACCTTCATTTTGTCTATCGTGATGGTATCGTTGCATGATCGGCCATCGTGCTATATCGTGACAAGCCATACCAGGGGGTATCATCGACCTCTCTCCTCCCGTAGACTCGGGTGACCACGCATCCACATTGTGCTAGCACATCAACGCTCTCAGTCCTCGTCCCAGTTCGGGTTCTGACCCGGTGGCTTCGGCCCACCAGCTTGCCGCGCCACAATGATCTGATCCACGCTCAGCACCGTTCGCGCGCTCTCTGTTGCCAACCGGATCGCCCAGCTCTTGCTGACCATCAAGTCAAGAATCTCTGCCTCGACTGCATCCAACACACCTTTCTCCGTTGTAGATGCGTCGAGATCGACGCCTGTGGTCCAGTACGGTGAGTCCTCCTCTGATGATTGTTCCTCGCTCTCTTCTGAGTCATCCTCCTCCTCTTCATCAGACTCTGAGTTAGACTTTGATTTGCGCTGATGGGCGGTATACAACCGTGCTAGGATCTCGGTGGCATCGAGACCAGCAGACTCGGCAAGAGTTCGGGGGATGACCTCGAAGGCCTCGGCGTACTTTCGGATAGCGTACTGTGCCAGGCCGGGTGTCTTGTCGGCAAAGGCCGTCAGGCGTTCGACGAGCTGCATTTCTGTTGCGCCAGCGCCGGGAACAAGGCGCGGGTCTTTAGTTACGGCCTTTATGACATTGACACCATCGTCGATGGCTCTCTCCACGTCATCAAGATGATTTTGCGTAGCACCGCGGAGCACGAGAGTGGCGGTTCGTGTGAGAGAGGTATCTGCTTCTTGACGGAAAACGGTAACACGGTCGCCCCCAATTTCAATAGTTTCAACAATGTCGATAGAGCCCATCTCATCAGGCATAGGTGCTCCGAGTCGGGCAAGGGGGGTGGCGTTGCAGACTCGGCAGAGGCGGCGAAGCTCGAATTTGGACATGATCTTGATCACAAGAATGCCCATCTTGTTCAAATAGTGTAATGCCAGCTCACCGACCGTAGAGCCGGCGATGATCACACGGACGCCCGTGTCGTAGATTTCTTTCATGGCAGTCTCGAGCTGTTCCTCCTCTCCTTTCGAGAAATCCATCATCTCTTGGGCGTTCTTCAGCAGGACAGTGCCCTTGGTCTCGGTTTGAGAAATGTCAAGTGGAGACGAGAAAACAGCTACCTTGGCCTTCTTCGCCTTCTTGACAACGCCGTCCGGCTCGCGACCGAACACCATGCCCTTCACAACACGCGACTGCGTCAAGTCGCCACCCATGATCTTCACGACGCGGATATTGTCGATGTTGAAGGCGCGGGGGTCTTTGGGCAGGACAGCTTGAACAGCTTCAGCGATGAGAGGTGATAAGACGTCTTCGGAGCCGGACTGCTTGGAGGCGACCACAGTGCGCAGGGCTTTGGAGAGCTCATTGGGCGATCGAAGGTCCGCAACGCTGTCAACCTCGAGGGCTTCCAGGCATTTGAGGGCATAGTTTTGAGCCTTTTCATAACCCGAAACAATGTCACTAGTCTTCAGGCCCATACGAATGAGCTCTTCCGCCTTCTTTAACAGCTCACCCGCCAGTACAATGACCATATTGGTGGCATCACCCATTTCCGCCTCTTGCTGTTGGCTGGCCATGACCAGCAGTTTTGCGGCGGGGTGTACAACTTCCAATTCTCGTAATATGGTGGCAGCGTCGGAGGTGAGGATCATCTTCTGAAGATGGTTGATGACAATCTTGTTCCTGCCATAGGGTCCTAGCGAGGTCTGCACCGTCTGCGCAATTGTCCGACACGCATCGATCTGCTTGTAGTCAGTTTCGCTGCCTGGTGGAGGGGCATATTCTGAGACTCACGTTGCGGATGACTGCGCCATCCTCGGCGTCATAGCTGTTGTACCCTTGCTTGAATAGACCCTGCTGAGAGGGTTGTGGGATTGTGAGAGACATGTTGGGTGGTATGTTTGTTGATGAAGTCGCTATTTCCAATCCTCGATGGCTTCCAGAATATTTTGTTCCGCAGTTTCGCGAGGCTCAACGCCAAGATTGACGAGGCTCGCTGCCCCTTTAGACCAAATTCGCTGCTTTCCTATTGCATCTTTGCGTAAGTCGGTACCTGACTCCTGGAGCTATTATTACGGGGCCTAGCATAACAGTCTGCGACCACTGTTCGCTTTCGAGCGTACAACGATAGTACTGCACCTATGCTCTTCGGTACCATCTCACGCCGACTCCGACTGCAATTAGGCCCCGAAGCTGGGAAGGGCTTAGTCATAACTTGGCAGTATATTTGAGCCTTTCCATTGGCTCGGACCACCCCGCAGCCATGGTTCACATGCCGGGCATCGGGGCATCCCAGACCCTAAGAGTTCAGCTCGAACAATATAAAGTTCGCTGGTTGTCTCCTGAAGGGCACTCCAGGTGACATTGGCGTCTACCTCAATCCCACTCCTCCAAAACATTCAAATCTTCCGTCCACGTACCGTTACTCGAGCGGGAAGAACATGGCACCAAACAAGACACCTCTGTCACAATCGACCGTGGTCCTGGTTGCAGCCAATGTCGTCGGCATGATCTGGATCGGGTTCGGCATCTTCGACCTCATCAACCCTGTCGAGGGGCTCACATTCTTCGAATTCAAGCCTCCCGTGCTTCCTGCAGAGCAAGCTATGGTCAACAGCCTCATCTATGTGATTGGTATCAGGGACATCTTTATCGGTTTCGCCATACATGCGACAGCGTACTTCGGCAATCGCACCACACTAGCATGGATTATGCTTGCTGCCAGTGCTGAGGCTTTCTTGGACGGCGCGGTTTGTTACGCAAACGGCAAAGGAGAATGGAATCACTGGGGATATGCGCCAATGTTGACTGTTGTTGGGTTACTGCTTCTAGGCCTATTCGATGGAAGCAAGAAATAAGTTTTCTATCGTAGCTCCTCATGATGTTTGGGAAAAAGAAGACTTGCGGAAAATTCATCCTCATTGTGAAACTATTCGGACTAGACTATCCCATTTGACCTTGACCACATGGTTGCCATCAATACAGTGTTTCTTGCCGGTGCGCTAGTAGCATAGTCGTGTCCATAGACTGATGAATGAGCCGATGATGAGGAAAAGAGAAGGTGAATAAAACTGTACTGATCGGGCAACTTACTGGAAGACTGGTAAAACCGCCGCTACTTCGAGCGTCTGTCGCTGTGCGAAGACGAGATAGTTGAATTGCAGAAGGCAGACGATTTGCTTGTTCTGGTCCCGTGCTTAGGCAAGCAATCTGACTTTGCACTTGAGCATTCATTCCCGAGCCTCGGTGCTTTCCTGCATAGACAGAGAAGATAAGCACGAGCCCAATGCCCGTGGCCCCATGATTGCCTGGCGTATGATCTCGTCAACACCAATGATCACAAGTCGGGGCGAATGAGGAAACCGCAATTTGGGGATGACTGCAGAAGTCAGACAAAGGACGTATGATCTGGTCTACACCACTGATCATAAGGCAAGGAGAATTGCAAGCCCTCAAAAAGGGATGGCCGCAAGTGCAAGCTCGTGGGCGCACCACAAGCTCGCGAACAAGTCTCGAAGACGAGGACCCGACCCGGGGCAGGCTCATAACCTATCAAAAAAGGGTATGGGAAGAGAGTGGCGCGAAGGCAAAGGACTTCGGAGGCGTGGGCAGGAAAAGGACACAGAAAGCCATGATGCATCAGTATATCTGTAGCTGCCCAGGCTGAGAAGTTGATCGGGAGTGTAGCATACGTTGTCACTGACCTATCACTTGATTGGTCGACGAAACCCCGTGAATCAGGCAACACGGTCCGGGATCAAACCACAATCAGAAAGGCAGCCACGCGATCAACTGGACACATCCCTTGAGATCAACCTGCGTCTCTCGAATCAACTCCCGCCCATAGCTTCTACTTCACCGGAAATAAAACCTCAACCTGCCTTTCACAACTCTCCTTCCCCCACACCTCTGACTTCCCCTGGGCCTGGTGCCCCTCTCCGGCCCCCTCCCCCCTTCTCATCCCCGCCTTTCCCCTTGAGTCACTGTGCTGGCCGCTGACTCTCCTCTACAACCCTTTCCAAATCTGAGGCTGGGATGCGTCCTCGGCTTCGCGGCTTCGCAGGTTTAGAGCCCTGTAGCTCACTTTTGGAGTGCTTCCAAACCTTACTTCTGGCTTTTACGTCGTGCGAGCCTTGCCCCCTCTCAGGCCTATGGTCATGGAAGGTTCGACTGCCAGGGGACGCTGGTTCGAGCACCTTCAGGGTGGTACTCTGCACTTGGTGAGTGTACCATGTTCCCATCGTCTATACACAGAATAGTCTGACACCTCAATAGTGTCATAAGGGTGGGTGGGAGTCTGGCTTGGATAGTTCCGCAATCAGAATGGATTCTCACAGGCCTCTTCTATCTCATAACAGCAGAAATTCATCTGGCCTTTTCAAATTTTATCGGCGACCTCCGTCGTGAAAACAAAGCACCCGAGACCCGGGGAGGTCTCCCAGAGATAGAAAGACCCCTGGTGTACAGCATGTTGAGTACTTTTGTAAAGATACCTGGTTGGGGTTCTATGCATCAAGTGTATAATCCAGCAGCACCACAGCGATGGCCTATTTCGATATACTCCGCCAATAAGTCCACTTCACTGACGTTCTATTGCGACAATGATTCTCGATGGACGCCAGCATCTATAGTAATACGCGGGCCCTCGAAGTTCTTTCGACCGTCAACGATCCACTGAATGGTCGAGATGACCAGGATGATAGCGAATGCAACCACACAGTAGTTCATCGTCGAGCCACTCACCGGCAAGGCTGGTGGAAACAGAAACAAAACGGTGGTGACAATTGTGTAGACCAGGCCGATGATGTTGGCAGTCCATCCAAGCCATGGCGGTAAGCTGAAGCTTCTCTCCGGTAGCTTGCGTCTGAAAGAGATCAGATTCAGAGCCACAGGGATGCCGTAGCTCACACCCAGAGCTACGACCGAGGCCGCAATGATGGCGTTGAACGCGACGGTCGAGCCGAGATAGATACATCCGAAGACAACCACGACCAGGACGTTGAGGAGGAGTGCATTCATGGGAACGCCGAGGCCAGCATGAACCTTCCACCAGATGGCCGAGGCTGGCAGACCGCCATCTCGAGCAAAAGCGAATGTCATGCGAGAGGACGTGGTCATGACAGCAATGCCAGCGAAGACGAAGCAGACTAGTGGGAACACCAAAAGGCACACCGCCCCAACTTTGCTGTCGGTGGCAAGGTAGAACGTTTCCAGGAGAGGTCCAGCGGAGGATTCAATAATAGTTGGGGCATTCTGGAGCCCACCCGAGGCGAATAGAACGACTATCAGAAAGATGAATCCCGTGGAAATACCGATGAATTGGCAATAGATCATGATCTTTGGCCCTTCAATGGCCGCATTTGGGATCTCTTCAATCATGTGGGCGACAGCATCGAATCCTGTGAGGCCAAGCCCGCCCTGCAGAAGGCCGAGAAGCCACGCAATGCCGTCAGGCCAGCCTGTCTGCAATTCGAGTTAGTAACGGCAATGCAAGTAGCTGGCTAGTACATACCTCGTTGATCCACGTGGCGAAAACATATCTGCCAGTCGCATAATCTGGTGCTGCACATGCCAGGAGGGTAATGGAAACAATCAGGAACCCTCCGATACTCCACGTGAGTGCAACTCCATTGACGTGGGGCAGCAAACGCTGCATAAACGCATTGACGAAGAAGCTAATAGCTGTCATGCCGAGATAGATCAGGAACTGATGCCATCGCTTGAAATTGTAGCTGTCATCGTAAAGCGAGATCATGTTGATGATCAAGGTACTCGCCAGAGAGCTGTTTGTGGCAACGAGTGCCACCCATCCGGTGAGGTTGATCCAGCCAGTGACCCATGATAGACCCCGCTTGAGTTGAGGAGGACTGATCATCGCAACCCAATGATACTGGCCACCAGCAGTGGGATAGGCCGACAGAAATTCCGCCAGACTTGCCGCCAGCGAGAGATTGCAGATACCAGCGGTAACAAGGCCCCATACCACAGCAATTGGCCCTCCAGAGGGTAATGCGAGAGATAAAGAAGCTGCTAGTGCGGTCCAACTGTTGAGAATGGCAAAGGCAAGACCCAGCATAGTCCATCGGGAGAATTGTCGTTCGAAGGACTGAGCATGGCCGAGCTGGGCCAGCTGGAGATCATCGGTGAGGCCTTCCTTCATGTTGGCGACTGAGAGCAGACGAAGTTCAGAGATAGCGAGGGAAAAGAGCTGGTCAACAGCATTAAGACCAAACACAATGGCTTACTTTTGAAGGCAGGCCAGCCCTTGTCAAGAGGCGTAAAGCCACGAACTCCGGCTCCTGAAACGTCGCATCGTCCTTCCGCAACGAGAAAGGTTTGGTTACCACGAGCGTTGAAGTCCGGGATTAATCGCAAGGGTCCACTGGGGTGCTCGACTCTCCAATCTGCTGCGCAACGGTACAGGAACATAGGGCCAGCCAGGGCCGGCCTGCAACAAAGAACTTGACGACAGACTGTCAGCCTGCATTAGTGCAAACATGTAGAGTCAATAAGAAGGCTGCAGATCAAAATGATTGAAGTCTACCCCAGATCCATAGGATACCACGCGCTTTTGAAACTCACCGAAAGTTCCGAGATAGAATTGGGGTTGTGTTATCCCCTGAGGGCTGGCGAGTCTCCCCGCGTCTTGGGCGTCTTGGGCGTCTTAGGCGAGCTTGGTAATGCTTAGCAGCCCATAACCCCACACCCCCAGCTCGCCCAGGTTCACAACAGATCACGTGCATAGTCGTCGAGCGTTCTTCTATTGTAGTCACTGTGTCGTTCAACTCAAGGCAACTTTGTCGGCGGTAGATCCTATTCATCTTACCTTCCAATACAGGCTATCCGCAGCGGCGACGATGCGCATCCACAGGCACAACCACTCGATTTCGTAGGGCTGGTTAGGCGAAGGCCCGGCAGGATCGCATATGCCACGGTGTAGAGGCTGAGCAGGGAGTACTAGTGGTCAACAAAATTGACTGGCGGGGTCCTCAGACTCATAGTAGAGGCATGCGGTTGATGAATCGGTATGAGCCCAAGGATCACGCCCATCATTTTCGTCCAGCACTGGTGAAGGCCTACCTCGGAGCCATACTGGAAGTTAATTATGAAGGGACTTCTTTGCGCAAGGTAGACTGCATTGCTTTAGGAGAGATACCTAGCCTGTATACGACACTAGCGCGGAACTGTCATCCCTCTGGCAGCGACGGGACGAGTGCTGGCTGCGCCCTCAGTGGCACCACAGCACATCCTCATTTGGCAACGTATTGGTGTTGGCGACCTCATTCTGTCATACAAGACACTCGATTAGTTCAAACGATGCCTTAGGGGTCTCCCGAAGTCTGCAATCAAGTATATGGGTGTTCGGGAATCTAGGCCACTAGTTGTGCAGAGCGTATCGAGGCAGCTCTGCCACGATGCCAAGGCACATCTTGTTTCCAATTCTTGCAAGCGAAGTTGGTGACGGTTTCGGAGCACTTCGCTGGTGTTCGTCGGTGGGTTGCTCCCATTGGAATCGCAGGCTCGGTAGTGACGGTCAAGGCAGACGTAGGAAGGCGCGATGGATAGTGGCATTGGCTTCAAGTACTCGACCCCTTGGTAATCGCGACCTCGAAGGTGTTCTAGCATCTGAATGCAGTGACTCTGTGTATTACAACCGGAGGCTAAGGACTGTGATCATCGATCTGATTGTCGAAGAGGCAATGCCTTACCGTGTGCTTGTCTTCGTGGATTGATGATTGTACTCACAAGAAGGCAGGTTGGTGCCAGAGTACATGTATGTACCTTGCTGACGTACACCGTAACATCCGTGGCATGGCCTGGGTCCGGAAATTGAAGTCAGTGTCCCGATCAGTCCCATATGCTCGACTGGGGTGAAAGTGCTCGTTGTGGTCAAAGGGCTCTGCATGATCGAAGAGCCTCTCAAGCTACGCTCTTCAGCCTCTTGGTAGGCCGACTTCGGACTCGGGAAACTTACCTTCTCCACTTTGTCATAGCTCGATCGGTGCGCGGACACGTCGTGATGCGGTGGCATGGTGAGCATAAGACAGATTTTCCACACTTCAGGTCAGCGAGAGCGGCGCAGGAGCGCACAGCCCTTGCCGCGTGCTCATTCCCGGAGGTACAATGATCTCTGGGGTAATCGTACGGCACAACTTCGTATGGAGAGCCGCTGCTAGAGGAGAAGCACCAGATCAGAGCAAGGCTAGCGTCCGTGATGAAGCGCGAGCTGCTTGAATCTTCCAGACGCTTCGTGCAGGGTGGGGAAGCGCTGGTCGTCTCATAGCCCGAGATACATTAAGTCCGACTTGATGGTACCGAAATATCAATGCTGCCGATTCCGCTTGCTGCAAGTTGCTGTGATCCACGAGATCATTCGTTTGGATTACCATGACAATCGGTGAAGGAGGAAAGCCGCATCCTTGGAAGCAGATCCGCCGTGTTGCGGTCACGTGACATTCAGACCCTTGTGGGGGATTGCAGCGGCCCGCGCCGTTTGACAGGCCTTCACCGCAGCTTTCACCTTTCATCCGATGTCGACATCGACGCTGTCTCATCAAGCTCAATGCAGGGACAGACTTTGGGCCGTCAATCATTGCGGCACCTTGCAGAGTGAGGCGCTGATTGCGTCGAATCGCATGCCGGCAGCCTAACAGCTCGACCTCTGGAGCCTTGCGACGTGGTCGGGTTGGTGAGTGGCTCTTGGTTCTTCACTACACATCCACTCTGAATTCACCGCTTCTATTGATGCCCAAGATGCTTGGACTCTTGTTAGGCACAGCTAGCCTCATTTCTCTCAAGGTCTGTTGGTCACGAGATCCGCCGTTGTTGACTTATAGCTCAATGAAGAAGACTGACTTGGCCCCGTCTAATTTCAAAAGTTGATCTGCACTGCTCCACTTGAAACAGGCGCTGTGTCACCGCCTCGCCTACCTAAGCAAAACGTTTTGAGGTATTTCTAATCCGCTAGATCCCAGCATGGCTTCCGAACGCAGACTCCGTCGACTCTCTCAAGCCCAGCAACCAGGGACCAACATGGCGCCAAAGCGATCAGTCAGTATACGCAGAGCTTACAACTACGTCTTCCGGCGAGAACGCTCGCCTGGAGACCCAAATCCTGCCTCCGAAAAGGATTCCGCCGTATCGAAGGAGCCAGCAGAATCAAGGAAGTCCACCTCACAGAATCCGCCACAGACCCGGATCGAGTATCTCGAAAGACAACTCCAACAATGTCGTGCAGACCTGGTCGAGGCCCGCGACCTGGCCGCAACCCAAGACAGCGACATCGCCGACCTTCAGCAGAAGATGCACGACCTAGATGAAGAATATCAGCTGAAGCAGGAGGCTCTTCATCAAGAAAAAGCCAGGATCGAGGAAAATATGGTTTCGGTTGTGATGGAACAAATTAAGACAGCACGGAGCGATGAGCGTGCCAGAGTCGAAGCTGAGAACAAGGCTTCAAGAGATGCCCTCGAGCAAAAGTACAACGATGCCCGTAACGAGGAGCGTGCTGCCATTGAAGCAGAGAACAGGACTGCGAACAAGGCCTTCGAGGAGAAGTACAAAGCCCAGGTGGACAAGCACAAGTCGAGAGTCGCTATAATGCAGCAAGAGATCGACAACGCCAGAGCTGCAAAGTCGGACACCGAAAACGAAGTGACGTCGTTACGTGCTGAGATCGCCTCACTGAAAACAGATCTGGAGGCCGCTAAGGCGGCAGTCGCTGAGAGCACCCAGACCTTACAAAATCTCCAGCAAGCTTCCTCGTCGGCGCTGGAGGAGGCACAGAAGACGACTGAAGCCCTGAAGGCTGATCATATGACTCAGATTCAAACCCTGACGGAGAACCTCTCAACCGCGGAGTCATCCGTCCAGGAACACACCCAGCTGTATGAAGACCTTCAACGAAGCTCTGCTGCGTCCACCGAAACCGCTAGTAAATCGCTAGCCGAGCTTAGGGAGCAGCTTGACACTCAAGCCGTTTCCCACACCAATGATCTGGCGAAGCTCAAGAGCGATCTCGAGGCAGCAGTCGCCAGTAAAGGAGAGCTCGACTCAGCTAGGGCTGTCGTCGACACAGAGTTGGCTGAAGCTAAAGCTCAAATCCTGGAGCTTACTGGGCGGCTTGAAGACTTGGAAGCCACCCGAGCTTCACTAGAAGAATCCAAAGCCAGAATTGCTCAATTAGAGACGGACATCGAGGAATTGTCCGTTGCAAAGACTGCCCTCGAAGCGGGAGAGGCACAGCATGCCAAAGATGCCCAAGAACTGGCTGCATTACAGGACAAGTCTCAATCGTCCGAGTCCAAGATTGCAGAACTCACAGTCCAAGTCCAGGGTCTAAAGGCTGTTGAGGAGCAGTTGCAGAAAGCGGACGCCCAAATTGGCGACCTGAAGACTGAGCTTGAAACCGCCCAGTCTGGAAATACGGAGCTGGAGACCATGAAAGCAGGCCATGTGAGTCTATCGGCCGAACTTGAAGCTCTCCAGCAAAAGTTGAAGACAGCCGAGGAATCGCTTAATGCCGCAACCGAAGCCCAAAATGCTGCTGAATCGCAGACTGCCGCTGCTAACCAAGCTCAAGCTGCCGCCGAGGCGCAGGCCTCATTGGCCAAAGGCGAGCATGAGTCATTGAGGGCCGAGCTGGAAAAGCAAGTCGCCGATGCGAGATCAGCACAGGCCGCGTCTGATGAAGCTCTTCTCCAAGCCAAAGCGGAGATCGCGGCTGTCTCAAACAGTGATCTGACGGCTGAGCTCGAGGAGAAACTTAGATTGGCAGGCGAGGCTCAGCGAAGCGCCGAGACAGCGTTGACTAAGTCCCAGGCTACGGCCGACGCGGCCGCCACTGAGGCAGCTGCCCGTTTCAAAGCTTTGGAGGAGGAGCTGGAGACGACGAAGAGCTCCGGTTCCGCGGCCGCTGAGCAGCTCAAGGCCAAAGAAAGTGACATCAAGGTCGCCGTGGCCACCGCTGATGAGACCGAAGCTCAGCTCCAGGAGGCTCTAGCTGAGCTCGAATCGGTAAAATCCAAGGCTGCCGCCAGTTCTCAAGCCACGGATGACAAGGCTGCAGAGACCGAAGCGAAGCTCCAAGAGACACTCGCGGAGCTGGCCGTCGTCAAGGAACAGGCCCAAACTAACTCCGACGGTGCGTTGCTCAAGGCTGAGCAGACCGAGGGGAAGCTGCAGGAGGCTCTAGTTGAGCTCGAGGAATTGAAGGTCAAGGATGCAGCCAATTCTCAAGCTATGGCTGACAAAGCTGAAAATACCGAAGTGAAGCTCCAGGAGACGCTCGCTGAGTTGGCGGCTGTGAAAGAAGCAGCCGAAACTAAGGCTGAACAGACTGATATGAAGTTGCAGGAGGCTCTTGCTGAGATCCAGTCATTAAAGGAAAAGGAGCAAGCCAATGGCGAAGCCGCCGCGGCCAAATTCACCGAGAACGAGACGAAACTTCAGGAGAAGCTCGCCGAGATCGAGGCCGCGAAGGACAAGGCCACCGCCGAATGCGAAGCCGCTGTGGCCCGAACCGGAGAGGCCGATGAGAAGCTTCAGCAGACCCTTGCTGAACTCGAGGCTGTGAAGGCAAAGGCCAAAGCCGACTCTGAAATAGTCCCTTCTAACGTGGAAGCCGACGACACGGCCGCTGCCAACACCGAAGAGCTCAAGGCTTTGCAAGCGCAAATGACAGCCAAGGACTCCGAGATTGAGGAGCTCAAGGCCTGGAAGATCAAGATGGAAGTCGAGCTAGAAAATCTCATGAAGTCACCCGCCTCAGAGAAGACCTTTGTATCCCAAAGCAAAGCCGACGACACGCCACCTGTCACTCCCGCGGCCGAGGCCGACCCGGATGACATCTGGGATAATGCACCTAAGAAGGGCAAGAAGGGGAAGAAGAACCGCAACAAAAGCGTTTCTGCCGCGCCCGAATAGACAGCTGCGGCGTAGGTCGAAAGCCGTGTGTTTGATTAACGGACATGAGTTGCGAGCAAAGGCTGTGAAGATGTGGAAGTAATTGCTTGGACATAAGAGGTGCATTTTGTTACTGGGCGAGCGAGCGAGCGCTGAATTGAGTTTGATGCCTGCCACGCGCAACGACACGCATACGACCATGATGGAGATAGATTGATACCACCTGCTGTAGATAGTACATGTAGCCTTCTGCACTCGTTAACATTGAAGTCGGATGGGCGTCGCCACTCTCCGTCCTGGACTTCACTCACTCACTCACCTCCATCCGACTCGTCTGCCTCTCCATATTCTATCAATTATGCCTAGATTGCCAAAGGATTGGTGGCCTTGACGGCCAGGCACTCTGTCTCGGGGGTGTCACCGTCGAAAGTCTCGGCGCGGGGGAACAGCGACGTCAACTTCCAGGGCACGTTTGCGCCACGCTAACTTTTCCTGGTTCATCATCGGAGCTCTCGAGATCTTAGCTGGACATGCTGGTCGGCATCTCGTCACCATGAGCGCACGTGGGATCGGAGTTGGTCCCACCGCATCCAATACTGGAAGAGCTTCGATACACGCACCCTCTGGGTACCGCAAGCTATGCTCTAGCTTCAGCACTATTCCCAGCTGCCCATGGCCGCTATCCCGAGGTTGTGTTGAGCTCTAGATTTTCACGATGACTGCCCGTCTTGAAAAGGTAGCAGGAAGCCTTCCTATGCGTCGACACCGTCAACCTACGAATCATCATCTCAAGCAAAAATGCTGAGACCCTTGCTCTGGGCGGCTTTCGTGCCGCTGGCTATTGCAAGCGATGTTACAATCTATCAGCCCGGTGTCTCATACTTGCCAGAGAAGCTGCCGGCACCGGGCCCAGCATCGCACTTTGAGGAGATCATCACCCAGTTCAACCGGCTGGGACGTACCACGGTTTGGAATCTGGTCAAGAAGGTCAAGATCGAGGGCGATACGGGCGAGCCTGAGGGTATGGTCAACCTGGGCGAGGAGAGATATCTGGTATCTCGAGGGAACTGGACCGAGGCCACGAAATCTTACGGGTCGGGCGTCATCATCAACGGTACCAACCGCTCACCAGGTGCCGGCTATGCTCATCTGAACATCTACGATGGAGAGGGTCAGCTTGTTGCAGATGCTCGCTTGACGGAGCCTGGAGATATCGAGTATCATCTTGGTGGGATTGACTGGGACGGCGAAGTCGTCTGGGCGACGTTATCACAGTATCGTCCTAACACTACCGCCACTGTAGTCACGATTGACCCGAAGACCCTCAACATGACCGTCGTCGCTCGGTACAGAGATCATCTGGGCGGAATCGTACACGACCAAGCAAAGAAACAAATTGCGACCCTGAATTGGGGAGCTCGCAACGCGTCTCTTATGGGATCTGACCAGTCTGCCCACGGAACCAGCGACTGACGACTTCAGCCAGCCTATCTCTGTCGTTCGGAACCCATCCTTGTATACGGACTATCAAGACTGCAAGTTTCTCGGCGACTCCGAGGTCTACGACTTTCGGTCCGTTATGATGTGCTCTGGCACGACGACGCTCGCAAACAACTGCACCATTGGCGGATTGGCGATCGTTGATATCGAGACTATGGTGCCTCTATCGGAAGTGCCGCTGACGATGGAGACCGAGCTGGGCGCGTACATTGCTCAAAATCCATTCGACGTCGACATCGTCAATGGCAAGATGCGCCTCTATTTCATGCCTGACCAGCACAACTCCACGGTATACATCTATGAAGCCGATGAGAACAGCCCATTCCAGTTTGGCGGTGGGGAACTCTGATCCGAGAAACAGCTTGGCTTTGAGGCACTAGGGAGGGCGCCAGCCTCCACCTGTTGCCAGATACCAATCATGCCCATCAGCCAGTAAAGAGAACTTTACCCTAAGCTTCATGTGCCGGTACCCTCCTGACTGGCTTATCTACAGTATCTTGCAGTTGTGTTCCTTTTACCGAACTCCTCACCTCACCGCCTAGCGTGCATCAGGAACGAGGTCGAAAACTCTCACGCCTTTTTTGCAGTAAACTTCGTTCCAACGACACTTTGCACCACATTCCAGTTGACGTACTTATGGATCGACTCCATCAAAGTTGTCAAGCACGCGGCCGCCTCATTGCACCGCATCCACCGTCTCGGTACTACTCCACATTCCACCGGCCCTTTGGTCTTCGCTGATTAACGGGCCCGTGAAGTACAACCACGCGCAGACCAGGATAGGGTTCAAGACCCGCCGCCATTGCTGATTAACCATTCGATCAAAGAACGAGACCTGCAGCGCGACGGCAACTCCTTGCAGCAGGAAAAAAGCCAGTTCCTTCAGCGGCTGAGTTGGGCCCGGCAGCATGTACGACCCGCAGAAATGGATCACGCCCGAGAGGAAGAAGCTCCAGAACACCCTGGCCAGGCGAAGAATGGCTTTGGTCTTCGGGTTTGTTGAGCGCGGAAACACCAGATCTGAGGCAGACTGGAATCCAAACTTGAAGTAGTTGTGCCATGTCACTCCCCACAGACCTGCGAGACAGCGTCAGTATGTGCCGCCCGCCCGCCCGCCCCGAGAATGGGGCCTTTTCTGAAACACTCACCGGCAAGACCATATTCGATGACAGCTCCCACTGGACCCCAAGGACTGGGATTGTAGTCCAGACTTACGTATATGTCCGATGGAGACAGCCATTGGCCAAGCTCGCCAAGAACCATCCAGCAGGAATGACAGAAGTTAATGAATGGAATGCTCGCCAGAATCCAAGTGCCGACGTGCAAAGCTTGCAGCAGCTGGGGCGAATCGATCTTGTGCTCGAGACGCGGTGAAGTCCAGTTGACGCCCTGGATTGTGAGATAATCGAGCAGAACCTTGACAACGGCGGGCAGTACGCCGACCGGTGGCCACTCCTTGCGTGCCTTTGGGCTTTTCTCTGGTTTCTTCTCCGCTCCGCTTGGACCTATCTCCATCAGCATCAGGCCACCTCCGGAGAGAATGGCTCCACTAACCGTGCTCGAACGACCAGCCCGCGCGACGGAAGCTGATGAGCAAGTCTGCTGTCCAAGACAGTCTCGCCAGAGAGATGGTCTCTGGAAATCGCTGCCAGACTTTACCGTCTTGTTCGAATTCCGAGAGATTTCGTGGTGCTTTGGTATAGCGAAGGCGGGCAAAGTCGGCCGGTGGGTTGAAGCGGAGCAGCAAGACTGACGCCCATATGACGATCCAGCATTCAAGGAGGCCAGTCATAAAAGCAACTGACGGGTTCTCGATCTTAAGCCCCGTGATAACGCTCGCAGAGCTGGCCGCGATGGCGACAAGGGTCGAACCTCGGCTCAGTTGGTTCCTGTAGAACAACGAGGGGAAGTTGAGCGCGGCCAGTAGTAGCGCCGGTGGTGCCAGCGCCCACGAGCAGGCCACAATGGCATCCGGTGACACAGACTCCATGTCGGCTTCTTGAGAAGACTGCTCAGCTGGGTGCGATGGCAAGTTGAAAATCCGTTGCAATGGATCAGGCGGCCGTTGGGTACCTGAGCACGACTATACCGTTCAGGAATCCCGTTGCATGGATGATAAGACGTGGGGCATTCTTTGCGTAGCATCAGCGCGCGCGTCACCTTTTAAGATGAACAGCGAATTGAAGCCAATTCCCACTGTCAACTTGAACACCACGTACATGCCTCCGCAGCGGATCCTGCACCATTACATGGTGGCGAAGGGTCTTTGTCGTGCGGCCGCAGGAAGGCCGCGCGAAAACGCGAAAACGCCGTTCGATGATGGGACCCAACAGGGCCTAGCGAGCGGTTCGGAGCGATCGATTGGAGAGTATATTATAACCTACCTACAGTGGCCAAGCGCTGTGTGACAGCTGGCAAAAAGACTAGCCAGGTGTCACCCGCAGCAAAGTGGGGAAACCAGTTGCATAACAACCTACCTCTGTATATCCCTCTATCACATGGAACCGCCCTCTGCCGGCCGCCCGGCTTTTGGGACTCTGGCCCCCCTTTGGCGATTCGACGATCGACGTTCCTCGCAGATAACGATGGGGCTCCGATTCTTCGAGGGAAAAACTCACCACGATGGAGTCGCGACGTTGCAGCCACCCACGTCGACGGACCGGGTCGAACGAACCATTCGACGCGCGCGCCAATACGGCTTGCACATTCCTGATGCCCGTCTGCGTGGCGAACCCTCCCAAGGTGGATCAACATGTTACCAACATTCCTATCCCGAGGCCGGCCCAAGAGGAGGAGTCTTGACTTTCGGGAACGTCTCAGCACCAGTGAATGCACTGAATGGACGTTGGGCCTCACGGCAGCTCCAGCGGCTCGGTGTAGCTTTCGCCCTTCACGGCAGAAGATAGCAGACGCTTCCCGGAATGGTGACATGGGCACAGCTGCCCGAAGTATACAACAGGTCCCTCGGATACATACCCTCCTCGTCTTGCGCTGCCTGAGGCCTTTCACTTGTGTAACCAACCCATTCGCCGCTGCCCAACCATGAAGATCCCAACCATCATCCCTTTGGGCTCTCTGCTCGTATTGCAGTATGTTGCTCTCAGCATCACCATTGCCGTCTACCACCCACACGTCTACTTTCCCGGTATCCGGATAGTGGCATTGCTAGCGTTGCTTGTCACGGATGTGCTGGGCTACATTCTGTGGCGATCCTTGATTCGACCCCAATTTAGTGTCCTTCGAGATCTCCCACAACCTTCGGTAAGGTTATACAGAAAGAAGGAAGTCGTCGGCTAACCAGACCGATAGACGCGTGGTGGTCTTCTGACCGGCCACGTTGGAGCTGTATTCAGTATTCCCCTTGGCCGTCAAGTCGCAGACTGGGTCAACAACATCCCGAACAATGGCTTGGTGTGGTTCCGAGGCATGCTGGGAGCAGAGTACTTGATCGTGGCAGGAGCTGAAAGCCTCCGAGATGTCCTGTTCGCAAGAGCCTACGACTTTGAAAAGACTAGCGCGTTCCGGCGATACACGAGACGTTTCATGGCCGCAGGGCTTGTCACGCATGAGGGGGACTCCCACAAGCGCAGAAGAAGGGCTATTGCCCCCGTATTTCAGCCTCGTAACGTCGATGCTCTCAAACCCATGCTCTCCGAGAAATCAGAGAGGTTAATCCAAGCTTTGAGTCGCAAGGCTGCCTGGGATCAGGGGTCAGCATCGCAGACGAATGACGGCACAGTAATCGACATCTGTGATTGGGCTACGCGATTCGCCCTGGATGTCGCGTGTGTTGTCGGTTTCGGAGACGACTGGGGATTGGTTGAAACGCCAGAGGTCAAGCCAATCCTGGCCGCGTACCAGACTATCTTTACAGGTTCGAAAACCAAGATGAGCCAATATGCGTGGCATAACACTGCTCCACGCTGGCTGGTTGATGCTTTCCCCCACCAATTGGATAAATCCATGGACGAGGCTGCCCGGACGGTCAATGCAATCTCCCTGCAGGCAGTGATGAAGCGAGTGCAGAAGCTTGAGAGAGGTGAAAAGTGCCCGCAGGACTTCTTGACTGAAGTCATCCAGTCCAAAAAGTTCACTCCGCAAGAGTGCTCGGATGAACTGCTCATTCTGATGGCCGCTGCGTGAGTTACACCCATGTGCCACTCGCCCCCACGCCACCGGTGTTTCTAGAATCTGACAAACTGATGTCATGTGTAGCCACGAAAGCACCGCCGCGCTCATCGCCATGACCGTCTACCAGCTCACCCAGAACCCCCAGCTGCAGGCCCAGCTTCGGGAAGAGCTCGCCTTCTTCGGCCTGCGCGCCGGTAGCGCCCCCATCAACGAATCCCAGTATGAGCACATGACTCTGCTCAACGCCGTCCTCAGCGAGATGATGCGCCTTGAGCCACCTCTGCCAATTACATTGCGCAAGACCGTCCGCAACACTTCCATCGCCGGCCACCCCGTCCGAGCCGGCACCTATGTCATTGTATGGCCTCTTTCCCAAACTAACCCTCCCCGCGAAGACCACTTGCTCACGTTTTCTCCCAGATCTCTCCCTACGCCATGGGCCGGTCCCAAGACATCTGGGGCCCCACCGCCTCACACTTCAACCCCCACCGCTGGATCGACCCTCCGGCCGCCACTATCAACAGCGAGAAGCCCGCCACGGCTGCTGCTGCTGCTGCTGACGACGCCTCCCCACCCTTCGGCACGCTCAACGAGCACGGCGGCGCCGCCAACCACTACGGCATGCTGACCTTCCTCAAGGGCCCCAAGGGCTGCACGGGCGAGCGCTTCGCGAAAGCCGAGCTGCGCCGCGTCATTGCGTCGTTGGTCGCCAACTTTGAGTGGACGCTCGAGCAGAGCCATCGGCCTGAGCAGGTCGGCATTGTGGTGGTGAAGCCGGAGAACGGCATTTCAGTTCGGTTCCGAGCTGTCAGCACGCCGGAGCCTGAGATGGAGGGAGAAAATGAAAAGGGGGATTTGCTGCTTTGAGTATGACGGCTTCCATGCTGTTGGGGAGAGGCAGTATCGGGGAGTGCGGAAGGGTGTGGAGTTGCGATCGGCCCACCCTCTATCTCCTTCCGGCAAAGCTTCGTTGTCTTAGCGAGGCGGCAAGTCGGTGAGGCGACGAACACCCTGCTACCCCGGGCGCCGGCTCGAACCAAGGCGATGACTTCCTTTTCTACCGATGAACGACCCCACTGCGCTCAAGGTCGGATTTTTCTCGCTTCTTGGTTCACTGCGCAACTAGACCACGGCTCGACAGTCATTTAATTCGACCAGGGAAGGACATTTGGCTACGCTTTTCTCTTTGGGTTTTGTTTGCAAATGCTGGTTGCTGGTCTTCTAGCGGAAAGAGAAACATATATAGAGCAGATAATGTCCATGACGAAGACACGGCCGATACATACATATGAATATAGACGTTACATATGTCGGCATGTACGGCTCCGCGTCCGCATCTTCTGCTTTCGTTGCGGCGCGATAGTAGTCAGGTCCGCACAATTTCGTCAGAAGACAGCATGGCACCTCTAGCGCACATGGCTGCTCTTACGTGCTTATTGTTGAGAGAGGAACCTCGCAATGCATGCCCTGTTGCATACGGTACGAACCCTCGGCAAAGGATGCTTGGCACCACCCCCCTCCCGAACCCCCCGGGGCGTGGCATGCGTGGGGGTAGCTCCATAGTCTTGGCGCTCAGAAGCTGCAAAACCTTGATCATAAGTGGCCCAGCTCGTCGAGCTCGCCCCTTGTCAGATGCCGTGGGACCGGTGACGATGCGCGCTCAGCATGAGCGTCAAGCGGCCGCGCGAGGATGATGAAGATCAACCGTTTCTGTCGCAGCTCGGCGATCGCCCGCCAAAGACGCGACTGACTCGAGCTTGTGAGCATCTCCACCTTGCACCCCCCAGATGGCAGTCGTTAACGCTCGGGTGTTTAGGTGCAGAGTGCAAGAAGCATAAGATCAAATGCGAAGTGCAGGCAGGTCAAACAGCTTGCAACAAATGTCTTCGAAGCGGCATTGAATGCGTGCCTTTCAACTTTGCGCAAAAGTTCATTGATGACGATGCACAGTATGTTGGATTCCATGGTATGCTGGACTGGCTGACCAAATGACTAGATGGAAGGCTGAAGCGGCTGCGGAACGTGAGCAACTGAAGTCCGCCGTACAATATCTGCTGCGGCACAGTCAACTACCTGAGCTTGCTGCCTTCGCCAATGGCCAGGCGCCCCCCACACCAAGCGGGCCGGCGACATCTCGAAGTCTCGTCGATCCTCCCACAGATCTTTCGGGCGTTGCGACGACGGAGTCAGCGCCCGAAGATAACGGTCTTGTGACAGCTCCGATGAGAATCCTGCATAGCTTGACGCAAAACGGAGCTTTGCAACCGGTTCGCTCAGCCGAGCACGACCCTCGAGATTCCGACTTCATCGCACAGGGACACGTTTCCATAACAGAGGCCGAGTACCTGTTCACTCAGTACCGAACGAGGCTCAATACGCTTCTTTGGGCCGGTGTGCTGTGCCCGCACCCTGATCTTGAGCAATCCCGGCAATCATCCGCCCTCCTCACCGCCGCCGTCCTGACCGTGGCTGCCTTACACACCCCCGGTCGCGAACAATCATTTCACGCCTGCTATGAAATATTCACTGCTCTCATCCGCGACGCCAGTATGTCTCGGAGTCAAAGCCTGGATGACATCAGAGGCCTCTGCATTGGAGCTTTCTATATCAACAGTCTGAGCTGGAGGCTATGTGGCCTGGCCATTCGAATGGCCACGGAGATGAACCTACACATGGCGTTTCGAGACCTTGTCCAAGGTCACACAGAAGCCAGAACACTAGTCCAGCTATGGTACGTCCTCTATATTTGCGACCACCAGTTCAGCATAGCACATGGACGACCTCCGATCATGTTCAACGACGCCGCGATCCGTGGAGTAGACAAGTTTCTCGCTGGCCCGGATGCAACAGACGGCGACATCCGACTATCAGCACAACTGAGTCTCTGGCCAATTCTGACTGAAGCTTACGTGCTGTACGGGACCGATCCAGAGCTCGAACTCAGTGACTCCGACTACGAGAAGCTTCGTTCTTTTAGCATCGCAGTCGATCAGTGGAGGACGTCATGGCGCCTCAGATCGGTCGACATGCCAGTATATGGCGCCTACCCTTCGAAAGGTGTTGTGCTCTATTACCACTTCGCACTTTTCCAGCTCAACTCGCTGTCCCTCAGAGGCATCTCGACCATACCTGGCCAGAACGCCTCGGGAGTGAATCTGAGTTGGGATCGTCGCGAAGCTGCTAATGTGGCCATCAATTCAGCAAGAAGCACGCTGAGACTGATTGTCGAAGATCAAGATCTACGACTAGCGCTAGTGGGCGTGCCTATCTTTACTCACACCATGATTGCCATGTGTGCTACTTTCCTTGTGAAGCTAGCCGTGGCGTTCGCTGCGTCCGATCCTGCAACGACCTTCAAAACGCGGCTTGTGATTCCGAAAGACCTTTCCTCACTGGGATTGACCTTTGCAACGGCAAATGTGCTATCTCTGGTCACAGACTTGACTCGGGTATTGGATGAGATGACGCAACAAGTTGGTAGGATGCATCTGGCGAACCACATCAACTCCGGTATTAAGACCCTTTTGCGGCGGTTCAGTCCACCGAATGCGGCGGGCGAGTATCGATACATGCTCCCCCTTGATGCGGAAGATATCAGGATGGCGGTCGCAATCCCCTCTACGAGCGAAGCACGACACTTCGATGGCGGGCTTCACAGGTCGGAGAACGGTGTCCCTGAGACACTGCCTGCCATGCCGCCGCCATCGTCGAATACAAATGAGCGCGATCTTGGCCCTATGCTAGGTACATTCGATTGGAAGTTTGATGAGGATTTTCTATGGCCTGCCAACACGGATGACCCGGGGAGCTGGTTTACAGAGCAGTTTCCACAGGCCTAGCTTGTTTTCCATAGACTAAGCATAGCCAGTACAATACACATCAAGACTGAATGACGCTGATGCTGAGTAAGTTTCGCTTGACGACTGGTTCAACGGGCTTCGGGCTCCACGCTCTATGCCTCCATCTTTTCGACACATCATGCGCTTAGAGCTTCGCTCGACCCTTGAACTCACTTGAATGACCAGCTGGCATCTCACCCATGAAGATCCTCCTGTCCATCTGAGCCTCCGCCTCCCAATCATCAGCCTCTGTTGTGTCTCCTCCGCCGATCATAAGTGCCCAACGCCTTGCAACCGCGACAGCAATCTCGTCTCCGTCCGCGAGCGCATCTTTCAGCAGAAGTACTGCGCAAGTAATGTCTGCGAGAAGGCGGACGACCACCCTGCCTTGCCACAACAGCTCGTCCTCGCTCTTGGTGCTGATCAGCTTCTGCAACCTCTCATACCTCCCTTGAATGGTTTGTATTTCTCTGGCGAAGACCTCTGTGGCACGCGACCCGCCCAAGGCAGTCTTCAGCCATGTTCCCACAATCCCATCCAGTGTCTGTCGAGCTTGTCCACTACCCACTCTCAAAGCTCGGAGCAGATCCTCCGCCAGCACACTGGTGGTGCCCTCCCAGATGGGATTGACATTGGCGTCCCTCAACAGCCGCGCAACATTCAATACACCGTTGTCTTCCGTGTTCTCGCAGTAGCCCACGCCGCCCATGGACTCCATACACTCTCTCAGACCCTGAACGGCGGCCAACGAGCATGCCTGTTTCATGACGGGCGTCAGCAGCCGCAACAACGACAGTGCCGCCTTTGTGTCCTTCGGAATCAAGCCCAGCTCATCCGCCTTTGTGGTCCCGACCAGTCCGTCGATCTCACTCACACCCAACAGCGCCACGCCGAACATGTACAGACTCGTGTACGCTCGGTACTTGACCGTCTCATCCGCCATCCACCTCACATGCTGCCGATTCTCCACCAACAGCACCTTACCACCCTCCGGATTCTTGACAGGCCGGCAAGCAGCCCACGCCCTCGCGATCGCCAGCCCCCTCCCCCAGCACGCCACGCCGCCTTTCGCCGTATGCAGCCTCGTAATATTCAGCAGCCGACTGATGACCCTGGTTCCCTCACCCTCCTCCCCCACCAACCACGCCCTCATCCCCTTCAACTCCAGCTCCGCCGTCGGCACCGCTTTCGTCCCCAACTTGTTCTTCAACCTCGAGATCCTCACGCCATTCATAACCACCCTAGACCCCTCCCCGACTTCCCTCCTCTTAACCGGCGCGTAAAAGCAACTCACCCTCCCCTTCCCCTTGCCTCCCGCCGTCTTCGCCAACAACAGCGCACAGTCCGCATCCGTCGCACTACTGAACCACTTAAACCCACTCACCTCCCAATCCCCCAACTCCATCCCCACGGCATCGACGTCCACGCCACTCTTCTTCAAGGTCCTCAGCTCCCCCGCCCCCAACCTCGTCGCCACCGTCTCCGTCTCGCGCACGTCACTCCCCCCACTCCGCTCCGTCATCCACTGGCCCGCCCGCCACCCCCGCTCGGGATCCAACGTGACGAGCCTCTCGTACGCGTGCTGAAACACCGCCTTTTTCTCCCTGTCCCTGTTTCCCGCCATCCCCTCCTCCAACACCCTAACCTGCTCCCGCAACAACGCCGCCGCCCCGTCACTCATGGCCGCCGGACACACCACCCCGGCCGACGACGGGTCCCAGACGTGGTTGAGCAGGAACTGGTACACGCGGCGGTTCCACCCTCCGGCACCCCTCCCCCGCCCCCTTACAACTGCCTCAGTAACCTCGTCGTGGTGCTCGGCCTGCGCGTACCCATGCCCCACGATACCGTGCCTGGTCTGCGAGGCCAAGAGGTGTTGCCAAGAAAGCGAGGTTTGGAGTTGCGAGGGCGCCGTGTTGGGGGCGCCGAAGGTGGTGAGCGGGGAGAGCGTGGGTGGCGAGGTGTCGGCGAGGGAGGCGTGGTGGAGCGTGGTTGGGGAGAGGGTTTGACGGGAGAGGGCGTGTAGGTGGGCCGTGAGGGTGGGCGGTGTGGGTTGGGGGAGGTAGAGGGCTAGGAGGCGGGGGATGGTGGGGTCGTCGGTTGGATTTGCTTTGGAGGCGGTATTTGGATTGGTGGTGTTGTGGGTGGGAGAGGTGTAGGAGGGCTGGACGGCGGGGAAGGGCTGGAAGAAGCCCGCTGTTGCGGACGAGGGCGTGGGCGTGGACGTCGCCATGGTGCAGGCGTTGTGTCGAGGATGTGCTTTATGTGCTACATATGCTGTGCTGGCCTCAAGAGAAAGCTAAGCCGCTGGCGCTATGTGCTCCGAACATGCAGAGTAAGAACGAAACCACAAATGTTTGCCGCGAAATTACTTGACATGTATGATGCCGATACGCTCCCTCAGTTCTCTTTGAACAAGCACGCGCATGGGAGGTCGGCTTTCCCTTGTACCTCGGCTCGGTCGTCGTGGCGAGTCAGTGCTTGGCCAATCACGGGAGAGCTGCCATCCTTTACCTAAGCCAGGCATTGATATGGAAAACTTGTATTGAGCAGGACGCTCTGGTGGACGATAACTTTGAATAAGTTGAAGTGAACGGTACATGAAGCGCTCGCTCAACAGCCTGTTACCCGTCTAATGCCTCAAACGTTCAATTATCTGCGCCATCTCTGCTCGGTGTCAGTCAAGCCTGGAGCGCCAAGACTTTCACTGCCTGAAAGGCGATGATGGGTCAGCACCCGGGGGCCGACGAAATTGACGGGAAGGCCGCTCCTCTCGACTCGCAGTTCGCAGCGAATGACGCCCAAAAGACTCGGCTGTGAGTGTACCGAGCTTGGGGAGGCTTGCGTTGATTTTGTCGCACACCCAACACAGGTCTTTGACAGTTCTGCTGTATGGTGTGGTGTTTCTAGACCTTCCCAGTATCTGATGTCACTTTCATAGGTCGCTTTCCAGATCCTCAAGCTTGCCTTGCTTGTGAAGTACACGCGCCAGGTGGCGCTGAGTATTCAGTGTACTCTTATGCACTGCTCCTAATCGTAGTCTTTTCAGATGCAGTGTCTCGCGAAATAGCTGCTCTGCCTCAAAGTACTCGCTATGATTTGCATATGCCAAAGCGAAGTAGTGCATAGTCACCAGTGTGACTGGGTGATCTGGGCCTAGACGCTGGCGCATGAGATCCAGGGTCTGTCGGAATATGAGCATCGCCTCAGAGCTTCTACCTTGTTTTGAGGTGACTTGAGCCAGGAGGACCATGCTCGCAAGTGTGTCTGGATGATCTGCTCCTGGTCGCTGCCTCAGAAGATCCACTGTCTTTCGGCACAGTTGCTCTGCCTCGTCATACTTGCGCTGCTCCAGAAATACCAGAGCCAAACTTTGCATGCTGAGAAGTGTGTCTGGATCATCTGCTTCAAGTTGTTGGCCCTGAAGGTCCAGTATCAGTTGAAGCAGGTGCTGTGCATCAGTGGCTCTGCCCATACCATGCCAAGTCAACACCAAGTTTTGCATGCTGGTAAGTGTCTCTAAATAATCCTTCCCTCCCACTTGGTGCTGTGGCGTTATCGTCTGTCGGAGCAGCTGTATTGCCTCCAGGATATCGCCCTGACCCGAGAGTACTGTAGTCAGTATCTTCATACCACTTAACGTCGCAGGGTGATTCTCGACCAGTTGCTCTATTCTTATGGCCAATACCTGTCGCTCCAGCTCCTCTGCTTCAGTGTATTGTCCCAAACACGAAAGAACCGTAGCCAAGTTGTTCATGACCATCATGGTGGCCCCATGATGCGCTCCTAGTTGACGCGTTGCACCATCGATCATTTTCCTGTACGTCTTCTCTGTTTCTACATAGTTGCCAAGAAAAAAGCTGCTTTCAGCAATGTGAGACAACAAAACTAAACAATCGACATTCTCGAAGCCATCAGCTGCGTATCCGGCCACACGCGTGGCGTGCGGCAGATACCGTTGCCAGACTTCGCGGTTCTCGAATCTCGGAAAGGGGTATCCGTTTGCCAGCAGTCCAATTACTCTTCCGATCCAATGGCTCTCCTCACTCTGCTCGCGTAACCAATTGCGTGTGACTATTTGCACAAGTCGGTGTACGTCAAATGATGTTGCATCTTCTCGCAGAGTAATGAAGGCGTAGTTTCGAAGAGTACCAACAGCTCGGTCTAGGTCGATTTCATCCAGTCCTTGTTGCAAGAACAGTGCGATCGGTACATCCTTCTCGACCAACCAGGCTACCGTGCTCAATAGCTGTGCTGCCAGTGGCCGGTCTCGTGCAATATGGTTGAAGGAGATGAGCCAGGTGGTGGTCACTGCTTTGCTGACTTCCTGGGATCGCCCTTCTTGACCATCTGTGTCATGGCCTAGCAACTGGACCAGCCGTTGGTCGCTCTCTTGGCAGTAACGTAGGTACTTGGCCGCAGAAACTCCTGTTGTAGCCAGGTAGAAAGCAGCCTGATTCAGTGCCAAGGGAAGGTTTGTCAGCAGTTGACATATTGCCATTACGTCGTCTGGGTTGCATGGATGGTTCGCACGAAGCTGAGCTGTCAACATCTTCGCTGCCTCTTCGTTTGTCAACTCGCTCACAGTCAGTATGTTGGCTCGAGCGAGCCCAAGTTTGATGCAGATTTCCTCAAACCGGGTTGTAATCAGGATGGAACCACGATAGCTTGATGGAAGCCACTCGCATAGGCGCTCTTCACCGAAAAGAAGCTCGCAATCGTCGACATTGTCCAACACAAGCAACCAGCGGCCAGCTGCAGCGTCGGCAAGGGCTCCCTTGACCAGAATCTTGATATCTGCTTTGTCTTCATTGATACCAGGTACCTGCAGCTTGCGACCGATGTCCTGATACGTTGTTTTAAAGGTATTGGCTGTCACCATTGATACCCAAAATATGGAGCATTCTGGATCTTGATCGCGAGTACGGTACGCGGCCTCGACAGCCAGCTGAGTTTTGCCTATACCCCCAAGACCGTGGATAGCTGTGCGTTGACAACGATCTTTGCCTTTGGCTGGAGGGACCCTTTCGCAGAGCCATGTCAGCATATCGTTGCGCCCAACAAAGTGCTCGTTGCGGTCAACGGGCATAGTAAAATGCACTCGAGGAAATTCTATTTCTCAGAACAGAAGACTTTAGCATGGTCTGCTTGCACGAATCCAATTCAGGATTACGTACCTTTGTTCCGTTGGTCTAGAATGGCACATGCCTGTAATGCGAGCTGCTGAACGTTTGCTGCAACATGCTTGAAATTGGCGTCAGCTGGTCCTCTGAACTTGTTCATGCCAGAGTGCGTTGCCTCAAGTCCTTGACGTGGCACGCCATCAAGACAAGCTGAGTTTTGGGTTACGAGCTATAGTAAGATGTCAGTGGTGTAAAACCTCCATGCCGACAGCACATAACTCACAAGCTTCCTTGTTTTGCTTTGGATCACCTGGACAAGCTCAAGGAGCCGACCAGGCATCAGCACCGCCTTCAAAATCTCTGACGGTAAAGTCTCATAGAAGCAGTATAGGCCAAGATGTATCCGGTTGGCGGTCTCGGCGAATGACTGAGTGAGCTCTTTGAGGTGCTTGTCCTCACGATTGAGGTCTTCGACTAACTCTTGTGAGGTCTGCCTTCCCATTATTCCTCCTACGAATACTTGCCATTGCGCCTGAGCTGCTGCGTCGCTGCCCCGGAACGGCGTGGCAAGAAAGATCACACCCACAAGATACTGCCTGAGGTATGGGTGCTCATTCTCTGCCTCGCACGACATTTGTATAGCCTAGGCTTATTAGCCTTGAGATGCAATCTGCGACCATACCTCAATATACCTTGGCCAAAATCAGACCGCCAAAGCAAGATGCTATGCAAATCAGTGGCCGTCGTAGCAGTCCTAGGCCTCGATCAATAGACTTGAGGAGGCTATCAGAGTGGCCGAGTAGCGTCTGGACAGGCGCGTCTCGAAAATATCTGGAGTTCCAATTGTAGGTGTAGATCCTCGCGGTTGGCACTTTCGCCGGCAGCATGTTCTCGTCGGTGAGCCAGTTGACGATTCCATCTTTGCCTCTCCACTCCCACGTTCGTGGTGACTCGGTCTCGAGCCCGTGGATGGCGATGATACTGCGGGTTTGTCTCAGTCAATGCTCACTCAAAAAGACGCGTCTCATCGAACATACTCGATCGTGGTATCGTCTTTGGCTTGGTGAGTCGTCGGCCACACTTGATGGAGCCCCCGGGGGTGGGCCCCAGGCACGTTCGCCGGGCCGGCGCTGCCGTCTTCCATAGGCTTAGGTTGGCTCGCTTTTAGCTAGCGTGAGTGTCACCGTCAGAGGATCAATAAGCCGGTGCTAAAGTGAATAGAATGGGCTCCTGTACGGACAACCCTCGTCGATAACTCATCGACAGGCTGAGAGATCATGACTGACCATCAGGCTGAAGAAATCTCAACAGTCTTGCCCAGCTTCCTGTCGACGCGGGGCGTACCAGCCTAATTATGAATTGCGCTAACCCGCTTTTGAACTCGGGCATCCAGGTCGCTCTGGCCTTGTCGCCGCGACCACGTCGAGACTCTGTTGAATACCCGTTATCCGTCCCGGCAGCCTTTTAGACATCTGAATAAGCCCGACTAGACGATCTGGTGATCGCGATCGGCCTCGGCCACACATTGGAGTTCGGGAGGCTTGTCTCTCAGCCTTGGCAAATTGAAGGACAGACTACTTGCTACACCAGGTACTTGCGGTGACAATATAAGCCACCGATGCGCGGCTAGAAGCAGGGAGCACATGTTAAGTCCGGGTGACTTAGCAGGGCGACCAGATGCGGTGAAGGTTCGTAACGGACAGAGACCTAATTCAATGGATGGAAGCAGGAAATCGAGCCGGTAGGGTAATATTACTGATCTCGAAGGACACGGCAATACCATTATCTAACTAAGGGCTACACAAGTGCTCTCTCATGGCACCACCTCAGTAATCGACCCAACAAAGCCCGCCAGCCCCGTCGATCCGAGCCCAGGACCCGCCACAGGCCCGGCCGCGCTCACCGTCGGCACCACCAATACCTGATCACCCACTTCCGCGAATTCCACCGTACTGACGAATCTTAGCGTGATCCTGACTTCTCGCCCAGACAGATCCTCATTATCGAGCTGATCGCTATCGAACGGGAACATCGCGCCAGGAGATGAAGGCTCGGCCACCTCATCCTCTACCAGGGCCAGCGCCACGACTTTGACGGCGGCACGAATACTGTTCAAGTACGCGATGGCGTGGCCGCCGAGAAGCATAGGTGGCGAGGGCACAAGGAAGTCCTTGGAAGGGAATATGGCCACTAAACTTCGGTACCCGGACGGACTATCCTTGCTCTTGGCTAGGACCATACCCTTTCGCGCCCTCTGCAACGACATTGACTCCTGGCTAGAGCCATCGGGTTCTACGCCGATCGTACCCGTCTCACCGACTCGTAGCTGCAGGACTGGCAGCCGCAAATTTCGCAGCGACACCACCTTGACCAGTAGGAAAGGAGGCTGACTTAGAGTTCCAGCATCATTCGCCGGCTTCGTGAATAACCCATTCGTGCTGTGAGAAGCCCTGCGGAGGTCGTGCGCACTGAAAGATTTGGAGCGAGGTAGCGCTGCATCAATCATTGTCTCATCAGCTGAGAACGGCCCAATCCACATCAGGTCACCTATCTGGATCTTGCCATGCGCAATCCTGCCGCACAGGACAACACCAGCAGATCCTCCTAGCTTGGTCGAGGGATCGGCATTGTAAATTCGTACAGGCGGGATACCGAAGACCTCATCGATGTAGAACATCGGCACATGCCCAGCCTGAGATACCTCGGTAGGAGCCGGTGGATGATCGCTCGTCAATGGAAGTTGACTCAGAAATGTATGAACCTTGCCAATGCCGCTCCCGGTGACGGCGCTCGTCATAACAATAGGCACCGTAGATGATTCATCCTGAATCATAGCGATCGCCTTGTCGATTTCAGTTTGCTCGTCTAAGCGTATCCTCTGCAAGTCGGGCAATGCATCACTCGAGTCCAAAGCAAAGGCAGGCAATGGCGTAGAAGCTGTACTGAGCAGAACCGGCTTTCGCCCTGCATTTTTCAGCGCAGAAAGGATTTTCGAGAGGCACGTCCGGAGACTGACCTTGGTAGCAACGTCCATCTTCGTGATGACGACCAACAATCTCAGGTTGAGCCGCAAACAGAGGTCAAGGTGCGCCAGTGTGAAATCAGTTGCATCGGCCCCTGGGTGAGCAATGAGATTCGAGTTTTGGAGCTCTGTTGTCGACGCAGGATCGCCGTCATGAGCAGCAGCGCAGAACATCGTCCAGTCCGGCTTCCACGAGACCAGTGCTCGAAAGGTGGACTTTGCGAATCTCGACAAGCCAGGAGAGTCTGAAATGAAGCACAGGCGATCGGCCAGTCCATGGATGTCAGTCCAAGTCGTGACATCCCCAGATGCGTAATTCACAACCACACCATTCGTCATGCTGCCACGCTTGTAACCCAGTAGTTCGTGGGCAACCGAACTGGTGATGCCAGAAGCGATTTCGTGCCTATGCTTGAGCAGCGACAGCCGACTTTTGCCCCTTCCGTTATCCGTCGATGATGTAGTGAGCGTTCCCAGAAGTGATGACTTGCCAGCAGCCGATGAGCCAGCCAAGGCCACTCTCAATTGCTCAGCACCTGCCTTGGACGGCACACCTCCACCTACCGGGGCAACTTCATCGTGCACGCCGGCGGGGGCTAACTCGATATCAGGCATAACTCTCGAATCAGGGCGTACGAGGACCTCAGCAACGAGTAGATCTCCTGTGGCCAGTTTGGCATCATCTGAGTCATCGATAGGAGCCCATTCGCAGCTGCCGACAGTTACTCTGCGAAGGATGTCGATAACACAGCCAAGACTAGCAGCCATGGCGCGAAGGTTGTTAAGGGACTCTTCGAGCTCATCGTGGGCAAGACCCACAAGAGTTCCATCGTCAGCAACACCGATTTCGTACAATGCTCCTTGGCTCTCCTCGAGCCCGGGCAGTAATTTGGCTGGACGCTCAGGCACACCTAAGCGAGGAGTTGCCTCGGGTAGTACGGGCAGGACCAGCTCGGCATTAGATGAAGAGTGGAAGGGCGATGACTGCTGGAGCCGCCATAGGAGTTGTGTCGTTGGCTGTTGCAGACGGGCTTGTCGCGTTTGCGGGGAGGGCTGGTACGTTGAACGGTGGAGCGCAATATCACTGAAAGACCGTCCACTATTGGGAAGACTGGCCGCAGCAGGAGAACGGTTTGGGGCAGGGAGACCTTCTGTACTTGTTGACATGGAGGCGAATTGGCGCCGGGCCCGAAGGAGCAGATGCAGCTTGTATTCGCATGGACCATCTTGTTTCTCCGGCTCTAATCTCGTCCTGTCGCTGGGTCTCAACAGAGCTGTGTCATGCGAGGTAGCTACACCTTGAATCTGAGGTGTTGTATTGCCTGGTGTAGACCACGGACTCTGTATTCGAGGCGGCTCATCTTGATATGTAAATATAGACGACATCTTTAATACACAAGCCGCTTTGATGCTTGCGCACTGTTTCTACTCTCACCGTCGTAATAAAGGTAACGGTAACGGCTGTGGTAAAGGACGAGTGACTGTGCGGGAGTAGAACATCATTTGCGACTGGTAGAGGCACATTGTGAGAACGGTCAGCTTGTTGCGGACGTCTGATGGGAGAAAATGGTCAGAATCAAGAGGGCTAGATGGTAAGAGTCATTGTAACGAGTCACTGAAGCATTTGGGGGAGAAAGCCTAGGGCAAATCGATGGAGGAAACGAGGACGAGTCACTGTCGCTGAGGAGGCAGTGGCGCAGGCGGGAAAAGGCTTGGCAGGGCTGGAACAAGCGGGGTCGCTCATTCACTGCCTGAGGTTTCCAGGTGTCCCCCGGACACAAGAGATGCGTACACTTCGTTGTAGAGTATTCGACTCGCAAGCAGTCTCATTATGGGGCTTGATAATGAGATAGTGAATGTTCTTCATGGGCTGACACCAGTCGCGGGCGGAGGCGAAGTGCTATAGCGGTATGCTCAATATAGCTAACGACCCCGGACACCATGCTGGGATGCCGCAATAGAGGTAGTTAGACTATTGCCTGTCAATGCTCAGAGTGCCTTTGTCGATTTGATATCCTTTGCAATGTGTTACTCGCAAGAAGGCCTGAAGGCGCTAGTCACCGCTCATACTCCCTAGCACCCGTGCCCCGACACTGGTCGCCTGATGCTCTACAACTCACCTGCCCATGAGGATGAGCATCCAGCTTGTCCCCCGTGACTTGGCGCGATACAGCACGATTGGGATGGTGGCAGCACAACTATCGCGCCGTCAGACTGGAACTTGCAGATGGAAACCTGGCAGTGCCAAATAGACAGACGGCGGTTGAACGGCGTCGAACTCGTGCGGAAGCAGATCTGCATTTAGCGTCTGGAGAACCAAGTCAGCAGTCGATTCCCTTTTTAGTATTGAATTGCAACGTGTACGAAGGACTTGGTCTTTACACAAGATCGTTCAAAATGCTCCACCATTCTGTATCACACATGGGGAATTTTACACGTCTTCGTTTACGGCCACGATGGGTCCGGACAAAGCTGCAGATATCATTCCGCACTGGCGTAGTTTCCATTCGTGACTGACCCAGACGCCATGCGCGGGCCTTTGGCATCGCTTGCTTCCCAACGGGTTCTTGGTATAGGCATCATCACATTGGGGCCCAGTTGACTTTCGGCTTTCAGAAGCTGTCTGCGACAGATCGGCGGCTCTCTTTAGAAGGCTATCAAATCGTTGGTGCTTATGACGCTTCGTCGTCGAGTCGAGATGTGCATTACTGGCTTATAGATCATGCGCCGACTTCATGAACACTATAGCAGGAGCTGTCGGTCTCGGGTCCAGGCGGTGGGGACTTGGAGAGCGCGATCCTTGAGTATCAGATGCCCCACGCTCTAAGTCGCTCGCGTCCCCAACAGGCCCCCGAGATTCAAGAGCGGGTGCTCGTGAAAGTAGCAGGTTTTAGAGCATCAGCGCGCGTCGCAGTAGCGCGCAGTAATGACTGCTGTTTTTCAAGGACTGATGCAATCTTGTCAACAGCTTTGGTGAACAAAGCTCGAACGAAGCAAACCGGTGTGCAAGCTGCTGCTCAGATGGCCAGGGGTACAAAAGGACCACGCCGGTCCATGGCTGTCATTGGTTGATGAACCGGTATTGTATCATGGTACGAGTTGATAGCGGCGTATTCAACTTACGATACTTCCGCATTCGATGACAATCTGACTTTACAAGCCAGCCAGCTTCGGAGCCAACGTCGAAACCTTCACGGGATCCGCTTTATCGTTCGTTTCCGGCATGACCAGGCGTGGTATATCCATGCGATCCACCCAATTACAACAGGAAACTGCGAAGTGCATGGTGTGCTGATCAGGTACCCCTGGTCAACGCGAAAGCCCAGCATGGCTAGAGCTGTTGCTAGTGATATCCTCTTCACCTACCAGTTGGTTAGCGTAAGTTGGTGTATATCAAATAATGTGCTGACTAGTCAAAACCTTTGGGGAGGGCTGCGCTGTGGTGTGAGATCGGTGTGTGCTATGATGCGACGACTTGTTTTCCTGCTGAGTGGGCAATTTTCAAGACCATTTTGCCAGCTTAGTGGTGTATCACTTGATGGCTGGTTATGTATACAGAAGTCTAAGCCTGTAATTTGATTTCTGGTCCTGTCGGCGCCGTCAACTGGAAGCTGCTAGCTGCTAGCTGTCACGAGAGCCTTGGGCAGTGTCTCGGCTGCACGTCTCTGCGTTATACCTAGTCATCCAGGGCATGTTTATCGATATGAATTGCTTCGATGGGCAAACATGGCATCAAGAGGGTTGGAATTCGATGCTGACGGTGGGATAACAGTTCAAAGGCATAAATGAGTTCTTAGCCCCAAAGAGGTAGATGTCAGACCATAGTGTACCAGCAAGGCAAAAATGGCGGGATTCCTGACACAACATTGTTCGGCTAGGTCCATTGGGGCGTGGCTGACGGCCAGGTGCCGAGCCGGCACACGTGTCTGGGACGCTCTCCAGCGATGTTCAATGACACAAATAGCCGTCAATGGGATTTCTGAGGTCTTTTCCAAATACTTGGTCTTCTAATCGGATCCGGCTTCTGCCCAATAGTCACGCCGAAGACTGAGTGACCGAGCGGAGGCACAGTCTTCCTTGGCTCTAACCATCCCGGGGTCGAAACCATATTATCTGCAGCCGCGCACCCTGTTGGGCTCTAGTGGATCTGTCCGAGTGATGGTTGTTGAGTTACCGATTTCAGGTGGAGGTCAACAGGCAAGAGACTCTTCTACAACTCCGGGGCACAAAATGCCACCTGTCAGGCGGCCAAGTGCGGTCCACACGGCCGACTGACCGTATCGATGGATTTTTATATTCCTCACAACCTCTCTCGCAATGGAGACTCAGGAAGAGAAAGCCATGTCATACCCGGACCCCGGGGCATCTCTCGTCTTGGTAGTAGAACATTCATAGCATCATCTCTCATCGTCGCGATCACCCGCGATGAGGTCGACTCCAACTAATGCGAACTAGGATAAATTCGCTGTATCCATGCTTCTCGCAGATCTATGCTTCCTGTTCTCCGTCACTCCGCGAGGGCTCCGAAGACGCCCTGTCTGACCGGCCCTTGCATTTGCCACCTAATCCATAGTCAGCGCAGGACAAGAAAAAGAGAGAATCGTAGTGAAACATACCGTACATATGACCATTCCGCGCTGTTGTTCGGGTGAACTCAATTCCGCAGTACGGGCACATGGCCTTCATAGCACTCCCGCTCTTCTCTCTCTGGTGACGTAGCAGATTCGAAAAGGTACTGAATTGTCGGCCATTACAGCCGTGATCCCAACACTGCGGTTTGGGTCTGGGGGACATAATCTCAACTTCATCGGTGGAAGATTCGAGTGCGTTCTGGACTGGGGGAAACGAAGCTATTGTCGTCGGTATTGAAGGAAGCAAAGTGGAAGGGTTTGGCTGTTCTTCCCGGTTTAGGTAGACGTTTTGAGGATTCATGCCAGGCATCCCAACCGAACCTGAGGCAGATCGCGATATTGAATAGTATTCTTGGAAGTGAGGACCGGATCGAAAATCCAACTCCGGCATTTCGTCCGCATTAGGTTGGCCTATCAGTGTTGGAAAATAGCCTCCACTTGTATCATACGGTGCTGCCGCTATCGGCGGCGCTGGTGCAGAGTAAGATGCTGGCATTGGGAATATCTGAGGTGTTGTGGGGGCCGATTGGGACGGCACGACTGTCACAGATGCCTGAGAAGCAACTTGAGGCTGCTGAGTCTGCATCTGCTCAGACGCGTAAGATAACAACATTTCTGTTCGACTGTGACTGCGGGCTCGCTCGCGCGGAACGCTGCGTCTACTGTGCTGAATGGGAGTCCGATCTCTCCGTACAGGAATTCGCATCTGATTAGGCGACAGTGACGGCGCACGGCGGAACGAGTCCTCGGACGTTCTGATGGCCGAAGCCATCATGTATGGATTCTGAGTATGCGGCTCCGGCTGGAAGCCTTGAAACGTGGGCTGGTTGACGCCTTCGAATCCTATATGCGTTAACAACAATCTCATGCTAGACGGGTAGAGCATACCCTCGAATCCTGGATACATCCCAATTCCAAATGGTGACCCGCGTGGAACAAAAGGATCCTGGGATGGAAGCACCTGCGTCGCCATTCTGCATTCCATTAGCGATCCGCGAAGGCTGCATGGCGCGAACTGACTTACGCTTGCTGAGTCGAATCTTGGCCAAGTCGCCGGTTTTGCGTGAGCGCCTGCAGCGCCGCTTGGTTCGCTGCGTACTGCTGTCGAGAATACCGACCCCTGCTGGTCGGGATGCCCGACGTAGAGCTGAACGAGGGCTCTTCGGCGTTCAAACGGGGCCGCCCCCTGTCCAGTGACGATGTGACGCCGATATCAGATTCTGTAGATGCTAGAGACGCAGCCGGCTGCGATGCGATATTGGCTTGGGTACGGTCACGCGCGAGATCGAACCGCGGGGCTTGTGAGGATGATCGCGCCGAGGAATTGGCTGCTGAACCTCTGCGTGACTCTATTTTGGCTAGGGTTGAGGACGGACTTGCATGGGCAAGCCCTCGAGTGCAGATGGGCTGGATTGCCAGTAGTCGCAGGCTTGCGCTATTGTACTGAATGTTCGTGACGGGTTCGTTGTGGTGCTTCGGGATGGTAGTGTTGCGGGATTCCCGGTGGGCTGGAGGCGTTGACGTAGCTCGGCTACGAGCCCGTGATATACTAGGTCGACAAGATGTAGGAGGCGAATGATCGATGAACAGACTAAAACCGGTGTGAGGGCTTTTGTATCTAGGCAGATCAGGAGTGTCGAAACAAGCAAGTATTTAAATCAGACTGCCGCATTGCGTATGTGCAACGGGGTCAACCAGAGGAGTGGGTCGAGGACTCCTGACAGCCCTACTCTGGCCATAGTGTTTATTGATCCTTGGGGCCAAAAGACAGTTCTGCGCTAGGTGAGCAGTGGGTAGGACGGTATGGGTCTGAAAGTATGCTGTCATTGCCTGACGGGAGCTAGAGCCCAAAGCCTACATCTGGTAGTGGGGATCTTTGGATGGGGAGTCAAAGTCTTGACCGGTAAGGCATGCATACATGCCCACAGGCACCGATTGTCGCATTTGATACTAGCCGCTGGTAAGCAGTGATCAACTAGCCGGAAACAGAAGTCTACTCGGCCGGCGCCCGAAGACATCTTGGACGAATCGATCCTCGGAGAACTCAGGTGTTATCCTGATCCGAGTCTGGAGCAATCTCGGAGGTCGAACTGCAGCAATGCACGCGGGCGTTGTTTCGTATGGTGGTCGATAGGGTTGAGGGATCGCAGGCCCGGGGATGCAGGGTAAGCGGGATGTTCACGGATTGAAACCCAGACTTTCAGCCTTATGAATCGAGCTCGACTAGTACTGGAAGGTGCTTGATATGCGGGCAGCATGTACGAGCTGGCGAATTTGGCAATTCGCGTGGTATAGACGCGGGACATGAGACCTGTCAGACACGCAGTCCCAGAAACATGGTAGGCTTGTGGCGGTAATTGCCGCATGCCGACAGTGACGTTGTGGCCCTTTTATCGATACGAGCAAGGTAACGTCCAACACATCGGTATTGTTACACTTCCGGATAGTGTTCAGGTCTAGCATCATCGTTGCGGGTGGGTTCAACTACTGGCATCCGGGGCACTGGACATCATTGGTCAGATCGCAGTCTGCGTACTGTACCAAGGCGCCGCGCTTGCAGGAGAATCTTGTAGATATCTTGCGGTGAGTCCATGCTAGGTATGAGTGAAGTTACGCCTGGACAATCACGACATTCGCCTTTTCGATCAAGGTTGTAGCTTGGTGCCATTCGTTACAGGGACTGCAGGACCAGCAACCTTATCCGTACTGCGGCAAGATGTATGATAACGTCAGCGCTTCTTGACGAAGAGGCCTGATAATTGGGTTTCGACAGACGCTGGTTCGGGTTTGTCAAAACAGCTATACGGCATTCGGTAGTAGGGAGTTGGTAGACAGATGCCGTACTGTAGAAGGATGCTCAGACAAGGGCTATTGGGGCTGGCAGAGAGCAAAACGATGCCTCCTAGTACTGGAATCTGTAGCTACACTAGCCACAGGTGGCTCAGCCGCATCGCACAGCCGCAATTTCACCGTTCACACTCAAGGCTGCCACAGTCTTACGCAAGGCGTTTGCGCAAGACCGAAGCCACCTGTGGCTGGGTTGGTGGCTTGCAGCGAGTGCTAGTATAAGGCCTGATGTGCTTATTGTTCCTTTGACTCGGCCAGACATTGCAGTAAATTGCAAGATTTTGCCCCATTGGCCGCGAGCGGTGACGGTGAGATATCAGGTAAGGCAACCTCTGCAACACACCCAGCCACAGCTGCGATATTAGTCCCATAGGCAACAGAACTGTCCCCGGATCAGACAGATTCCGGGACCGGAAAGTCCAAGTTAAATTGTCAAAAGTTGGGGCCACGAGCCTGATCCTCTGCCTAAAATTGTTAGCGGTAGCAAACATGCGCCACTGGCAGAGCAAGTGACTGCTCCTCTCACAGATCAGGTAACTTGGACTTCAGCCATCAAACCAGCCTTCCAGCAGCGGCAGCTTTTCGCGAAGTGGAAGGATTGCCCCAGCTTTGCTGATTTGGCCCCCAGGTTCCTTTCACTGACAGGTCGCGCCCTAGAAATGAATACGGTTCCCTCTACCAACGAAAGCCAGCGCGGGCATTCCCTCTTGCATGAGCAAAGACACCGCGCGTACAATGATCTCATCGCAGGAGCAGAGGGAAGGGGTGAAGCGTTGCCTCTGGGGGACGGCTTGATGTCGATCGCAGTGAAGAGGCTTTGGAGGGTGACGGGTTCAACAACGGTTCGGAATTGATCAGGGCACTTCAGAATCCTTCTAGCTCCACGATAGAGACCTGCGGTATCTCAGTGGTCAAAGTCTCGCCTTTTGACCGACCCGCTGGGCAATCAGCATCCAAAGTTTCCGAAGGCGTGGCGCACAGACGTTTGTGCGTATGAACAAGCTCAACGGTGAAGCAGATCCTATTTGTAAACTTCAGACGTGGTCAAGGACTGCGCCGTAGGTTCCACGCTGCCGCGGCTGTTTGGGCAGTACCGCTGCTTGGGGTTGGTTCATAGGAAGAATGCCCTCCACTCCTGCATGGCAAGCCGCCGGGAGGACATCGTGCTAATGTGGAAGGTCCCCGGAGGTGCGTACGGCAGGCAATCAGCACCATGAGAGCGGTTGATCAACAGGTGTCCAATAGGCCCAGAACGTTGTCTGAGCCAACCTGATCTCTGCCGCCTCCCTCTGGCATGACAATCTGTACGGAACAGATGTCAGCTCGTGCTTTTCAGGTTTCTGAACAAGGATGCGCCTAGTGTCGGTACCGACATTGACCTCCTAGGGCTGTAGCAACATGCGATATTGTTCGACCGATGTCTTGACAGGGGCTCATCAGCTGAGAGTGATGCATTTTGGTCCGCGAATCGCTATGAGTTGAACCCACTGAACAGGGTTAAGCACGAGTGCGGCTAAGACACCACCGTAAACAGTTAATGTCGCAGTGGAATAGCTGCTATGCGTGGTAGTACAGCCGTAAAGGCCTGGAGGACTCTAGCGACGCTCCCCGAGGCCTACAGGCAGCCCAGGCGGTTCGAAGCCTACGGTCCGCGGTTAGGTCGACTTATACGGTCCCTCCAGTCCCGTCCGCGGGATGCAGTGGTGACAGAGAAGTGGGTGAAGCGGGTCAGCCGCGGCCGTGGGGACCGAACCGCTGCAGGTGTAACGCGGCTGCCTCGTGCAGTACAGGTACAACCATCTTTCAATGGCGAGCAGCAAATCTTTTGATCAATACACGAGTTCACAGGACGATGGAGACGATATTGTCGAGAGCAATGTGATGAGCGCTGCACCACGGGGACGTGTCTGATGACGAAAGAGGCAGTCTGCACGGCCCGCAGTCGCGCCAGGCCTCAGCCTGACCACTGAAGGCATCAACGCCCGATGTCCGACCTTCCATCCGCAACATGACACGTCTCTGCACTGCTGTCGCTCTCCAATTGACATCTCACGGTTAGTTGCGTGTCGGTAACATTATCTATAGCTTGCTTGTTCTCACTTGTACCAAACAAAGCAGCAAGCGAACCCCTCCAACACCGACAAGCTGCCCCGCATACGTTACCTACACAACCATCGCATTCCTGCTTGCCTGACTGTCGCATGCCGCTCTTGACCTCCTTGAAATACCCAATATTGCCTTAGCGCACCTACAATACTCGTTTGACGAAGCGATCCAATATGTCCTCCTTCATTGTCGACCTCTGGGAGTCAATCTTTACCCCGGGCCCGACGCCCACTCTCGTCCTCGCAACCAATGCGACCTTTGGAGCGCTACAGCTCCTCCTCCTAGCCCTCCTCGTCTTCACCTCTTCCATCCATTTCGCCATCCTCTCCGTCCTATGCGCAGGCCTGTGGTACAGCATCAACTGGTTTGCCCGCGAAGTGCAGGCCGCGAAAGCCGCCGAAGACTCCTCCAAATCCCCATCTTCTACCGAAAAAGACCCAAAAACCACCGCCCGTCAGATCAGTCCGGATCCTACGGGCAGCGACACGGAAACCGAGGCTGACGCGATCCCCACAACTACCACCACAGGCGCGGACATTGCAGGCCCAGGCGCGCAACGTCGGAAGCCTCCACCGCCCCAACCTGGTGCCGCGCCTGTACCGCCACCCACGGCACCAGCTGCCGCAGACCCAACACCATCAAGCACACTTCTACAGCCCAAACCGCCTACACCCAATCCTGGCCTGGATGGATCACAGGACCTCGGTCAGCGGCGACGCAGTCTGGGCGATAGCTCCGATTACGTCAGCACCGACAGCGAGTGGGAGAAGGTGAGCGACCAGGAGACGAAATGAGAGGGCGTGAGATATCATGGACTGTCATGAGGCCGACAACGGGTGCGGAATGCATACGTGTAGCATACGCACATACTGCTCGGTGGACTGGTGTGGCGCAGATATGAAAACGCGAAACCCCCATGTTTCGTGTACGCTAGCTGTCTCGACGTGCAGAAAGCCGCTGGGTTGGTGTAGGCGAGAGAGAAACCCGCGACTCCGACGCATTGAAGAAGAGAGACACCAACGGAACAAGACGAAGGAACTTTGCCCGACTGACATGCCCAGATAACGTTGATGAGGAACTTGAACTGAGACACCACACATCCGAGATACCCCAAACAGAATCATATACATTTAATTGTGGTTCTTTTGCATTATCACTTTTGTGGTGGCCTTCATTGCTGTGATCTAGCGCTATGCATTCGACTCATGCGATCAGTCACAGCTCTGATTCCCATGCCCCGCATGTGGGCACCGGAAGAAAGCTCAGTATGAGGCGGAGAGGCCAAAATCCATCCCTCTCCCCTCCAAACACCGGATAGTCGTCAACGGTGCCATATGCCCAGTACCATCACTCTGTTCGCACCACCAAAAACACCTGTACAAGAAGTAAGAAGCTGTCATCACTGTCTATCGTATGTGCAATGGCCTTGAAAGGACGTTCGTGTCACAACCCTGTCTGCTGTGGGAGTTTCGTCATTAGGGTGCCACACATACATCCCCATAAGTCGTACCGCCTTGTCGCCGTCATGATGGTACATTTCGTTCAATCAATTTCCATGTCGCTGTCGAAATCGGACATTGAGGAGCCGCATTCGTCGCTGAGATCAGATATGTCCATATCAGAATACTCGCCAGGCGCTCCGTATTTGTCGAACAGCTCATCGGGGTCTTCCCAGTCAACGTCCTCCAAAGGATTGAAGTCAAAGTCATCACCCATGCCGCATGTGACAAAGTCATCCAACATTTCGCACATGCTGATCTGGATCTTATCTGAGGCATAGGCTTCAGCGTCGATGTGTGTAGTAGCATGGATACCGTCGCCGTCCTCAAGCAGACCTCGAGCGATGAATTCCGTCAGTGACAATTTCTTCATTTTGACAAGCATTTGGGGCCAGAGGATATCTTCCAGGTAGATGAATGTCAGGGTCAAAGATTTCAAAGCCGGCTGGCGCTCGAAAGTCTGCATGAAGTCCTTTGCATCACCAGAGAGGCTGTCGAGGTCGAGCTTTCGTAGGTATTTCCAAGTACTGTCGCCTAGCAGATCCCGAATACTGGCGACTGGTCCCCAATAACCCAGGTCGTCGAAGTTGATATGAAGACTCTCAAGACCTTCAGCCGCATTGAGTGCAGTGCGGAAGGTACCTTTGGTCAGGATTGAATACGCCTCCTTGGGACCCTCCTCGATGCTTTCTCGATCCTCACTCTCAAGTCGAAAGACAATGTGGATCTTGCGCAGAGTCGTGAACACGGTGGTGATTGCAGGCATGAGTACTTCGTCTGCAAAGAATCTTTTAACGTTAGTAAAATCGGTAGGAGCGGTAGCAGATTAGGACTTACTTGGGACTTAGCGCATGAACTTGAAGCGACTTTAGATTGAGCAATGGAATCCCTTTAGGCACGATCAGGGCGCTGAGCTGGCCGATAGAGTTGAACGAGCACATTTCCAACGGCATGGTGCAATTGAGCGCGTATGTCTCGCCGTATCGCCAAGAGAGATTATGACCACAGCGAGATGCAGTGGTCATCTCGACAGCTTCAAGCTTTGGGAAGTCGTGGAGGGAATCAAACATATCCTTGAAGGTGTCGGAGTGAAGCAGATCTTGCTGCGTGTCGTAGGCAGCCTTGTACTCATCGTACTTTTGCTGAATGTCGACTTCCCATTTCTCCATGCTGCGCCGGTAGAATCGTTTAGCTCTCTCACTTGCATTCTGTGCTGGCTTAGGAGCGAGCTCAGCGCCATGGTGATCCTGTTTGAAGTGATCGCGGTAGGCATGGAAGCAACGGGAGGCAAGCAGACTACCTTCGTAGACGACAGTCTTGACGCGATTGCGGAGGATTGGATGCTTGGCAAAGTTATCGAGTCGAAGGAGAGAGTTTTTTTCGGTGAAGAACTACAGTTGTTAGAACAAAGTGAAGCAGAATGTGAACGGGGTCATTGCGGTTGGCCGAATTTTGAGACCTCTGTGAGCCCATGCCGGACAAGGCCTTTTGGAAGCAGAGAATGATGACTTACTCGAACTCGGGAGACAAGTGACTCTGCACCTACATCGGCGTAGCGTCGACCCTGCAGACGGAATGCGGCAATGTCATCAAAGAAGTCGAGGTTTTGGCATACTTCGAAGATGACCTCAGTCGGCAGCCGATCCATATTGGTAGCCATCGAGGTCAGGGGCGGGCAAGCGCCCGGAAATCGAGGAACCAGATGAGGGGCAGTTTCGGGTATCTTCTTTGGTTACCGCCTAGTTTTTGTTTGTGGAACACAGTTTACACGCCTCAATGATGCGCGATACACCAAAGCTAGTTCAGCGCGGGTACTTGAGGACAACAAGACAGGAGTAAACGTTGGTGTTGGCAAGAAATCACCTAAGGCAACTTTTGCAGCAGGCAGGCGCCTTCCTTCAGGACCCACAAGGCAAACGCGTCGCGCTAAACCGTGACTAAGGCACTCCGGCTAGTGTGCCCCGCGATCGCCGCCCTAACCCTAGCTTCCGGGTGGTCGTCACAGAAACGAGCGGCTGTGATCCACCAGCCACTCACTCCAGCCCTCTTCACAAGCAGCGTGCCCGACTGGCTGCTTGTGGCATCTACTACACTGCGCTTCATAGGGCTCACATGCTGATGAGCAGGTAGCCTGACAAGTGACGGCTCGGGGCAATTGCTCTGAGCCACTAAGTGCATTCGACTCCAACCGCGCAGCAACCCGTTCGTTGTCTCAGACGGTTCGCAACCATGACACAAGCCATAATGACCGGGACGAGCACCGATGATCGACTGGGAGATCCCTTCGCACCAAATGTTGGAAGTTCGAGGGCGACAATGCCAGCAGAAGTCATGGCGCAACATATGAAGCAGCAGGACTATACAACCGCAGATGTCGACCGGAAAAGACCCCTCCAATTGCTTGACCTCAACGAAGATATTCTCCAGGCCATACTACGCGAAGTGACCCATACCAATGATCTTACAGCCCTTGCGCTGACACATTCAACCCTGCACGATCTTGTCATCCCCCACATCTACTCCCGGTTCGACATCGTGTGGCCTGAAGCCAATACCCATATTGAGAGTCGCGTTGGTGTTGATGCGCTTACCTACGGACTTGCAACCTTGGTCATGGCCTCAGATGTGTTCGGTGAAGCTCCATATCAGCAAAGACCTCCAAGAGCAAGGCAGAACGGAGGCGGTCCTAAGAACATTCGAAGAGGCAATCATTTTGCCCAATACACCAAGAAGTTCAGCCTTGGTAATGGTCCGGCCGACTGGGTGAGCGAATATTTGATCACAAAAGAAGGTGGCAAGATGTTGGGTACACTGGTGGCACTGGCCGTGGGGCGGATGCGTAATCTCGAAGCATTCATCTGGGACATGCCAACTGGAGTGCTGCGGGATGTATGGTTGGCTCTCGCGTCCCTAGGCAATCGAGATGATGGCAATAATTGTCGACTGGAAAAAGTGTGGGTGAGATGGCATGAAAATGCTACTGAAGGAAGCCCACTGGCTTCACCACCCCCAACAGGTCAAGGTGTAGCTGGCGCAACTACGAACATCCCGGCTATCCTCTACGGCACGGCAAATGCGTTGTTCCAGATTCCTCCATATCCGAGGGTCGAATTTCCGACATTCTCCATACTTCCACCTCTAAAGAGCCTTACGGTTCTTGATATCGACGAAAAGCCATATGTGGAAGAGATGGCAGTTCTCGTTGAAAACTCGCTGCACAAGCTTCGAGAGCTGCGAATCGGTCTGGCTGATCATGCTCAATATGATGCTTGGACTATGCCACTAGAAGACCGCAGTATAATTCCCGCCCCTCTCATTCCTCTTGACGGCAATTCGCAGCAGCAGGGAGGAATAATGGGCATACTGGTTCACAGGTTCTGCGATCCCACACAACCTTCGCGAGCTGAGAGCTCGACATCCATCAACACCCTTGGTTTGTCGAAACCCATGGTCGATATCACCGAGACTCCCGTGCCAACGAATATCAAATCTGCCAGCGAAGAGCATGAGAACAATGAGATCGGACAGCTAAGTCGACTCATGTCAGATCATAGTCTTGCGGACTTGTCGCTGACCGAGACTCCCTCCTTGTATATTTCAAAGCAGAGAAGAAATGCAGATCAGCAGCCGCCAGCGTTCGGAACAACTCTCGCTGCCGATGTCCACCCAACTGTCTCCCGGAGAATGCAGCTCGACACTCTTGAGTTGGAGCGCATTTATCTCTCCGTTCCGTCTTTGTCCCGAGGCATTGACTGGACTCACCTAAAATCGATCACACTTCTCGGATGTAGAAACCATGAATCCCTCTGGAAGGAGCTTCGAAGGAAGTTTACGCCACCCAACCGCACGCGCACTCCTTCATCGACGTCGCGGGCGGTTTCAGGCGGACTAAGCAGTATCTTCTCTCCAAGAAATCTCACACCACTGTCAAAGGAATCGATTCCCGCCGAGGAATACCGCCTCAACATCAAGAAGATTCACACCGATACTGTCTCGCCATCATTAATCCAATTCATCAAGAATGCTCTTGCCCCAGACAGCCTCGAATGGCTTTTCCTTCAAGAGAACACAACGTACAAGTCTAGCGTGAGCATCGATGCAATCTACCGAGGAGCCATCCGGCGCCACCGAGGTAGTCTACGAAAACTACTTATCGACAGCGGATCTCGCAAAGATGAAGAACCAGGTCCCGCGAGTTGGCGGAGATGGGTTCTCAATCGGGAGCTTCTAGGCTATATCACAAGTGGGAAAATGCGCCTCCGCGAGCTTTGTATGTCCATTGACTACAAGGACTGGCACTATTTTCTTCAGAGACTACCCCAACTGAGTAGTCTTCGGTCGCTACATATCAACCACATCGCGGATCATGTACACGGCACGTTCGACAGTCGTGAAGCAGCGCTCCAGGTGCTTGACATCGTTTCTCTGCGGCCAGACCTTGAGATTTGCTACCTGGGGATTCAGCGGCAGTGCTTCGAGGTGCTCGAATACAATGCTGCCCAACGAAGTGCTGGTCCTCATCCGCTTACTGTTGTCAACGCGGACCATGAGTTGGACAGTGACGACAATGATGAAACCGTCGAGGAGATCGATGACGATAACGACTTCGATGTTGAAATCAGTCAAGGCGAAGAGACAGAAGACGAGTCTCAGGACAGGGCCGGGAAAATGGCGTTCAAATTGAGAGAGATTCTGTTCTACGACGACAAAGTTAGCATCTTTCGTGCGCGTCATGGCCGTCTTTGAGCGTGGGATATGATGGGAACGGCTTTGGAAAAAGCAAACAGGACGCGGTAGTGGTCAGTATCTAGATAGTTCAAACAAAGATATTACGGTCGCTGGATTTTGCACTCTATAGCGTATCTCGGTCATTGGTAGTTCCCGTTCAAGCCCCAAGATCTACGGCGGAGCCCTTGTTGTGAGCTTTCTCCGATCATGACGCCGACTGCAGCTCCAAATCTCGTAAAAAGAAATACCACAGTACATTCTTCACCGACCACCACTTTAGCATCGGACACTCATCGCGGGCCGTCATGTTCTCCCGCTCCGCTCGTCTGCTCGCATCCCACACAACATCCACCCTGCCCCTCAAGCGGCCTCCGCCCATGAACCTTCTCCCCCCGATCCCACTATACCGCCGCCTCCTCCGGCTGCACCGCAAGAAGCTCAACCCCGAAGAGCGCATCTTCGGCGACATATACGTCAAAGCGGAGTTCCGACGGCACAAGGGCATTGAGAACCCGCTGCACATTGTCGGGTTTCTGCAGCAGTGGCAAACATACGGCGAGATGCTGGACCGCAAGAGCGCGCATGGAGAGCAGGAGGGTGGTGACGGGACAGATTGGATGAAGGGGTCGGAGGAGTGGGCCATGGAGGGCCTTTTGGAGAAGATGAGTGATCAGCAGATTGGGCAGGTGTGGGAGTTGTACAATGCTATTCAGAAAAGGAATATTGCTGGTGCGGAGGAGGGCGAGACGGAGCACGATGGTGATGTGGTTCATCTTGATGGAAAGGAGAAGAAGAGGTGAAGAAGTTATTGAGGGGTCTGTCGATTGGCCATGCTGGACATTGATGGTGAAGCGTGCAGCTGCAATAGAGGATCGTGCTTGCACATTCACCGCAGTGCCGAGTCATGCTGCTGAGCAACCACGGAGTTCCAGACCTTTCGCCGCGGAGTATCCTGCACCTCGACAAACGAAGATGGCCATTGCCTAACTCGAGAGACATCGTGGGAAGAGCTCGACTTTCAGGGACCAGCAGACTCACCACACGACTTGCACAGGCCCAACCCGCATCTCACGAACACACCTCCCACCAAGCGCATTTCCACCCGCGAACAACCTCACCACCCTACTGAGTCCGAAATCTCAAAAGCATCCAAGCCCAACTTCAAACTCCGACTTGGACCACGACCGCAGCCGCACACCCACCCCACCAAAAATGTGCCACCTCCTCCCCTACGCCTCTCACACCTGTCCCCACCGTTGGGTCGTCCTCGCCGTGCCCTGCGCGCCCAACCTGACCTTCGCCTCCGCGCCGCCCGGTCACCGCTTCACGCGGCCCACCACCCTCCTCGGCAGCACACAGTGGTACCCTGCGGCACCGCGCACCTGCCCAGACTGCGACCTGCACGGCAACTACAACGGCGACAAGATGCGGATGTACCTGGGCAAGGGCATGGCCGGAGAGCGGGCGGGCCGAGCGGGTCTGTGGGGTCCGTATGGAAATGGATTCTGGGGCGGGCGAACGGTTACGGAGGGTTGCGCGGGGTATGGGGCGACAGGATATGTGCCGGGGGTGCTGGCGGTGGAGGGCCAGGGTGGCTATAGTCTGAGGGGGGATTGGATTGGTGCGGGAGCGGGAGCGGGCGCAGGAGGGTATGTGAGGCCACCGAGGAAGACGCCGGGGAGGTGGCCGGGCCAGGGGTTTCTGGGGTGCTTCGGTATTTGAAGGGTGAGGCGTGAGGGAAGCGAGAGAAGCAGATGTTCACGTGCAAGAGTTTGATGATAGCGTGGCATGCTTGAGCTCCGCCGCCTAGAGCATGGTGTGCGAGACACTATGCCGAGGAGCCAGAGGATTGAGACAATTATGCCTTTTAGCTGTCGAATGCAGTATTGTAACAGACTATCCGCCTTCTCGACCCTCTATATCTATCTACAGAAAATCCTTTCCATGCAACTTGGAGTGAAACACCGCGAGGCCCTGAACGCCATCCTTTGGCGGCAGGATACTCTCTCGAATCGGTCCGATCAACGGGCCAAACTCCGGGTTCTCCCTCGCCTTCATATGATCCTCGACGCTGTCCCAGCCAATCAACACCTGCAGCGGGTTCGTCGCACCTTTCGGGCCCTCGATCTCCTCGATCGTCCAGCCGATAGCCGAGCCTTTGGATTTGTCGTTGGCATTGACGAACTGCGCGAGCCTCAGCGTGTTGTCCTCGAGCTTGGACTTGTCGGCCTGGGAGCTCGAGGCGGAGATGCCAAAGGTGGCGAACTCGGTCACGGGGGCCTCGCGGGCGGGGACGGAATCGGATGTGAAGTTGACGTGGTCTGGGTTTGGTTAGCGAACAGCTGATGGTGGTGATGTGGAAGGCGTGTAGTGATTACAGAAGAAGGGGGGTGCAATGTTGAAGTCAAAGAGCTCGGCCAACAGCGCGACAAACGGCTTGTAAGCTTCAGAGTTGATGAAGTCCTTGTGTTCTTGCACGTCGGTCCAGTCGATGGTCAACACAAATGATTTGGGATCCTCGACTCGAAGACCCTGGTCGGATGCGTCAGTTCTGGAGACGTCTGATAACAGGCCTTGTGGTGGGATACCCAATAGCTGCGGAGGAAGCCTTTTTGCTCCGCCAATGTGGCACCCGCTTTCTTCACGATCTCTGCTGCTCGCGAGCCTTTTTCTTCGGGGTTGAGCCCATCCCGGAGGACAAGAAATACTATCTCGGTGCATTCAACCATGGCTGCGAAGTACTGCGGGGTGAATGGCTTGGATACTTGGAGGAGATGAAACTTGTCAGATATACGTCTCTTGATATGCCGAGGCAACGTTAATTTATACTTGCTCGAGAATAAAGCGGGCAAGGATTACGCCCGCGATCGACCGGCAATAAGGCATCTTGCGATGCCAATGGAGGGGCTGCATTCAGACTCCAAAGAACGAGGTAAGGGCGGGGCACGCTGCGGTCGGCCAGTCTCATCCAATCAATACCCACAATGATGCGCGTCAGCTCCGCTTTAGTCAGCTTGCGTCGCCAAGCCCCGGGACGCTGTCACCAAGCTCGCTACTCGCCGTCGACAAAGGGTTGCCTGGCCTGATGACAGAAAGCCGTATTTGCCTTGCTGATGCAGATCTCCTGTCACCACTTTCTCGTTCCTACTCCTTGGTGCTCGTGCGGTCACGGTCGAGCCAACAGAGCTTCATCTGGCGGTCTTCAAGCGCGCTCCCCGCACTGGCCGTTGTCCTCTCAAACCAGTGGCGGACACTCTTGACGCTAGCATGACGGATGAACAGAATCAATCAGCCCGGTCGGAGTCGGCTGAACCGGACTCGAAGCCAAAGCATGCAACCCAGGCCAAAGTTCGCCGACGTAATCGTATGATTACATCGTGTCTCGAGTGCAGACGACGGAAGTTGAAGTGCGATAAGCAGAATCCATGCACCAACTGCAACAAGTTCTCGAGAGAGTGCACGTTCCTCGCCCCCGCGCTGGATTCTGTGTCTCAGCAAAGGCTCAATGAAATCAAAGAGAAGATGGGCTCTTTGGAGCGTGTCCTCGAAGAAGACGTCGCCAAGCGGAGCCACGGCCCCGGCCGAATCAAGAAGGAGCGCAAATCTTCGATAGACCTCCCTGGCGAAGATGGCGACAGTGGAAGCGATACTCCGCCGGCCGAGTATGAAAAGGGGATTGAGCCAACGCCTCTAGCGGTTGTCGATGCGTCTTACGAGGATGATGCCGATGACGATGTGCTTGACCTTGGGGTGCGCATAGGCAAGATGCGTATGGGCGAGCGACTCGGAGGCTTCGTTCGTCCAAAATTCAGCGAAGAGCTCACTCTGGCTTTAGCCAATCCACAATATGATCGAAGAACGGATGAGGAAAGGCAATTCGGCGGCATCCCACCACTTGCCGACAACTCTCACGACTTCCTCGAACCCGGCCCAACATTCGCCAATCCGGGGTCAGGTTTTGTCTTCGGTGACGTTGGTGGTCGACATAGCCTGATTGATTTCCTCCCTACCAAAGACGTCGCTGATGGTCTAGTCTCCAAGTACTACGAGAATGTCCATCTGGTGTGTCGTGTTCTGCATTCGCCGTCTTTCCAGTTCCTATACGATAACTTCTGGACAACAGTTCTTGCTGGTTACGAGCCACAAGCATCAGGGCAAGCCGTCGTGTTGGCAGTCATGTTTTCGGCTGTTGCTAGCATGCCTGAAACAGATGTGACGGCAATCTTCGGACGACCCAAGAAGATGGTGCAGGCCAACTTTCAGAAAGGCGCAGAAGTCAGCCTGAGCAAAGCACAATTCCTGCGAACGACCAAAATGGAGACACTACAGGCGCTGGTAATCTACCTGATCCCAATGTGTCGAGACCAAATTTCACGAGCCCACTCGGTATTGGTGGGCACGGCTATCAGGCTTGGAGAATGTATGGGACTGCACCGTGACCCGAAAGACGTCTACAGTTTCCCGCCAGTAGAGTGTCATACCAGGCGAATTCTATGGTTTCAGCTCCTATACCTCGACTTCAGGACAGGCGAATCGCACGGCCCGAGACCTTGTGTCAAACGAGAGGACTTTGACACCAGATTTCCGCTCAACATTGACGATGCCGATCTGATGTCTGGCAAAATAGAGGAGACGAATACGCGTTTCACCGACATGACTCTTTCGAGGTTACGATTTGAGTGCAACGAAATGCAGCGCATCATATGGTACGACCGCATCCGACTGGAGAAGAAGACTGTATCACTTACCCATGTGCTCGGCAAAATCGAATCATTCAGGAAAGCCATGATGGCAAAGTATGAGGCCATGTTGGACAGGTCGGTTCCAGTCCAAAGATATGCGTCCATCGTGCTCCAGATTCTCCTGAACCGTATGCACATCATGGTGCTACATCGGTATCTCAATCACATGACCAAAAGCCTACCGGATAGGCTTCGTCAGGTGGTATTGACCACAGGCATAGCCCAACTAGAAGGCGGTGTCGAGCTAGAGAAGGATCCAGAACTCTCGAGATGGAAATGGTACAACATGGCTCATCACCAGTGGCACGCCGCATTCCTGCTGATGTTCGAGGTATACCAATACCCCCACAGAAAGGAAGCCGACCGCATCTGGAAAGTGGCGGATTTTGTATTCGAGCCCGACCTTTCCCTTTCAAGAACACAGAAAGGCAGGTCAATAATCGCGGCCGTTAGGGATCGTGGCGCCGTGTATCGGGACATCAGACGGATGCGTGCACCCGGCAACATGCGATCTTCCACGGTTCGCGAGATCTGGGACATCAAACCGTGTTCGAAACCTTCAGAAGCCGACCAGGAAATGCAGCAGCACGCACCCAGCAATCCCCTGCTGCAGCAGTCCTATCCCTCCCCAGACGTGCGAAGCCCAAGCGAAGCCATCAACCAATCCGCCATGAACACCGACTGGAGCTTCAACAACATGGCTACAAGCTTCTTCACCAAAGGCCGCTCCTCATCCGCCGAAGCTCGCGTCCTCCAACAGCAACAATCCTTTGACGCCATGCCCAACCGCGCCCCGTCCGTCCCCGGCCTCGAATACAGCAGTCCCAGCGAGAACAGCACGAACGATCCCGCGAACTGGCCGCCTCTCATCTCCGCCGACCAACGCGGCTGGGTGCCCATGCAAGCCATGACGTCGCCGGCAAATCCGAACATGCAAGTGCCGGCGACTGCGGGGTTCCCCATACCTCCAACAGCCGGCTTTCAACCGCAGTCGTTCTTCGCGCAGACCATACCGCAGAGGGGCGCGTTGGGAGGCACGCCCTCCAGCTCGGGCGGCGAGGAGGCGATGCCGGACATTGACTGGAGTGAATGGGATAAGATCTTCCCGCCCGAGCACAATAATGGGCACTTGGACATCACGCCGCCGCAGTTTGTTGGTGGGGGTGGTCGATGAGGAAAGTTTCTCCTGCCGCGATTTTAGTGTTTTGTTCGAGTACATTGGTAGCACAGCGTTTGCAGGAATCAGCACTGCAGGTAGCCCTTTACGTACCTTGTTATGCGAGAATACACGTCAATCTCCACCCTTAGTATCTTGCACGACAATGAGATGCCGAGCGGTGGTGGGTCCGTAAGATGTGAGTCTGTGGAGGCCCCAGGAGCAAGTCCGTGTGGCCTTCAGGTCAGCAGAGCGAACCACGATTCGAAAATTCTACTTCTCCTACTGGGAAAAAAAGACTCCTGTCTACCAACGGTCGGATGTGACGCTCTCCTGTCGCGGTCCGATACAACGACCATAAAAGTCTTTTGAACCAGCATGCAACTCAACAACCAAGCTCCCATTCCTACCTGGTACTGAGAAGAGTCACCCACTCCCACTATCCCCCTACAACAACCGCGTCCCCTCAGCAAACACAGCCTCCACGTCCGTGTACCTCGGCATATCCTCCAGCAGTTTCTGCGTCGCCTCGGCCGCCCGCGCCCGCTCCCACGCCTCCTTGCTCTCCCACTCCAAGATCGCCTGGAGCTGGTAGGGTGCGTTGGGGTCTTCGGTGGCGAAGACGGCGAGGACCTTGACGTTGTGGGGCGCCCAGATTGCGGAGGCGAGCGGCATGTGCTTGTGTAGGTAGTAGTCGCGATCGAAGCGCGAGTTGGGGATGCGGGGGTAGGAGATTGTGGTGATGTAGGTTGGGGAGGACATGGTGGTGCTGTAAGCTGTGGTGATGGAGGAGGGAGATCCGGGTTTGGGAGGTAGAGGTCGTTCTAAGATTTGAGGCTGTAGGGACCTCATCGTTGTTAAGCTTCGATACTTGTACTCACGGTTGCTGCCCTGCCAACCGTCTAGGGACTTGCGTGACTCTGAAGCAGTTGATGGCAAGCCGACTTCTATACGGTTGTACGGCCGTAAGCGAGATGGGGTTACGAGGCAGTGGGTCGGCAAGGCTGGGCGATTGTAGCTAGCTTGTCATCTAGCAAGGGAATGTATCGGACAGTGCTCTCCTAACATTCGGACGTCGAAGGATATGGGCTGCATCGACCGGGTGAGCTGTAGAGGTAGGATGTGTGAGGACGTGCAGTTATGGAACTGCATTCGCGAGGTTGCTCATGTGGTAATCGACGGGAGGGTTGCGTCTATGATTGTTGCGGCTGTTGACACATGAATTGGAGCTGTCACGGTGCCAGTCGGTGTTGCGAAGGCCGTACCATCAGGCCGTTGTTAGTCAGGGACACTATCGAGTGCGGGCGGGTATATCAAAGCTGAGATACAGCTCATTTTTTCGATCCCTTCCTGCGTCCGAGTAGTCTGTTTAACCCACCTTTCCAATGTGTGTCTCAAATAACCGAGAGTAGGTTTGACCTTGGGTTCATAGAGTGTACAGTGATAGAGCAAAGGACATATTTGTGTTGCCTGTTTGGATCTTATCACTGAAAGATCAAGCATGGCTGTGCGTGGTCAACAAATCTCGATGGTCATACTGGTGAACGTCATATCAGATTGCAAATGATGATCGCACGCTTTCCTTGGTCGTCGATGACGGAACCCAGCGTCTGCAATCGGGAAGGATGAAGAGTAGTTTGTGGCGGTCGCGAGAGGGTTTCATGTCTCTTTCGGCGGTTCGATCAACGAGATCGATAAGAGAAGGTGCTGGATGTAAGTCTGGTCCGATGATGTACCTAGCCTCATCAGCCATACGTCAGATCGATACGACTATCAGAGAGTCGATCTTTCAAGGGATGATCAAGGTGTAGCGAGATGATGCACTATGGCAAAGGAAAGCGAGGCGAGGTTCCAGTAGCAACCCAGATCGAGACGATCAAGAATCATAACACAGCTGACGTGTGCCGGCTGCAGCAATGTGTCTGTCGATCGATGAGGCCGACAAACGTCAGAGTATTGGACTCTGGACAAGCGAGCGCGAGCACGCTTTCGTCACAATCGGATGTCGCCAGATGGCTGCATGTAAAGGACGCTGGCTGTGGCCACCCTGCGAGGATCTGCCCCTTTTCGGCTCCATAAGCTGACGGCTGAATACGGCATAAGTGACCAGCGAGTGGTTCGTTTGCTATACCCCTAGCGAAGACGGAGTACTTCTGGGCTTTGGGGTCCTGCTAGCCGGCTTCGAGAGGGAGCAGGGCTTAGGAGACGATCTCTCGTGACGCGCGCGATTAGTGTCACTGTGTGAGGCGGCGGATCCGGTAGCGAATGATGCACCTCGTGGAGTCCGATCCAGTAGTATACAGTTGAGTCCATCGCCTAAGTGACTGAGCGGAGGCCTCTGACTTGTGAAGTTGCCCACGTGCTCAGCACCGAATGCGCAGCCTTGCCGAGCCACCAAACGTACTATGGGGTGTTAGTGCAGCCTCGCCGGCTTTCGGCCGTTCTCGCCCTTCGGGGCTTTCCTTTTTTTTGTGTGTTGAAAAGCTCCATCTCGAACATGTTCTTTGCAAGGCCGAGGTCAATGTCGTTGATTGTTAGGGTATACATACGTGCCAGATGATATTGTATTTAAAAATTCTCATTGATGCTGAAGCATCCATCTGGCCTCAAAGGTAGGAGAGACGACTCCTTGCGCGTGGGCGAATATCGCGGCTTGATAGGTGATTACCCATCAATGTCGACATTTAAACTGGACAGCCTGCAGAGGTCGATCACTTCAGCTATCGCTTAGAATTGACCGAGATTCGATCTTTGCTTCTTTCATCCTTCCAGAATTGGATTCTGATGGCCGTCAGTGACACTACTGGGCGGGCTTGCTCTGCCAAGGGAAGTTTTTACGGACCCTGGTCACCATCAGAGTCGGAACCCCCGGCCAATGGCCAACCCGGAGATGGTGCCACCCACCAGTCTCACTGGCAAAAAATTTGCAGGGGCTTCAGCACTATGCCCTCATTGGTACTCTGAGCCGATCCCGCCCTCTTGGCAATGCTACCAACGACACCATCTAAGCTGCTCTAAGCGGCTTTCAAGCGGACGCCAAGGAAGACTCAAGCACATTCCTGTTGCTTTTCCCTGTCCTTGGCGGCGCTGGCGTACTTGGCATGGCGAGCTTACGGCGGGCCTGGACTGATGGGGCGTTTATTCTGTGGTTCTTCAAATTCTCACATAGAGCCCACGTGCGTCGATACTCAATCCTCAGCGGCGGACATCATCGTTGAAGAAATTCGTTTTCTCGCAGCGCGATGTGGCACTCAACAGCATGTTTGCTGGGTATATATCCAAGCTCTACGATGGGTTGGCTCTATTTCTTCCCACCAGACCAGCCCTGAGAGCGCAAAGCATCTGCCCAGAACTCCCATCAGACGCTTGACCAACCGCCAAGATGGTTCTTAGCGAGTACACTCACATCTTCGCCATTGGCACAATCTTCGCCCTACTCGAGGCCTACAACAACGGTGCCAGTATGTACCAACCTGAACCCTTTTTTCACTTGTTGCCGCGATGCTAATCAGGATCCCTAGACGATGTTGCCAACGCCTGGGCTACCAGCGTCTCGTCGCGCTCCATCTCCTACCGATGGGCTATGATTCTCTGCTGCATCTTCGAGATGACTGGAGCCCTCGCTGTTGGTGCACGCACAGCTAGCACCATCAAGAACGGCATCATTCCCATCTCCGCCTTCAACGATAACGCCTCCGTCCAGCTCCTCGCCTTCGCCAGCGCATCAGCTGGTGCCGCCATTTGGGTCATGTGGTGCACTCGTCACTCTGCCCACGTTTCCTCCACATACTCTCTGGTTTCCTCCATTGCTGGTGTCGGTGTTGCCACCGTTGGTGCTTCAGGTGTCCAGTGGGGCTGGAATGGTGGCCAGGGTCTCGGTGCCATCTTCTCCGGCTTGGTCATGGCCCCTGTCATTGCCGCCACCTTCGGTGCCATCATTTTCATGCTTGTGAAGGTGGTTGTGCACATGCGTTCCAACCCAGTCCCCTGGGCTGTCTGGACCTCGCCATTCTTCTTCCTTATTGCCGGTACCATCTGCACTCTCTCCGTTGTCTACAAGGGCTCCCCCAGACTGGGTCTCAGCTCAAAACCTGCGTGGTACATTGCGAGTGTCACTCTCGGTGTTGGTTTCGGCCTCTTTTTCCTGTCCGCGATTTTCTTCGTTCCTTTCGTCCACGCCCGAGTCATCAAGCTTGATAACGAGATGATGTGGTACGACATCTGGAAAGGTCCTCTTCTGTTCCAGCGTCCCGCTCCTGAGAACGGTTTTGCCAAGGTCCGCAACTACGAGGTTGTGCAGAAGCATGGTGCTGCCCACACCACTGACGACACCTCGTCTACCGACAGCATCCAAAAGGAACAGCTGAACGAGAAGAACGCCACCGCCGACGGTATCGCGCCTGTTCAGCAACCTCAACAAAAGTCCCACTCGCTCGAGGAGGCTGCCGTCCCTCTTAACCCCCAGCAGCAGTATAAGCTGTTGCTTGCCAAAGCCCGTGCTGAGCACCATGCTGAGCTCCGCCAGAGCCGCAGCCCTCTTGGTTGGGCCATGCGTGTCGTCCACCGTAACCCGATGGGCGCTGGTTCCATCTACGAACTACACAACCTCAAGGCTGTCATGTTCCGCCTGCCTGCATATGTCGTCATTGCCCTCACCTATGGTCTTTACTACGATATCCACCGCGCTCAGGTCGGTATTGAGGGCACTCCCGAGGGCGCCCGCATGAAGCGTGTCTACGCACATGCGAAGAAGTATCCCAACGAGGTCGAGCATCTGTACTCCTTCGTTCAGATCATCACCGCCTGCACTGCTTCGTTCGCCCACGGTGCCAACGATGTTGGTAATGCTGTCGGTGTCTGGGCTGCTATGTACGCTGCATGGTCCACCAGCACTGCCACCGCGGCCAAGGCTGAGGTTCCTCTTTGGCAAATTGGTGTCACTGCTGCCACCATCTGTATCGGTTTCATCACCTACGGGTACAACATCATGAAGGTCATGGGCAACAAGATCACCTACCACTCTCCTTCCCGTGGCTCCTCCATGGAGATGGGTGCCTCCATCACTGTCCTGATCTTCTCTCAGTACAAGCTCCCCGTCTCCACCTCCATGTGCATCACTGGTGCCACCGTTGGCGTCGGTCTCTGCAACGGCACCTTCAAGGCTGTCAACTGGCAGCGAGTCGGTCTCCTGTTCTTCTCTTGGGTCATGACCATTCCCATCGCTGGACTCATCGGTGGCTGCATCATGGGTCTCCTTCTCAACACCCCCAATTTCTAGATACAGACAAACAGCGTGCAAGCGATCTTGAAGAGCGTGCTGCTTTTTATCTCCTCAAGTATGAGAAAGTCTCTACATGTATTATGACCTGAAAAGAAAGGGCCTGTACTTTCTGGGAGCAACGAAAGGAATGACTTAGACTTTGTGCCGTCGCGGGAAAGTCTTTGTGAAGACTCGGGCGTCTCGCAGGAGCCATAGGTTCAAATGCTTTCAACAGAATATTACCCTCGTTCAAAAAAAAAATCATCTCGCGTCCTCCGTTTGACTCTGCGCCCGCTTTTTTCTTTTCGTGTTTCCCCATCGGCACCCGTTATTACGCTCTCACTTTCATATCACAGCCCTGTAATCCAGATCTTGTCGGCGATAAGCCCGCCTTCTCTGTCTATCGAAACGCAAATCATCGTACCTGTTGGCCTCTCCCCAAGACTAGCGACATCGACCCCCCCGCCCTCTTGAATAGCTCACAAGCTACACCTGCACAGCGCCCTCCCAGCCAGTCCGGTACACCCGTTGTTCACTCCTCAATCAAACTTGCGTTATGTCATCGGACTCCCGTAATTAGAGTCATCTATCATCACCTACAGCCACCAGTACAGAGTCCTACCCTCCAGTGCCAAACGAGTTCCCTCGCACCTGCCCCCCTTCAGCATCCCTGCCTTAAGCATCGACCCTCGATCATGAGCCTGCGTACTTTGTCGGACAGGGTAGGCACCATAGCAGATCTGCGCTAGCCCGGGGTTGGACGAAAGGTAGCAGGGTACAATATCGTAGAATCACGACGGAATGAGATATCTGAGTGTAATGCTTGATGTGTAAGATTCTATAGATCCTCTGAGCTATGATGAGCTATGCTATGCTTGCTTCGCAGTCACCTGACAGTACCTTCCCATAACGTTCGGTTCATGCGTAAATATTGAATTCGACTCAGATGAGGCCCATGGAGAGACAGGCTAAGATGCCTGCAAGGGCTGTACAGTCGTCCGCCCGACCATTGACATTGTTCTTGAGGTACTCTTTGACTTCGGGAGGGGTGATGTTGTGACACTGTCCCAGGGTTTTCGCCCTGGAACCACTGTGCATGGCCTGAAAGACTTTGCCCAGAGGAACGAACGGTGCAAGTAGTTTCAGGGTGGAGCAGCATGAAGAAAATCCGAACATGTATATTTTGTTATGGTCAGGAAGAGCATTAAGGAGAAGGCTTGTGAGCTACAGTGGATGCTCTTGGGTTGGTGGAAGCTCTAACTAGGCTGAGACTGAAGGTGTTAATGTGAAGCTTCTTGGATACACTCTATATGCAAGTTATAGCCAAGTAAATGATCAGGAGGCCTTTCGAGTACATTTAGAGAGGCTTTGACCGGGCTGGAGATAGTTGTGGGAGGCCTCCTGAGTATATTTAGTGGAGGTTCTAGATGGGCCAAAGATATTTATGGGGGGCCTCCTGAGTATGGTTGGTGGACGCCCTAACCGAGCTGAGAGAGGGCCGTTGTGGGATGCCTCCCCAGTACATTTAGTGAAAGCGCCAACCGGGCCGAAGACATTCGTGGGAGGCCTCCCGAGTACATTTTGTGGAAGCTCTTACCCAGATGTTCGTGGGAGGGCTCCCAAGCATATTTAGTGGAAACCCTAACCGGCCGAAGATGTTCATGAGAGGCCTCCTGAATACACTCTCCATGGCAGCTAACAGCCAAGCAAATAATGATGGCTTGGTGAAAATATCTGGTGACCTCCGCAGTCTTGGGAATGGATATAGCTACGATGTGTGCCTAGCCAACACCATGCTCACACAGGACACCTTTCGGGCGATGAGCCAGAGAAACGAAGACTCCGAATCAGCCTGCCTGGCTGAATTATATTCCTCCATTTGATGCCACCGGCAAAGCCCAACAATCCCCAAGTAGGCACCCCGGACGCACCCATCCTTCCCGATCTTGCCCATCAAACCGCTGGCGCGAACCACGTCCGCTCAACGCAAGCCACCCACTGATGCCCTACCTTTCTTAGACGTCACGTCTGTAGGCCTCGCCTACACTGCACCAGGGAGTGCCATTATCGGCCCAACTTACTGTATGTTATGGGCAGGGTCGGTCAGGTGACTGCGAAGCAAGCATAGCATAGCTCATCATAGCTCAGAGGATCTATAGAATCTTACACATCAAGCATTACACTCAGATATCTCATT